GGCAAGTTGATGGAGCGTCTCGAGCCAGCATAATATCAGAATCTTCTTCGGTCCACTTGCCCATAACAAAATTCCCAGGTACAATAGTGCTTTGGGAACTCAGAGTCACAGCTCCTACAGTATGCTGATGGCTATTCCCTTACGATTAGTGTAACATGGCCCGACTGACCACCAGTGCTACCAGGCCACGCCCACGTAGTCCCCCGCAAGAATAAACAGACTGTCCAGATAAATACTATGTAGGTAAAATATGCCGCATACAGTCTGTGCAATTATTGCTGGTGTTGGTGACAAAGCGAAATGAGGGAAGAGGATAGTTGATAAGCGCGACGGGGTCAGAAGGCGGCGTTGGTAAACGTACACCCGCTGTAGAGAAGGAAGTATTAGTGTAATTCGGTCCTTTCCAACGACAGACTGGACAACAGAATGCATGAAGCTACGCAAGTAGGACGTGAGGGATGTAGACTGTAATGTACCTGTGATACCCCAGAAGCATTCTGGCACAGGCAGAAGTCCGTTTCACCAGTCTGAAGATGATAATTGTATTCTTGGAGGTCGTCAAAAGGGAGCTGAAGTAGGAATTGAACGCCGGAATTTTCTTGCTGTTATATAGTGGCGTTACTTCTGGGGCGAGGGCTTCTGAAGGGAGAGAAGAGATAAAGCGGTCAGTTATGACAGGTGATGTGTTCATATTATCCTCATCGAGTGCTCGCAATCCTGGACGGCTGAAGAAAGTGATGCTGTCAAACAGAGGAAATGGGGAAGTGGCAGAAAGAAGGCCCTACGCAGGTAAATACTAGTCCGATGCTTACAGTGAATATAGAGAGGTCTTAAGCTGCGGTGGCGCCGATATCCTCCCGCTGCGTCATAGTTATGTAGTCCCAACCTAATATCTACATATCAGTGGCCGCACACCCCAACTAATACTCATCGACCATCCCCTTCCGACCCCCAAGCAGAATACACCCAAAGAAGATCTACTAATTGTCATTCACAATGTCGTTCCAACAAAGCGCCTGCGATATTCACCTGAACCCCGAGCGCGAAGGAACCACCTCCCTGGTTGCGATATGCAACAACGACGAAGGATCCGGCCTGACCAGCAAGATCCCGCTCGACAAGTTCCTCGGAAACGAAGATGGTAAGATTGAATCCTGCCCAGTGCATGCAATCGGTAATGGGTCCTACGCCTTCTAGGTCACTTCGTCTGGGGCGGAAAGAACATCACGCAATCATGTCGGAATATGCAACTGCGCAGAGAAGGGCCGAATCGACTGCCCATACTTCATGCCGACCTCCGGAACAGTGCAGGCGATTTCGTGCCTGCAGATTGTCATCTTGAGGAGCATATCTGGAACATTGACGGCGAGTTGCTGTACAAGCCTGATATGGATTAGTATAGGGGTGCCGGTTCTCGGAGGTTGACACGACACGCCAGGTCCAAGGACAGGTGTCGTAGGCTGGAAAGGATATTGGATGGGATGGGATATCATTGTTCTATTTGTGCGCTACGAGGCTATCCAGACTGATATACGTATAATGCACTTTGATGATATGTATTATCGCTCGTAGTGCAACGCTACTAGTTCTCCATGTACCATGCATCCACACAAATAGCACTGGAGTGCTGGGTGTATTTCATATGTGAAGCATGCAGAAAATACGAACCAAACTGCAATGCACTAATAGAACATCGTGGGCATACCCAGCACGTTCTCAAACCATTGATCATCCCCCAGATCCATCGACTGCATGAACACCATCTGATCCAGATCAGGGATATAGTAATTGTGGGAATTCGTGTCAGGATTGGCACTCCGGCACTGCCTGGTGTCCCCGTCCTGCATCTGAGAGGCAATATTCCACCTGGCTTCCGCCCACACGCGACACCTGCTCAACAGTTTGGATAAAAACTTCAGGAGATGGTCGTTACACTGCAGCTCCGGCTCCTTGCTGCTCAGATCGAGCTTCTGCAGCATACAGTCCATCGTCGAAATCAGGTGGACGGTGTTCCGCACCGCCTGGCAGTCCCAGTCTGGGTCTTTCAGGGTCGTCAGATATTTCAGGAGGGTGATGGTTAGAATCATCTGGGACCAGAAATGGAACGGCTGGCCGACCAGCTTCGAGCAGGGGATTTTGTAGAAATTGTCCAGCCATGATTTGATGTTCTCGACCGACTGCCACAAACACTCCAGCCGTTGGAACCCTAATTGCGATCCGGTACCCATTCGTCCGGCAAGATCTAGAGGGAGTGAGTCTTGGCTAATAGAATATGCTAGCTGGTTGATGTATAATTCGACGTATTGTGCGTGTGTGTTGAGAACATCTGCATCCAGGCATATTATGTATTAGCCGTCATGTAACAGTTCATCTGGCAGGTTATTTACTGGGTAGTACTGACCTATCTGGTGGAGATCTGGCGGAAATGAAGCCCTGAGCTCCTGCAGCTCCCGTCGTAGGGTCTTGAGATACAATAAGCGAGGAGCAGAAGCCGCGGTAGGCGCTGTTCCTGTGCGAGCCTCGTCCTGTTGTCGGGCCTCATCCGATCTTTGTTTCAACAGCTGCAAGCGAACCTGAGCGACAAACAACCTATCCGAAGGACATGCTTCGCTGATTGTGAGGACCCGAAGCGCCTCTTCCATCTGAGGCGTCCATCGTAAGGCGTCTTGACGCCCAAGATGCGACGATATACTAGGTTAGCCATATGTTAGTCTGGTATGCCCCTGAATCGAATATAACGGTAAAGTCAAAGAATCAAGAGGCCATGCGCACTTCGAGCTCAGAATGAAACACGCCAGGACAGCTCGCTGTCTTTCCAATAAGCCGTAGGGCGTCTCATCAGTGTGGTTCTGACCACTGTCATCCGCCCGCCCCTGAGTAATAGCCATCATGAGTTGCACATCGGGTGAGGACGGCTTGAACAACCGCAGATCATACACGAGGGAAATGGCGAGCATCATGAGGCGCGAGACGAGGTCTGCGCGACCGAGAAAGGGGTCAGTACTCCACGCTAGATATGTTAGTAGCCCAAGCAGGAGATCGATATTCGACTGCACTTTGAGCAACGCCGATGTGAATATGAGACGCTTCAGCTCTTCGACCTGAGTCAGTCTTTCCTGTGTCGAAAAAGTAGTCACGGTGTGGATGGCTTGGAACAAAAACGGCCTGTTCTGGCGCAGATACCAGCTCGTCATGTCCGGCGTAAGATCAAGAAACGGGAAAGATGGCAGCATTCGAGTTCGGAAGAAATGAAGCCGTTCATCGGCGTGGTTTGGCGATGGCGCCGGAGTCGATGGAACATACGGCTGAGACAGAAAGATCGCATTTTGGTTCGAGTTCGGCGATACTGTGGTCAATGAGTCCGGCGCGAATGTCTGCCCCTCGTTGAACCCCAGCGTCGAGCTCGCGGGGGTTACCAGACTGCTATTCGAGTACGACGTGGATGATGGGAGGCCGTCGCAGTTGAGCTGTTGCGGCTGTATAACGTTGGCCGATGACGCAGACGACGCCGTGGTACCGATGAATGACTGCATGGCCGATAGCAGGCTCTCCATCTTATCCTCGAGCCTGGCGATGCGTCTATCGGACACCTTGGCTGTCTGTGTACTCTGCGCATTCCGCCTTCGAACCGACTCGGACGGCTCACACCTTTTCTTTAGACGGATACATCTGACAGAATCAGCTGGAAGGTCATCTTTGCACCGGCCGAGAGCATGCTGACCGTTCACAAGTATCACCGCTTGGCGTGCGTACACAGCGGCACTTGGCCTTGTAGCACTGGGTGCACGCCTGCCCATAGCTGCTAGAATGCGCAAGCGCTGATTTCGATCTCTCCATCGTCAGAACTAGCACGACACACTATACCAGGCAGTCCAGACCGCGCAGTTGATGACATATAGAGGTGGACAGGCTTCAGAGATAGTACGTGGGCTTGCTTACTCTCGAGCAAACCGGGGGTTACGGGGAGCGGCCGCCGGAGATAGATGCCTTAGGTAATACGGCCGGAGATGCCGTCGGATTTGGGGCCTCCGAAGTCCGTTCCCAACTGCGTCTGCTGGCGCTGCGGGCGTTTGGCACGATGTAACACGAGGGCGTTTAATGCTGAGGGCCTTGCATCAATACGAGCTCTGCAGGACGCAGCTGGGACAGCATCCATGGATAGCTATCCTATAAAACGGGCAGGGGGCGTGATAACGCAAGCAAGAGACGTCCTGATTAGGATACCGTTGGATGTCGGAAATAAAAACCAGACGAAGTTTAAGTCTGCAGAATTATCAGCTCTCACTATATGCCAGGATCGTACGCAGCGCAATATAGCGCAATATACCGTCGGATCGAGCCGCCGGATGAAGATAGGGTCTAGGCATCCTGACAGGTCATGTATAATGCATTCATTATAGGGAGGTGGTCAGGATACGAACTTAACAGTGGCAATCAAGAATAATACGAGTCTCAGCTGAGCTTGATGGAAAGCTTATGATGAGGTAGTAGGGGTACGCGTTGAATTGTGTATGTTCTTTATTCAGTCTAAGTCTGGTTGTGGAAGTAGAGATCCAAATTTATACAGAACAGAAGAATATCAAGAGTCCAGTCTGACTGGTCATGTTCCATAAACACCCCGCTCAAATGCAGCAACTTCTATTCAGTACCATCCGTCTTGTCTATTCCCCTGAACTTGTAGTTTGAGGGTCTGTAAGTAGTCCCGCGCCAGGCTGTGAGTATCCTGGAGCTCCCCAAGCACCCGAAGCAGGTGCTGGATGTCATCGCCGCCGCCATCCGTAGCAGTCTGTGTGCTGAGAAACGTAGCCGCACACGCAAGAGTATCCGGCAAGAACGGATGAGTCTTGAAAGGGCTCAGGTAGGGCACCGCCTTGGCTAGCCGCACGATCTCGGACGCTGCCTGCGCGGCGCGCTGCTGGTAGGCTGCGGCCAGCACCTGCTGATCGACGGTGCGCCATGAGGCCTGCTGAACTGTAATGCTGAGATGGACGGTGGCGCGGTACGCCAGCATGTGCGTGAAGAGCAGCATGGGATCGCTGTCAACGGCCGGGGAAGGAACAAGCATCTGCACGCGTCTCTCCACGGCCGTGGCTAGCCACCCCTGGCGGATGCAGAAGTCTCTTGTCCCGGCCTCAAACTCCGTTGCGTATAACCGCCGGTGTGTCATGCAACGGCCGTGCAGTGTTGCCATGATGATGCATTCGGCGAAGGGGGACAGCGTACTCGGTCCGGTTTGCGCCATGGCATCTGCGAGAAAGCTGGTGCGGGTGGGCTGGTTGTTCTGAAAGTTCGCCTCGGGCGCAGGGAGGCGTGTAGAAACCTGTATGGGAAGAAGTCTAGTTAGCGAGTTTTGCATTGTGTCCGCATGTAGGAAGACGTGCCATTTCTTCCTGCAGTGTCAAAGGCCACTCGTTTTGCAAGCATAAAAGTCGATCCAAGCAAAACGCCAACCAGAACGTCCGCCGACCCTCTTCCGCGTCGACGAAGCTCTCGCTGGAATCAGTGTTAGTAGATATAGAGGAAGAAGAGGAAGCCACCGGTGAGAGCTGAAGGTCGCCTCCCGGGGCATCAATTTCGCAGAGACGAGCCATCTGGACCAGACGAAAAGCCCGGCCGGCTGTGAGCATGGCCTGGTGGACACCGATCCGCAGAAGCTCGTAGTGGCTTAGGAGCAGCCACGCCTGGATGTGCTCCAGGGGGATCTTGTCCCTAGGTGTAGCTGGCGTTTGGCTGTGCGTATCAAGCAAACTCCGCGCTTCAGAATAGAATTGCTCGCTGAGATGAGACGAGTTGGCAGACATGGCCGCCGCCAGGGCCCGCATGGCTGATTGGAGACATAGTTGAGCCGTCGTGTGATTGTCTTGGGCGAGCGAAGCAAAATAGCGCCGGCGGTGGATAATGGGACAGAAGGCGTGTACTCTGTCAAAGTATAGTTGATCTCTATAGCAAAAGTTAGCATGCTGGAAGCGTATGTAGATCCTGGGGCGCTCGCACAGTTCGGCCCGAATGAGGTCCGTCATTTGTATCTTGGAGCTGGAGTCCACCATAGTAGGTGGGCTGCCGTTTAGGGAATCGAGGCTGAGAGGGTCTGTCAACGTGGATGCCGTCAATTCCGGCAGTATCAGGCTGCTGTTGTTCATATCCTGCCAGTCTAGCCATTCCGGCCAGCCGGGGAGACCAGCCGCAGCAGCCTCAGAGCTGGCTGGTAGTTCCAATTTGTCCAACGCAGCGGGCAAGATCAAAGACGCCTCTGTCGATGTTCCTACGGATGTTGCCGCAACGAGCGACATGTCGTGCTCCGACAGGCCGCTGGCCTGGATATCGAAATCGTCAAGCACCGGAGGAATGCCGGCGGGGAGTTCGGAGTCCGGCTCGAAGACAGGTCCCTGCATCAGCATGGACGAGGCTGGTCGGTGTCTCAGGTATCGATCGAGCTGCCATCGCAGCGTTGCTTTACAAGAAACATGTTGATATTGAGTCTTTTCGAAACATTGAAAACACAAGCAAAAGCAACTAACAAGTCCACCGGCCACATGGCCGACAGGGGATCAAGGACAGGGAGCAGACCCTTGCAGAGAGCCGAATATGCAGTGCAACAAAGGGAATCTGGCACACGCACCTAGCTGGGATTGCATTGAGTTGAGCTGCCCTTTTATCGGGCCTCGCTGCTGTCTCTTCTCCACAATAACGCACTGCATGCCATTCTCTGTACAGAAACCGCACTTGGGTCGTACGCGATCACACCGTGCCTTTCGTCGGCGACACTCCTCACATGCAAAGCCAGGCTGCTGCCGGCCCTTTCTCGCTGCTGGACACGACATGAAAGCGACTGGTGTTGTGGAGGACAGCAAAGATTGGTATACAACTCGTGGATAGCGGGGCAAACTTGGTTCTTTATGGAGCATGTGCAGGCTGGAACAGAAACAACATGATGGGGAACTACGACGAATCATCTCCCCCCGACCAAGCACAATAGATTATGAGGCTCCAGGATTCAGTTCCTTCTGGCTGCCGAGAGTTAGAGGCGGGAGGAGTTGAGCTTCATTAGGCCCTGCAGGACAACAGTAAGCGACGAATTTCCGCCACCCGAAGCACCATATTAACCGTCGATTTTGGCGACCTGTATATTGCGCACTACTGCTTATTCAAGTGGAGTCGGTTGTATGTCCTCATAACAAATTATCCCGATGGAATCCATGCCTTAAACCATGCTGCAGGTATAGACGGAATGCCTTCATTTACTTCTGGGTACAGCAGACTTATATGCAAACGCTTTCTGCAGACACAGAGTACTCCGCCCGAAGACCATGAATGGCGTGACCGGAAAACTGCCTGGTAGTGTTCCGAATGCTCAGGAAGCGCCGTACTTGCATGAGCACTAGCGCTTACGCTTCATTCCGTGAGGATGACTGCGCAGGCAGGGGTATCAACCGTGGAAGATGTAGTGAGCAGCGTTCGTGGCAGATTCTAGATCCTCTTTGGCTGCACCATGAGGACAGACAACGTGGCTGCAAAAGGACTAACGCTGTGTAATGATAAGAGGCTAGGGAAATGACCGAATAAACCCCGATCTGGCTGACATCCATGGCGCACCATGACCGGAGTTCGGTGGTCTGAATGCCGTACCCAAAGTCCGTGCCTATGTCCAGACTGCCACGGAGATGGACCCCCCTGAGCTCCTGCAGCTTTGCATCCTGTACATATAGCTCCGCTCAAGTTCTATATCTTTCGATCAGTTTCAGTGCTTTCCCCCGCTCCAAGTCGTGTCAGCTTACACAATTGCCTCCGTCCAGGTGCAGCTTCCTTCACCTACGCCCTCTCGCCGTTCGCAATGGCTCCCAAGAACCAGGCCGCCTGGATTCCCGCCAAAAAGGTCATCCCTTTCAAGGTTGGCGACGCGCCCTACACGAAGCCGGGTTCTGGCCAGGTGGTCGTCCGGAACACAGCCGTGGCCATCAACCCGTTCGACTGGGTGTTGCAGTATATTGGACCGGCGCTCGCGCGATACATCCAGTACCCCTTCATCTTCGGTACAGATGTTGCCGGCGAAGTCGTCGAGGTCGGCCCCGATGTTGAGCGTTTCCGCGTTGGTGATCGCGTCTGTGGCAGCGCAACGGCCATAGCCAAGGAGGTCAATCGCGCGGCCGAAGGGGGCTTCCAGCTGTACACAGTGATGCGCCAGCACATGTTGACGCCCATTCCCGCACACATCACCGACGAGCAGGCATGTGTCTTGGGTCTGGGGCTGGGAACTGCCGCATACGGCCTCTTCCACCCGGACTATCTGGGCCTGGACTTGCCCAAGATCCCCGCGCCTACTGGCGTTGTCGGCAAGTCTGGCAAGCCGCGCGCCATCATCATCACCGGCGGCGCGTCGAGTGTCGGCAGCAACGCCGTGCAGCTGGCCGTGTCGGCGGGCTACGAAGTGCTGTCCACCTCGTCGCCCAAGAACTTTGAATACGTCAAGAGCCTCGGGGCGAGCCATGTGTTTGACTACCGGAGCAAAACCCTGATCAAGGACCTCCTCGGCGCGCTCAAGGGCCGCGAGCTGGTCGGCGCCTACACCATTGGCGACGGTGCCGTCCAGGCATGCACCGCTGTGATGACGAAACACCCTTCCAACCTCACTCGGAAGTTCATCGCCGTGGCCGGTGCCATCATCCCGGCCGAGAAGCTCACGTCGTTTGTGGGCAAGGGCACGTACTTGATGAGCATGATGGGCGGCATGATCAAGTCCAAGGGGAGGCACATGAGGACCGGAGTTGAGGCCAAATTCATCATGGTCGATGGCCTCGTCGACCCCAAGAGTGTCGTGTCTCGCATCTACAAGGAGTTCCTGCCGCAGGCGCTTGAGAGTGGCCAGTTTGTGCCCGCGCCTCCGCCGCAGGTGGTGGGCAAGGGTTTGGACAAGATCCAAGATGCGTTGGATATCCAGAGGAAGGGAGTCTCGGGAAAGAAGCTTGTCGTGACGCTGTGATGGAATTGATGGACGTCTCAGGGGGGGCCTTGGTTGTAATAGGGTAGGATGAGGTGTTGGTCTTTTGTACCTAGGTAGTTCTGCAATATACCCTAATGCTGCGCTTGATTGATGCCTCTGTACATGTGAGTACGTATGGTAGGTGATACTGTTATGAAGGCGAGATTCTCCGGGTTTAAGAGTGTGTAGAGGAATATACAGTGGATTGTGTTTATCATTATTCCACGGAAAGATATATTCACGTCTGCTTTTTACTTACGCACTGAGGTTTCTCGTCATCCTTCATGGCGTAGTCATGAAAATGAATGAACCATTAAAAAATCTCTAAAATACTAACCCAAGTTCTATCCGAACAGTCCCAATCTGCGAAGTGAACTAACAATAAAATAACACTTGATGGTACTACAGCAATCGACGATGCCGCAAAGCCCCTACCATATCGGCAGACACATTCCAGTGCAGAATAATGCCAGTACCCATCCCCAGAACTGCGTCACAATCCGCAGACCACTGCCTCATTCTTAGATGGCCTCTTTATCGCCGCTCTCGGGCGACTCGCTGGTGATCGCCTGGAGGTCCTTGGTCTTGCGAATGTCCTTCCATCCGAGACCCGGCGAGAAAATGATGACGCAGACACTCACAGCAATACCAAGATACATGACATTGTCAATACTTTTGGCATAAGCAGCAAGGACAGCCGTGAGCTGCGAGCCGGACACCAGGTCACGGATGGAGCGGACGCCCGCACCGACGATGACGTCTGGGGAGTGGCCAATTTCTGAAATGCGCTGTTGGAGCTGGTGACGGAGGCTGTTGCTGAAAATGGCGTTTGCTGCAATCAGAGAGGTAGCAGCTCCGATGTTTTGCCAAAAGATAATAATAGCCATGGCCTGGGGGATCTGCTCGGTAGGCACGAGGTTCTGTATGGCAATGTAGGGCTGGATTGCAACAGGTCAGCGGACGATACTATACGACTCTTTGTTAAGGGTCAAACTTACAGCTGCAGTTGTACAGCCGCTTGCCACACCGTAAAGAATCTGGTATCCGATCCATTTCGCAACTGAAGTTGTAGGGCTGAGGGTCGACAAGAGTCCGTAGCCGACGGCTGATATCGCACCTCCTGCGAGGAGAAAGGGAAGGTAGTAACCCAACATGGAGACTGCAGTATCAAAGACGGTCAGTGAATGTGTAATGAGAAACACCCAGGGCAATATAAATGGAGAAACCTACTTAGAGCGCCCGAGACCATGGTGAACAGAACCAAACCGAGCGTGATGGGAAGCATGTGCACACCGCTCATCAACGGCGAGTCGTCACGGATTGCCTGAAAGTAGATTGCAATGTAGAAATCGGCCACCAGGACACTGGACAGACTGAAGAACATGGTCATTGCGGTCGACCAAATGACTTTGTTTTTGAGCATTGCCAACGGCACCATAGCCTCGTCTCCCCGATAATGCTCCCAGACCAGGAAGACGATCAACGTCACAAATCCGCCAACCAGCAGGCCGATCACGACAGAACTATTCCAAGGGTGCTGGTTCCCGCCAAACTGCAGCCCCAGGAGGAACATGACGACTGCCGGGCAGATGAGCATGAATCCGGGGAGATCCAGAGACTTGATGGCGGTGCCGAGAATCTGCAACGGCGGGTCCTTTGGTTTCGGTTCGGGGATCGTGTTGAAGAGAAGAAAGCCACCGACGATGACGCCCAACGGGAGGTTGATGTAGAAGCCTAAGACGGGATAGTCAGTCTTGGTTTTGGAAGGAAGAGCGAAAACTACATACACCACCGCCAGGACACCCCCGTGGTAAAAGCTCCTCCGATGATGGGTCCCGTCGCCAGGCCCAGCTGGCCCATTCCCATGTTGATTCCCATGAACAGGGCCTGTTTCTGAGTTGGAAGGACGGCAGAGATAGTTGTCACAGCGCCGTTAGCCACGCCGGCAGATCCTACGCCGGCAATCACTCGGCCGACGATGAACATGGGCGACGACTGGGCTGCTCCGCAGATGGCAGAGCCAATCTCGAAGAGAATGAAGAAGACAATAAAGGTCCACTGTATGATTATACCATTAGACCCCTGCTCCGCGTGCGAATGATGCGTTGAATTGGAGAACAAAGCATACCTTTATAGAGAACTGGCTGTAGATCTTGCCAGTCAAAGGCTGGAAGGCAGCACTTCCGAGCTGGTACGCACCACCATACCTGTGCGGGATAATGAGCTTGTTGTAGAGAGACTATTAACCTTAATTACTTACCAGCCGACGTCCACCAGCGAGTCGAACCGCGAGGTAATGGCCGGGGTAGCGGTGGAAAGAACAGCAAGGTCCAGGAAGAATAGGAAATATGCCAGAGTCACGGATGTCAGGATAAGGGTCACTGCCAGCCCCGAAGGATACTCGCTCTTGAGCTCTGCATCGTCGATGGAAGCACTATTATCAGCACCATCCTGCTTCTGCATCGACTCGGACGAGTCTCGAAGTGGTCCATCCATGGCGTAGGATCCCGTCTCAGTCATTGCTAGACGTGAGTTTGGCCGAGAGCTGACGGGCGGTGCCTAGTCTGATAATTGGATAGCTACCGAGTTATGTTCAAATAGAGGAGATTGGCATTCCCTGTGTGATTATAAATGTAGTGCGTCTATCATCCTGACGAGGCCCGGAGTGTAGCAACAGTCCGGAGTCAACCTCCGAATTCCGTACAAAATCCGGTCTCACCTACAGCAGCCAATCTATACGGAAACACTGATGATCGGCTCTCATGATCATAGTGGACAGTAGGCCGGACTCTGATTCCGAATTCCGATGTATGCCCCTGAAGGAAATGAGCTATCGCCTGTACTCGGCTTTAAGGCCATGCGTGTAACTCTCCGTTCATTCCGCTCTGTTTTCCATTATTTGGGTCGTTTTGTCCCGACGTCAGGCGCACAGTCTGGCTCCTTAAGATAATGGAACGTGGTCACGATGCAAGTATAGTCATGACATGGAGGCCATCGTGGCACCATGAGCCACCGTGCTGCCATTGGGAGCCAAGCTTTCGTTCATTTACAGCTTAACCATCACCCAGAATCCCTCTCGACGCCAAGTCTCGGATCTCAGCCGCCACTGCGCTAACATCCTTCCTTCGGATGGGCACCCGATGGTCCCCGTCCCACTGGACCAGTCTCGCACTAGAGCCCAAACAGCAACGCAGGAGGTCCCGGTGCATCTCAAGCCCAGGGTCTTGTAGTCCGTGCACGTGGATGGTTGGCAGCTCCAGCAGTTCAGCCTCTGGCCGTGTGTTGTCGTCGCCAGCACCCATGTCCAATAGCGGGCCTCTTCCAGCAAATAAGACAGCAAAGCGGTACTCGGAAATTGCATTCGTTGCGCCGTATGCGAAGCCAAGACTGGCTTTCTGTCTCTGCTGATGCCGCTGTTGCCTCAACAGCAGACTAGCGGCCACCCTGGCGCCCTGGCTGAACCCCAACAAGCCAACCCATGCTCCTGTTGCTCCTGCGCGGTCGTCAGCGGCCATGGCGGCCGCAATGCACTCGTCAATCTTGTCAACATCGGGATCCTTCACGGCAGGATGTGGCAGCCAAGCGCGGAAGGGACCCCAGTCGCCGTACACTGCGGTCACGTCTGGCCCAGGCCCGGAGGGAAATGGCCCGTCAGCAAACACGAGACGAAACGAGTCGGCCAGATGGGCTCGAATTACCCGACACTGAGTCCTGAAAATACGTGCATTAGTGCCACCGCCGTGGAGGCAAAGGACCCGTGGGAGGGCCGTGGTAGGATCGGTGCGGCCGTCCTGTCTGCCGCTAAACCTTGGTGGAGACATCAGAGATGATAATAGGATTGTTCACACAGGATATAATACGTGGAAATTGGATATCGTGGGTGGCATTTGGGGAGTCCGGCAAGACTGCAATGTACGTGTGGCGCGCACTCAAATAGCCGTCGAGAACATGAAGGATGAGGACGGTTTGACACAGCATCAGCTCGTAGGCAAGTTGTGGGATAAGCATCCGTGTGATGCCTAGGTCACACAATAAGCGTTGACATCCATCCGACGTACTTACTCCGTGTGTATGCCGAGCCCGAGGCGTTCATGCATTCTGGCGGAGATATAAACTCCGGCTCGGAGTCCCTAAACAAGCTGTTGCCAAGGGAGGCTTTGAAGGACGGGTGTGCAGGATGAATGGAAGAAGGCCATTCAACAGACACATTTGATGTCCGTTTCACTATGAAATAACTAGGCGTAGTGCTTCTGCCAAGTCGTGACTTATCTAAGAAAGCACACATAGCCTGATAGAATAGAGCAGCACGAGATCATTCCTCGATACACGATTCAAAACACACACAATGACAGTTGCAGACCGAGCTCCCCTCGATGTCGCCATTATCGGTGGCGGCATCATTGGTATCATGACGGCGCTAGGTCTCTTGCACCGCGGATTTCGAGTGACCGTCTACGAACGTGCAGCATCATGGCCAGAGATTGGGGCTGCATTTGCCTTCACTGGCGTTGCACGACAGTGCATGGAGCGCCTCGACCCGCGCGTGCTCGAGTCCTTGGCTCGAGTTGCCCAGAGAAGCCCTCATGAGAAGGTTCGTTACTGGGACGGGTTCCATCCGAGAACCAAAGAAGCTGCCCAGGAAGAAAGCGCCGTGCTCTTCGAAATTTTGGAGAAGCACATGGCATACTGGGCCTGTATTCGGGGCCATTTCCTGCTCGACATGGCTGCGCAGCTCCCAGACGGTGTGGTGCAGTTTGGCAAACGGCTCGTGGACTATAACGACGATGAAGCGAACGAAAAAGTAGTTTTGTGTTTCGCCGACGGAAGCACCGCCGAGTCGGACGTGGGTGTGTCTCTCCTGCTCGTATATTTGGATTGTGTCAATGGACGCAGTGACGTGCTAATCATGGCTCAAAACAGTGATCGCATGCGATGGAATCCACTCGGCCACCCGTAAGGTGCTCCTGGGCGTAGACCATCCGGCTGCCAACGCAAGCTACTCCCGAAAGTCCATGTACCGTGCTATGGTGCCCATGGCCGACGCAGTCAGTGCACTGGGGACTGAAAAGGCTCATGTTCAAATCGCACATCTCGGGCCGGATGCTCATGTTGTCTCTTTCCCGGTCTGCGAAACCTGACCGCCGATGTTGAGGGAGCCCGCTAACTCCTATTATCAGGTCAACAACGGGCAGGTGTACAACGTATTCCTCTTTCTTCATGACCCGAACGAGTGGGATCACGGCCATACCATGACCGTCCCCAGCTCCCGCAGCGAAGTCATGGATGCGATCCAGGGTTGGGGACCCCATATCAAGGAGATAGTCAGTTGCTTCCCCGAAACCGTCAGCAAGTACGCCATCTTCGACCAGGCGGACAATCCTCTCCCGTACTACGCCTCCGGTCGCGTATGTCTTGCCGGCGATGCGGCCCACGCCAGCAGCCCATTCCATGGCGCCGGTGCTTGCATGGGCGTTGAGGATGCGCTAGTCCTTGCGGAGCTTCTGGGGCTCGTTGACGCCGGTCCTGTGGCTGCAAGACAGCGCAACATCAAGGCAGCCCTGCAGACATACAGCTCTGTGCGGATCGAACGCAGTCAGTGGCTGGTCCAGAGTTCGCGTGACATGGGAGATCTCTACGAGTGGCGCTACCCGCCTACAGGTGAGGATGGCGCCAAGTGCAAGGCCGAGTTCGAGAGGCGTTCAAAGGTCATTTGGGATTTTGACGTGGATGGTATGGTGGCTGGCGCGAAGAAGAAGTATGAGCATTCTATGGAAGCTTAAGCCCAGTATATACAAACTCCACTATGGAACCCAGTATAGCCATGCCTTTTTCCACGACTGTAAGCCATTGTGAGAATTATACAGCAGATACAGTATAATATTGCGCTTGACTGGTAGCCTACTGTTCGCTACACGTTCTAGTACTCGTAGTTCTGTGTCTTCTCCTCTGCACCCTGCACAAAACGGCGTCGATTATTCATAGGAGCTCAGGCGAGTATGCAATGAAAATTGAAGCCTCCTGGACAGATCCTATTGGACACACTGGGTGGTCTGACATGAGGTACCAGGCGGACTTTCGGACTAGCCATACTCCAAGACTCATATCTGGCTAGTCCGAAAGTCCGCCATCTGGATTCAGCCACCTAGGCGTACCGGTTTAGGGCTTATGGCCTGGTAAGATGCAAGCCAAGTGTCGTCGCAATCTCCGCGAGCCCTGGATGCGTAAGGACTAATCAAGGAACAAGAAGGAGTCTGCTCTATCTTCATATTAGCATGCAAAACAGATTCGAATCACTCACCTTTCATTACAACATAACTATACTCATCTTCGTGTTTCTTGGGCCTCACCTTCATCACCTGTTGACGAACATTGTCAATGGTTCTCACAATGACACACACAACCGGCCCGACGAAGGCCTCTGGCGAGTCCACGATTTTTCTTTTCGGTCCTCATGTCGGCACATTCACCAAACAGTCAATGAACAAGCTAGTGCATCCGCTCTCTCAAAGCCCGCAGAGAGACTGGATCCTCGACACAATCGCCGAGCTCCCGGGGTACTGGGATGCCCTGGCGGCCAAGATGCCAGATGTAGCCCGCGACATCGATGGCTCACGGTCTCTAGCTGAACTCGACTCTTGGCTTCGACACGGCTCGGCCAACTTGGGGGAAGATGATTCGAACCTGCCCAGCATAATTGTCGGCCCGCTGGTGGTCTTCATACAACTCACTCAATACTGGCGGCACCTCGAGCTTACAAAAGCCGGGACGCAGGCCACGGATTTGCAGGCAGACCTGGTCGCTATGCACAGCAATCAGACGGGCGACAAAGTCGAGATACTAGGCTTCTGTGCTGGATTGCTGGCTGCTCTCGCCGTCGCCAGTTCCAACAACCGCCAGGAGTTCCAGAAGTACGGTGCTGTCGCGGTGCGACTAGCAATGCTCATCGGGGCCTTGATTGATGCTCAAGAAGTATGGGACAAGGCCTCCGGTAAAGGCAGTTCATCGTCATATGCGGTTGCCTGGCGTGGACCAAAGCAGGAAGAGGACATGACGCGCATTATCGACGACTTGGCAGCCAATGCATACATTGCTGTCCGCTACGATCAGACCCGTGCCACAGTCACGGCGTCGGAGACGATTGCTCCTCTTCTGCTCAAGAGATTCCGTGCCGCTGGCATCACGGTAGCTGAGGTCGGCATTAAGGGCCAGATTCATAGTCCCAACCCGGACCGAAGAGCGCACACCAATGCGCTCGTCGACCTGTGCAATTCCTTGCCAGGCCTCCAGTACGCTGCTGCAGAAAGACTCGCTCTGCAAACCTACGACAACCAAGGCGACGGAAAGCCCCTGTTGCCTGATCGAGGCAGCTTGACCGAGATGGTCTTGCGCTCCATCTTGGTGCAACAATGCCACTGGTACGACACTTTCTCCGCCGTCACGGAACGCCACCAGGATCCCTATGTCGTGACATTTGGCCTGGAGCGCTGTGTCCCACCCACTCTGATGCGCAGCCTGGGCGGCAGACAAGTCTTCTTTGAAGACTTGCCCAAAGATCCCAGCCATCCTTCCAGCTGGATGCCCAATGCTCCCCATGGACCGCAGCAGCAGCTTCAACAGCGACAACTTCCTGTTGAGGTGCATACAAAGCCGGCCTTTGACGTCAGCAATGAGGCCATTGCTATTGTTGGCATGTCGGTCAAGACTGCAGGGGCCGACGACCTCGCTGAATTCGCCGAGATGCTCAAGACGGGTCAGTCACAACACATTCCCATCACCAGGGACCGACTCATGCACGATATGCTGTTCCGCGAGTCTGCTGATAGCGACCCGAAGCGCAAATACTACGGCTGCTTCTTCCGCGACGGTGACGCCTTTGACCACAAGTTCTTCAAGCGTAGCCCCCGTGAGGCAGCCGCGATGGACCCCCAAAGTCGCATTGTTCTGCAGACAGCCTACCAGGCCATTGAGCAGTCTGGCTACTTTGCTGAAGACCACACCGGCTATACGCCGGATGGACGCGACAAGGCGCACGTTGGCGTCTATCTCGGCTCGTGCGGCGTGGACTATGAACACAATATTAGTTGCCACGATCCCAATGCCTTCACAGCCACAGGAGCCCTAAAGAGCTTCATCACAGGCCGAGTCTCACATCTTTTCGGCTGGACCGGCCCGTGTATGACCTTTGATACGGCGTGCTCGTCTTCAGCCGTGGCCATTCATACAGCATGCCGCAATCTTCTGTCCGGCGAGTGCACGGCAGCACTGGCAGGAGGTTCCAATACCGTGACCAATATGAATTGGTTCCAGAACCTCGCTGCTGGCTCTTTTGTGAGCCCGACAGGCCAATGCAAGCCTTTTGATGACGATGCAGATGGATACTGCCGTGCCGAAGGCGCTGCATTTGTTTTCCTTAAAAGGCTGTCGGATGCAGTACGCGACGGCAATCCCATTCTCGCCACCATCGCCAGCAGTGCTGTCTACCAAAACCAGAACTGCACGCCGTTGTTCGTGCCCAATTCGCCCTCTCTCTCGCATCTCTTCAAGGATGTCATGCACCAAGCCAAGATCACTGCCAACGACGTCTCTCTGGTCGAGGCCCATGGTACCGGAACCCCCGTTGGAGACCCGGCAGAGTATGAGAGTATTCGCGTGGCTCTCGGGGGTCCAATTCGCAAGAAGACGCTGCCTATCGGATCCGTCAAGGGCCACATCGGTCACACTGAGGGAGCGTCTGGTGCTATTGCGCTCGTCAAGATCATCATGATGATGCGTGAGGGCTTTATCCCACCACAGGCTAGCTTTAAAAAGATGAACCGCAAGATCCCAGTTAGGGCCGACGACAATATGGAGGTGGTCACAAAGCTGCGGCCGTGGGATGAGCCACACAAGACGGCGCTGCTCAATAACTATGGCGCTTGTGGGTCCAATGCGAGCATGATCATAACTGAGCCAGACAAGGCGCTATCAGGGCCGATCGATGGTTCACGCTACCGAAATACAGGGCAGCGGTATCCCTTCTGGATTCCGGGATTCGACTCCCGGGCGATCACTGCGTACTGCGCCAAGTTGGGCTCGTGGCTGCGGTCATGTCGTCAGGAACCAACCCTGGCCGATGTCTCGTTCAATGTCAACAGGCAGTCCAACCGCAGCTTGACTCAGGGATTCATCTTCAACTGCCGCTCCATGACCGAGCTTCATGAGAAGCTGGAACAGGCGGCTGCGGCAGGCAAGGACGCCGCTGCGAATGCAGGAATTACTCCTGTCAAGGCCGAAAGACCTGTCGTCCTTTGCTTTGGTGGCCAGGTATCGCGCTTTGTCGGGCTAGATCGCAACTTGTTCGAGTCAGTGGCTATCTTGCGGCAGCACCTCGACCATGTCGATGCTGTCGTTACATCCCAAGGTCTGGGGAGCATCTATCCTGAGATATTCGAGAGAGAACCCGTGCGAGATACAGTCAAACTGCAAACCATGTTATTCGCCTTGCAGTACGCCTGCGCAAAAAGCTGGATGGACAGTGGCCTCCAGGGTAAGGTTCAAGCTGTCGTGGGCCATAGCTTCGGAGAAATCACGGCGCTGTGTATTGCCGGCGTCCTCAGTCTAGAGCACACCGTCCAGCTCGTGGCCGCGCGTGCTGCGCTTGTTCGCGACAACTGGGGTGCTGATCCAGGAGCCATGATGGCAATCGAAGCTGATGAGAACCTGGTCAACGAGCTCCTTCTGGAAGCCAACCGTGGATCGGATGGCTCTGCCAGTATCGCGTGCTACAATGGGCCCCGCAGTTTTACAATCGCTGGATCGACTGGTGCCATTGACGCCGTCCAGCAGACCATGGGCTCCAACTCCAAATTTGGATCTATCAAGAGCAAACGCCTGAGTGTTACCAATGCCTTCCACTCGGCCCTTGTCGACAAGATCAGCGATGGCCTGGAGCGCATTGGCAAGACGCTGACCTTCCACCGGCCCATCATCCCGGTAGAACGAGCCACCGAAATGCCCTTTGACATGGACAATCTGGACGGTTCATTTGTGTCCCAGCACATGCGCCAGCCGGTCTACTTCAACCACGCGCTGCAGCGTTTGGTCAAGCGATACCCACAAGCCATCTTCCTCGAAGCGGGTTCCAGCTCGACCATTACCATTATGGCCAGTCGGGCCATTGCTCAAAGCCAAGCATCATCATCAGACGCGCACCATTTCCAGGCTATGTCTATCACCAGTGACACGGCCTTCGACTCGCTGACGGACGCCACCATGGCTCTATGGAAGCAGGGCCTGCGAGTCTCCTTCTGGGCACACCACGCCGTCCAGGCTCGCGACTACGCGCAGCTCCTCCTGCCGCCGTATCAGTTCGACACATCGTCCCGTCACTGGCTCCCAATGAAGTCGCCCTTGGAGGAAGTCAAGAAAGCCGCAGCCGCTATGGTAGCCGCTGGCGGTGATGTTGGGACCGGGCAGCATCAACAAAATGACGCTCTTCAAGACCCCCGGTTGCAGAGTCTGTGGAATTTTGTCGAGTTCCAAGACGGAGACAACAAGAAGCCGCGGTTCCGTATCAATACTGGGTCGGACAAATATAACCGGTTCGTCTTGAGCCACGTAATTGCGCAGACGGCTCCTATCTGTCCCGGCACACTCGAGTGCGACATCGTGATCGAAGCGCTCTTCAGCCTTGAACCGACGTGGAAACAGGAGGGTGTGCAACCAGTAGTTCGCGATATGATCAATCATTCGCCAATCTGCAAAGATCCGTCCCGCACCGTCTACCTCGATCTGACGGCGCTGAACAAAAAGCGCACGCAATGGACCGTCAGGATCTTCAGCGTCGACAGCAACAGCAGTCGCCAAGCATCGGAGACACACGCTGAAGCTAGTGTTGAGATGCGTGCGCCCACAGATGCTGCCCATCTACGCGAGTTCGCCAACTTTGAACGGCTCGTCAGTCACCAACAATGCCTCGACGTACTGCGACTCAACCTTGACGAAGAAGGTGTGGAGGTGCTCCAGGGCCGCAATGTATACCGCGCATTCAACCCGATCGTTGACTACGGGGACGTTTACCGCGGCGTGCGTTACGTCGTGGGCCGTGGCAACGAGTGCGCGGGAAGCGTACAATTGCCCAAGTGCCACCGTGGAGATACCTGGCTTGATGTGCCTCTGAGTGACAGCTTCAGTCAGGTCGGTGGCATCTGGGTGAACCTACTGACGGACCTCCCCCCATCAGACATGTACATTGCAACCGGCTGTGGGCTGTCCATGCGCTCCCCCACGGCGCCGCCTCGTGCTGACACAGACGTCTGGCATGTATATGCGCGTCATTCTCGCCAGGGTGACAAGGCGTTCATGACTGACCTGTTTGTGTTTGATCCGGCAACAGGCCAGCTGGTCGAGCTGATGCTGGGGGTGCAGTATGGAAGGGTAGCAAAGGCATCGATGAGCATGATGCTGGCCCGCATGACAAAGGATGAGTCCGTGCTGCGGACCAAGACACCCTCATCTTCTCACCCTGCTCCCACTGTCAAGTCGGTCCCAATTGAGGCCAGCGTCGCTGTGAAGGCGAGCAGGACAACAAAGAAGAAAGCCAAGGCCAGCAAATCCAAATCCAGTGTGAAGAAAGACAAGGCACCGTCAGGCTGGCGGGACATCACTGATGAGGTGCGCAATCTGGTGGCCACTGTATCAGGAATCGAAGCCAGCGAACTGGAGCTAGATTCCGAAATGGCCGACTTTGGCATTGACTCTTTGATGGGAATGGAATTGGGCAAGGAGGTTGAGACGGCGTTCAAGTGCACGCTGGACCAGAATGAGCAGATGGAAGCCACGACTCTGCGCAAGTTTGTGGCATGCGTGTCCAACGCCCTGTTTGGTCCCAACCAGGGACAGTCGTCCATCGATGAGGACGATGAGGACGACGAACACAGCGAAGACTCTTCGAATGAATCCTCTTCTGCTGCAAGCGACGAAGATGCGTCGTCCGGCTTAGAAAGTCCAGACACAGGAATCCTCACTCCAGAGGACGAGCCATTGCCCTTGAAGGCTGTGGCAATCCACAAGGCAGCTGGGCTTGCTGCCATAGCCCCCCCAGTTGAGAGTCACCTGGCCCTGTCAGCGTCTGATATTCTCGAGTCCTTTGGCGAGGTTAAGATGACCACAGACAGGCTTATGCACGAATATGGTGTCCACAAGACAGAGAAGGTGATGTTGGCCGGTAGCAACCGCCTCTGCGCAGCACTCGTAGTCGAAGCCTTCGACGAGCTGGGCTCGCCGCTCCGCACAGCCGCGGCCGGGCAAGTAATCGATCGTGTTCCGTTCCTTCCACAGCACGGCCGTCTTATGCAGTGGGTGTACGAATTCCTCGAGCGCGACGCCCGTCTGATCGATATCGATGTTACAAGCGGCCAGATCACCCGCACTCATATCGCGCCTCCGCGCAAGACGAGTCACGCAATCTTACAGGAACTGTTGGCTTCCGACCCCGACTTCGCCGTTCCAAACAGGCTTGCCTACTATGCAGGAAAGCAGCTTGCAGGTGTGCTCAGCGGCTCGACTGACGGCATCCGCGTGTTGTTTGGCAGCCCCGAAGGCCGAGAACTGACAGCTGCCATGTACTGCGAGCACACGTTCAACTGCATGAGTTATGCCCAGATGCGCGAAGTGACAAAAATCCTGGCAGATCGTATCCAAAGCAGCAGTGGTAGCTCCGGAGAGACTTTCAAGGTGCTTGAGATGGGGGCTGGCACGGGTGGCACGACGCTCGTCATGGCGCCATTGCTGGCATCTCTTTCCGACATGGGTATGGCAGTGGAGTACACATTTACGGACATTTCGCCATCTATGGTTGCCAACGCGCGCCGCCGATTCAGCAAACTGTACCCATTTATGCGATTTTCCGTGCACGACATCGAAAAGGCACCCGCTGACGAGCTCAAGGGGCAGCATCTTGTCCTGGCCAGCAACGCCATCCACGCCACTCACAACTTGGGAGTCTCCCTATCGAACATCCACCAGGCGCTGCGGCCCGATGGCTTCCTGATGATGCTGGAGATGACGGAAGTTGTCCCTTTCGTTGACCTCGTCTTTGGCCTGCTGGAAGGCTGGTGGCTGTTCGACGATGGACGAAGCCATGCCGTGGTGCCGGCGGAGCACTGGGAGCGCGAATTGCATGCTGCAGGGTTCGGACATGTTGACTGGACTGACGGTAGCCTGCCTGAAAATGCCTTCCAGAAAGTCATCATCGCGCTGGCATCGGGGACGCAGGGTCCGCGTCTGCCCAAGCCAGCCAGCGTGCCTGAGCCCATCCCAGAGCTCAATCCCAAGAGCATAGAGACGCGCACCGCCCACGCGGAGCAGCTCACGGCGACATACTCCAAGGGCTGGGCCACGCCCAAGCTTCGTGCCCTTGATGCCAAAAGTGAGGAGGGTCAGGTGAAGCCCAGCGGCACCTCTCGACTGCGCAAGGTAGACCTCGGCGCCGTCGTCCTAGTGACTGGCGCCACAGGAAGCCTGGGCTCGCATCTCGTACAGAAACTGGCCGATGACCCTAATGTCGCACAGGTGGTGTGTCTCAACCGCCGCAGCAACAGTATGCCCGCCGACAAAAGGCAGCAAGAAGCCTTAGCTACCCGTGGGATTACACTCTCCCCTGGCGGTCGTGCAAAGCTGCGCATCCTGGAGACCGACACCTCCAAGGCGCAACTGGGTCTCCCGCCGCTGGAATATTCGTGGCTCGTCGAGCACGGCACTGACATTGTGCACAACGCCTGGCCCATGAGCGGCACGCGTCCTGTCAGCGCGTTTGAGCCCCAGCTGCAGGCAATGCGCAACTTGCTCGACCTCGCTCGCGACATGGCTTGCCGCGATATCAATCCGCCGAGCCGCGTAGGCTTCCAGTTTGTCTCGTCCATTGGCGTCGTCGGCTTCGTCGGCGAGTCACGCGTGACTGAGCGCCGTGTACCGCTCTCGGCCACTCTTCCCAGCGGCTATGGTGAGGCTAAGTGGGTGTGCGAGCGCATGCTCGATGAGACCCTTCACAAGTATCCCCGTCTCTTCAGGCCCATGGTGGTACGCCCTGGCCAAATCTCGGGCTCCTCTACCAGCGGCTTCTGGAACCCCGTCGAGCATTTTGCCTTCTTGGTCAAGTCAGCACAGGCCTTGCGGGCGTGGCCTGACCTGGACGGTGTCCTACAGTGGATCCCCGTTAACTTTTGCGCGGGTATCATCGTCGACTTGTTGAAGATTGCGTCGCGTGCGGACGACGCCTATCCCGTGTACCATATCGACAACCCCGTGGGCCAACCGTGGAAGGCCATGAATCCCGTGCTGGCCTCTGCGCTCGATATTCCCCCGCATGCCATAATTCCCTTCAAGGACTGGATCTCGAGAGTTCGTCGGTCTCCTTTGCCGCTCGAGACAGAGAATCCAGCTGCTCGTCTGGTCGACTTCCTTGACGACCACTTTGAGCGCATGTCGTGCGGTGGCCTTGTTCTAGATACGAGCAAAGCACTGGAACATTCCCAGACCATGGCTACCGTGGGCCCTGTAAGCTCTGATGTGGCCCGACTTTACGTGGCTTCTTGGAAGAAGATGGGATATCTGCACTCGTGAAATATAGTGATTCATGCTTGATTTACCGATACTGTTCTATCTTTGCTTTACAATTATCATGTAACTGTTGAACCTTGCTATTTTGTGATTTCAGCATTCTCCTTCTTGTGTTTATAGTGGTTAGGGAACCAGAATGACAAGATTGATTAGACCTTCATAGCATCTTTGTCCCAGTATCATTCTTTTACCAGAGTGACCAAATGAAGTTATGGATACCTGCTAATCCCCATAAACCTGGCTTAATTGCCCATTATCATCTTCTACACCTTGCTTGTCTATATGCTGCCTGTAACTTCATCACTGCCTCCGTACTGGTTTCTCGGCCTTTTCTTCGATACAATAATAAGACTGTGACATTACACAAAATTCCCTTGGGATTGCTTAGATTGCTTAATAATTTATGCAATATAATAAAATCATCTCAGTTAGGCTTTAATGCTCCAGCGCATTAGTGCTGCAGTCATACTCAAAAGAGTCGACGAAGCCAAGAATGCTCTTAAGAATGTCCCTGTAATTAATTCTCAGACTATAAGACCCCTGGAGATGAATGGCCCCCATTATTCAACCGGACTAATAACATCTAGTAAGCCCAGGCACGGCGCATCGGACTTTTGCATGGAGGCTGCGGAATAGAAAAGATGACGGGACGCCCCCGGACTTTAAACTCCGCCATGGCAGCATGTTCGCAGAACACAGCCCCCTCGCTAGCATGAAGAGGCAGAAATCGTTCCACCGGGATAGAAGCTGACGCAGGAGGCTCTTTGTTCAAACACCAGGGTACCTGCTTATTAGAAAGCTGCCATTTGCCGCCTGGGACACTGCTAGCATACACATCACCCTATCCGTCTTTCTTATCGGCCACAACATGCTTCGCCAACTATACCAGTCGTTGGCGTTAGTCGCCGCTGTTCATGCCACAGGCATCTTTGCCAATGGCGTTGATATTGAATCTCTATTTGGGCCTTACTTGTCTCCAGGCACTGAGATTGCCGAACCTACTGACGCCGACTTCTCGACTGTCGCTTCCCCGCGATGGTCGGAATGGAAGCCGCCTACCTGGACTGGGGCTATCAAGCCCAAGACTGAGCGAGACCTTCAGAAGATTGTAAGTTGGTTCTGGAGTCGAGCTGTCCGGGACTGCACTGACATGGCTCTACCAAAAGGTCCGAATTGCCGCGGCGCACAACCTCCCCTTTATGGCCACCAATGGCGGCCATGGTACCAGTCTTATCTATGGTACTGTCAAAGGCATTGACGTGAATCTTGAAAACTTCAACAGTGTCAAGATTGATATTGAGAAAAACACCCTGACCGTTGGGGGTGGCACCAAGCTCGGCGATATTACTGAGCCATTGTACAATGCCGGCAAGGCCATTCGTATGTCCCTCTCTTCTGATTCGGTCTTTTCGGTGCTATTGTGGCTTGGATTGACCTTTTTACTTAGCACGCGGCAACAGCCCATGCGTGGGTGTGATTGGTGCCACGATTGGTGGCGGCATCGGTTTCAACACAGGTCTCTTCGGCCTCGGCGTCGACGCACTCGTAGAGGTCCGCTTGGTGACCGCAACAGGCGACATTGTGACAGTCTCGGAGAAGCGCCATCCGGATCTGCTCTGGGCGATCCGCGGTGCAGGAGCCAACTTTGGCATCATCACTGAAGCGACGTTCCGGATGTCGGATCAGCCGAACAACGGCGACGCCGTGATCGGTAGCTTCGTGTATCCGGCAGAGGGCGCCCTGGCCGTGTTCGAAGAGCTCCAATCACTGGATTACGTCCTGCCAGCCGATCTTGGGGTTCAGCTATCCATTGCCTACAACCGCACGATCAACGCTTCCGAGCTGACGGTCGACATGAAGCACTTTGGCCCATGGGACACGTTTGTGCCTCACTGGAACACTGCCGAGCGACTGAAGCCCATCGCCCGCACGATCAAGAACGTTACCCTGGTCGAGCTCTATGCCGGCTTGGACGGGCCCTGCCAGAGCGGCGTCTATGTCAGCGGTGGCACCACCGGGCTTGGTCGCACCGATCCCCAGACGATGAAGGAGGTCATGGATGAAATGACGGCCTTTTATGAGGCCCACCCTGGGTTCCTGGGCCAGACGCTGTTCCAGCGGTACGCCAACAACAACACGCTCAAGACGCCCCTTTCGACTGCGGTGTATCCGTGGAGAGACACCAAGAATTTCTGGCTCCATGAGAACATCTACACCGATCCCGCTCTGGAGCAACCGTCCATCGATCTGCTCCTGTCTCTTCGGAAAAAGCTGCAGGCGACTAGCGGGTTCGATGAGCCTCATATCTATGTCAACTACGCGTTCGGCGATGAGGGCCCGGCAGCCTGGTGGGGGGCAGACAATCTGCCCCGGCTTAGGAGACTGAAGCGGAGATGGGATCCCAAGGGGCTGTTTGGCCGTGGCACGCCGATCTTTTGATGTGGTAGTAGCTTACTCCTTCTGTCGTGGTCGCCAGCATGTCTCTCCCATTGCCTGTGGGGAAGATGAAGCCACTATATAAACTTACAACCGAGATATAACCAAGATATACATATCCACGCTCCGTTGTTCCAACATGCATCAACGTGTAAAATATAGTAGACATCACCTGTCAGTGTGGTATTTGGGTGACTCCGTTGAAGAAGGTGGCAGTGCCTTATCCATTTCACTTGCCCCCATAGGCTGCCTGTGAAGTACGGATATCAATATAGTACTGAAAGGCATGACATATTAATATGCGAACTTGTAGGAAGGGCCCTGATTACCAGTACCAGGACGAGCAGGTACTGATATCATCTGAGCAATTGGGACCTCAGTGATGCGCCAATGGAGACACCACGGCCATAGAATAATTCGCAAAATCTGGCGTCCCGTATGACTGCAGCTTTATCGTGAGTCTTTGCCTAGTGTCGGGGTTGTGTTTGGTTATACTGACTATAACATAATCGCAGTGCCATGGCTTTCGTTGTGTACGTGCTTGACTGCGTGGGATGTTGTTGGCAAGTGAAGAAGAAGTATAACGATCCAATGATAGTCAGGGAGCGTATACTTACAGAACAGGTTCAGAAGCAGACAAAATAGGAACTCAGTTATCTTGCGCTCGCTGCAGGCTCTGCTAGAAATGAAGTACGTATGTCCAACAAGATATAGATCAACTATTCTAAGTTACGTGACATGTATACGTCCTAGCGACTCCTAGTCCTCTAAATCAATAGATATGAAAACCAAATAAATCCAAACAAACGCCCATCTTCCTGTATAACATAAAACACATCAGTCTATGCAGCTATCTCAACGTGCGCACTCTTGGCCACAACGTCAAGTGCCAACGCCGCGAGGGACGCGCTCTGCAGAATGCTAAAGATCGACACGTCACACGCAGCCTGCAAAACCAGCATGTTCCTCAACTCAACCGCCACAAGCGAGTCCACGCCGTACGCCGACGGCGGCTTGGAGAGGTCAATATCGTCGACAGGGACCATAAATATGTCCGCCAACTTGGTGGCAATGGCGTCCCCGACACAACGAGCCGCAGCATCAGACGATTCCGCCGTCCGCAGCTTGGCCGACAGAGGCTCCGAGTCCGAATCACCGCCCGCCTGCTGGGCCTGGGCCCGCGACGCAGCGGGCTTGCGATACCTGAGGGGCATGAAGCGGGCGTCACGACCCATCTGGGAGTCGCTGGCGGGGTCCCAGTGCGAGCCGGGGCCCGAGTTCAGGCCTAGTAGGACTTGAGGCCGGCCGAAGGGGTGCAGGACTGCCGTCGCGAGCGTCTGCAGCACGGATTCCTCCGACAGCCGGAGCGACTGACCGACCTTGCGCAGCCGATCCGACACGGTGCGCGACTCGGCGACGTAGCCGACGTCCTTGATGACGCCCATGTCGAGGGACACGGCTGGCAGTCCGGAGGCGCAGCGCCAGCGCGCGAGGGCGTCCTGGTACGTGCCGCCCGCCGCATAGCTGGCCTGGCTGGCCCAGCCGAGGATGCAGGACAGCGACGACAGCATGACGAAAAAGTCGAGCGACCCGCGCTGCGAGAAGCGTTCGTGCAAGTTCCAGGTGCCCGCTACCTTGGGCCGGATGGCGGCCTGCCAGTCGTCGATGGTCATCTGCTCGAGGATTGAGTCCTGGAGCACCATGGCGCCTTGGATGACGCCGCGCACCGGCGGGAAGTGTAGGTCGTGCTCGCAGATGCGCAGGGCCTTGGCCAGGTCCTCCTTGTCAGACACGTCGCAGCTGATGGCCGCCACGCGACTGCCGGCCTCGCGCAGCTGTGCGACAAATGCGCTGGTGTCCTGCTTTCCGGCACTGCGCGAGAGGAGAATGAGGTTGCGCGCGCCGTGGTCGACCATCCAGTTCGCGAGAGACCGTCCCAGGCCGCCCACGCCTCCCACCAGGAGATAGGACGCATCAGACCGCAGCTTTGGCGTCGCCGGTCGAGGTAGCACCTTGACCTGCTCCTCGGGCTCGGTCGACAATACCAGCTTCCCGAGGTGCTTCCCCGTCTGCAGGAGGCGGAAGGCCTTGTCGACCTGTCCCATAGGGTAGACGGTGACAGGGTGGACGGGCTTGATGATCTTTTGTCCCGCGAGGCGTGCTAGCTCGCTCAGAATACGATGCGCCTCGGGCCCACGCTGGCGCAGAAGCGTCATCATGTCGAGGGAGGTGAAGGATACGGCGCGCGTGAACGTCGCCATTTCCAGCAGGCTGTTCTGCTCGAGGTCTCGCTTGCCGATCTCCACGAAATTGCCAAACGGCGCGAGCACCTCGAAGCTGGCCTGCAGCAACGAGCCGCCGAGCGAGTTGAGCACCGCGTCGACGCCCCGACCTCCAGTGGCCGCCAGGACTGCGGGCGCAAAAGAGGCGTCACGGCTGTTGAAGATGCGCTCGGGAGGGATCCCGTACTCGCGTGTGAGGAGATCGCGCTTCTCCTGCGACCCGACAGTTGCGTATACCTCGGCGCCTAGATAGTCCTGCGCCAGCATAACGGCCGCCTGTCCGACGCCTCCGGCCGCGGCGTGGATGAGGACCGACTGGCCATGCCTGAGACGCGCAACCTGGACCAGAGCCACGTATGCCGTGGTAAAGATCATGGGTATCGAGGCTGCGTCGCTGAAGCTCATGCCCTGAGGCATGTTGATGACGCCATGCCAGGTTATGCGAGGGCGGCTGCTGAACGGGCCAAGGAGTAGGGCCATGACATGGTCACCGACAGCAAAGCCTTGCGCGGCGGCCTCGCTGCCGACACGGGTGATGATCCCAGCGCATTCGAGGCCCATGACGCGCTCGCGAAGCTGGCCCATGGCTACCATGACATCGCGGAAGTTCAGGCCGTATGCGCGCGGCTCGATCTCGACCATGTCGTCGGGCAAGTCCGCGGCGACTCCATCGTCGTCACCGAATGCCAATGTGTCCAGCAGACCGGGGATGCCAACCTCCAGCCGCAGCGGCCGCTTGGGTTGGAAGAGAGGCCCCTCGGGGATCGTCTCGGGAGAAGCCCAGTCTGGTACCTCGGGCTCCAGCAGTGCGTTCCACACCACGTCCTTGTATAGCCTCGGAACTAGGATGAGGCCGTCGCGCACCGCAAACTCACTCTCAATGGGTGCCGGAGCATCCGAGGCGGCGAGACAAGACTTGAGGACCTGTACAATGGCTGCGGTGTCCATTTCAGCTGTTCGAGGATCCAAGTCAAGCGTCAGGAATCGACGTCCGAGATACTCGGTGCGAAGGACGCGAACAAACCCCGATGCCAAAGCAGACTCTGGGTCTGTACACTCGACCGCGCCACCACGGGTGATCCAGAGCAGGCCCTTGCAGCCCAATGCCATGGTTTTTAGGCCCTGTAAGTCGGCGGCGTCGAGGCCAGCCAGTACGGGCTTGTCGAGTTCGCCCACAAACACGCAGAGCTTGCCAGTGTACGTCGCAGCTGTAAGTCCCGGCGACTCAAGGGCCAGAACGTCTGGAAGCACGCGGTTTCCAGCGACCTGGGCTATGGACTTTCGCAAGGTCTCCAGCCAGCCTGACTGAGGGGGCGCCTTATCGCTGGTGACAATGACCACCCGGGACGAGTCTAGCTCGGGGCTCGGGCTGGCCGCCGTCGACAAAATGTTGCTAATGCCGTACAGGTCGCTCTCAGCGTCGACATTGACATCGCGGAGGTCAATTTCCACGCCCGTAAAGCCTGCCCCTTTGAGTACCCGATCCCACATGCCAATAGATAGCGACGGACTCGAATGGCGCTCGGGCTCCTCGCTCAACCACCATCCGGGGAGAAGACCAAAGATGAACTGCAGGTCAATCTGGTCCTGCGTCGTCTCCATGAGCAGCAGCGTTGCGCCGGGCTTCATGAGACTGCGGACGTTGCTCATGGTCCGCGCCATGCTCTTGGTTGCGTGCAGCACTTGGCATGCCACAACGACGTCGTAGCTGGCCAGTTTGAAGCCCTGGGCCTCGGGGCTCTGCTCAATGTCGAGCCGGTCAAACTCCAGGAGGTTGCCCCAGGCCGAGAACTCGGTGCGCGCCGCCTCGAAGAAGCCAGAGGAAATATCTGTAAAATGCCAGCTCTCGCACCGCGGACCGCCGTCCTCGTCGGTGCCCAGCGTCTTGAGGGCGTGTCGCGTGGCGGCTCCTGTTCCCGCTCCGATCTCAAGGACGCGAGCCCGTGGGTTCTTGTGTAAGACGGCGGCGAGCAGCGACTTCAGTTGTCCAAAGGCCGGCTCCAGCCGGTAAGCGTTAGCATAGTACTTGTACAGCAGCCGGTCCTCCATCATGACCTCGAGGGGCGCTCTCTCGCCGCGTAAAATCGGCAAGAGCAACGGTCCCAGGTGGCAGATAAGCTCTCCGTCGACGCTTTGTTTAGCAGCAAGGTCAATGTAGTGCTGGCGGACGGCCGGAGGGTCGCTCGTCCAAGTGTCGCTTTCGGCGCTCCAGCGGCGCGACGCGGCCAGGCTCACCGTGTCTTTCATCCACTTGTAGAATTTGACATGGTGCGAGGCGAGATTGGCTACATCCGTCTCCGTCAGTGCCTCAAGGGCGTCGTGGCTGAAGTAGACGCACACGCGTCTCAGCACGGTCTGCACCTCGATGCTCCGGCTGTCCGTGCCCGCTACTTCATCCCGGAGCGTGTTGAGCCGCTTGTCGATGGCGTCTTGAGCGCCAGGCAGTCCTAGAGAGAGGGCTAGATCGGGACCCCATTCGACGTTGGCACACAGCTCCTTGTTCCACGGCTCCTTGTCCTCGCCCGGTGCGCTGCGGCCCAGAGACTGGCAAACAAGGCCCTGCATCTCGAGCAGGGGCTCGACTTCACTGGTCCCATCTTGATCCAGGACGCTCACGTTAGCCTCGTAGCTCTGCGCGTCATGATGCGGCATCTTCACGTTGCAGGTAAAGACATGGCCGGGCGTGTTGCTGATGCGGTTCGACACCCACAGCTTGCGGATGGACCGTGGCACCCGGGCACTGTCGTCGTTGGAAGGGTCTGCACTGGGCACCGCAGCGTACGAAGAGAGGACGATGGAGTCGAGTGTCGTGGGGTGCAGCACATTCTGAAGATCTCTGCCCTTGTCCTTGGGAGACGACGTGTCGGCGACTTTGATGGTGACGACGCAGCGCGGTTCCTTTGCCCTGCCGTCCTGTAGAATGCTCACCGTGTTCTGGAACATGGGTCCATGGTTGAGGCCCTTTGCTCGCAGACTCGCGAACATGTCTTGCGGGTCGATGCGGCGCGTGTAGCCCGACTCGTCCAGGAAGCTGGCGCTGCTATGGCTAGTTGCGTTGGTTTTGGCTGTGTCAGCCGCCATCTGCACCGTGATAAGTCCTCTGGCGTGCTCTGTCCACTCGCTGTCCGCAGTCACAGACCAAATCTCGAACTGCTTCCAGCCGCGGGCGCCAATCGTCTTGCCATCTACGGGTCGCAGGATCGTCTGCACCTCGACACCATCTGCCGTGTCTGCTATCACCAGGGCCTGGTGGATTTCCACGTCGCGCAGCTTGAAGCCCGCCAGTTCACCAGCGTCCGGGGTGGCACTCGCCATGGCCGTCTGCATCTTGATTGCTTCAATAGCCAGGCACACGAATCCCGCTCCGGGATACAGGATGTTGCCCTGGACGACGTGGTCCCTCAACCAGGGCGCCTCTGACAGCCGTACGATGTGTCTCCAGGAAGCGGCGTCCGGATTGGTCCCCGGAACCAGCACCCCGAGAAGATCGTGGGGCTCCTGGCTGCGCTGGCGGTACGCTTGGTTGCGCCGCGACTCGTTCCAGTGTCTGTTGCTGTGGTTCCACGGGTACGAGGGCATGTCGGTCAGGACTCGTGGCTTAGCCGGCCCTTGAAGACCCCAGGGGAAGTTGATCCTGGTCAAGTTGGCCGGCTGGCCCTTGCCGAGGAGATTGACGGCTGCCGCGAGCATGCAGTCCCGGGCGTCTTCCTTGCGCACCAAGCAGCCCATGTAAGGCAGCGTGATGCCCTCGAACTCGGGCAGCGACAGAATCTCTTTGATGGGACCGCCTAGTGCTGTATGAGGTCCTACCTCGAGGATCACGTCGACGTTGCTGCGCTCCTGTTCGCCATTGCCGCCGACTGTCATGTCCGTGAAAGCCTCAACAAACCGCACGGGCTGCACAAGGCTGCGTACCCAGTGTTCGGGGTCGGCCAGTACTTCGGCGCGAGTGACTCGGCCTCCAGTGACGGGAGAAGAGAAGATGATGCTGTCCAGGCTACCCTTCTCAATAGCATCGGGCAAGGCCTCGTGCAATGCGGCACGGTATGCCCCTGCCCAGGGTTCTCCATCTACCTTGTCGGGCAATGCTTGGCCCTCGTCGCTGTCCTTTTGTGCCAGTGCAGTGCGGAGGGCCTGGCGATACGGCTCAGCAACGGGGTCCATGTGGTGAGAGTGGTATCCGGTGTCGACCTTGAGACGACGGGCGAAGACACCGTCAGCCGTGGCCAGCGCCTCAACTTCTTGTACGGCCGCTTCATCACCGGCGATGGTGATGCTGGAGGGGCTGTTAATGCAAGCCACCACGGCCTTGCCGCTGGTACTCGGGAGCTTGTGCAGGTAGCCTTCAGCAGCCTCTTTCCCGACTCCAACCGCGACCATTGCACCCTTGGGACCGCCATCGGCGCCGCGAAGCGTCTTATCCGCGGCCATGGCGGCACGGTAGTATGCGACGGCCATGGCCTGACGCAGCGTCAGGGCGCCCACCGTGTAAGCGGCGGCGATCTCGCCGGACGAGTGGCTCGTCACGGCGGAGGGTACAATGCCCCATGATCTGAGCAGCCGCACCAGTGCGATTTGCACTGCAACACAGATAGGGATGCTGAGCCCCGTGTCATTGACGCGCGTCGTGGCAGCGTCTCGCATCAACTCCGCAGTGAGAGACCAATCGGCGCCGATGTCGCGGAGATAGCGCTCCGCCTCGTACAGCGATGACCGAAACACGGGATACGGGTCAATGAGCTCGCGCGCCATGGCGTGCCACTGCGCTCCCTGGCCCGTAAACACCATGCCGATCCGGGCTGGCGTGGTCGCGACCTTCACGGGCTTGAACTGCGGGGCGTCCAGGCCCTGGATGACCTGGTCGAGGTTGTCTGAGTACTTCACTGCGTGTGCTGAAACCCACGCGAATCGCGAGCGGTGCTGGGTGAGGGTCCAGGCTAGATTTTGCATGAGTTCGTTGATCTTGTCCGCCGTCATGCCTGGGTCTTGCAGTTTGCGTCTTTCCAGGTACTCCTTTGTGTTGGACACCATGCGCTGGCACGCCTGTTCGTCACGTCCGGAGAAGACAAGCACCTTGCTCTGCGTTTTGACGTCGGCCTTGCTGTCAACTGCGTGGTGAATGCCGTTGGTCAGCTGCTTGCGAGGCAATAATGAAGCCAACGATCCGACACCCTCGACGATGACATGGCTGTTGGTCCCTCCGTAGCCAAAATTGTTGACAGAAGCACGCCAGGGCTGGTCGCTGGCTGCAGGCCACGGCTCGAGCTCCGTGGCCACTTTGAGCCGCCACTCATCCAGCTGCAGCTTCGGGTTGGGCTTCTGGAAGTTGACGCTCGGCGGGATCTGCCCCTTCTCCATAGCCAGCACGACCTTGATGAGGCCCGCCAGCCCCGACGCGGCCTCCGTGTGCCCGATGTTCGTCTTGACGGACCCGATGCGGAGGGGCTCCGAGCGGTCCTGTCCAAACACGGCCGCGATGGACCGCGCTTCGATGGGATCACCCGTCGGCGTGCCGGTGCCGTGGGCCTCGAAGTATTGCGTATCGTGCGGACTAAGACCAGCACGGCGGTAGCATTCGCGGATGAGCGCCTCCTGGGCTGCCTGCGAAGGCGACGTGATGGTCTCCGTCTTTCCGTCCTGGTTCAGGAAGCTCTCACGGATGACGGCGCGCACCGGGTCGCCCGCTTCGACGGCGTCCTTGAGCCGCTTGATGACGATGCTTGCCACGCCTTCGCCACGGCCGTAGCCGTTGGCGCGCGAGTCGAAGGCGTATGACTTGCCGTCGGGCGACAGCATCCCCAACGACGAAAACACCTTGAACATATCCGGGGACAGCATCAGGTTGCACCCGCTCACGATGGACATGTCGGCCTCGCCGGTGCGCAGGCCGAGCACTGCCTGGTGCAAGGCGACGAGGGCGGTCGAACACCCTGTGTCGACCGTCATGCTGGCCCCTTTGAGGTCGAAGAAGTGCGAGATGCGGTTTGACGACATGGCCGAGAGGGTGCCGATGGGGAGGAATCGCGGCAGCCTGTCCTCGTCGCGTATCAGGCCCTCGTGGTAGTCGTGGGTGAAGACGCCGGCATAGACCGACGTATTGGAGCCGGCGATCTGGGCCATGGTAAGGCCGGCTATATCGAGGGTCAGCCGTTGCATCAGATAATGTCACAATGAACATACCATTTTCCAGGGCTTCGTATACGGACTCCAGCTGGAATCGAAACTGGGGATCTAGAGCCTGGAGAGAGGAAGTGATCGAGGTCAGTTAGCTCCCCCATTCTACGTGTTGAACACTTACTGCGGCAGTTTCGGCGGAAAAGTTGAAAAAGGCCGCATCAAACAGGCCTATGTCCTCGTCTATAAAGTGTGCGCCTTTGACATGCGTCTAGCTCAGTCCTGACTGTCAGCGTCCATCCTGCTGTACGGTTGGGCCCGGGCAACCCACCGTGCTGAGCTTCTCACTGTCCGGGTGGTAAACGGCCTTGGGATTGAATCGTGAGGAGGGGACTTCAGACCAGGCGTTTCGTCCTTCGGCCAGCATGTCCCATAGCTTCTCGGGGTTGCTGGCGTCTCCTGCAAACTTGCAGCTGAGCCCGATAATGGCGATGGGCTCGCTTTCCCATTCATTGTGCGTGCTACCCATTGTGTCTTTGGAGGGATCGATGGATTCTATGCCAGTTGATGGATAGAGATGGTATCGGTGGGTAGGAACTATATGTCTTGCATAGCCTGGTGCTGTGGATTGTGTTTTACCCTGAGTTGAACGGTGAATAAGCTCTCTAGTGGCTGATATGGACTGTTCTCTGATAGTAAGGGCTTGAGCTTGTCTTCAGGAAAGCCATGGCTGGAACATAGTAGGTCGAACGATGCTCCGAGGTCCGGATTATGCGAGGCGTATCTGTGAGCCGCATGTCCAGAATGTCCGTAGGCATGTCCAATCACTGCAGGAGCTTTCGCCAACAGCTGTGAAGGGTGTTGAGTATCTGGAGAGGCTGGAGACGAGTCCGTCTTACTCCTATCATGGCTGTCGGACTGGGATGCGTCAAACTCCTGCGAAGTCCGCAACTCCGAAGGATGAAGAAGGAACAACGTGCGGGTTGCCAGGGACTTGGGGCCGATGTGGCGTTGTTAGCGTGAAGGGGATGACTGATCCGGAGTTGGTTCCATTTGGTGTAACATGGGGGATTTAAAATGGTCGAGAAGTTGCTGACTTGTTGCGACGTGGACCTGTTCTTCTCAAGTCAAGCACGGTAGCTTAGCTGTACACAATGCAAAGGTTGTATTCCAGATCCATCTATGATAGGAGTCCGCCTGGGCATTTGTTCTGTGAAGTGTATAGGAGTATATCACTAATTGAGACAGTTCTAGGGCTATATCACGATTATATATATAGTCCATTGTATTCTTCCATTTTGATGCCAAATTCTTGTTTGCAGTGTTTGGCCTCCGTATTTAGTACCTTAAGTACATTTGACATTGTTGTGGTCATCTTTTTTATCATAATACTTCTGATGGACATTCTGTTCAGTTTTCAATCCTCAAGTATAAGACACTTTTATACTTTTATAAGGCATGATAGTCCCTACTAGGAAAATGACATACTATCAACTCACAATTGCCAAAGTAGGCTCAGAGGTTATGCCATTATATATCATCCATGGACTCACGGTCTAATCGAACTCTAACAAGTAACATGTTGATCTCATAGTGTAAGTGATGATCACTTTCAGTCAGGTTGGCTGTTAGATATTACCGTATATTGTATATTGCCTACTGTAGGTAGTAAGTAAAATACTTCTACTCGCTTCAATTGAACAATAACAATCATAATCAATTCTATTAAGACAGACCCTGGCATGATGACGAATACTTTTTTTCTTGGCTGTCACCATCTGGCCTTTTCACCAATCATCGGGGGCCAGGTGGGGCATGCAGGGTCAGAGCTTACGTCAATCATCTGCATGAAACTACCCTGATCGTTCTGTTGTCTTTCTGTTTTTATGTGTTTATCATAAATAATGGCAGTAGTAGTATGTATGTATATTATTCTACATGTAATAATATCATGTAGACCACTCTACAGTATAATATATAGAAATGTGAATCATGGTCCGTCACAAAAATAGATAAGAAATATGGACGGAGACGCTAACCCGAAGCGGCAAGGTGGCGGCCCTGTCGCGTCCGCCCGAAGCGTCTTATCGCTTCCCCGTTTTTCCCTTTTTCCCTCTCTGACTACTGTACTGACTCTACCACTACGTATGCCACCACTATCGACCTCCCCTCTCTCTCTCTCGCTCTCCCTCTCCCCCTCACTCTCGCTTTGATCGTGCTGTCTTCAGCATCGCCATTCGTTTAGTCGCCTTCTTCGCATCCTCATCCAACCCCTCCGCTTCATCCATCCTCCGTGTCCCTCGATCGTGCCTGCTTCCACCCTCCCTCAAGTCTTATCTCTTCCCTCTCCTCCGTTCGCTCATCCCATTCGCCGTCTTGAGGTCATGCTGCTGGGATTCTCTATCTACCTCTAATCTCTAATCCCTTCCGTCTCCCCAATGGGCAAATGTAACCTCCCTCCCGTCTGATCTCCTGATGCCGTGATCATCATCCTGACATCCTCTTCTGCATAGGGCATTATGGAGTCGTCCTGGACGCCGGTTCGTCTGTAAGTCGCCCTCTCAATGTCAACCGACAATGCGCCCGACTGACCACCCCAGGGGACCCGAGTCCACGTCTATCGCTGGCTGAATCACGATGCGGCGCGCAAGACCGCCAATGCGCAAAAGTTGAAGTCGCTGCCAGAAATCAAGACCAAGCCCAGCTGGACCAAAAAGATTCATCCAGGTACGGCATTCACTCCACTATAACCCCACAGACCAACTGGAAAATCCTCTAACTCCTCCCAACTCTCCAGGTGTATCCTCGTTCGCCGATCGTCCGGAAGACGTCGGACCACAGCACCTTGAAGAACTCCTGCAACACGCCCAGGAGATCATCCCCCGCGATGCCATCAAAGATACCCCGATTTTCTTACTGGCCACCGCCGGCATGCGCCTCCTACCCGATGTCCAACGAAACCTCCTCCTAGAGCAGATCTGTTCCTACGCCAGTGCCAATTCCGACTTCCTCCTTCCCGACTGCGGCGTCCACATCCAGGTCATTCCCGGCGTTACAGAAGGCTTGTATGGATGGATCGCGACCAACTATCTCTTGGGAAGCTTCGATGAACCAGAGGCGCATGACCACGGCAAGGGTCACCATACCTACGGCTTCTTGGACATGGGAGGCGCGTCCGCTCAAATCGCCTTCGCCCCCAATGCTACCGAGAGCGAAAAGCACGCCAACGATTTGACCTTGCTGCGCCTGCGAAACCTCGATGGATCCGAACAAGAACATCGCGTCTTTGTGACCTCGTGGCTGGAGTTTGGAGTCCACGAAGCCCGTCGCCGCTACATCGAAGCCTTGCAAGAAGCAAACATGATAGACACGTCCCAAGAGCTCCCTGATCCTTGTCTTCCTGCGGGCCTCAGAACGACCATCGACGGCAAACCGCTGCCAGTTGACGGCGAGGAAGGCGTCGCCCTCGTGGGAACGGGCAAGTTCGATGAATGTTTGAGACAGACGTACCCCCTCCTGGATAAGGATGCTCCCTGTGCCGACGAGCCTTGTCTCTTGCACGGCATCCACGTCCCTGCCATCGATTTCGACGTCAACCACTTTGTCGGCATCAGCGAGTATTGGCATTCGACGCACGATATTTTCGAGCTCGGCGGTCACAAAGTCTCGTACAACTTCAAGACGTACCAGGAGCGCGTGCAGGCTTTCTGTTCGCAGGATTGGGAGGACATCGAAGAGGGCATCCATCTCCACAAATGGGGAAAGAAGTTGGATCAGGAACTGGCCTCGGAGATCTGCTTCAAAGCGTCCTGGATCATCAATGTTCTCCACGATGGAATTGGCGTGCCTCGGGTGAGTTTGGAGGAGGCCGGTTCTGCCCATAATGGGACCAAGGAGCTGCTCTCCCAAGGACGGATCAAGGGGTACATTGACCCCTTCCAAGCGGTCCACAAGATTGACTCGACCGAAGTGAGTTGGACGCTGGGGAAAATGGTCCTCTACGCATCTTCCCAGGTCCCGGTGGAGGTTGACGAAGCCCTGCCGGTGGGGTTTGGGAGCAACGTGGACGGGGTCCCCGCCGATTTCCAGTTCCCTAGCGTGGAGCTGCTACCCCCCACGGAAGGTCTCCATCAGGAGTCGTGGCACGATGCCCTTTTCGAAGGAGGCAGCTCTCGTCGAGTGCCCGGGTTCATCTTATTCCTGTCTATCATTATCATGGCCTTGTTCTTCCTCTGTGGGCGGAACCGTCGCATGCGGATGTACCACAAGATCAATCAACTGTTCCACCGCGGAGGGCCGTCGCATCCGAATCATCCCAAAAAACGCCGATTCCTCGGGGGCAAACTGCCCTTCTTTGGCAGTCGAAGTCCCTCTTATGAACGCGTGTTGGAAGACGGTGTCGGCGAATTCGATATGGGCGGACTCGACTCTGGCCGCAGCTCGTCGGAAGGAGGGCGGTCCTCCGACGCCGACTCGGCGAGTTTCCTGCCCCCCAACCGCACGTCCAGCTGGGGGAGTGGCAATGCACCCAGCCTCAAATATGGCTTAGACAACTCTTCGACGGGGACGATTGGCCTCGGCATCACGGCGGGCTCCGGTGTCAATGCCATGGACCGCACGGGGCTGGTGGTGAGAACCGAAAGTCGCGACCATCTGGCTCCCATCGCGCTGGGCCCAACCACCAACGGCCGCCGCTCGCGAGCCGGCAGTCCAACGCGATCCCACCGGTCGCCGGCGTTGACGCCGCTTTCCCACGACTAATGTGCTTGTACGATGACGCTTTACGTTTAATTCCGCCAATTTTGCATCATCTAGGAGTTTTGGTTGGTCAAGTTCTCTGTCAGTCATCTGGCGCCATGTCTTGGTGCTGGCTGAGTGATACTGTGGGAGCCGGTACATACATTGTTCTGTTCGTTCTTGTGGTTGTTCTTGTAGATGTGTTTACCGACTATACTTTTAATGACACTGGATGTACCATAGACTAAGTAGTATTCTCTCGTTCATCATAATCATCGCAAATTCAGTCTATACTTCGTAGACGCTGGTCACGTGTGCGCTGACTCATCAGCTCACCGCCCGGGCAAAATCCCTGCGATTGCTGGATGCAGCTTCAACCAGCTCAATCCTCCGTCGTGTCTGTTTCTCCTCCGATTTGTCTCGTTTGTTTGCATGATACCCTATAGATCCTGACCGCCGCCATGCGATTGACCGTCGAGCTTATCCAAAATTCCCTATCCTACATCAATCCGCTGAAGGATCGCGAACTAGATCTACGAGGTGCGTTTACACCTGACCTGAAAAGGGCAGATACTACACTGGAAGAGCTTGATTGATATCGGTTGTGTTTGAGTCGTATAGGGCACAAGATTCCGGCTATTGAGAACCTGGGTATTGCAAAGGTAGGCTTATGACAAGAGGTTTCGACGAGCCTCGCACTCACAACCATCAGGACCAAGATGCCATCGACTTCACGGATAACGACATCTCCTCCCTGGGCAACTTCCCCTTCTTCCCGCGCCTCCACACCCTCCTCCTCGCCCGCAACCGGGTCAAGCACATCCAACCCACGCTGGCGTCGTCGGTGCCGAATCTGACGACCCTGGTGCTGACGGCGAACAACATGACCGAGCTGGCGGATTTGGATCCGCTGCGCAGTTTGACGAAATTGACCCATCTGGTTTTGATGGAGAACCCGATCACGAGGAAGGAGGTATGGGAGCGTATCCTTTGAGGGGAGGGCCACGCTGACTAGAGACGCATAGCACTACCGGTACTGGGTGATCTGGCGCCTCCCGACGGTCCGCTTCCTGGACTACCAGAAGGTCAAGGATGCCGAGCGCGAAAAGGCCCGCGAACTGTTCGGCACGGCGGAGGCGCCGTCCGCCCTCGCCTCCAAGATCATCGGCATCAAGTCGCGCACGTTTGACGTCCCGGCTGGCGGCGCTGACCGCGCGCCGGCCGACAAGGCGGTGCGCGTCAAGCTGACGGAGAAGGAGCGCAAGCGCGTGGAGAAGATGATTCGCGAGGCGCGTAGTCTGCAGGAGATTACGAGATTAGAGAAGGAGCTGAATGAGGGGCGGATACCCGGTGGAGCGCTTGGTGAGGATGCGGATGAGATGGAGACGTGAGATGGACCGTTTCGGGTGTTTTTACTGGGGTTCTTTATCGTTGCTGGCTCTGGGTCGGCTGGGATTGTGTTCAGAATACCGAGAAAAGCTGGTTTGGGGTTTTGGTGTTGCGGTTGTCTTTACGGGAATCGAGCATTCTATTCTGAAAATACGAATATAAAGTATGGTCTGAGCACGATATTATGCTCATTGCCTGGGTTATAATCGTTCAGGCTTGCTAGCCAGTTATCTAGATATGTCGACCTGATGAGGGAGGCAGTGTATTAACCATGGGTCGCAAGTCCAACAGAGCTCTCGGGCACTCCGTCGGAGGACGTCTGTAGGGTAGAGTAGACCTATAGGCCAGGATTTTCCGACGGACCTGGTTCTGACAGACTTGAGTCCTCATACTATGCTTGACTCTACTGAAAGGATACATATACTCCATATTGTTGCCCTCTCACTGCAACCTAACTCGAATCGACTACAACTCATTCTATCCACAATGGCACCGACTCGTCGCGCACTTATCGCCATCACCTCGCTCACGCCCCCCTCTATCCGGAGGGCAAAGAGGCCGGTGAGTCCTTTGCGCCTGTCCCGATCATCTCAGGTCTCCATGTTAACAACCGCACCCAGGTCTCTATCACCGAAGCCTGGACCCCTTCGAGGTGTTCCGTCAAGCCGGCTTCAAGGTCGACCTGGTCTCCGAGACAGGGACGTACCAGCCGGACTGGCTCTCGCAGCAGAAGGACTGGCTGAGCGATCAGGACCGCGCCGTGTGGGAGGACCATTCGAGCGAATTCCGCTCCAAGCTCGACAGGCCGCTTTTACCAGTACGGATGGGCGTGTCGTGACAGACGCAAACCCGGTTAGTACTGCAATAAGCAATCCGCACTGATATTCTCCTCTCCTCCATGCGGAATGCCTTTAGTCTGATCCATGATCCTCGTGTACCATTCAATTACTGTAGAAGTAGATGGTGATCTCGCGTGGTGATGGAAGCATCAGATAAGATAACTTATGCACGTGCATAACGTCATCGACTCCAACTCCCATCCTCATTTCCCTTCACCTACACCTACATCATCTACAATCCTCCCAACTACTCTCCGCATCACAGTGGCTTCCAAACGAATCGCCTCCCTCCTCTCCCACCTCCACAACCCACGCAAAATGTCTCCCCCAGCCCCCTGGCGCCCGCTCCTCGACTCCCACCTCTCCCAAAACAGCACCACGACCCTCACCCTGACAACCATCGACCACGACGCCGCCAACCGCCCCGTCCCGCGCGCCCGCACCTGCGAATTCCGCGGCTTCTGGCCCTCCCCATCGCTGCACCCGAGTGCGCTCGACGCCCTGGCCGCCCAATGCGGCGGGCCCAACCCGCCCGCCTACGAGAGCGACATGCTCTCGCTCACCACCGACGTGCGCATGGATAAAGCCGCGCAGCTCGATGCGACGGGCCACGTCGTCGAGGCGGTCTTCTGGCTGAAGGACGTGATGAACCAGTGGCGGATTCGCGGGACGGCGTATGTGCTTGGGGATCCGCGGGGAGGACCGCACGAGGAGGCGGCGCGAGAAGAAGTACAAAAGGGGATGCGGAGGACGACGCAGGGCGAGGACGATGGGTGGACGTGGGAGCGCCAGGTTACGAGCTACTTTGCGAATCATTCGCCGGCTATGAGGGGTTTGTCTATTCCCTGAGTTGTCTGCAAACTGTCTAGGGGTGTGTTACTGATGGGTGTAGGATCTTTTCGCAACCCCCCGCCTGGCCGTCCGCGAGATACGCCCGCCGGACCCGGGCTGGGACTGGGGCAGACGGTGGATGATCTGCATGATCCGGTAGCGCGGGGGAACTTTCGCGTAGTCGTTGTGCGGCCGGAGGAGGTTGAGCGACTGGATTTGTCGGACTTGCAGAACGTGCGGCGGGTGCAGTGGACTTTGCAGGAGGGTCGATGGGAGGAGGTTGAGCTGTGGCCGTAGTGTGTTCCTCTGGTCTATAAAGGCTGATGTTTCTGTAGTCATGATTTTCGAAGCGCACAACTGCTTCGGTTCTGTAGTCTAGCGGTTAGGACCCCGGATTCTGATTCCGGTAGCCCCGGTTCGAATCCGGGCAGGACCTCATTGTTTGTGTTTTTTGCTTCTTTTTGTCACTTTGAGTGATAGAGATGGCGGATGGAGACAATAGGATTAATGGAGGCTTCCTGATGAAAGAAAGAAAGGGGTGAATAGACGGGAGTTGGCGTAGATGGGATAAATATAGATCATTCGTTCATTGACGAAGTATACAACTTTCTCTATACTGGTGTTCATCTTTGTCCAAGCACAATAGACAACAATGAACTATTCACTCAGACAAAACATCCCATCACAAGTGTGAAACGTCTTCAGGCAGACAAGCCTGGATGGAAACACCCGTTTCATCAGATCTATATAAACCTCGCTCTGCTCAACTTCACCATCGACGCCAACAGCAAACACCCAACAAACACTCATACTCTCATATCATCTCTACACCCAATCCACCAGGCCTGTCAGCAAACAAAGCGCAGTGGCATTGTTATGAACACCCTCCGTCTGCTCTTCAGGAGATCCTTTGTGGCCAACATCAACATGGAATCCAGCCCACAGATCCCCGTCTGCAAGAAGTGCGGCGGCCCGCGCGAAGAATCCTGCCCCCCAGACTTGTGTATCCCCTGCTCCCAGGCCGATGCGACTCCAGTTGAGTCTACCGTCTCTGAAGTGGCCGAGAGCGTTTGCGCTGACCCGGCGCCCCCAGCTGCCCACGAGCACCACGATATGCCCCGCAAGGTGAAGTCCGAGGCCGAATGGGAGGAGGAAGAGGCCCGTCTGATCGAAGAGGAGTGGACGCAGAAGGAGCAGGAGTATATGCGCTCCGTGCGTGCGTCCCTGTCGCACGCCGCGGACACCGTGCAAGACTCCCAGGTCGGTTCCGTCGAGCATGCTGCTCGCCTCCTGTATGACTTCGCTAACAGCTGCCTGCAGGAGCAGGTGTCCACCATCCCGACAGCCCCGGCCGACGACCTGCCCGCCCTGAACCGCGGGTTTTCATCGCCTACGCGCTCTCCACGCATCCGCGAGACCCAGGTCCCAGAGTCGCCGGTGTATGCCCCGGAATCGCCATCCTCTCCCGTCCCTGGCCCGCAGCAGCATCCCCATACATCTCGCGGCCGTTCGCCGTACATCCCCCCGATCTCGCAGGTACCCAACTCCCCTCCTGCAGCGCCATCCGCCCAGGCCGCGGCGCCCCGCGCCCAAACAGCAAGGAAAGGTCCGCATGACCCCAGCCTGCGCGGACTGCAAGCGCTCCAAAATCCGCTGCCTGCACCGCCGCGTGCTCGACGATAACGGTTACCCCATTGCTGCTGGTACGTACCCTCTCCCAATCCCTCGTCCCCTTGCCCCCGCAAAGATGCGCCGACTGACAATGCTGCAGCCCCCGCCCCCGCCCTGAAGAAGCGCAAGCGCGCCGATGAGCCTGCCAACCCCGACGTGACCCAGGGCAGAGACGATGATGGTACCGCTGGCCTATCCGCTAAGCGCGTCCTGCGTGTGCGCGGGCCGAGAGAGCCCGCGAACGAGGAGAAGCCCGCTGCCCCGGCCCCGGCTGCGGCCCCCGAGCAGGAGGGTAAGCGCCCGCGCGGCCGGCCGCGCAAGCGCAAGGTTGTTACCTTTGAGGAGGGTGTGGATGGTGCCGAGAGAGAGGCGCCGCCGGCGAAGCGGGGCCGGAAGGCCCAGGACCAGGACCAGGTGCAGGGTGACGGTGACGATGCGGGTGTGGCTGCTATGATGGACAGTGTGGAGGGGGCGTCGGTGCTTGCCATGCACGGGGTGCTGAGTCGCGAGCTGGAGGAGAAGCTGGCGGCTTGTCGGACTTCGCTGCAGGCGACGATTGATGCGATCCATGATGCGAAGGGGATCTTGGATGCGTGGGTGGAGGCGTGGACGAGGAAGAAGTAGTTCGCCGTACGTACCACTAGAGGCATTTTGATTTGGGGCGTTCGTTGTGATTTATGCATAGACAGCATTAATTCTTCTGTGGTTTGCTGATAGTATATTCTTGTCTCTATCTGTATTATACATCTATGCGAGTAGTGGTGCAGCCCCTGGTACCAGTCGCACTTTTACTTTCATTCCATCGACCGGTTTTGCGGTCACTTGCATAGTCTAGCCATGTTAGTATATCACAGCAGCTGCCGGGGGATGCTTACATTGAACACCTCGTTCTCGACTTCGTACTGTCCGTTGGAAGCCACGACGGGCAGTCCCGTACTATCGTGGGTAATCGCGCCCAGGCCAACCTTTTCAAAATCATATCGCCGCACGGTACAAGCGAGGATGACGCGTGCTTCGAGGTTGGCCAGCTCCTGTCCGATGCAATTCCGCGGGCCGCGCTCAAACGGTCTCCACGCGCTGGCCGGGATGCGTCCCGCATCCTCCTTCGCATCGACATTGGTCTGCATGCTGGTATCCGTATCGCCGAGCCAGCGCTCCGGACGAAACTCCGCCGCCGTGGGGCCATAGACTCCCTCGTCGCGCTGAATCACCGTGGAACAGTTATAAATGACCGTCCCGTCCAGACACAGCGAGCCGCCGCCCGGCAGTGCGACGGTGAAGCCAGACCCGTAGGGCAGGTGGCGCGCCGACCCCGACGGCGGGTACAGCCGCAAGGTCTCCTTGATCACCGCGGAGGTGTAGCTCATGCGACGGACGAGGCCCTCGCGCTGGCTGGACAGCAGCATGTCGCGCACGACGGCGGGCGAGCTGTCCGCGCCGAAGATGTCATCCAGCTCGGCGCGGGTGGCGGCCAGCGCGCGCGGCGTGCGACTCAGCTCGTAGAACGCCCACTGCAGCAGAATGCTCGTGGTGTCGTGGCCGGCGAAGAGGAAGCTTTTCAGCTGGTCGCGGGTCTGCGCGACGATGCGGTTGTCGAGGCGGTCGAGGTTTTGCAGGCTGAGCGAGAGCACGCTGCGGGATTTGGCGCCGGCGGCGGACTGCGCCTTGAGCTCGGCGAATTTGGCCCGGATGTGGTCGGAAAGGATGGTGTCGATGCGGCGCGAGAGCCACCAGCGGTGGATGATGGTGCGCGGGTTGAGGGTGAACCACTGGTTGCTGGTGACGGTGCGGAAGTTGAGCGTGAGCTCGCGAAAGCGGCGGACCAGCTCGGTCTGCTTGTCTTGGCCGAGTTGGGCACAGAAGTCTTCGTCCATGGTGACGGCGCCTGTTACTGTTAGATTGGGGCTGTCGATTGGGTGAAGAGGGGGGAGGGGGCACCGATGATGTCGAAGGTGAGGTTCACGCAGGGCTCGTCCAGGGAGAACTCGTTGCGATCGAGGGCGTGCCGGTCGAGGTTCTCCAGGAACCGCCAGGCTTTGTCTAGGATGCAAGGCATGAGACTCATCAGGTGCTGCGGCGCAAACCCGGGGTTGAATCGCTTGCGCAGGCTCCTCCATTGCTCACCCTGCAGCGGCGGTTAGTAGACGCGAACAGCGCCGACACGACAGAACGTACATGGGCTGACAGAATGGAGTTTGGACCAAGCAGTGGCTCTAATGCCTTGATGGTAGGCGACTTGGGCACACTGTAGGGCAGTTCTTTCGTGCTCTTGGAGACCTGCTCGGCGACTTCATGGCTGCAGACGATCACCAGGGGGCGCTGGATAGGGCGCAGGTCCAGCAGGAACAGCGGCGGATTTCCCAAGTGGCGTCTGATTTCTTGCAGCACGATGTCTGGAAGATATCAATCTCAGCTATACGCCGCTCAATGGACTGAACGACTCACCAATGTGTCTGCTGGGATCCGCGGTGGCAATAAACTTATTAAAGGCCTTTAGGTGACCCCAGACCAGCGACGGCTTCAGCTGCGGCCAGGCGGCGAACTGCTGAAAGCGGCTGTGACGGGCTTTTTCGTACAGATAGAAGCCTAGCAGGGGCAGGACTGCGAGGAGGACCATGCGCAGGAACATTTTGAGAAGGTTGCCATGAAAATCCGCCAGGGAAAGGGGGCCTGCAGTCTTAAAGCGTGACGGGCTTGAGAATGTCTTGGGCCTGGACCGTCGGTATGCGAACCCACGCTCGAGCAAGTCGATCAGTCGATAAATCGATAGGGTTAGGGCCGATCTAGCGCGTTCAGATCAAGGCAATTGCTCCTATTATAGATGGGGCCAAAGGCAGGTCTCGGCTAGATCTAGCTGGACGTCATCGGCCATCCGAGCAGTCCGGTACACTCCCAGAGATTCTCCTGCTTCTGCTCATCGTACCTCTCCATACTCGACCTGATCTGCCTTCGTGCCTTGAGTAAACATCACTGTTCGCCATTCGGACTAACCACCAAGCAGGCAAGCGTGTCCCGACTCCTCAGTGGCGAACATTGTCTCCGCAACAGGAATCGCATCAGCGGGATAGCGTGAGGAAGAACATGCAAATTCAACCAGACAAACGGAGCACCGCGTCGGCGTCGTACCTTGTCACCAGCATGAGCCCGGGGTCGAACGCCACGACCGTGCGCTCCGTGCCGTCGTGGGCGCCGATCAACCCGCAGTGTGTGGTTGCATCCGTCCAAAGCCGTTGACTAATTAGTCTAACTAGCTTGGTTGTCGCGTAGCGGTGGCGACTGATGTCCTTGACCCACCAGGTTCTCGATGGTCGTGAAGGTTGCGTCAGGGAGACCGGTTTTCTGCCCTGGGTGGTGCGTGGATGTGCGCGGTCGGGGATTTGCGGTGCACCGGGAGAATAACATTCGATCGCATACGTGATGTCGGGCACGCGCCGGGAAGCTGTAGTGCATTGAGGACAGGGCTGCAATTGGGAAGTGCTCCTCTCATCGAACTTAGTGAGGCTAGAGGGTCTGTATGGAGCAGATGATGAGCAGGTACTAGTGCCCAGTGATGACCAGTGAGGAGGACACTGTAAGACTGTTTAGGAAGGTTATATCCGCCCAGTCGGAGGGGCCATGGCTATCGCTGTGTAGGCATCTGCATATAGACTGTTGGCAATCCAAGGCTCTAAAGAGGATTCTCAGCGGATTCTACAGAATCTTCGCTATGACTTACATATGTATATTATCGCATTGTTCATGAAACAAGACAATGCAGCACTCAATCTCGTCGCAGGTATCTTACATTGAGAGAGGATGTGGTATGATCAACAGGATCAGGTGATTTCTTTTGAGAATCTAAATGAAAGTCGCTTCTTGAGCGCTGGTTGTGGGCGAGGCCTTCGCATGAGACTATGTTCGGCTCAAACAATCTTCAACAAAATACGCCGCATAGACCAAGATGGTCTTCGAGATTGACAGTCGTTCTATGCTAGATATCTCATCCAGTAGGCTTACTACAGTCTTTCACAGTAGTAGGAGTTCGGAGTAAAGGATCTGTCCCCGGCCAGAACGTGCAAATCCTTAAGATCGATATTATAGCCGATAGCGTCGTTTAGGTTACTGTATCTGGATAAGGCGGGTTCTCGGAATAGCATCAATGCCTGTCAAAACCCTATAGCAAGGCTGATATAGTTGGCTTTGTTGTCACGACTTATCTCTCCACCACGATCACCTCACTCAGCGGTCAGCGAGTTGGCTGCAGGAGACATGCAGAAACATGCAAGCCGCAACGTGCAAACCGGTTGACCTTGATCTTCCGCGAGAGAGATTGGCTCGGACAGTCTCCATGGGGACGGCCGCAGTTGACTCACTAGCAGTTAGTCTCGTGTCTGACAGCGGGGGATGGTGCCATCCGTGTCGATCGAACGGTGATCACAGCGGATAGTTACCTGAGAGGAGTAACTACGGAGTAGTTCACTAGTTGGGGGGAAAAGGAGTAATAGGAGTAGTAATAGGAGGATGATGATCGAGACTCCTTATTTCAGTGGTCATTCAAAACCGGAGTACTCCGAGGACTTTCATCAACCATGTCATATAACGAGTTGAAGGAGACAATAATACTCCGTCCGTCTTCAGGCCCTGAGCCAGTCGAACAGGGTTACACCACCAGAACAATCTCCGTGCCGTCCAGCGGGACTAGACAGCAGGTCCTTGACGCGCATCGAGATGGGGATTCGCCCAGACCAGCCAGCCGTTACGTGTCATGACTGTCTTGGGCTAAGGGGCCGTTGAGCTGCATGGGTGGTTTGGTTTCATGGCGGGAGTTTGTTCAGGGGGGGAGTCCCTTGGGCAGATAATAATACTCCGTAATGAGAGTACGTTTGGTAACTCCGCGGTGTCCCCGCAAGTTCATGTTCTGAAACAAGGATACTGTGTAGATAGTGGTGATGGAAGAGAACGAGAAGGGAATGTGTTATGAGAGTGAGTGTGTGTATGAGAGAGAGAGCGTGTGAGAAGTGAGTGTTGTGATTCCCCGATTGAAGCCAGATGCAGTAGTGCCGGCACTAAAGCCGGCTGGAGTAAAGTACTTTTGTGCAGTCCCCGAATACGGGTCCTATACGAGTAAATTATGCCCCCATCGGGCTTCCCTTTCGGGGACGTTAAAGGGAATCCCCCACTTTCTCTCTCTCTCACTACTCTCTCTCACTACTCTCTCTCACTCTCTCTCTCTCATGCCCTCCTCCCGCTCCTTTCTCTCTTTCATTCCCTCTTTCTATCTTCCTCTCTCTCGCTCTCTCTCCCTCCCTTCTACGCTTCCTCTCCATGGACATCTAACCTCCCCCTGTGTCGGATCCATCGGTCAATCTCGACATCCACCAACATGCCCGCCCAGCAGATGGACGCCCTGGGTGCCTTTACCCATCTCTCCGACAACATCCCCCAGTGGATCGCCCGGCTGTCCGAATTGAGCGCCTACACCACCGCCCGACATGCCGAGTATGTCGAAGAGTTCCGCAAGCACTCCCATATGGCCCTGCGCCCGCGCCGGCGGAAGAACAGCTCCGTATGCTCCATCCACACCGACGACCTGAATCTCCCCCCGACCGAGGCGCAGCCGAAATCCAACCCCCGAAAGCGAGGCCCTGACCAGGCGCCCTCTGTCGAGTCCGCCGACCGGCACTCTCTCGTCAGTACCCGGCACAACGTCATCATCCACTACGACGGCCACACCCAGAAGACCCTGGAAGAGATGGTCCGTCACATTGGGATCGCCCGAAACCACCTCCGCCGCGGCAAGATGGCCCAGCTGCCGTTGGTGGGCTTCCGCACCGGGATGTACAGCCGCACCGCGCGCATGCCCAACTGCTCGTCCACCTCCCTGGAGTCCGACAACGCTTCGCCCTCCCCCGACCTGCTGCTGTCCAATATTCGTAGCTCCCGCCAGCGGGGGCCCCCGCCGGCGGCGCCCGCTCCTCCCAAAGATTCGCCCTTTGACGTGGCCGATAAGCACCTCGAGTTGGCGCACAGTCTGTGCGAGACGGCCGCGCACCATTTCCTCCGAGTCGGCGACTGTGCCACCGAGTTGAACGGCGTCGACCAAAAATTCAAGGCCTTGCTGGACCTGGCTCAGAAGGAAGTCGACCGGCTCAAGGCGGAGCGCAAGGAGGAACCCCAGGCCGACGAGGCGGAACCCCAACCCGAACCGACCAAGAAACCGGCGCCGGACAATGCCCAGCCCTCTACCGCGGAGCAATCCGACGCAATCGAGGTGGACGAAGAAGACGACGGGTCGGTCGAATCTCTGGATTTGACGGTCTTCCGGGCCAACCGGCGACGAGCCTACGGCTGACGACCTCTTTTCTTTGTGATGTGATTTCTATTTTGTCTTGCAGCAAGACGTCATGTGTGGTTTTCTTAGCGACGATACCAGACCACTCCATTCATTTCTTTCCTACTGTCCTCCGCATCTGACTTCCCACCGTTCCTTATGACTGCGTGGCATTTTGTTTATCGCGAGCGTGGCGTTGGATGGTGTTTGTTTTCCCTCATTCGTTCCGCCTCGCCTATCCGAGAGTGTTGATCTAGGCCGTATATATCAATCTATGTTTGGGTTTTGACTACCTAGGTAATGAGCAGAGTAACATACAAGTACAGAATACATCCCTACGATCTATTATTGGTGGAGTCGGGCACCACCCGCGGGTGGAGCTTCATTTCTGGGCGCTTCCTTCGGGCATCCTCGGGCGTCCTTCGGCGCTGTTTCATAGGCTAGCCACCGCCCACCGGCCCCCGCGGGACTCCTTCCGCATGCCGCGTATCGTATGCAGTACAGAGTAAAGGGGCAGGCATTCCTCCTATGTACCTTTGTACAGTTCCACCCTTCAGCTGCACCACAATCATACTATACATACATCTCTAACTATATCACGCAAGTTCATGTCCTTACAGTAGGACACCAATCTATGCATCTGTAGACCCATGTTGTAGACTCCTATCAATAGTTAGGAGGCTGACCTCACAGAACACCCCAACACCGAAAAACCCCGTGCTGAATGTGATCTATCACCTTTGCATCCATCCTTCTACATCACTACCCTGGAAAGCAGAATACTCCGCTGTCGTTCTACGGTTCTATGCGTCCGATGGAAAGATCGATCGATCGGCTCTCGATCATAGCCGTGCGTGTCTCCATTCCCCCACGTACGACACGGTACTTGCAGCCGAATAATATATATAGTTTATGTGCGAACGGACGTGAACCAAACCCACTAGACATGTAAGGTCCCTTGCGCCATGCCGTTACTACTCACATAGCCGACCTACATAGGTATGTTACTGGAAAAAGTCTGGGAGCGTAACTAGGCCGTATCATCATTCTGAACTACCCATTATCCTAACATTCCCGTGGTATCTTCCTAGCGCCATGCTAAACCCACAAGCCCAAACACCCTTCAAAACCGGACAGGCTACTGACGTTCCTTATCCAGCATCCCCGGATCCAGCTCCCGCGTCAGCGAGTACACCGACAGATCCGAGAAACTCTGGTGCGTCGGCGCCGGCAGACCAGCCCGCTTGGGCGACACCGAACCCGCGGCATTCCCTCCCAGCGGCACAGCGGACGGCGGAGCCACCGGCGCCAGAAGGTCGCGGATCTGGCCCGGGTACAGACCGAGGTCAAAGTCGCTCCGCCAGAGCCGGCTGGACGCGTCAAAGGCCTGGTCGATGGTTGGCCGGCGGAGACGCTCGTATTCGTCGAAGACGGCGGTGAGGGGCTCATTGGATACGTGGTGGGCGAGCAGCTGCGAGAAGAGCAGCGCGTCTTCGATGGCGTACGCGGCGGACTCGTCGCGCGGAGGCATCTGCTCGGTCGTTAGTCTGCGTTTTCCTTGATGGTTTAAGGTGATTAGGGAGGAAACGTACCGCGTGCGCTGCGTCCCCGAGCAGGAGAATCCGATCGGTATGCCAGGCCCCCGACTGGCGCACCTGATAGACCGGATACAGCCCCCAGTCTTCGATCTTGTCGATGATTTCATGCACGTAGGTGAGAGGCGTCTGGCCAAAGTGCGTGCGCACCAGATATCGAATCGACATGGACATGGAGTCCGCGGATGCGGCGGCGCCCGCCGCCTGGTGACGCTCGACGAGGTGCTCATTGACGCGGGTGATGGCGGCCACAAAAATGGACTCATGGTCGTGGTCGCAGAAGCTGGTGAGGAAGGTGCTGTTGCGGGCGAGGTGCACGGCGGTCTGGGCAAAGGGCAGGTCGGCCTTGAGCTGGCGGGCGTCGATCACGCTCTGGATGAAGGAGATGCCGGTGTAGCGGGAGGTATTGCCAGGGTCGACGATGCGCGTGCGGGTGGCCGAATGCACGCCGTCGCAGCCGAGAACCAGATCGCCAGTCGCGATGGCGCCGTCTTCAAAGTGAAGGGTGACGGGGCCGCTGGCGGTGGTGGTGCCGCTGACGAGCTTCTTGTTGTAGTGGACGGCGATGTTGGGCCGGGTGCGTGCGACGGTCAGCATAGCCTGTGACAGGGCACGGCGCAACACCCGTCGGCCTTTGTATCCGCCGTAGCCCTGGCCCTTTTCATCGGTGAAGCGCAGAGGACCGAGGGACTGGCCCGACCGAAGGGCGACGAGGTCGATGGCGTCTACTTCAATCCCGGCGTGGGATCCCATCGCGTTGAGGGCAGCAAGCACCCCCAAGGCGTCGAGACCTTGTTGCGCCGCGGGCGTCAGACTGATGGCTCCCCCGGATGTGGTCTCTTCGGAAGCGCCTTCATACACGGCGATCTGGACGTCCGAACCGGCGGATTCTAGATCTTTGGAGAGGGCGATGGCACTGGCGAGGCCGGCGATGCCCGCACCCACGATGAGGATGTGGCGCGACATCGCAGAGTGGGGTGTTGATGCTGTTGATGAGAGGAGTGAAATGGAGGGAGGAGAGGATGAAGAGAGATGAAGAGATAAAGAGGTGAAGCGATAACGGACGCAGAGAAAGAAGGAAACAGGAAACAGGAAAAGACAGCCGGTTGGACGGAATTTTGGCATAATTTTTGGCGTTTTGTGGGTCCTGTCAGGGGTTCCCGCGCACCCGCTCGCCAATCATGGTCTGCAACCTGGAGTCGTGAAGTCATGAATTCGGCTGCTGATTGGAGGAGAGCCGATTAAGCTCGTCTACCCCGCGCGTCTAGACTTTTGTCTTTTTGATAAGTTTATTTTATTTTCATCAAGAAGGATAAAAAGCTTCATATTCCTTATGCAGTACTATCGGCCTCCGAATTCCAGGAGACATCATTCCTTAACCAAGCCGGTAATCACAACCAAACGCCTTTAAATCTCAAGAAACGCCAAAATATCTGCACGATTGCCCAACCCCCTAGGGAACATCACTGCTTCCGGCTTTGAATAGTAAACCCTCCCGATTCTAGGTGCGTCACATCGGCAAACATCTCGATGAGCCGGAAGATATCGTCCCGTCGCGCTAGAATATCTTCGCCCATGGTCTTGTTGATCCCCCGCGTCTTTTCCGTCTGAAGTCGGTGCATATAGTCGTCAATGGTCTCCCCTGCAATCAGCTTGACCACTTCGACCGTGTTCTTCTGTCCGATTCGGAGGAGACGGCAGAATGCCTGATGATGGTCAGTAGTGGACTTCAGAAAGAGTCGACCATGTTCCGTTAGCTCCCTACCTGTTGCTGAATGCCTTCGTTCCACCACAGGTCAACAATGATGCACTTGCTCGCCATCGACATGTCAAGCCCGACTCCACCAGCTTTCAGACTGGCGATGAGCACCTGGACGTTCTCATTCTCTCGGAATTCTGTCAAGCTCTCCTCACGAGCCGCAACACTCATGGTACCAGTCAACTGTCGGTAGTCAGTAAGAGAACTAGAGTCCCGCGCATGCAAGTGGTCCGCAAAGTGATCGATAACTTACGCGGGCAAACCGCCATTTCTTCTCCCGACAGATACCCGCCAGAATGTCTATGAATCTCAAAAACTGGGTGAATATCACCACTTTGACCTTGGAATCCTCCTGCATCCACCCCGAAACGATTTGGGTGATTTTGCTTAATTTAGCACTCGGCATCTTGCAACCGCAAGCTTGGACCCAATCTTTTTCGTTGTCTTCATCTTCGTGTTTGTCACTTTCTGCGCCCTCTGCATTGGCCGGACTATTGGCCTCCTTCCTCATCTTCTTGGATTTCGATCTCTTTGGGCTCTTCAGGATGTCCTCGTTGATCGATATAACAGCTTCCGAGGGCATGTTCTCGAGGGTGCCCAGCAGTGCGGTAGCACCGATGACGTCCCTGCATTTTTTCTGACACACCCTTTTCATTGCGCCATCAACCTCCTTCTCCTCCAGCATGTGAAAGCACTCGGAACAGTACATGTGCTTGCAGTCGGTGAGCACGGGGCTCTCAGGGAGCAACGTACAATTGGCACATTGAGTCCTCTCCAGTCGCTCTTCCCACTGTTCCCTCTCATGCAGCTCGGCCATGAATGCATGAAAACTCCTGGTTAACTCGTCTTTGTTTCCTTGGTGCTCGTCGGACGACTCTTCGGGTGCTTCCTGCTGTGGAGGACCCGCGGGAAGGACGGCATTTTTGCTCAATGCGGTCAGCCACAGTGTAATTTTCTTAGAAGGCCAATCGCTGGCGGTCTCCCCTCTGGCAATTCCACTCAGCTGATTCAATAAATTCGGTGTCAGCACCTTCTTGACAATAGTCTGTGCTGTTAGGGTATGGCTGGAAAACATGCGCAGGAACAAGATCATTGTTAAAAAGCACCGATACTGCGCCACTTTTGCGTCTTGGGCCGTGCACATTCCTGCTACAGCGTCAGTCATGTCATATAATACTGGATGTGTCAGGGTGGTAAATCATCTCCGCACCGTTGATGTTATCGATAAACACATCCTTGATAGCATCGTAAAGCTTTCGTTCTGCGGCGCACAATTCCACTTTAACAACGCGTTCGTTGATATCAGGCAGGCTGATAATGGGCAAGGAAAAGAGCCGACTAGCATGGGTTCGCCGAAACATGAAAGATCGTAGTAAGTTGACCAAGCGTTTCTGAGACTCTTCGCCCTGACAAGACATTAGCCTTATCCATCTAGCAGCAGGGAAGTGATCCAACATCGCAGTATTCCTTGGAAAATCTATCGTAGGTGCCAATATAGGGGACGTCCAAAAAATCGAACTGCGCATAGAATTCCTCGGGGTAACTATTTGATGGTTAGTACTGACTTTATGGAAAGAAGCAAGTACTTACTTCAACACAGGAGTCCCAGACAAGATCCATTTGTACTTCGCCGTGAGAGCCCGTACAGCAATGGACACAGAAGCTGTGTGGTTCCTGATAGTGTGCCCCTCTGTTGCGATTCTATTAGCATAGCGTCAGTAGTAAAGGGGGATTTCTCCCACCGTCGAGGATGATTCTCAGAAACTTGATCCGATGAAGTGGACCAAGCTCGTTTTCAAAAAGCTCATCCCACAATTGGGCAATTTGTTCTGGATCAGTAGTGGCTTTGGGGATTTTTATTCTCGGATAGGATCTTCGAACTTCCTCATATGTTGTGATTCTAAATCAAAATTAGTAACTAATACCTGCTCGCTTCCAGGAGAATTTAAGACATACATCACCCCCATATCTTGAAGGATCTGGGCTGTTTCAGCTGCTGTAGTCGACATAAGTCTCGACTTTGCATGATATTGAGCAATTCTTCCTATAGCACCCATGTCGCAATGCTTTGTTATTTGGGTCACCCTGTTTGAGTCAGAACTTGAATCTAAACTCCCCTTTGTACCAGGTATACCAACCAGTGTGTAACGAGATGCGAAGGTACAACTATCAGCGTTGTCTTGACCGGGTCATTTTCGTCCGTTTGACGACCGTCGACTATATTGGCTACAACAAGTCAGTTGCATATTATCAAGAAGGCAGGTATAATGGCAAAGCCGTACCTAATGCTTGGATTGTTTTCCCAAAGCCCATCATATCACACAACAGACCTCCACGCGGCTCATGGTTGGTGTTCTCTCGATCACGCTGTCTTTATTAGTATGATCCTCCATCTCCAAATGGCTTGATTCTCACCATGAAAGCCGCTCCAAGAAGCTATATGTACCCTGGTTAGCCAGTATCAAATAATCCATTGCGTAAAGCGTGACGAACCTGATAATGATACAAGCTTGTTTTCAAGCCTTTTATCTTCCAACCCCCATTCCCGTCACTTCTAGCACTCCTGGTGAACTTCCTGGTTGCTTCCAAGATCTTCTTCTTGTCTGACTTTGCATCGTTCTGGTCCTCCGCGGGGATACTGGCAATCAATTCTGTAAGTGCCTTATTCTTGTCCATCTTCGTAAAACCGGGACAGGCTTGCATGTTAGAGCTGACATGCGCTTCCTCGACCACATCGGAGAAGACCATGTCATTCAATTTCAAATTCGGATTTGCCGCTTCCTCCTTCTGCTGCTTCTTGCTGGGCCCTCCCTTGGCATCATTCGTCTCCCGCTTCTTACCTCTGCCTCTGCCTTTTTGTTTCTCCTTTCCAAGGACAACATCCAAGCCAAGGTTTTTGCTCCTGCGGCGCTCGGCGGCGGTAATCCGGTTCTGTAACTTAGCCTTTGGCTTCTCGGGCTTTTTGCTCTCTGGTTGTTCGCTGGGTTTATGCGGCTCGTCTTGCAGCGGGTTTTGACCTTCTGCCGCAGAACCTGCCGGATTCGGCTCACAGAACAGAGCGTCTTGCCCTTGCCCTTTCTCTTTCTCTTTCTCCTCAAGAGCCATGCGGCTCGCCACCCTCTTCTTGCGGGCTTCTTCCTTCTGCTTTTCGCGCTCAAAGCGGATCTGATCCGCCATTGTAGGCTGGAGGATGCAGTCAAAATTGAACTTGATATCGGCAAACCTAGGACCGTCAGTCGCGCTCGTTCGCAGCGGGGCAAGATACATACCGTTGTTCATCATCTTCCTTGTCCATGGGGATCTCATCCGGCCACTGGGACGGGTCGTTATCGTCGATCTCGGTCTTCTCTGCGGGTATCAGAATGCTAGCGGCCGCCTGCGAGCCACCCCACTGCAAGAAATTGCTATCAGGGTCGGTATCGCCGCCGGTAGGATCTGCCGGTGCAGCGGAGGCGGACTCGCCGGTGGCAGGGGTGGATGGTTGCGCGGCGTCGATGGTCGGCGCTGCGGCGGGTTGGTTGCCGCTGGCTGCCTGGAAGGCAAGGCGAGAGCGTGCCAGGGCCTCCTTTGCATTGCAGGCCTTCCGGCGGGCGTCGATGCTCTGTAGGAGGTTCTCGTCTATCTCCATAGACTCGTCGGACGAGGGGTTAGCCATGGCGGCTTCTGAGTCGGTGTAAGGAGGAAGTGAGGAGATGGCTGTGTGGATTGGGGGTGGAGGAGGGAGGGTAGATGGGATGGGGTGTAGTTGGTGCGGGGTGAAGGGGTGCAGGGACGGTGAGAGAGGTGCAGAGGAGAGGGTTGTAGTAAGGTGAGGATGGATGTTGGGAGAGGTGTGATGAAGAGGAAGATTCCGAGGGGGAGTAGTGGGAAGTAGATGGTTCAGCTGGTTGTAGGGTAAGTAGAGGAGAAGGTCAAGAGGATAGGGAGGAAGAGGCAGGGAAGCAGAGGGTCGTGCGTATGCAGAGGAGGAGAGGAGAGGAGGAGGATAGCGGAGAGGAAATCAGGAAGTGTAGTTGTATGAGGTGAGTTAGGGAGTTGATGGTGGTGAGGATGAGGAGGATAGCGAGGTGAGGTAGAGGAGAGTCGGATTAGCGGTGATTCAGAGGAAATAGTTGGATGAGGAGATCAAGAGGATGAATGGAATATGAGAAGTGAGATCTAGTGAGAGTATGCGAAGTTGTAGGTGAGGATGTAGGTGAAGCTATACAGAACGGTCAACACAAGGGTACACTCAGCGGTGTTTGGATGCCGAACACCGACTCGGCAATGAGACGGGATCAGTGAAATGCTTCTGATATCACATGAAGGGAAATCAGTCGTGATACATGAGTACGCCTACAGGAACTCTCTACCAACTGCCGACAACATCCATAGGCACATGCGTCATGGCATAACTCATTAATTGTATTATCTCAATCACCAAGGTATATGCTAGATCTATCGTTTCGATTTCCGTTCATTCGGGTCCGGCAGGACGATATCATCCGCGGCACAGTTGGGATGCATCACGTAGACCGTCTTCGGGGCGGAGTCGCCCTGTTCCTCCGGATCGACAAGACCCTCGCCACGAATCGGCATCAGGATGTTATCCTTCACCATTCGCTTCAGGACCTTTCCGGCCAACGAACGCTCGCGCTGGAAGTCCTCCTCGCTGTCCAGCTCCGACTCGATCTGTTCCAGATACCACACGATGAGATCCTCCTGCTCGACACCTTCTCCCGACTGGGACTCGTCCTCGTTGACCCGCTGCACAACTAGATTGAGGATCTTCATGTATTTGTCAAAGGTGATCTTCGTCCGAGGCCGTTGGGGAGCCGGTTCCTCTGCCCCCTCGGCCATAGGGCTGTCCCCTTCACGGTCACGGTCACCCATCTCGTGATCTTCGTCGTGGGCATGGCCGCCAAATTCCCCATCGTCCACCTCCACATCATCCTTTTCAACCGTGACAATGCTTTGACGCAGCAGGTCGTATGCCTCCTGCACAAAGTCCGGCGTAATCTCCTCCACGCAGTTGGCCTTTGCGACGGCCTCCGACAGACGGATCAGGGACTCGAGCTGGCGGACAGTGATGCGGTAGGACGACCGACCCGCGCCGCCTTGCGAGTCGTTCGAACGGAGCTCCTTGTATTTCTCAACCAGGAGGGCCTTAGCCTCCTCCGAGAAGACTGGTTTGAATGTGCGGGCGAAGCGAATATACCGCTGGAGTTGTTCGGTGCTCAGATCCGGCTGGACGGCTTCATCGCGGTTCATGTGCACGTTGACAATGTGGTCGGCGAGGTTGCGGTCCACCGATTCATTGGGTTCATCCCGAATCACGAAGAACAGATCGAATCTGCTCATGATAGGAGCACTGAAGTTGAGGTTGGAGCGAAGAGAGACCTTGGGGTTGTAGCGTCCACCGATAGGGTTGGCGGCCGCAAGGATAGAGGCGCGCGCGTTAAGAGTAGTGTGGATGCCTGCCTTGGCGATGGAAATCGTCTGCTGCTCCATAGCTTCGTGAATGGCAACTTGATCACTGATATCCATCTTATCGAACTCATCAATAGCACAGATACCGCCTCCGTTCTAGAGTCGATAGTTAGCAATCCAAATCCAAAGGAATTAGAGTTCGACCACACATACTGCAAGCATCAGGGCACCAGCTTCGATGGTAAATTCGCCAGTCTCCGCATCCTTCACTACCGAAGCCGTCAAACCAGCGGCCGACGAGGCCTTACCACTGGTGTAGACTGCCCGAGGATGCAAAGAGCAAATGTACCTAGAGACGTCAATACTGGGCAAGGCCACGGCTTGCGAGGAACTTACTTCAAGAACTGGCTCTTACTCGTCGACGGATCACCGACGATGCAAATGTTGATGTCACCACGAAGTTGCATGCTCTCCTGTTCCGTTGTCTTGGGAACTCCTCCAATGAGTTGGAGCAGCAGACCCTTTTTGATCTGGCGATGTCCATAAATCATGGGAGCGATTGAATCCACCAACCGAGAATAGATGTAATCGGAATGCACCAGATCCTTCAAATCGTCGACTTCATGAGGCGTCAAGATTTGAAGAAGGGCCTCTTGGGCGTTGTCATCACTGTTCTCGGCGTCCTGGTCTTGGTTGGCGATGGTCAGGCCGTTGATGGATGGTTCAGTCACTTGTTTGGGGCGCTGGCCCGGAGTCGAAGTATCCGTAGTGACCATGCACGCAAGGAAGGCAAGTCGGTACCCCAGGTCCCGAACACCCAGAGCCTTGAGACCCGAAACGCCGCCTCCTCCCACGTCCCCGCCACGGAATCCACTATCGTCGCGGATGGCTTGGGGTCGCACACCCGGAAGCCCGAGTTGGCTGACATCGGGAATCACAATCAGACTACCCGTGAAGATACAACGCTCACCAGCTCTGGCACGGTCGACCATTTCCCCACGCAAGATGATATCCATCGTACGGGGCATGCTACCGGTGGGAATCTCATGAGAAGACTCCTGCAGCTTCACTTTCTGCCAGTCCACGAAAGTACTCTTTCCAATGTCCAGGCGCCATCCGACCCGGTTGCCGCATAACTCATTGGGACACCGAGAGGGCTCGGTATATTTGAAGGTCTGTTCGACATCGGGGCATTCCGTCCGGCACGCTTCACAGATGAACGAGCCGAGCGACAACTCGGGGCGAATTTCGGAGGTCCGGGTGACCGTGCCGGAGACCGACAGCAGCTTTCCGATCTGGGCGGTGCGCAGTTGACGCAAGCGGGACACTAACGGCAGATTGTAAAACGCGAGAGAAAATAACTTGTCCGTCTGTTGGTTACGAGTCTTCCTCCGAGGATCCTTCTCGGTTTCGCCATTATCCTGTGCGGTTTGGGTTTGGCTGGAGGCGGCGCCCATTATCGACGTGCCAGCCTCGGACTGGGGATGATCGATTCGGCGGTGAGAATTATAATAGGCCGGGACGACTTTGGCGATCAGGTCGTGGAGTGCTCTTGTGAGAAAGGGGTGGAAACGGTAATATTGGTTGACAATCGCGTCGGCCAAGATGCCATTATCGTAGGAGGCTAGGTGGTTGAAATTGACATAGAGGGTCGACACATTGAACCTGGACATGCCCGAGATTTGGTCGATGTAGAACTTGCCCGTGTACGATTCGGAAGAGGGAGGCGGTTGAGATGGCGGGTTTTCATCCTCGAACGTCTGAAGGAACTCGGAAAAGGCCTGCCGCACTTTTTCGCCCGCGATGTCGACGACAGGCGGCGGAGGACGGACGTAGGGATTCTTGCGACGGATGACAGTCGAGTCATTGGCCTCGGCGCCTTGGTCATCTGCCATGGCATTCGCATCACTCATCGGGCCATTGCTCTCAGACATGGGCTGTGGTCGTGAACTGGGGATATCCGAATTGAAGGGATGAGCCCGGGAGCCCGCCGTTGAGCCCAATTCGGACTGGAGGACGGCATCGAAGAGAGAAGACATGGTAGGAAGATGATGACAAGAGGGAAGCCACCACGGGCTGAGAGAGAACGGGCGTGTGTGAATAAAACTGGTACCCTCTTCCTCACCGACCAGGCGTTGTTGATGGATGAATGAATGGAGGGATGGTTGCCATGCGAATCTCCGATTTCTTTTTTCGGCACGAGGAACGCGTGGGCGACGCGAGACGCGTCGGCGGAAGGTTGATGCGGAGCCGACGCGTTAAGTGGTTTCCATTTCCTGTTCGGGTTGCTGACGTAAGCGTCTCAAAAGTACCTGACGTAAGACGGCAAAGCGCCCGAGTCGGGAAGGAGATCGCACCATATCCCCGAACGAGGTAACGAGCGAGCGAGGTAACTAACTTACCTGATGCGGCGCACGGAGCTCCTCAACGCGCCTAGCTCATTCAGGAGAACGGTCTCCACGCCCACTGGTCAACCATCCCCCGGCGGACCCTGTCCAATGCAGGCGGTTTGCACTTCCGCATCCAATCGCCCGCGATGGCCTCAAGCTAACGACTCGGAGACCAAAGCACGCCGCCCATGGCCAATGACACCGGGTATGGCTGCTGGTTAGACTTTCGGAGAGCAAGCAACGGGGCCTCTTAGTTGTCCGTGAACCCCCCACCGCTGATGGCGGCTGTCCTTCTCCTCCCAGGAGTAGTCGGACGCACTAGCCCTCTAGCAGGCAATAATCCATTGTCGGGGTTGTCCTAGTCCCTGGACAGAATAGATAAGCCCCAAACGACCACGCTCCCTGTTCGTGGCCTGACGGTCCGACAGCCGCATTGACCGGGCGATGTCTCATCTCACTTCGTTGTTCGTCTTTCGGGGGTCTTCTGGTTATTGTCTGTTCGATATGCTATCCTAACGGTGGTCGTTCTCGTCTACTACCCCCATCCATCGATCGCCCGCCAGAGGGGAAAGAAAACAAAAAAAGGAGTCAGCCACTGGGGCGGCGCGCAATGTCCGTGGGCAGGAACCCGTCGGCTGATTTGACACGTTCCGAGCTTGAGTCCAAGATTCATGGGCCGGCAGCCGAATTGGAGTCTCAAAAAAGTCGGTGCATCCATCTATCCACTGCGTTGCGTCTCCCTGGAATTGACATGTTGACTTCTCGTCCAGGACCGGCCGATGAGGACCTCCAACCTCCGGTTAGGGTAAAGAAGCGCAAGCATCTTCCCGTCAGCGAAGATCCATCCTCCAAAAATCAAATATTCTACTTTGTCGATTCAAACTCCTCGTCACGGGAGAAACGGGCCCATGTCATGCGCCATCATGTCCAGGAGAAACGAAAACAACGCAAACATTCTCTTCCTCGAAACGACCCAGACAAAAAAGCCATCCGTCCTTTCCGATATCTTCCATGGGAACAGAAGAAGGTGGTCCTGGATGAGGGCGGTAAGGAGGTCATCACACCTGTCGGTCAGTCGGATCCGGTTGATTCGGACGATCCATCATCGGTATGTGTGATGTCTGATAATAAAGCTTTACCCTTCGATTGCAGCCATGGCTACCTGCTAACGCTGGATTAGACCAGACTCCCTGTACTGAGATCGGCTTCTTGTCCCGCCGAGAATCACACTTTGGAGTCGCCCATCACCCTTCTCGATGCATCCAGAAAAGATCCTTTTGAGACCCTACCCATCGATCACTCCACGCAGGATGTGGAGCTAGCCGACTACTGGATATACCGGCTGACGTACTGGTCGGGTCAGAACAAACACATCAAAAACTCCATCTTCAAAGCGGCCATGAACCACCCGTTGACCTTTCAGGCCGTCGTCCTCGCCTACTGTGCCCGCTGGAAAACGCAACTATACAATCTCAAGGATAGTCACGAAGCCGAAACGCACGTTGACGAGGCGACCCAATCTATCGACAGAGTGATGAAAGGCTCCATGTCCATCGACGTGGACACACTGGCATTGGCACTGACGGGTATGGCACTGCACGAGGAGCGCTTTGGAAGCAAAACAATCGCCCAGGGACACGCGGACCGGGCTGTCCAGATTCTCCGACCGCGGGCCGGATCCAGCAGTTCGGTCGGGGTGTTCTTGCATTATGTGCGATATAACCTAGCGCCCCCACAGTCGGAGATCGGGGAGAATGGCCAGCAGTGGCTGATGGCGTTCCTTCGCAGCGCCGAGGACCTCATGTTGGAACACAACACGGACGCCTATCTCTCGGCGGTGCCGCAGCGGCGGTTGGCTTTCCAGATGGACAGTCCGCTGTTTCCTCTGCTGTCCAGCGGGCCTCGGCCGTCGCAGGTGCCGCATGACTGTCGGATGTATGTGGTGCGGAATGCGCCGACGCAGGAGCTGTCACGCACGGCGGCGCTGATCTACATCACCAAGACGCTGTGGGATTTCCAGGATTCGCCGGGGAAGACGGGGCGGTTCCTCAATTATCTTCGGGCGATGGTGAAGGAACACCAACTGGACCGGAATCCGGCGTGCGAGACGCTCATCTGGCTGCTGTTGGAGGAGCGGTGCGACACGGACCTGAAGGATGCGGAGCGAGGCTGGTCAACGGGGGAGTTGTTGAAGATGCACAAGCAGCTCCGACCGGATCTGCAGTTTCTGTTCAACGAAATCCTGTTTAGTCTGTTGATGTTGACGCCGCCACTCCGTGGGATAGATGCGTTTGAAAACGAGCTGTACGGCGCCAAAGTGGAGGGGTCAGAGGGAGGGTGAGTGGTGTGATGGACCGATCGTGCCTGGGGCAGCACGTGTTGTATATTCTTGGACATAGTTCTTACCACGCAGGGGGACCTTGCGGCTTGCAGGCAGCCGTTTAATGTGATGAGTAGGGTGTCCGGTATTTAGTAGACTATTGTAGAGGTATATATTGATGTTGACGGAGACAATATATAACTATTGGTTGAGTGTAGTCTACGTTGGAGTCAACACACTGAGTGACTTAGTACATAGGCATGTACTATATATTTCTCCATAGTATCAATGAACGAGACCAATTCATGTGCCTTGAATCGGATGAGATATATTATCAACCCCGACATCGATATAGACTCACTTGTGGATTCTTTCGGGAAATGCCCATGATATCATTGGAATGCCGAGTGTGGTCATCTGCGATCGGAGAAAGGCGACAGGAGGCGATACGATACGAGGTCTAGGCAACTGACTTTTAGTCAGTGATAGGGGGAACATCTAAGCATCATGGACTACCTATGAAATACGTATTGTGGTAGGAGTTATCCATGGAACAGACCATGAACAGAGGAGACAATGTGGCTGAGGCCTTTGGAGATGTGGCTGATGCTGAATGGGTCGATCCACTGGGACGATCAGTGCGTGCGTGGCGAGTGGATGAGGGAGGATACGGCGTAACGGTACCGTTCCTGGACCTCGAGGTACCATTTCTCAGGGGCTGAACAGGTGGATCTTCCCGGTACCAGGTTCGGTACGGCCGAGTTTCGCCACCGCTGGCGACGCTAAGGCAGGATCTATTTGCCAGCGCATCCACTAGTCCATCTCCACTTCATCCTCTTCTTCTCTTCGTCTTCATCCTACGGAATTCGTTTCCAGCCACCATGCCCACTTTCGTCTCGTCTCCTTCTCGTTCTCTGCTCCTTTTCTTCCCCTTGAAACATTGTGTACGCCGAATACATGACAGACTCCCCCCGTGACAAACAACCCACGCTCGTGGCTGAACCCCCTCCGCACCACCCAGCTCCCACCTCATATCATCGATCGTCATCTTCCCCCCCTGCGAGGGACTGGGTCCGAATTTTAAGTGCGAGCTGATCGGACATTCATCGTCATCGATTTCCCGCCGTCCCAGAGATCGGTCGCCGGGATCCATGTGTGGCTCGACTCTGGTTACGTTGCTGATTGACTCGCTCTGACCGCGCCAGTGGGGGCGCATCTTCAATTTCGCCGATAACCCATCGTCCACCTGAAGAAAAAGAAAGTGATCCCGAGGAACCATCCTTCATCCCAACCTCCATCGTCATTCCTGGCACTCCAATTGGCATGTGTTCATGTCGCAGCTAGAGTTTTTTTGCGTTGGAAGATCAATACCGGGTACCTAAAAGAAGGGGAGAGCGCCAAACATTGCCATCCTTTCGATCTTCGATCCCCCTTGAACCTTCTTTCGACCCTTTTTCCCTCCCAAATCTTTTCAGCTGGGCCACCCTTCTTTTGATTGTCTTTTCTTCTCCCTTATCTCTGCCATCGATTTTTCCTTCTGTTTCCTCCTGCGACACTCTTTCCATCCATTGCGCATACAATCCCTTTTCTCACCTGGTTTCCCCTGGTGAGGTCGCGACAATTTCGCGATCATAATTCCCAGTCGCAACTCTCTGTTGACGATTGGTCCGCGCGCATATTCGTCTTAGTATCCGAGGGTCAATCGTTGCGCCGTCACCATGTCGGACGCTGTACGCATTCCTATTAGCCCTCACCCACTCCATTGCCATTAACGCCCTCTAGGAAGAAGCGCATAGCACCTCCAACTCGGCCTCGGGCCTGGTCACCACCTTGGTGCCCTCCCTGGTGGTCGCCGGTGCCATGGTCTTGGTCTTCGTCATCCTGCGCCGCAGTCAGCGCAGAACATACATGCCGCGTACCTACCTCGGTGTTCTGCCCCCCGAGCAGCGGACACCCGCTGCCTCCACGGGCCTACTCACTTGGATTCGCGATATGTACAAGTTGCCCGACGAATATGTCTTACAGCACCACTCCATGGACGCCTACCTCCTGATCCGTTTCCTCAAATTGGCCTCGATGATCTGCTTTGTCGGTTGTTTGATCACTTTTCCCGTCTTGTTGCCGGTCAATGGAACTGGTGGCGCTGGCAAGGTCCAGTTGGATATTCTGAGCATGTCCAATGTGGCCGAAGACAAGTTCGCCCGTTACTTCGCCCACACCTTCATTGCGTGGATCTTTGTCGGTAGGTGGTCGCTCCAATGTCGCGCACCCGAATGTACCTCTGGACTCACTCCCCACAGGTTTCGTTTTCTTCACGATCACCCGTGAGAGCATCTTCTACATTAACCTGCGCCAGGCGTATGCGCTGTCTCCTGCCTATGCCAGCCGTCTGTCTTCTCGCACCGTGCTCTTCACCGCAGTCACCGAGAAGTATCTGAACCGTGATAAGGTCCGCCAAATGTTCGGTCCGTCCAAGGTCAAAAACGTCTGGATTGCGACCGATACGTCGAAGCTGGAGGACAAAGTCAAGGAGCGGGACGATGCGGCCATGAAGCTCGAGGCCGCCGAAACCAAGCTGATTGTGCTTGCGAACAAGGCCCGCCTGAAGGCTCTTAAGAAACAAGGCAACGTTGAAGATGGCCCGCTCCACCCGGAGAACGTGGGCGATGCTCCTGATGATGAATCCGGCTCCGTTGCTGCCCGCTGGGTATCGCCAAAGGACCGACCCACGCACCGACTCAAGTTTCTCATTGGAAAGAAGGTCGATACCATCAACTGGGCCAGGTCGGAGATTGAGCGTCTCACCCCGGAGATCGAGGAGCTGCAGGCCAAGCACCGTGCTGGTGATGCCAAACTGGTCTCGTCTGTGTTTGTCGAATTCTATCAGCAGGCCGACGCACAGTCGGCTTTCCAATCTGGTATGTCTTCCTGCTCCTTGTGTCAGCGACACTTCGCCTTCTAACAGGTCGCAGTGGCCCACAACCTTCCGTTGCACATGGCACCCCGTTACATCGGTTTGGAGCCCACTCAGGTCATTTGGTCCAACTTGCGAATCAAGTGGTGGGAGCGCATCATTCGGTACTCCGTGTCCATTGGATTTGTTGTTGCTCTTATTATCTTCTGGGCCATCCCTACCGCCGTCGTCGGTGCCATCTCCAACATCAACTTCATCACGGATAAGGTGCACTTCCTACGGTTCATCAATGACGTTCCAGACTTCATCAAGGGTGTCATTACCTCTCTTTTGCCTACCGTGTTGATGTCGATCCTCATGGCATTGCTCCCCATTATTCTCAGACGTCAGTTGGCCCCAAAGTTCGATCTTGACACTTAATACTAACTGCTGCACAGTGATGGCCAGACTGGGCGGTGCTCCCAGCGCTGCCGCAGTCGAGCTGACGACCCAGAACTTCTATTTTGCCTTCCAGGTGGTCCAGGTGTTCCTGGTCGTGACTCTTGCTTCGTCCGCGTCTAGCGTGGTTACTAAGATCATTAACAATCCCTCGTCCGCTGCCACGTTGCTGGCGAATAACATTCCCACTGTGTCAAACTTCTATATCTCTTATATCATCTTGCAAGGGCTTTCCTTCAGTTCTGGCGCCCTGCTGCAGATTACTGGCTTGATTCTCGGAAAGGTTCTCGGCAGACTTCTGGACAACACCCCTCGCAAGATGTATACCCGTTGGTCGTCTCTTGCTGGTCTTGGCTGGGGAACGGTATACCCGGCCTTCACTCTGTTGGCCGTCATTGGTAAGACTATACTTGATTCTGCAGCTCTGATTGACATCCTACTAAACCCATCGAAATCCAGCCATCACCTACGCCTGTATCGCCCCGCTGGTATTGGCCTTTGCAAGCATCGGTCTCTATCTGTTCTATTTCGCCTACCGGTACAACATGCTGTACGTGTCGAACGCTGATATCGACACGCAAGGAAAGGTCTACATGCGGGCCCTGCAGCATATCACCGTGGGCTGCTACTTGCTGATGGTGTGCCTGATCGGTCTGTTCGCCATTGGAACTGCGTCGAACCGAATTGCTTTGGGCCCCTTGATCCTGATGATCATCTTCCTGGTCTTCATCATCCTCTACCACGTCTCGCTCAACCAGGCGATCGAGCCTCTGATCAACTACCTCCCCAAGAACCTGGAGGCCGAGGAAGAGGCCCTCCTCGCCCGCGAGAAGACCGAGCAGAGCCAGTCCTACGGCGAACAGTCCGACAGCGGCATGGCCAGCACCGCCGCCAAGACAGACGGTGCCCACGACAGCAGCGTGGGCAACATCGACTCGGCCGAGAAGGGCCTGACCGGCCAGGCGGAGCCCAAGTCCAACTTCCTCATCAAGTACCTTCGCCCCGACAAGTACAGCAGCTATGAACATCTGCGCCGTCTGGTGCCCGCCGCCTCCGAGGCCGTCAGCTACCCTCCCGAGGTCGAGCGCGACGCCTACTTCCATCCCGCCATCACCTCCCAGCCCCCTCTTCTCTGGATCCCCCGCGACGAGATGGGCATCAGCCGACAGGAAGTCGCGCATTCGATGCGCGTCATCCCCATCACGGACGAGGATGCTTGGCTGGACGAGAAGAACCACATCCACTGGGATATGGACAAGGGCGTCCCGCCGATCTACGAAGAAAAGGTCCCCTATTAAGGGACGGCTCTTTGCTGGATATGATGTTTGTGCCCATAATACGGTTCTACGTTTCATGAGCAGGACGGGAAGCGAGGTGTGTTGGATGATTGATACCCGGATGGCCTCCGTGGGGCCGATTGTTAACCTCGTCCCGTGGTTGCCATTCCATTTCTAATAATTCTATCTGGTTAATCGGGTCCTCTGGACCTGTTAATGCTAATTTATTGGTATTTGTGTGATAGGCTAAAGTCGGAGTAAACTTAGCAAATTGTGACTGCCGGTGTTCCGTTCACACTAGCACAAATAGCTTTCCACGTACATCGGCCACCAAGAACAGTCATCCCGGCAGCACATCTCACTACATCTGAGACAAGGAAAACTGAAAGCCAGGGTCGAACTATAAAACCAATCAACAAACATGCACCTGTCTCACATATAGTCACGTGATACCATCTACCCTAAGTCGGACAACTATTCATAACGTGATGTAACAGCTACATCCTCTCACTCTCAAAAGCGAAGTCCATTCCCCGCTGCATCCCCTCCAGTAGAGGTTCCAGCCCTTCCGCAGCACAGCCTCCAGCACCCTTCCTCGCCTACGGGCGGCGGCGGCGGCGGTGGTGGTGAGCGTTTGTTCGATGTCGTGGAGGAGGCCAAGGTATGCGGTGCACACGCTGATGAGAGACGTTAGCCTGTCAGGCGGAACATCTGGTAGATATTACACTCACGATGACATGTTCAGAAGGCAAGGGAATAACAGTGCCGAAGAGCCAATGGACGAGGAGACAAGCGAAGAAGAATGCAACCTCCCTGAGGATTGGAAGAAATCTCATGTACGAGAGTGATGCCTATGCCTTGAGCTCATTGGATCTGTCTCTTGTATGGCAGAGAATTTAAGCGACGGAACGGAAGAAGATGCAGGACAGGGATGTGACACCCAAGTATGAAAGAGATGCCATATCGAACACGTTCAATTAGTATCTAGACAACACCAGACTCATACACAGGCTGGATATTAAGAAAACCTCTGTACACCATACACCATGCAAATCATGAACAGAATCATTACGCCCCTAAGACACCCCCGTTAGAGGCTCTTCCTGACAATGCGTCCACGACGTGTTGAAGCTTCAACCAGGGCTCGTGGACCGGCCGCTGGTGCGCCCAGTTCGTATCAGTGGCCTCCACGCCAGTCAATCCGCCAAAAGGCGAGAGTTGCACATGCGAGTCTTTAAATCCAATAACAGTGACAGAATCCTCATCGGCCATGATCTCATCCGCCGAACGGCCAGCAAAACTCTCTAAATGTTCCATGCATTTGACAGCCATGCGAAACGCGCGGATGCGGTCGATAGGTGACACATGTCCCCCCTGCTGGAAATGGCCCGGGACCACCCCCTGCGCTTGGAACCGGTTGTTCCCCTCGTCCTGCAGGATCTTTGCGATCATCTCGGTGGTGTAGATGGGCGAGGTGCGCTCGTTGCGAATGATGATCTTGCCAGCTTGGTTGGCGCCGTGGTCTTGTCCGAACTGCTGACGCAGATACGCCACATCGCCGGACAGCCGGGCGAGGTTAATTTTCCGGTCGGGTGTGTACACCGTCGCTGCTCCGACGGCGAGCCCGGCCAGTGTCGCGAGGTATCCAGAGTCGGCGCCCTGGGCTTCCACCACGAAGACGCAGTGGCCGGACGACGAGGCGGACTGTCGGATGACGTCGCAGAATGTCACCAGTGTATTCAGGCTCGTATCGCTTCCCAGCGAGTATTCCGTGCCGGGGACATTATTGGACACGCTGGCCGGGAGAAGGATAAGCGGGATTCGGAAGGCAGGATACACTTCGCGCGCCAGGCGGAGCTGGCTAATCGCCGTAAAAGCCTCGAAGCCGCCGATCACGAAGAGAGCATCGAACCGGTACAGTTCGAAACACTTGGCGGTCGTATGCATATCCTCCGAGGGCAATCCGCAGTTGGTCCCGATGTCTGACCCTCCAAGGTTCAACCAATCGTCCGACTCTAACACTTCTACTTCTCGCACAGACCCGATGGGCTTGTCTGCATGATGGCGACAGAGACCGGGGAATCCGTTATGAATTGCAATGGGGGTATGTCCTTTGGCCAAGCAGTAAGCAACAGCCGCACGAGTCGCGGGATTCATGCCCCCCGCGGGGCCTCCAACATGAATGATGGCAACGCGCATTTGCTGCAGAAAATTAGCCCCTGAGAAGACGGATCGCGGGTCAGATGGCTTACCTTCTCCGGCGGGACTATCATCTTGCGATAGTCAGCCGCGTTCAAATGCCGATAGGCTTTATGGTATTCTAAGAACTCAGGGTCCCGAAGTTTCATCGCTGCTTGGAAATCTTTCGCTTGCATGTGAAGGCTGACTTTCTTGGTACCAGCGACAGTTTCGGAAAGATTGGAGAGCGCAATTTTGTCTTCCTGGATAGTCACGACTGGCGAAGGGGTGTCGGGGGTCATATCCAGTACCGCCTGGACGGCCTTGATTCCCTGCATGGTTGCAAGCCAGCGATCGTAGAAACAGGGTGTTCCGCCCCGCTGAATATGGCCTAGTACTGTAACTCTAGTGTCGAGACCGAGGCGGGAGCTGAGGACGTCCTTGACGGTGGACGAGGCGATGTGATTCAACTCGCTGTCCTGCGCCCCTTCGGCGATGATCACGATGGTGCGTCGTTTTCCTTGCTTGCGATTCTAGAACGAGACACTGTCAGTAAACCTCCATCTCTGGGGCTATGTGCCACGGAGGATGAATAAAGAACTCTAACCTTCATAATGATCGAACACATATCATCTTCCCAGCCCTCCCGAGGAGGCCGCTCAGGAATAAACAACCAATCCGCGCCCGTGGCAATGGCCGCCATCAGCGCCAGCCATCCGCAATGTCTCCCCATGACCTCGATCACAAAGCCCCGACAGTGGGAGGAGGCCGTGTCGAAGACGGCGTCAATGGACTCGCAGATACGCGTCAACGCCGAATAGCAACCGATCGTAGCATCCGTGCCGTAGAAGTCGTTATCGATGGAGCCCAGCAAGCCCACAATATTCAGCGTCTGATGAGGCGCGACTTGCGCGGCCGATAGAGTGCCCATTTCAACGAGCTCTTTAAGCAGCCCAGACCACTCGGAGCGAAACAAGTCGGCGCCAGTGAGACTTCCATCTCCGCCACAAACGATCAGAGCGTCAATGCCCGATAGGACCATGTTCTTGGCAGCTTGGAGTCGGCCCTCGCGTTCGCGAAACCGGGCGCATCGTGCGGACCCAATGAGGGTGCCTCCTCGAGCGAGAAACCCGCGCACGTCTTCCCAGAGCAGGGGACGGATCATGGACCCGCCTTGAATGAGACCTTCATAGCCTTCGTGGATAGCGTATGGCTCACAGTTGTTCAGAATGGCGGTGCGTGTAATGGCGCGAATGGCGGCGTTCATGCCAGGGGCATCGCCGCCCGAAGTTAGGATGCCGATGCGTCGCGATTTGCCTCTGCCGGGCAGAGGACTTGTGGATTCTGACATGATGCGAGAATGAGAGATTGTAGCGAGTGAGAAGGAGAGAAATGCAAGGAGAGGTTGAAAGAGATGGTGGATGGAGAGGAAAACAAAGCTGATGGTGGTGTTTGTGGCAGATTTTAATAAACAGCACCACCACAACTCATGGATCAGGAACGCCGACCGAACACCATACCATCCAACACAAGATCCGACAGCCTCCGGAACCAGACACTGTCACACGGTCGGGGATCTTGTGAATTGCACGATTGGCTGGGGGTTGAGGCCAGGTTGATCGACAGCGCAGCAGTCGTACGAGCGTCGCAGCCGGGATGACGTAGGGTAAGCGCGGATGGAACAGCTTTCGTGGACCATGATCTGAGTTCACCGTTCTACTTCGACTACCTCTCACAGACAAATTCGAACGACTGATCGCGACTCTCCACCGGCACCGGCCGACAATCCTCATCATACAATGTCCGTTCGACGAACCGCACGCGCCCATCATATCCCACCAGAATTACCGTCTGCTTCTGCGTGCCGTACAATCCCCGAAAATACGCGGCACTGGGTGCTCCATTCGGCGCTCCGGGGAGCGACGTTTCGCCTTCCACTATCCCGTCATCAGGACAGCCCACTGGCGGGACAAACACACTCCCCGGTAGATGCTCGATATACGCCTCCAGCTCTGCATTCGCCTCCAACCGCGTCAGCGTATCAGTGCTCAGCACCCCCATGAGTCTCTCCACCAGCGCATCCTCGTCCTCCCGGCCGTCGACATGCGCCGCCACCTCGTCCGCCACTGACCTCTCCCCCTGCACGACCTTCGCCCACGACTGATCCCCAAACTCCGTATTGCTCAGGGCGACGGTCTCCCCCGGCTGACTCGCCACCCAGCGGACGACCTTCTCGGCAGCGCCCCGGTTCGAGAACACGGCTAGCGGCTCCATGACGTTCCCGCAGACGAGGTTGAACCCGCCAATCGGCTTGCGGTAGCCGTTGCGCGTGAACTGCGCAGTGAAGTCCTCCGTGGTGAGGGGGCTGTCCGGGGGCAGCGTGAGCCAGCTGTTGACGATCTCGCCGCGACTGCAGTTGCCTATGGCCTGGTCGCGGCTGGCCTCGTGGAAGTTGGTGAGAATGGCGAGACGGCCTTGTTTCGTGATTCCGAGCCAGGTGCCGTGCACGGCGCGCGCCATGTCCCGGGCGCCGAGGACGTGGGTATGTGGGGAGGGCCACCATCCGGCTCGGGCGGTTGGCCGATGGAAGAATTCCTAAGGGGTTAGCTGATTGAATAGGTAGAGGAGGGCGAACGTACATCGCGGTTGTTGCAGATGATGAGACGGTAGTCCGGATGCTCGGTGGACAGGATTGCGATACACATAGTGAAGCTAGATTGATGTAGAAAACTAGAGAGGAATGCTGAGGAGTAGGGGGAGTAGAGAAGTAATCGGTGGTTATATGGAATAGATCTAGTATGGTTTCCCGAACCGGAAATCTAGCATGTGGATCTCGTATGACACATGGATTACACGAGCAATCAATCTGTGCCTGTCAGATGATCGGATCTGCTCATCTATAGCCCCTATACACCTGGTCTTAGGTAGGTAGGAACCTATACTCCGTTTGGAGGAACTCAAATAACACTTTATGAGCAAGGATATCATTACGCCTCGGCAACTTCCAGCCCAACAGCCCTCATGCCCTTGGCCACCGCGCCATCCTCGATCAGCCGATTATACCACGAAGTCACCTCGGGGAACCTCTCCAGATCCAGCCCGACAGCCCCAGCGGCCGCTACATACGGGAAATGCGCCAAGTCTGCAACGGTACTGCATCACGCACGTCAGCAACGGCCCCAGACACCCACCACCCCCACAGGACAAGACGCTTACCATTTGCTCCCCACGAGAAACCGACTGCGCGTCGTCTGCAGATGCTGCTCCAGGTTGAGGTACAGGTTCAACGCCTTCCGCGCAAAGACGACTCCATCTTCAGCCTCTAGATCGAATCGCGCCGGCGACGCCTCCTTGTCCTGGCTGCGATGCGGAAGCACCAACGACAGCCAGCGCTCGACGTCGCGCTCCTGCGCCGAGCCGTCCGCATACCGCACGACGTGGTCCTCGTCGTATCGCGCGAGGAGATACTCCAGGATGGCGCGGATCCCGCACAGCGAGACGTGTTCGCCGTCGCTTTGGACGTTGGTCAGCAGCGGGAGGTTGTCGCGCGCGCCGGGAGGAATGGCCGGGTGGTCGGGGACATCGTCGGCGCTGGCGACGAGATGAAGACGGTAAGGGAGTCTGTGAGGGGTTAGTTGAGGAGGCTGGTTTGTGCACACCTAGGGTTGACGTACTTGAGCTTCTCGAGGAGAATGACGATGGTGGCGCTGTGTCGCGAGCCCTTGGGAGCGTATAGGGCGATGCGGCCCCGTTGTTCGTCGAAGACGTTCATGGCGATGCGATGTGGAGGAGCATCAAGGGGGGGCAGGGGTGCCTGAAGGGATTGTTCTACGGGGTAGTTTTAAGTCTGGACCGCATTCTGCACGTGGGGGATGTTGATGCGGTGGTTGGAAGCGCAGTTTAGGGTTCCAGACTCTGGATGACTCGCCGATGACGCAATGGAAAAGGTACATCTCAACTCTATCTTATCGCACACCATGGGAGTAAATATAGACATCAATATACATCAGATACATCATTCAATGGCTGGTATACAGCTCTCCTCTCCTATCCGCCTATCGTAACACCACTTTGGGGATCAGCCCATCCGCTCGCTCGCTCGGCCGGGAGGAATCTGCTGATTCCCGACGTGTCAGACGCCACGAGCAACCTTACCAAAATACCGGATGCCGTGTTGGCTGCATGCTGTACTCCGTAACGGGGGGGAATAATAGGCGAGGATTCTGGATTGATCGACGAACGGTGGATCTGGTTGTTGGTGCACGGAGTAAAATCGGCTTCCTTTGATTTCTCTTCGCCTCTCGGTTTCTCTCGGTTTATCTGGATGCCAGTAATGGGTATAGTTGTATTGTGGCCTACCTAGTACCCTCTGTAACCTTTCAGGTGCGATTCCACTATCAAAAGACAAGTTCTCCCGAAAAGCCCCGCCCCACGGATCCGTTAAGCTGCAGTGGGGATCAGACAGGGGGCCTGTTCTAAAGCCGAGTCGGAGCCGACGGATGGTATCACAACAAACGCCCCATGAGGTCACCGCGACAGGGGTAGCAAAAAAAGAGACATTGTGGGGAGATTTACTCCGGTATAAGAACAGACATTTCGATGGTGCGACAGCCATCTCTCGCCCAAGATTCATCTCAAACCACATCGCATCCGTCTGACGAACAATGGAATCACACACAATGGCCGCTCCTCTACAACAACCGTGGGCATGTCCAATTGAACCATATGCGCTTCCAGATTATCTGGTAGACGCAATTGACCAAGACTTCTGCCGAGACCGCCTGGTGAGTGCAATCGGATCGGACCAGGATACGGGCGTTGTCTGACTTCTCCCAGAATAGCAATGAGTTTAGTTTCTTAACAGACTCACTATCGCCCGGCACAATCTCCGATATGTCCCCATCGATATCCAACCCGGATTGGTCTTCATTCCTTGACCTGGACCAATTCGACTATGTGGACGCCTCAGAACATCCCTCCTCCTCCTCATCAACATCATCTCCCGCGCTTAATCCCATTCAGCGAGTCACCTCGCACCCAACCAGTCAGCCCTACACGCATAGCCCCCTACCTCCCGTGGCAATGACGCCACCGAGGTCCATCTCTCCCATCGAGTCGGTCGGGTCTGCCCCTGAACGGCCGCAGAAACGCGTTTCCCAACGAACCGCGCACAACCGCATTGAGAAGCGCTACCGGGAGAACCTGAGCAACAACTTCACTGCCCTCGAACAGGCGCTGCAGTCGTATGAGCGTCGCAGTACGAGAGGCCCATCCCGCAGACAGGCGTCGCGGAAGATGGCCATCCTCACGGATGCTGTCCAGTACATCGAGGAGTTGCAGGAAGAAGCGGCGACGCTGCGGATGAAAATGCAGAGCCTGCGGCAGACGTTACTGCCACATGGAATCTGGAAGTATACGATGAATGACTGAAGATGGGGACCCTAATAATACTATATAATGAAGAATAATGGTGCATTGTTGGCCTTGATAGCGACTATATATCACGTGATAATGACAAACCGCGTTCAAAGTTTCATCCAGGCCTTGTTTCATCTGTCCCAGCCAGTGCACATAAATAGAAGGTCCTACAGGAAATCCACATGGCGAGTGCATCCATCTGTGACAATGTTTGGGGTATGTGCACGTGCCTATCGCCCGACTCGCCCCATTATCCGACTGCGATGCATGTTCGACCAATGCACGCCCTCTTCTCTTCTCTTCTCTTCTCTTTTTACTTTCCCTTTTTTATTTTCTAAAGCCACCCGCTATCAAACAAATCCATAAAGAAGTCCTTGGGTACCACAAGCTCGTGATACTTTCGGAACATACACAGAAGCTTGCCTTCTGCGACTGTATTGAACCAGTCGGTCCCCAGATGCCAGGCCAGACAGAACACGTAAGAAAACATATACATGAACCGGCGCATCAATCATGAACCGGCAAACACCCCATAGACACAGACAAACGTATAGATTATCAGCAACCAACCTCAGCGGTCAATCGCCCTCCACGGCAACGTACGACGCCATCCACGCGCCCTCGCACCCCCCAAAGTCCATGACGAAGAAGCTCCGATAGAATCGTACCCAGTGCCCGAAACCCGGTAAGCTTCGTCCACATCATCCACCGCATAATCCCCACTATTTGCGTGAGACGGTGCTGGCACGCGGTATTCCTCTTCCCAGCCTAGAGGCCCATCGGCCCCCGGATTCACGCGCTCCTCATCCAACGGCTCTTCCTCCTCCTCTTCTTCTTCCTCCTCATTCTCCTTGTCGTCGTCCGGGAACAGCGAGGTCCAGTCGGGAGATGGATCGTCTATGTCTATGTCCATGGGGTCTGTTCCTTCGGGGTCTTCGTAGATGGTGAAGATGGGTTTGCGGGTGGGCGTGGGCGTAGGTATCGGCGAGGATCTAACCATGCTACTCCTTATATCGAGAGGTAACACACGAGGACTGACCCTTTCTATGGACGAGGCGATGTGCGTGTCCTGTGTCGCGCCGGGGCCTTCTGTATGGGTGTTTTTGTTAGCAGTCTCCGGCGCGGTGTTGTCGCTCTCACGCGGGGAGCTTTGTGTCGCAGAGGCCGGGGTTTCGGAGTTGGGACGAAAAGTTGAGGGTCCGGAAGGGTCTGTGGTATCGTGCTCGCAAACATACGCTTGTGCGCTCGTAGACGAGGTTCTGGGCCTTTTCGGTAGATGTTGTGGGTTGGGGAGGTCGTGGAGATGCTCGGTTTCGAGACCGTAGTCTGCGCGAAAGTCGTCGTATCTGCGTATACGCGGGTTGGGCGTATGAGTAGAAGGAGGTGAATGATGTATAGGTAGAGTCGAGCTTGTTTCGTGGGCTGTTGACGGCGAGGTTTGATTCTGCTAGGTCAAGTCAATCAGTATTCCTAGTGTGTCATGATGGCGCAGAGGGCCATACGTATTGTTCCACGTTGAGACAGAGCTCGAGGTCAATCTCGTCCATCATTGTGTCAGATCTGGGTGATCCTGGCTCCTCCATATTACCCAGTCTGGGTTGTATAGGTGCGGAGGGGCAGTGTAGACGATGCAGTCGACATATCAGGGCGAAGAGGTAACGTACATGGAAATGGAGGGAATGATTGGGAAGTAGCAGTGTTTGGGCGTGGGACCCGGACAGGGCAAGAACCGGATGAGCGAGGACAACAATAACATAGTATGTTCTGTCAGCTGAGATGGACCCTCAGACATGTAAATATGCGTTACAATCTACAGGAACGTGATATGGCCAGGTCGAGTCAGATTCAGCTACCTAGATAGGCGTACTATCAAGCTTGATGGCAGTATATCGGCCCTTGACCAACATAGCAATGCCTTCCACCTAATCCTCAACCGTGCCACTCTCCCCAGTGATGGATTCTGGAATATGACCATCCTCTCCAACCCTCCGTCGATATGGCCAATACTTCAGATGGAACACCAGCCTTGCAAGACAGTAGATGAAACAAAGATAGCAAAGATACAGGCAGAATAGACTGGACGGCCAGAGAGCGTAGCAAGAGGGCTAGAAGAATCGAAGAGAATTTGCCATATACCGTACAAATCACAGCGCACCTTAGATTTGATTCACCAGGATCCATTGAGGACTGATCATTCTGTCTGCTTATCTGAATTGACCAGGACCAACCATGCCGCCTCTGGCATCGCCGCCGACTTGGCCAAACATATCAAGCAGATGTCTGGATGATGGTGGGGGTCCCTGGGGCGCAGGATTGCCGTCGAAGGGACCCTGCCCACCGGGACCCATACCAATCAGCTCACTAGGCGGCATGGGTGGAAACCCAGCTGGCGGAGGACCGTTCATGTAGCCAGGAGGGGGCATCATGCCTGGCGGGGGAGGGAATCCAGCCGCTCCACCAGCGCCAGCGCCACGAGGCAAGGGCTGACGCTCGCCGAGAGGAGGCATGTTTCCATGCATGGGCATCATGAATCCCGGAGGGACCCCGCCGTTTGGGGTCGGGATGCCCGGAGGCGGACCCAAAGGACCTGGCCCACGACCCTGTTGCGGAGGCATCTGGGGGCCGGCCCATCCTGGAGGCGGCGGCATATGCTCGAATCCCGGGGGCCTCTGCATCGCCATTGTAGGCAGACCCTGTCCCTGAGGAGCTCTGGTGCCACCAGGAGTAATAGGAACGTTACCACCTGGGGGGAAAGGCATGTCTTCGAAGTAGCCGGGAGGAGGCCCATTCGTGGGTCTTCGTCGAAGTTGGTCAATGTCGGGTCTGGGCATGCTCGCAATGGCCGGGTCATCAATGAAATTCGGAGTTTTCTGGGCGGAGCCAAGACCTGGCGGGGGAGGCAGGATTTCTGACATATTAGGCATACCGTGGCCGGGGCCGGCGCTCGGTGGCTGGCCCTGGGGCTGGTTAGGACCAGGGCTAACATGAACCTGCTGCATCAGTCGCAAAAGATGTTCTCTCTCGCGCGCCTGAGGATCCTGACCGAGAGGGAGACCAGGGTTTCGGACGGGAGTGTCCGGCATCGCCATTGGATCCGGGCGGCGAAGTTGCTCTCGAGGAGGGGATGAGACGGCGCTCGGACCCTGTTCTGCATGGTGGATAGATGCAGGCCGATTAAGCTGCACATTGTCATTATGCGGCGTAGAATTGCGAGATTTGTTTCCGCCTAGCATCTGGAGAATCCTCTGGAAACCTTCTTGATCAGCATCAGGTTTCGGGGCGCTGTTGACAGGCGAAGGCTTGGTAGCAAAGATCCCAAACTGTTGATCGGTCTCCTTTGCGGGACTTCCAGGAGGAGGGCTAAACAGTCCAGCGAATCGAGATGACTTCGCAGGCTTTCCTGGCAGCATCTCTTTCTTGATGGATTCAACAGGGGAAGGTGTGTTCATCTCCTGGGGCGGCGGTGGCGGCGGCGGTTTCGATTCGCTCAGAAGGCCAAAAAAGCGCTCCATTGTCGCATCTCCTTGGAAGGGAGTACCAGTGCTGCTGAATATCTCTCCGTCGGTTGGCCTGGTCTCTTTCTGTGCAACGCTGGCAGCTGGCTCTGGCGGAGATTGCTTCTTCTCTTCGACCTGTGTTTGCGAGGAACCGGCTTTCATGCGTTCCTTCCAGCGTTCAAAATCCTCCTGAGTGTGCACCCGGCGGGGTTCATCCTTATCAGTGGTGTCAAGCCATTCGGGCTCCTGTTCGAACTTGGCGCCGCGAGTCCAGTCACGGTCAGCGCCGTGTCTGTCTCTGCGCCATTCACGATTCCGTATTGAGCTCCTATCTTCTTCTGCATCATGGGAATCGTGGTTATTATCGTCGCGAAACCAGCTGCCTTCATGCCGAGCGCGACCTGGTTGACCATCCTTTCGAGTGAGGAACCGACCATCCTTGTCTCTTCCTCCTCGTTCAAAGGGCCCATCGCGGGATTCCCATCGATCGAAATCTCCGTTGCGTCTCGGTTTCCTCTCCGGGTCATCCTGACCGAAGGTGCGACGAGGTCGCCCGGCATTCCAATCTTCGCGGTCACTACGTCGACCGTTGAAGGGCGCGGTGGTCTTTCCATCACGTCGATCAAAATCTCTCTCTCCGGTCTCCTTATCTCGGAAGGACCGGTCACGAAAATTGAACCGATCGTTCTTCGAATCTTCTGTGTCGGGTTGCCTCAGCGGCCGTTCGATCGAGTCTACCGAGGTCTTCCCCGGCACGCGAGACGCAGACGCGAAAGCAGTTTTCGGTGGTCCAAGAATGATATCCTCTATACGTCCGGTAACGATAGCCTCAGTTAGCGATGGGCTCGACGATCGATCTCAACACCGACGGACCCCGACGGGGCGTGAGTTGGTATAAAGAAGGCAGATAATCACCTGAATTCGAGCCACGGGAGATGTGACGGGATTCGAAGATGCTCGGTCTTCGACCGGTAGAGTCGTTGGGGTTATTCGGATCTCGAGGGTTAGTTGTTTTACGTTGCGTTGCCGGGTCGGGAATCGGGCTGGGAAGACATGACCAGGTCAGTCTCAAGGAAAACGGCAGAGAAGGACAGCAAGAGGAAGACTCACCCCATCCATTCTTCTACCGGCGGTAAGCTGGCGGGCTTCGTGACCAGGGGTGATTCGCGAAGCCATAACAGCTCGTCGATCTGATACCGTCGAGCCATGAGGATGGCTGAGTTGTGTGTTGGACTATCGGCAAGCCGTTACGACCTTCTCATTGGTTCACGACGATCCCCCGAGGAAGAGGTCGCGGAGAAAGAAGAACTGTGTCCAGCAGTCGGGCAGCGAAGGAGACAATTTAACTTTCGAAACCTGGGATATTGGGATGGTGGTGGTTGAATAAGCCGGGGTTCTGTCGTTGGAAGCTAGCAGAAGGCCGGCTAGTGGCAACTCGGCCAAGTGAACAGTGAGGTGTGCGTTGGTCGGCGGAGGGGCTCAGGGACGGGAGGAAAAAATCCTTCGAGGGGAGGACGAAGGCGAACGGAGATTGGGATCACAACGAAGATTGCGTAGGACAGCGAGGAATTCGAGAAATTCGGAGGGTGACGAGGTGGATGTGGTGAGGAAAAGAAGGGGAAGAGGAGAAGTCGAGGAAGAACTGACGGGGATGGAGAAAGGATTTTGGGTTGCCCTGCCTAATTAGGCAACTCACCTTCCCCCCTCTCTCTTCGCTTCGATGTATATACATGGCCCTGAATTCCTCCACCACAACATACATTCTTTATCTAGGGCTCGAAAGAATGGAATGTCTCTATCATTATTCTTTGGTTGTCAACCAATGCCAACTATCATCACGAACAACACAGTCCATGAATCTCTATGCAAAATATTTCTCAGGGGGTCTCTATAACACAGGCGCACTGTTCCTCATCTTCCATCGCTTTCTTTCAAGTGCCTTCTCGGATTACTTATCCGACTATGTGCTCGACGACGTGCATTACCGCTCCTCCGCTCCATTTCGCCGACCGATCTTGGTCCGAAGACCGATGCAAGGAGTCGGTCATTGCAGCGAAAACAGCCGCCTCTTTCTCGTTCACCGCAGCAACCTGGCTTTGGATCCAGCTGATAATACCAGCGCGAGTAATCAAGGTAGTGCTCCCTTGAACCTGTGTGGAGCGATACAACAAATGCAAGACACTGCGCTTGGCCGAGAAGCCAGTGCTGGGGGACTCGTAGAAAGACAATACGCGCTCAAACACGTTCGCTCGGCGATAGATCTCCATGTCCTGTGGAATCAAGTGTTAGCACTGCGTGAGACAAGAGAAAAGAACTAAGTTGAACATACAGCTTGCGTACGAAGACCCTTGACCAGCAGGTCCAACAGCCAGTTGATCTCCTCGAAATAGCCGTCGTCCAACTCCGGTTCGTGCAACAGGATCTTGTCGATCCAGTAAGATGGGATCTTCTCAACTTCCCACGAGGGTGCCTTCTGAAGGAACTTATTCACCTTGCCGTAGAGCTTGTGCATCGGGTTGGTGAGCACGGCAAGACAGCTGGTTGCGCATTCTCCGGCAATCCACGGTACGGGTGACTCGAGCCCAGCCTGCTTCACTGTCTCGAGAAGTTCACCAGTGAGAATATACACACTTCTCCATTCCGAATATTTCGATTCCTGCAACATTGAGTTAGAACCTCCCCTCTAAACTGCCCTTGGGAAATGAACCGAACATACCCGGAGCTTGGACATGAAGCGAGCAATGCTATTAAAGGCCTGTTTCCGAATCTCTTCATGTTGTGAGCACAGGCACAGCAATAACTCGGCTACTCGACCCTTCTCAATCGAAGAGTCCAGTTCATCTTTCTCCCAAAGTCGTAGCTCATTGTGTGTGTCGCTCTCGACAGGGAGGGGACCGAACATTTGCTCAAGGTCCACCACGGCCTTCTCATCCTGGACATTAGGCGTCGAATCGACTTCCATTTTGTCTTCGACACTGGGTTCTTCTTCAGTGTCTTTGAGACACTTTTTCAACACCGACTTGCTTTGTTTTCTCTCTGTAGCGGCGGATAGGCTATCCCGAGCAGTCTTCAAAGCCTTAGAGTCTTCACCGGCAAGCTTGAGTTTTCCTAACACACGCGATGCCCAGGAGCACACAGCACCTTCTGTGTTAGAATCGCCTGATTTGACCACGAACGGCCACTGCTCGGCGATAGCTGCTACAAGCGGACTAACGGAGTCTGGCGTGCTTTCAAACAGGGAACCAAGCAAGTCCTGATAGTGGACGGGCTTCTTGGCGATGCGACAAACGCAGTTATCGAAAAAGGCCAGTTGAAGTTGATAAGCCTTGGGGTCAGAGGTATCGAAGCTCGACAAAATGGCGGCAAACGATTTCGCATTTCGTAGCACAGAGTTTTCCTGGAGAACTGCCTTCAAAAGAGTATCGATCTCAGTCAGATCATCTTGAGACGATGCCTCCACCAGGACCTTCAGAACGGACGTAAATGCAGAAAATTGCATGGATCCTAACAAAATAGTAATTAGCACATGTATCGGGGTCCCAGGACCCTCCAGATACTTACCTGGTTGCTGCCACCAACGCATGGCCGCTGATTGGTGCGCGATTTTCAAAATGCTTTGCAATTGACTGAGCAGCAATTCCTTGTCATCATCGCCCAGAGATGTATCTTCCAACCGCTTCAAAACATCAACCAAAACTAGAGACACATCAAAAACTTCCTCGAATGCCGCGTCTGGCACAACTTCATAAAAGCAAGAAAGGAGCTCTGCGACGGCATCTTGCTGTTGCAGATCATCCTTAGCCGTTCTTTTGAACAGCAGGACCACGTCCTTCGCAGCAGGACATCGTCGAGAAAACTCAGCAACCAATTTATTGGCAGCTTGCGTCCAATACGCTTGGCTGACACCGTGATCGGCATTGAAAATCCGCAAAACCTTGCGGAGTTTATTGAAACTGATGGTCAAAATTCGGACAGCAAACAGAGTGACAATCTCCGTGTTCATATTGAGACAGCGGGTCATGGTCTTCTGTGTGAGTGGACGCGGTAAGATATTCTCAATGACCACCGACACCGGTGGCGGCATGGCCGGCAGTTTATCCTTCCATCCACAGTTTGTTGGAACCGGCAGGCTCACGGTGGAGAAAAGAAGTGCGGATTCTGCCATCCACGAAGGCGTGGGTTTAGGGTCCGAAACAAACATGGTCTTCTTGGTGAAGAAGTCGGCGACAAGTTCTGGAGCTGCTTTGAAAATCGCCACCAGGAGTTCGATCTGGAGACTATCTGTATCGGGTCGCAGGGTCTGGATAAGGTGGGATAAGATGCCGTTACGGACAGGCACCGACTCTCGGTATTTGTCAACGTAGACAGCAGAATCAAGCCCCAGCTCAATTGAAGTATCCTCATCTGTGGGCAATGATTCTGGGTCAATTCCGGTGGGATACCAGCCCGTCTCCGGTAGCAAAGCCCCGAGTGCCGTGTCGGTACAGACAGCCATCAAGATCTTGTGAATTTCACTTGCGATCGAGACACCAGTAGGGTTCGGTTCCTCAGAGTCGCGGTCGTAACCATAGAGCGTCACAAGTCTTTCCAGGTTCCACCGGTTGAAGAACTTCGTCTTGGTGGCTCGAGGCAGCGAAGAGTCCTTTACAATATCTCTTTCAATCGCGGCGATAATCTCCAAGACGATTTCCCGGGAATCCTTTCTGACATACTCGAGGAAGGCCCGGATAATTTTGTGCTGTTCAATGATGTCGCTCTTCCCCGCGGCATTCTGAAAGCGGAGGTTCGCCAGTACGTACTTTTGCGCATTTCGCCGCAGCGTCGGCTTCTGCGTGTCTTCTGCGCCTTCCTCAAGCTGGGCCTTGTTGGGCGTCAGGAACACATCAAGCCGTTTGAAGGTGATGTATCGCGCGGAAAAGATCTGTCGTGCGACGGCGCCACCATCAAAACTGACGATCTCTGTCAGCAAACGGAGACACGGAGAGATCAAGTGATCCTTCGACTTGACCGCCGTCAAGCCGCGATTGAAGAATCTGAGCTGCTCTTTGCGCAAGAGGAATTTGCACAAGGCCAATCCAAATTCTCGAAACTCTAGGTTACTCGAGATGGTCTTGATAAAAATGGCCAATACAGAGGGCACGTGGGTCAGGAGACCCTCATTGTTATTGCTGTCTGCAAAACTCCACGTCTGAATCAAGTCCGGGAAGCAGGATGGCTCCTCTTCGTGGGTGATCTGCGAATCGCAGTAGGATTTCAAAAGTCGAAACTTTTTAGTCTTCTCAGTCTCATCTTCAGTCTGGCCAATTGACTGAAGGAACTCCTTGAATGCTCGAAGGCCTTGATTGAACTGTAAACATATATTTGTATACTGATGCTGGCGTGGGCTTACCTTGCTTGGCCTCCACTGCATTTTGCGAAAACGTGAGGGCGGCGCGCAGTTGCGTATGAGATGTTATCTCGGAGGGATTATCGGTGTTTTGAGCATGATCCAGCCGTCTCCTCTTGTTCCGTGGGAACTGATTCTCCGACATCTTGGTTGAGAAAGCGTACGCTTGGAGATCAGAAACACGTCAAACAAGAACAGAAGATGGATGAAGATGGAGCGATATGAAGCATCTCCAGCAGATTTTTGCGCGATATGATTGGACGAGGTCTGCCGCCGCATGGCTGACTCATCATTACTAACCAAATCAGGTAATTCACTATTTTATCACTTATGCTCATTATCAACATCACATTACATGTGCTGAACTACTCTTAAATATCGATCAGAATCGATCACTCTCTAGAAATAGGCAAATGACAGGCATCTATAATCTTATAATTTGAACGACATAAGCTATCTAGTACTTTTGAATGTCGAACGAGTATAATAATAACAGTAAAGTCGGGTATTCTGAATACAAAAAGCTTGATATATCAACTCGATAAAAAGAAGCTGATAGAGGAAGTCTTGAGAGAGATCAACCCCAAGTCCCACCTCCCCCACCTCTGCCCTGACGTCTCTGTGCAGAAAGACGCCAATCATCTTCTCCCGCAAAGCGGTTATGCAGCGGCTGGATACGCTCGGCCTTCTTGCGCTTCGACAGCCGATCTGTCGGGGCCACCCTGAAGAATGTGGGCGCAGCTTCGACAAGCCACTTGGGCTCGATCGCCGTAGTGCAGTGCATGTATTCCTTCGTGGTGAGGACGAGCGTATGGTAAATGACGTGTTCCGAGGGCTTGCCAAACAAGGCGGAGCTGGGATGCATGTAGACAGGCGTTCCCTCGACAAGTGTTTTATATCCTTCCTGGGGGTCCTTGCGTGCTGCATTTCTAAAGAATCCGGTGCACAGCGCTTGGCGAACTTTTGTGGTGTTTCTTCCACAAGAGACAATCTTGTGGTGGTAGCGATCCATGATACCGAGGAGCTGCTGACGTACATCCTGTGCGCGACGGATCTGGCGAGCCTGAATGAAGTTTTCAAAACACCATGCATTGTTGAACTTGGCATTCTTCCACCCGTTATACACATTCAGGAGAGTGAGGTGATCGCCATGCGGATCGTGGAACTTCGCTTTCTTCTGGTCGGCCTGTTGCTGTTTCTCCTTGGGCCGGTAGAATACAGATTGAATGGAGAGCATCGCGACAATGCTCAGCATTTCTTCCGAGCATCCCATATCGACTGATGCGATAAGAACCTTGGCGAGAGCCGGCTCCATGGGGAAATCGGCCATCTTTCTACCCAAGCGGGTGAGGAGGCCTTCGTCATCGAGCGCCGACAGAGCATAGAGCTCTTCCAACGCAGTAAGCATGGTGTTTGTCGGCGGCGGATCCATGAAGTCGAAGTGGAGAAGATCATTGATACCCATCGCTTTCAACATAAGGATAGTATGTGAGAGGTTTTGGCGCTGGATCTCTGGAATCGTGGTCGGAAGCATCTCAGATTGATAGGCAGCCTCGGTATACAGACGGAAACACTTTCCCGGGCCTGTTCGGCCCGCACGGCCGGCTCGTTGCTTGGCCTGGGCCTGAGAGATAGGAGTCACCACCAAGGAATCCATACCAAGCTTCGGGTCATAAGCATTTTGTTTCACGAATCCTGGGTCGATGACGTAGTAGATGTTGTCAATTGTGATAGAAGTCTCGGCGATGTTCGTTGCAATGACCACTTTCCGGCCACCAGGTGGCGCAGGCTCGAAGATTCGACTTTGCATCTCACTAGGAAGAGCAGAGTAGACAGGGAGGATAACCAGTTCAGGCACCGAGGATCCTAAGGCCTTCATCCGTTCGTACAGGATCTCACAAGAAGTATCAATTTCTTCCTGTCCTGTCAGGAAAAGTAAGATATCACCAGGCGGTTCAGTCAGATGGATCTGCATGACGGTGATGAGGGCAGCATCCAGATAATCGGATTCTGGCTCCTTCGAGTACATGATCTCGACAGGGAAAGTACGGCCAGGAATCGAGAAGATAGGACACCCGTTGAAATACTCGGAGAACTTCTCTGCATCCAGAGTAGCCGAGGTGACGATCAGTCTGAGATCAGGCCTCCGCTTAACGGTCTTTTTCAGTAATCCAAAGAGAACATCTGTAGCGATAGTTCGTTCGTGGGCCTCGTCAAGCATGATAACGGAGTATTTCTTGAGATCTGGGTCCAGGAGAACTTCTCGCTGTAGCATACCGTCGGTCATGTACTTGATTTTCGTGTCCGGGCTTGTACAATCTTCGAAACGGATGGTATAACCAACTTCCGCCCCAAGGCGACAACCGACTTCTTCGGCGACACGCTTGGCGACGGACATGGCGGCGACACGACGAGGTTGAGTACAGCCGATGATACCATTGTTTGCGAAGCCGGCCTCAGCCAGGTACTGCGTTACCTGCGTGGTCTTACCAGATCCAGTATCTCCAACAACGATCAGTAGCTGATTGTCCCGAACAGCATCGAGCAGTTGCTTTCGAAATTTGAACACGGGCAGACTTTCACGCTGCTGCTTGATCGACATGGACGTTCGCTTTCCGAACGACGGGTTCTTGCCCATGGTAACTCTCTTCCATTCTGGCACAGCTTCATCGGATTTTGAGGGCTGGGTACTTCGAATATCCGACGCGAATTTCCGGTCTTCGGGAGCGACCATGGGATCCTGCCACTGAGCATTGAGGTCCACCTCTGCGGCTCTTTCTGCGGCTTTATCCTGAGCTTCTTGCTGCCGTAGCTCTCGTCTGTCCTTGGCCAAATTGGTACCCGCCATTGCAGCACGGTTGAGGGAACCATCCGGCGCTTTGACAACTCTGATAGGAGACAGCTCCAGAGACATCTTGGTCTGTCCGGCCAAGAAGGGCGGTTCTTCGTCCCGAACCTCTATATCGACATCCTCCTCTTCTTCAAAGGTACCTTCTCCGGTCAACGTAGCGTGGTATTCTTCGTCGATGTCAGGGTAGTCGGCCGCCGATACAGCTCCGGAGGCGATCAATTGCTTGATCTCCCATCTTTCTGGGGAGGTCAGGCGCTTGCGGTTTTTCATCGGCTTGCCATCCGATTCCTCGATGATTGGAACATCCGAGCTCAGATTCCCGTATCTGTCCTTTCCGGAGATTGCATCCAGCCGTTCCATATTAGCACCGGATGCCAGGCGTTTCTGCGGGATAAGATCACGACCTGTGGCCTGGTCGACTTCCTTCATAGATAATCCGATGCGAGAACCTTGAATGCTGACAACTTTGACCTTGACAGGCTGGCCTCGCGACACCAGATCGGAAGGATGATTCACACGGACCCCCTCCTGCATCGCAGAGACATGAACGAGACCATCAACCTTCCCTTTGACGCCAGTCAGGTTCACAAAAGCTCCAAAATCCTTCACGCCCGTGACACGTCCATCGTAGACCTTGTACAAGATCGGCTGGTCGTCCAACTCGACAGGTGGAGGCTTTCGGAAATCGTCGTCTTCGTCACGGTCACGTCGTCTCCGTCGTTCACTGTGGCCATTTCGATACTTGTCGTCGCGGTTTCTTGCTGACCGACCGAACTCATCGACGTCATCATCTCTCCTGCGATAGCGGGGACTGTACGACCTCGACCGAGAGCGATATTTGTCGCGGTTTCTGCGTCCACGGGAGTCTCGATCGTCACGATAATCCGGGCTCCGGCTTCGCTTCTTGCTAGTCCGCTCATCCCTCGACGTCTGGGTTTTCTCTTCGCGAGCTTTCCCGGCGAGTCCCTCCAGCATCGCAAATGTATCATCCATAGCATCGGCTCGGGCGTCGGCTTCATTCGCATCGTTCGGCGCAGTGTCCGCTTCGTCGTCCCAGTTAGGTACTTTATCCGGAACGGCCAGCCCTTTAAACACGCGTGCTTTCTTCTCCAACGCATCCAGAACATCCATATCATTGCCACCTGTCGAGTCTTCCGGTTTGTCTTCCTTTTTGGACTTGTATTTCGGATGCATCGTGAGGACCAGGCGATCGATACTTTCCATCAAACTCTGAGGAAACTCGGCGCCCATGTCCTCTAGGGACTTTTTGAAATCCGCAAAGGAACCACATTTTAAATGCTGGTCGATCACGAACTCCGCCAGTGTCTTGTCGTTCACACCCAAGTGGTTTTGCAGTTCTCCGGTGATTCGCGAAACGAGCGAAAAAAGCTCCAAGGACTGGAGATCATCCATGGTCGGGGGGGAGAGCGCGTCCGCTCACAAAGCTCACAAAAAGAGAGACAGCTAAAGAGTCAAAGTCGGAAGTTATGCGAAGATGATAGAAGGACAATTCATTTGCGGAGAGTGTGCCGCGCACTCTCTAATCACCGAGTCGCGAGAAGCGTTCCTTTCAGAAAGCTCACTATCGCGGAAAATCGTTGTGGCGTGTTCGGAGCCTCGCCACCGATAAGATAAGCCATGATGACATAAGCCCCACCAGCCATTGGAGCTTCAGCCACACCCCGGAAGGGAAATCAACAACGCAATCCGACGATGCGTTGAAACAGTCCACTCGGCGCTATCCAATCCGAACTGGAAGAGGCCGCTGGGCCTGCATGATACCGCCCGGTCCGTTTCGTCCGCACAGTTCTATCCGGTGGTTGTAACACTGCTCCACACTCGGTGTGCATCGCGGGTTGTGCCGCTGCTTCCAGACCCATCACCGCGGGGCGTCGACACTAAAGATCACCCCTCGAATTTCAATCACGCCGAACATAAAAGGGGCCGTGAGTCGGATCTGAATTTGATCGGTCGTGGAACTGTGACTGATATATCTTCACGTGCGTTTGCATCTATCATTTCTATCCACATATGATCCCTTCTGAATCTAATGCTGACGTTAAGACGCTAGAGAGACAGCAGAAGCATCGTCCTTCCCTCATTAGACCATCTTCTACATCACCCCTACTATCACAAAACTCGTTCTCCAAATGATCTCGCAACCTGCTGCCACCACGGCTCTGTCCGCGCCGGGCAAGGTGCTCCTCACCGGGGGCTACCTCGTGCTAGACCGCAATTACACGGGCACCGTGTTTGCGCTTGACTCCAGAATCCATATCATTGTGCAACAACTCAGGAGGGATCATCGGCCAACGGCGTCCTCTAGCTCAGGAAAACGCACGAGTGACTCACCAGCGGAATCGGCGGAGGACGGAGCGGCTGCGGAGGAGAAGAAAGACAGCATTGTTGTTCGGTCGCCGCAATTTGTAGATGCGGTGTGGGAGTACGACATTCAGCCATGCGAGAACAAGGGTGGAATCAGAGTCATCCAGAAGAATGATGGGTAAAGAAACAACCATTCCTCTCCGGACCATCTACTAACCGAAAGCCTCAGAAAACGCAATCCATTCGTGGAGACCTCTCTCAACTACGCCTTAACCTACATCAGCTATGTCGCCGACTCCAAGGACTTTGGGTCTCTCTCCGTCACGATCCTCGCAGATAATGACTACTATTCGGAAACCGCCTTCTCCAAGACCTCGTCCTCGGGCAGATTCGTCAACTTTGGCGTCCCTCTCCACGAGGCACACAAGACCGGACTAGGCTCCTCCGCCGCGCTGGTGACCTCCCTTGTTTCAGCTCTGGTCATCCACCGCACGATGCAGCCCGACGACCTGGGTGCAGCCCGTGACAAACTCCACAACCTCGCGCAAGCCGCCCACTGCGCCGCCCAAGGCAAAGTCGGCTCCGGCTTCGACGTGGCCGCCGCCATCTATGGATCTTGTCTGTACCGGCGATTCTCCCCCAGCATTCTGGAATCGATCGGCGACGCCGGTTCGCCAGGTTTCGAAGAGCGGCTGTTCGCCATCGTTGAGGATGTCGACCCCAACCACCCATGGGACACGGAGTGTCTGGATTTTGGCATGCAGCTTCCCCGCGGCATGCAGATGGTGCTGTGCGACGTGGAATGCGGGTCCCAGACCCCGTCGATGGTTAAGAAGGTCCTCGAATGGCGCAAACAGAACAAGCAAGAGGCCGATCTCCTCTGGGCAGCCCTCCAGTCGAACAACGAGCGGCTGTGTCTGGAGCTGCGCCAGCTGGCCCAGAACCCGGAGCGCGACCCGCAGAATGACTTTGGTGACGTCCGCAACCTCATCCAGCGCTCGCGCAACCACATCCGCAGTATGACCCGCAAGACCGAGGTGCCTATCGAGCCTCGCGTGCAGACCGAGCTGTTGGATGCGCTGTCGGAAGTTGACGGTGTGATTGGCGGGGTGGTCCCGGGTGCGGGTGGCTATGACGCTATCGCTGTGCTTATTCGGGATGACCCCGAGGTGATCCGCCGCATGAACGAGCTCTTTGAGAACTGGGAGAGTAAGGTCGAGGACGACTTTGGCGGGAAGATTGGTAAGGTCCGGCTCCTTGGGGTGCGTCATGGCTCGGAAGGAGTGCGCAATGAGGTGCTGGAGCAGTATGCGGGTTGGATATAGGGTACACTGTCAGAGGTGATAATGACCCTCCTACGAAGTATATGAGGACATGTATGCATTAGCATGTTAAAGGTCTGTATCTGACTTGAACGGGAACTAAAATAAAAGAAGTGTCCATATTAGCAGGTCATATACATTCTACCGTGTAAACGCTCTACATATGTACGCAATCCCCTCATTACAACATGCACTAGCCAACCTAATCCAGTCCACCATCCAAGTCTAAACATTAGACGGACCGTCGACCGACTCCCCATTCTCAAACGACGGCTTATCCTGATACTTCTCACTCGGATCAAGCAGCCCATACTCGATGGCCTTCTCCTCGATCTCATCCTCGGACAGGCGCGGCAACTCCTTCGACGCCCGCACATAGCTCATCTTCTCGATAAATCCCTTGGCGAAAATCAGATCGATCTCCTCGAGACTGCGGCCCGCGGTCTCCGGGTAGAAGAACCAGATGACGGGGATGAAGAAGGCATTCCACGCCGCAAAGAACAAGTACGTGCCCCAGCCGATATGCTCGACCATAACGGGGGTGATCATCACGACCGTGAAATTAAACAGCCAGTTATTGCACGTGGAGATGGCGTTGGCCTTAGCGCGCGTGCGGATGGGCGACAGCTCGGCCGGGTACAGCCACGGCAGGGGCAGCCAGGTGGCGCCAAAGAAGCACATGTACAGGAAGAGGCCGAAGACAGCACCCTTGGCGGTCTGCGCGTCGCCGGGAATCAGGCAGCCAAAGACGATGACCATCGCCGCGCACTGCCCGTAGCTCCCGCCGAGGAAGAGCTTGCGGCGGCCGATCTTCTCGACGAAGAACCACGAGAAGGTCGCGAAGATGGCGTAGCAGATCATATTGATGCCGCCGATGAGCAGCGCGAAGTTGTGCGACTGGCCGATGGACTGCTCCAGAAGCACGGGAAGATAGTAGATCACGGCGTTGCAGCCGGAGATCTGCTGGAAGACCTGCGACGAGGACCCGACCAGCATACGGCGGAGATGCTGCGACGGGCCGCCGGTGAGGAGGTCGCGGAAGCGGGCTTTCTCGGCGCCGGAGCTGGGTTCGTTAGCATATATTGGAGAGAGCAGTGGAGGGGCTGCTTACGCGCGGATTGAGTCGAGGACGAGGGTCTTTTCCAGCTGGACGTGGTGGGAGTTGATTTCCTGATCGGCGAGGGCGGCGAGAACAGTCTCGCCTTCGGTAAGCTTGTTATGGGCGATGAGATAGCGCGGCGATTCGGGGAGGTAGATCATGCCGACGATGATAATAATGCCGAAGAAGACCTGGAAAGCGATAGGGAAACGCCAGACAAGATCAGGGGGCCCGAAATGCGCGCCGTAGTCGATCCAGTAAGCGATCGCGGTGCCGATGGCGATGATGCCGCCTTCAATACAGATGAGCAGACCGCGATTGCTGGTCTTGGAGCACTCGGCCTGGTAGGTCGGAATAGTCGAGGTGTTCATGCCGTTGCCGATGCCCGTGATGACGCGACCGAAGATGAACTGCAGGAGCGGCAGGGAGTTTGGCATCGCCGACACCTGGATGATCACGCCAACGATCATAACGGTTGCGCCGATGAGCACCATTCGTCGTCGACCGAGGCGGTCGCCGAAGAGGAGCGCGAAGATGGCGCCGAACAAGCAGCCTGCGTGGTGAGTTAGCTGTCTGGGGGATGACGCTGTGGATTGCGGAGTCCTACCGACTTCGTAGACGGCAGTTACTGTCGCTTGCATGGTGTTGTCGCCTCGCGTGGCTGTGAACATGTTGTTGAAGGCTGGGTCGGAGATGATGCCGGACATCACTCCTTCTGAATCAGGGTAAGCAATTGAGATCGAGTCTGGTTATGCGCACGCTACTCACGGTCATATCCGAATAGTAAGAAGCCCATGGTCGCAATGGTCGATATCGAGAGGGAGAGGGGCCTGCCCGATAGTCCCGCGTATTTGGGAGGCGCCATGATGGCCGTATAGATGAGTATGTGTGTCGCGGTGTGTAGGCTGTCCAGAGCAGAGAGAGGGCGCTATATCTGCAGTCGCCATCAATTGGGGGCATTCCGTTAATAACTGACAATATAGATCGCATGCGGTAATAGTGGCAAGAGGGAATTGACGCAGTTACTTTAACCAAAGCATTGGGTTGGTGAATCCGCAAAACGAAGCCAAAGAGTGGGAACATTTGACATCACCGCTGAGTTTGTCGAGAGGTTTGATGTCAGTCGGCGGCTGCAAACCCAGCCCGTCCATAGCGACGGGTGGAAATGATGTTATCGTGATGCCGAAGTGCCTGTGGGGACCAAACTCTAAGCATCGTATGCAACGGGGAATCCAATGAGACATCCACAAAAGACGAACAGTTCCAATTCAAATCGCATTAGAGTTATCTTCGTTCGCGAACCCATCATGGGTCATATCATGTCCAAAACTTATCCTCGCCGCGAGTCGACCGAGGGAAATGGCCAAAACAATCCAACCAGAGCGCTACAGGGATATCACAGAGAAAGATGGACGCACGCATCGAGAATGATGGATTATTCGACATATTCAACAACGGAATCTGTGCAGGACTGCTTTCCACTCTGGCTTTGGGTATACGCCGGGAGAGACGCATTGGCCTGGTGAGCATAACATGAGCGAAGTAGGAAGGGGATCTTGGTGGATTTTTGCACGATTGGAGCGTCAGGGTCACAAAAGCCATTCTTCGCCACGAAGAACACAAACTGCTGCCATTAGTCCGAGCCAGTAACGTGGGTGTCGATCTCATACCTCCAGCCAGTGGTTCACCTGCACATTCTTGTACCGCGTGTCGAAATGCATGCTGTTCTTCTGGACTCCATCGGCATCCGTCGAATGGATCTGACAGACAGGAAGCGGCAATTCCACCTCGATCGTGGTACCGTCCATGTCTGTTGGTTTCGCCATCCGGTCATGGTCTGGCTTCTCCTTCCCCGAGGAATCATCTCGTTCCTCGTCCGACGGACGACCGTCATCGGCAGAGCTGCGCCGCGAATCTAATACCGACAGGATCGAGTCATCCTTCGTCTCATACAGGCGCAGCCTCTTAAAGGGGCCGCAGCAGGATACGACGCCGTTCCGCTGGAGGTATTGGACGTTTTCCAGCAGATAGATGTGCACGCCGCGTACTTTAGCCATAGCCAGCTCGGAAAACGCGAATGCGACAGGGAGGTGGCGGCCCAGCGCTGCACCTCTTCTGGAGACGATAATTTCGCACCGGATGAGCTTTCGCCAGGTCCGGGCGACATAGACTGGCTCAGCATCGTCGACGAAGTCCTCTGCGGGACAATGAACGGCGGTGATGGATTTATTTTGAGTGATCTTTCGACTCCACATGCCGGGACTCTCGATGCACGCGCGGACATTGTACTGCACATGGCTTCGTCGAACATTGATGGATTCGGGTAAGTGAGAGGGTAGGATCATCTCGAAATTATACGTGTAAGTACCGGGAGATAACAGCCGACGTTCCGATCCAGCAGAATCTTTAGGGCCTGGTGGGCAGCGATTCGTGATTGCATGCCATAGCTTGCTTCGTTTTCGGGGCGGACGGTTTACCCCGGGGTCCATCGGTTCGGGGGAACCACAGCTGGTACATTGACTCTCTCCCGTGTCGGAGTCCTTGGGATCATATACAGTGAAGTTGCAATTTGTAACGGTCCTTTTGTCGCGAAAGCCTGTTACATGGAAGCATTAGTCTGGACATTAGGTAGACTCCGTTGGCGCTGGGAGACGTACCGTGTGGCCACAGAACATGGGATACGCCGCGGAAGTTCACCGTGAGTTTCTTCAGTGCATAGCTCTCTTTCAATACCAGAGTGCAGGAGCCTCTCAGGACGGCCGGGTTATGGGTGTAGGTTGGGATGAAGACAGCGGGCTCGGCAATGTTGATATCGAGAGCCGGGTCGCCGGATCTATCACGACTACCGCGTCTCCGAGCCATGTTTATTGTTGCTCGCAAATACTGCTGTAACCTATCTAGGAGGAAATCGTCTGGCCGTATCGACTGACTGGATTCCCGCCGCGGGTTAATAATAGTCGGCAGACCGGTAGATGTGCCACGCGCCAGCGGCATGGTTCCGATTATTTTCGGTCAGCTGTGGAGCGTGTGACCTTTGTCTAGACCCTCTGATAAGAAGGCAGATTACATCAGAAGGCTTCTGGATTAGAGTCCATGAACGGGGGAGGGTAGTTGCATGACAGGGCCTGCCATCGTCCACTTGACACCGGGCCAGCGGTTCGATCTAGGATTGGACCGTGGAAGGGCGACCGATCAATGGGGGACCATGGGCGACGACACGTTTGAACAGCAGAGGGATTGTTCAGTCCGGGGGAACACGCAGGGTGATAGGGTTTGGCGTGCGATGGAACAAAGCTGTCGCGTTGTCTAGTGATGTCACGGATTCCAGGGCGCGACGTGGACACAGTGGCGAGGGAAGGGTCTTCTTCAGTTGGTTCTTCAATCTCTTTTTGAATAATCATAATAGATTGGGCTGGATTCCCCCTCTGTTCCCTCTTTGTGGTGGAAATTCCTAGGGGCGTTGTCAGGTGATGGTCGACAGACGATCGCTTCGGCGCGGAATGAGGGGGAGAAAATCCCGATGAATGATTTCGGCCGGTTCTAGCACGGACGGCTGGCCTGGAGAAAAGCGGGGAAGGCGAGGATGTGTGTGGGCGAGATGAGAAGGTCTGGAGGGTGCTCGGATTGTCTCGATGGAGTAAGAGAGGAGAGGGAAAGGAGGGTTTGGCCTCAATTTGGTCGGTGGTGATGATGCAGGAGATGCATGTCGACTGCAGGCTGCATCGTGGATGTCCAGACGGGGAGTTTGTCAATGTCACTTTGGCGATCCGGGGTCGTGCAGTGCATGTTGTGTGATGCGGTATCGGGAAGTGTCGTGTTGAGGATTACGGAGGAGTGATGTTTATATGGGTCTACTGTACCTATACAGCAAGGGAATCAGGAGATGATGCGCATGTCGCGTATTATCCATGAGGATCAAGCTATAATAACTATAATATAGTATTACTGTTGAAGTAAAAAAAACTAGACAGGAACTTGTGTAAAATGTACTAAACAAATAATGACATATTATAGAATCCGACCTCTATCAGAATCACCTCATTCATCAATTCTACGGCGTAGATACATACCTATTATATATATCTTATACTATACAGTCGGTTCTACAAGTCATCAACCCAACACCATAACACCATCAATCCTCTTCCTTATATCCCATCATCATTCAATCCATTCACCCCATATTCCATCCATATTCCATATCCCATACTCCCATATACTCCGGAAATCCTCCTCAATCGTTTCCTCGATCTGGTCCACTCCGGCCTTGCTCCACCGCCAGCCGGATCGCCGCCTTATTTCCCCAGAAGGACAAACGGGTGTCCGGTCTCTCCCCCTTCTGGACTCTCGCTCTCCACCAGCTCATTCTCCTCTCCTCCTGTCTCTCTTCTCTTCTCCCCTCTTGTCTCTCTCGTTCTTCCTATCTCTCTCCTCTTTTCTTTTATCTACACCCGCCGCATATCGCTTCCTCCAGGAACCTTTCTCGGAGTGCGAAGCCGACTGGGTTCTGGTGCTTCCCGTCTCTCGTTAGCCGCGGGAACAACCAGTGTCTCGTCATCTCCCTATCACCATCGTCTTTTCCCTTTACCCTCACCTGTCTCCTTGCCGCCCTCGTTTCATCATCCCTCTTCCTTTTTATCTGTTCGATTGCGTCGTTGGTTATTATATCACCATCAATACCTGTCAACTCCCCCTTTTTTGCTACCCACTTCTCTCCGTCTGCCTCCGCTCTCACCTCGCCGATCGGCCTCCATCCGCAGCCTTCGTTCACCCTAATTCGCTCCCCATTCCAATCGGGGCATATTCTCTCAAGATTCGTCAGTTTTGGACATGGCCGCCAACGAGAACCCCCCGTCCGACCCGTCAGGGAATTTAAGCCCCAAAGACGATCCCGTATCCACCGCCACCACCGCCGCCGCCTCCCCCCAAGAACCGCACCCTCAATCCCAACCGTTGGCCTTTACGTCTGCCCCGGAGCCAGTAGAGGCTGCAGATGCTCCTGCACCGTCCACTTCAGAATCCCAAACCAACACCGTGGCCCCCACGGAGTCGCAACCCCCGACCGCCACCGAGGGACCCGCTGCCCCCGTCGAGGCCAAAGAGGTCCAACAGGGAAATGTCGATACTCTCCCCACAAACATTGCATCGTCCGCGGATGCGGGTGAGCCCAAGGTAGAGGCCCTCACTCAACACTCGTCACAGTCGTCGGAAACGTCCGCAAAAGAGACGGAGGATTCTGGACCGTCTCTGGTGATCACATTACTCCTGATTACGGGCTCGCGGCATCCGTTCAAGATTGATGGAAAGTACCTACGGAAACGCTCGGTCAATGTCGAGAATTACGATCCGTTTGCGATGAGTGTGTATACTCTGAAAGAATTAATCTGGCGGGAGTGGCGACAGGGTAAGCCTCCCCTTTTCGGGGATGAAAGCCTATTCCGTTGACAATTGGTGTTTGTAGATTGGGAACCGCGACCATCGTCGCCCAGCTCTATTCGATTGATTTCCTTTGGGAAGCTTCTGGATGATAAAGCCCCTCTGTCCGGTATGTTACACAACGAACGATGATAAGAGTCGTGCTAACTGGCTCATAGACTCTAAGTTCAGTCGGGATGCCCCGAATGTGGTACACATGACGGTGAAGCCTCAAGAACTTATCGATGAGGAAGATGCAAAAGGCACCAAGGCCCAGTATACCCGAGAACGAGAGTCCAGCGAACGCAGCCCTGGCTGCCGCTGTGTCATTCAATAACTCAACAGGTTATCCATCTGTATATTATGACCGTGAGGATGGATTATATCAGCCCAGCATGACCTGTTGAGGTCTCCCTGGCGGGTCACGCCAACTGGCGAGCGCAGCGGGACCTTGCCAACTCTTTCCCTGGACCTCCGGATCCATTTGCTGTATCTTTATGCTGTACCGATCAGCTCATCTGTACGGTTTAGTCTCCCGCTGGACGACTTGGAAATCGGCCGGGTGTATGGCCTAGATGCAGGATATATGGCTGGCCATTTGTCAATCAAACTCTAGGATGGCGTTTCGGATGTTGCTGTTTTGCTTTCAGCACTTGAGGCATTGTGATCGTTTGAGTCTGGGTGTGCGTTTGCATAGTTCTTGAGGTCTTATCTTCATCTACCTTGTTTCATATACCCTGTCCCTGTTTTCAGCTGTCCACATATACGTCTTGGTTTAGCATGTCGGTCTTTGCAATTCTCCGTATATCTTCTGAGTTTCCTTGTGGCTCAATTGCTCTCGTCTATAATGATCACCAAACAATTTGGGTTTCCAACTCGACCCTGTATCTACGCATCTTAGACTAGACACGATTGCCCGAATTTACCGTGCTAAGAGCCCATATTATTGTAACCCTCAATAACAGATGATTCATGACCTGTATGAACAGCATAACCTAACCCAGCAGAGAACAACCGAAAAAAAGACCCTAATCCATCCGCAATCTCTTCTCCATCTCGTCGTGGAAGGTCGGCGGCTCCCGGAACTCATCACCTACACTCGTTAGCTCAATCTATCCCCAGCAATCGCCCAATACAACAAAACCAAAGAAAAAAGGGGAAAAAATACCCTGGAAGATATCCTCCCAGCCAACCTCCGTATCCCGCCCCCCAAGCACCAAGATATCCTCATGCAGGTTGCCCCCCTTGACGCCGCCCAGCACGGCCGGCCGGAACGTGCCGTCGCGGACAATCTTCAGCTCCATGCCGCGGCGGATGGGCTCGGCGATGCCGTACGCCCGACGCAGAGACTCCATCTTCAGGGCATCCTGGGTCTGGCGCCAGGCGAGGAGGCGGGCTTCGAGCGGGTGCGCGGACGCCGGGAGGGCCGTCTGCGAGGATGGGTTGCCGCGGGCGGCGGGGAGGGTGATGTTGTCGCGGAGGGTGTCGGGGAGGCCTGGGGCCGAGGGGGCGCCTTTCGACGGGTGCGGCAGCGAGATCGGGATTTGTTGGCGGGTGTTGGTGTTGTCTGTTTGGGAGGGGTGGTTGGATTGGGGGGCGATGCGGAGGGACTGGGGAGTTGTTAGTTGGTTCTTGCATGGGAGGTGTTGTTGTAGGGAGAGGTGGACGGGATTGGGTTACCATTGTGGCGGAGGTATCGAAGGGATTAACGTGTGGATGACAGGAGGTACTGAGGAGGATGGAGAGGTCGATGAGGAGAAGACTAGATGGAGATGAGGTGAGGTTGATGTTGAAGATGAAAGTCGGAGGAGCTACCTACAGAGCAGCCAGGCCGCACCGCCTGCGTCAGCTAGCTCCTCCGGTCACGCACACAATCCACCAACGCAGACACGTGACCCTATCGCATGGAAATTATCCAGCCCATCACACCCCGTACGCCCCGACGCCATTCCCATCCACATACAACCTCCCGAGAACGCCTAATCCACAATGCCTCCCCTCGTCTCGTCGTTAGCCCTCCGCACCCTGCGGACGCTCGTCCAGCGCCCCGCGCTCTCCCGTGCTGCCGTCGCCGTCCCCAAACCGACCCCGACGCCCCGACGCTTCCAGCCGGTGCTCCGCACGCCGACCGCCATCACCGGCGCCACGACGGCCGCCATCCGCCAGTTCTCGACGTCGCCGTTCCGCCAGGCGACGTACAACCAGGTGCGGCGCGGGTGCCGGGTTGCGCAGCGGGCGCGGCGCTCGCGGTCGCCGGCGCTCGTCGGCCGCCCCGAGATGAAGGGCGTGTGTCTGAAGACGGGTATCACGAAGCCCAAGAAGCCGAACTCCGGGGAGCGGAAGACGGCTCGTGTGCGGTTGAGCAGTGGGAAGATTGTTACGGCGTATATTCCGGGTGAAGGTAGGTTCCTGGGTACCGGGGGGACTGATGGATGAGAGATGGCTAATGTGTGTAGGCCACAATGTTCAGCAGCACAGCGTGGTTATGGTCCGCGGTGGTCGTGCGCCGGATTGTCCCGGTGTGAAGTATCATCTGGTTCGGGGGGCGATGGATCTGGTAGGTCTCTTTCTATCCTGATGGAGTGGTGTATTGTGCTAATGCGTGTTGCGTGCAGGGTGGTGTTGCCAACCGGTTGACAAGTCGGTCGAAGTACGGAACGAAGAAGCCCAAGAGGGATTAGATGGGATGAGTTCCGGACTCGATACTTGTGTATTATTGTGTGATTTGTTACATTCCAAGCTGGACTCATCGTTGTTATCGTTAAACGCCTATGTACATGTACACTTATGAAACAATTCTTTCGGATGGGGTTTCCCGTAATTGCAGAGGGCAGTAACATGACACCGTTTATCACCGCATGCTCCGTGAATAGACAGAAAGGAGATAAAATAAAACAGCGGGTGAAGTATGAAGTCTGTATGGGGGTTTATGTGGTATCGCATATGTGGTGAGGTGGTAATGTGGTTTATCTTTTGGACATCGTCTTCCAGGTCTCCAGGGCTCGCTCGGGGAATTGGCGCCCTCCGCGGACCACGCGTGCGCGGATGTTGTTGTTCAACGCGAGAACAATACAGCCGACGATAGCAATCGCCAGGAGCACTTTTCCAACAACGGCTAGTCAACTTTGACTTTCGTACCCTTCTGGTTTCTCCATGTTGTTCACCTGGAAGAAGCGGGATGTGCCTGCGCAACGGTGTCAGTGGGCATTGATTTTCTGGCCGGGCGATGACTTACAGGAGTAGCCCTTCCAGTCGAAGTTGTCGCTGGGGTTGCAGGAGCATTTGTTCTCCAGTCTCATCTTCTCAGAGGTGGGGCAGTGGGTAAAGGGGACGTGGTAGTAGGCGATCTCGTCGAAGAAATGGATCTGCTCCTTTTTCAGGAGGATGCCAGCGGCAATCGAGTGCACCGGCGCATCACCCCAGCGCTCGTAGAAAAAGCCGCCGTCCTGGTCCAGCGACTCGAAGTAGTCAATGTATTGCTTGGACCGCAGCCACTCCAGACTTCCAATCTCAAAGTTGGACCACTGTCGGACACATGGTTAGCAAGCGCGAAAGGACTGAGGAAGGGCGGGGATGGAAGGAGAGAAATAGCACATACGAAGTGACACTTGTTGTAGGTCTTGCCGCCGTCATCGCTGAGGAAATCCATGGAGTTGCCATCGGCGATGTGCTCCGGGTGGTTGCCCATGAACTTCTTGACGCTGTCCCACAGGGTAGGGATGGTTTCGTAGTATTCGTAGAGACTGAGAGTGAAGCTGTATTTCTTGTTGTTGTCCTTCATGTAGCGGAAGGGGTCGAAGCTGATGTCGCAGTAGAGTTCAATGCTGGGCTCTACACGCCAGTAGTATTCGTAGTTCATCATCAGTTCGTGACGGAAGAAGAAGCCGGACTCGTAGCGACACATGTGACGGTAGCTCTCAGAACCGCCGTAGATGATCTTCTTTGCGTCCATGGCCTCCCGCACTTCCTTGGCCTTGTCCTGATCGATCCATTCCGGGTAGGACCAGTGTTCGGTGGGGATCTGGCCGTAGTGGGTGGTACCGGAAACCAGCGACGTGGTGACTTTCTTGAAAGTGTCATCAAAGGGCTTGTCGTTCAGGAACACCCAGTCGTAGTGGTAGTTGCGATTGAAGCGGTCCTCCACCTGGCGAATCGACTTGGCGATCTCCCAGACATCGCTGTTGCGGGCTAGGGTGACGAACGTCGCATTCACCCGCTCGCTGGAAGCGCCAGCGCTTCCGGAAGAGACGTCGGGTTTGGGGACCACCGCGGATTGTCCATTGGAGGATCCGGGAGAGGAGATGGAATGGGAGGACGACGACGATGAAGATGTGAGGGTATCTTTGTAGTTGTTGATCTTGGAACCGATGTTCTCAGGGATGGGGATTGCGCTGCGGGAGATGAAGAAGAATAGCGTCACTCCCTGGTCCGAGGTTAGTAACGGGTGCGACTTGGGGAGATATTAAGAGGATAGCGTACCACTGCCGCGAACAAGAGGTAGCGAAGATATCTGGGTCCGGAAGACATGTTGGGGAGGGGATGGTGTGACTAGGCAGAAGGAATCTGGCTGCCTGTGTAGAGGCGAGAGTATATACGGACGAGACCCGGAATCGAGAGGAGTAGAAACGAACGACAGGAGGTTTGGAATAGAGTAAATAGCGAAACAGAGACTCCGGCTGCAGAGGACAATGAACACAGGATCAAGAATGGGGGAGTGGCGTCGGAGAGATAGTTATGGGATGAGGCCGGAACGATAAGACAAGCAATTCAATCAATCTGATATCCAAATCAGTGCAAAGGATGTAAGAATGGCAGCATCCACAATCCCCAGCCGTCCTATGAGGACTCACTGCGATCGAATGGGGAGAGAAATGGAGGGAAACAGAAGAGATCGACGTGCGATATAGTGAAGATTTCAAGGGATGAGAGGATGAAAAGAGAGAAAACGCTCTGTTTTCGGACTACGTAGCCGTCTCTTCTATTATTGGCCCGATCAGGGGGGAAGCCCCGGTTTCAGCCACCGATGCGAAGCGTTTATATTAGATGTTCTATTCTTATGATAATTGTCCTGGGATGCTGGAGGAGGGATGTCTGACGGGATATTCTAGAACGACAGCGACTCCGGAGGACAGGATGTCTCCATGCACTGATGGGGCGACGATCATTGTCCCTATACATGGACTATCTACCCAGAGTAGACTATGGAGATAGTCCATGAACAACAACAGAACGGAAGAACAATAAGACATACTACTACAGAAGGTGATATCGTTGATATTTCCTATCCAAGAGAATTCATAATACTCCTGATGATCTCAAACATCTCTCGATACTACCTGATCTTACCTTAATTCCTCTTCCTATTGTTCCGCTTAGTCATCTTATGCCTCAGGCCGCAAGCTAAACCCAAACGGCAAGCGGCGTGATATCAACGTCTCAACTTCATCCCGCACTGTCGGAAATTATGCGGTGGTGATTCCTCCTCCCCCTCTTCTCCTCTTCCCCTTTCCATCCACCACCCTCGGCCGAAGATGTCCTTCTTCGGCTTCGATACCACCCTTCCGAGGGATCGGGCTCCTCCGGGTGACAAGAGGGGCATTTTCGACACCCCTGACCCGTTTGCTGAGGTCGCCCGCGCTCGCGCTCACGCCCCCGACGACGATGACGATGTGTGAGTCACCTTATATGCTTCAAGCCGGATCTGTGATCAAGATGTAGGAGACTTCAATTGGCTGTTACTGACGCTTTCCGCGTGTTTGCAGAATCGATTTCGAGGACACCTACGATGGCCTCGGTGACCAGCTTGACGATGACCAGGATGCGTTCAACGACGATACCTTCGGTGGTGAACTCGAGTCCGCCCCTGTGGGCAAGGACTTTGATTTCTTTGGAAAGACCGCTCAGGTAGCAGACGCGATCGGTGAGGAACAGGTCCGGTACAGTCTCCAGCACCCAGGGGCACCGGCTGTCGCTCCCCCTGCGACGGAGCCCGCTCCATCGACCGCTACAGCCAAGCAACCGAAGCGTACTGGATATGAGAAGTACTCCGACCCCGACTATATCCCCGACCTTCAGGCCAAGTCCAGCATCTGGAACATGCCCCAGAAACCGGAGCCAGCTCCCCAACCTGCAGCCCAACCCAAGAAGATGTTGAGTTTGGAGGAAGTCGAAGCCCAGCTACGTGGCCACGGAGTTCCTCCCGGTCTCGGCCAGCCCCCGGTATCTCTGCCACAGTCGATTCCGGAGCTTTCACAACCTCTTCAGCGTCCCCCGGGCCTCCCTGAAGGCTTCGCACAGCTGCCACCGGAGTTGTTACAAGCCCAGTTCGCCAAAGGGGTTCCACCAACGCAGCTCATGCACCAGCCGCCGATGGGCCCTGAACATTATCCTTTCCCGCCCAACGTGCCTTTGCATCTGTTGCAAAATGCCAACCTCCCCCCTCAGCACATGGTTCCTCCGCAGCGCCAGGCTATGCCGCCCCAGGCACCCCGGCCGCAGCAACATCAACAACAACAACCCCCGCAGCCCGCCATCCCGCAAGGTCCTCGGGGAGGAAACAACATCCTGCCGCTGATCACCAATCCCCAGCAATTGATGAACTTGACTGAGGAGCAGCGCATTGCGTACTTGATGGAGGATGCCAAACGGGCGAAGCGCAACCACAAGATTTTCCTCCTCTCGAGAGGCAATGGACTGATGACCCCGCAGGATAAGAATTTCATCACTCGGATCCAACTCCAGCAGCTGGTGGCCGCCGCAGGAAATGTCGGTGACGATTCCGAGGCCGTCCTGGCCGAGGATTTCTACTATCAAGTCTACAGCCAGATCCGTGGCGCCCCCCGACAACACCCTCATCAGCCTCTAGGTCACTTTGCGCAGACATACCTTCTCCAGACGGGTAACCGCCTGGGTGGCCATGGCCGGCGCCAGGCGCAGAGTGCAGACAACCACATGCAGCGGATGCAGCAACAGGTGCAGCGTGCGGTGGAAGCGGCCAAGGCTAAGCCCAAGAACAAGCAGTTGATCATCGAGGGAAGCTTGGGCAAAATCTCGTTTAGCAATGCGAAGACGCCGAAGCCCATGCTCAATATCAAGCGCCCCGAGAGCTCGGAAGGAGGAAAACCAGCCAAGAAGCCGCACGCGGACTTGAGCATGAGCGATCGGAAGTCCATCCTTACCAACATTGAGGGTGTGTACGGCACTTTGATGGAGATGGAGGATATGGAACGGACGATGCCGCCCCCGCCGGATGAGAATGACCCCGAGGCCATCCAACGGCACCTGGAATGGCGACAGAAGGTCCGCTCGCTCAATCAGAAGTTGTGGCAGGGCTTGAAGGTCATGGAGCCCATCGTCCCCAACACCACTCATCCTTTCATTGCATTCCTTTCCTACCCGAAGGGCAAGAAGGCTATCCCTCGTATCTTCCGACACATCGACCAGGAGCAGCGGGTCACTATTCTTACCATGATTGTGGTTCATCTGGATACTCTGGACGTTGTTCGGCTGGCACAACCGGCTCCCGGGGAGAGTCAGCCTTCGATTGCGGTGCGTGAGGCCATTGAGCTCTTCTCGCAGGCGGTCATGCCCAGCCTGCTAGGCTACGTGAACGAGGCACCATTCAACATTATTATCGGACTCCTGGGACTGGTTATTGCGCAGACGCATGTGCAGATGGTGGCCAAGACTCGCATTGGATTGGGCATTTTGACCATGCTGCTCAGCCGTGCGGAGATTGTCAAGGAGGCCGGACAGGCCGCGGAACGCGACTGGCAACAATGGGTGGAGAAGTTTAACATCCTCTTCGACACGCTGGAGCCTACGTTTGGGGATATCTTCCCGGGATCGATCAATGCCGGGGACGACATGTATGTGTGGCAATTCTTGGCGGCCGTGGGCATTGGCGCAAGCCCGGAGCAACAGCAGCGGTTGGTCATTGCGGTGAAGTAAGTCTTTACGCGGTGTGACTGGATGGGTGAAGTACAATGCTAACGGTTGATGTAGGGACCGAGTGATGGAAACAGTGACCTACAGCAAGACTCTTCCCGCCGAGATGGCTAGCCAACGCCTTGGAAACGTCAACTTGTTCATGCGGGCCATTGGTCTCGATGTTGAGCTTCTCGGATGAAGGATACGAGAGATGGTCGAGATATGAATGACTGCACTCTAGTCCTGTAGTGAGGACCACGGACTCCTGATTTCTGACCTCCGTCTACGACAATCTCCTCTCATCTCACCTAGCGATTGAGAGATCCAACCGGGTGGAAGCCCGGGTTATCTATCCCACGGTATGACGAGCACTGAATGGCTAGCCTTGGAGCTACTGGAAAAATTCGCCGGATGACGTCGGAGCAGGCGTTGTCCCTGGGTCATATTTTGAGACGACCCGATGTTTGATTTCGTATTCATGATGAAGTAATTTGTACATTTTTACTGCCGAATTGATTGGATGCAACTTTCTTCCTTGTTCTCTTCCTTTACTTTCCTGAAGACGACCATGACAGGCTAGCCAGAGCTACAGGATCCGACCACGGATACCCGGTGGATGACATGGGCTGGGTGGTGCAACGACACCACGGGATTCATCTGGCCACGGGGTTCATCTGGAGATGATTCGGGAGAGATGGACCCTTGGATGACTTGCTGGGCCTCCGAAAACCGAGTGGAGCTCGACCCGCCGCAGTGGACATTTGACCAGGTGGTCTCTATGCGATTGGCAGGGTCGGAATTGCCATGCAGAGAGAGGGTGATAGGCAAGCCGATCGGTTAATTAGGGATCATGCTATTGTCCGTTCCAACCGTTCTCAGCCGATGGCCGTGTTCAGCCCGATGATTCCGGCGTGGTCAGGTATTGGAATGTACGGAATGTACGTCCTGTGTGGCAGGTAGTGTACCTCTGTATGTCGTTGTATGTCAAACGGACAGACAGATGCATGGGCAGGTTCAGTTTGCAGCGAGACTCATTGAGAGATTAACTGATGCTGGCAAGGGGCGATCGACCCGAGACTTACGTATGCCGATTGAGCACCGTTTCACGACTCCATCCGTGGGGTACGAGCAATTACGGAGAATCCCCCGTATGTGCATGGGGTTATGGCGAGAGGGATGGTAACTTACGGTACGATGCGGTACGGTGCCTGCCCCGCCATATTAATTACGCTTTACTCCTATTATTATTATTATTATTACCATCACCAGTTCCCCTGACAAACACCGTCTCTTTTCTACTTCTTCCCATCTTCTCCCATTGCCCTCCTCTTTCTCTTCCTCACTCTTCCTCACTCCTCCTCCACTCAATTCCTCATCCACATCTTCATCATGTCTGCTGGCTCCGTTCTCGTCACCGGGTATGTCCTATGTCTCACCACTCACCCTCACCCCTCCTGCCCCTCCCCCTCCCCATCCTCTAGCTAACAACACCCCGCAGTGGCACAGGCTACATTGGCTCGTTCACCACCCTCGCTCTCCTCGAGGCCGGTTACAAGGTCGTCGTCGCCGACAACCTCTACAACTCCTCCGATGAGGCCCTTCGTCGCATTGAGCTGATCTCCGGCAAGAAGCCCGAGTTCGCCCAGCTCGATGTCACCGACGAGAAGGCCTTTGACAAGGTCTTCGAGGCCCACCCCGACATCGACAGCGTTATCCACTTCGCTGCCCTCAAGGCCGTCGGCGAGTCCGGCGAGAAGCCCCTGGACTACTACATGGTCAACGTCTACGGCACTCTGTGTCTCCTGCGCTCCATGGTCCGCCACAATGTCACCAACATTGTCTTCTCCAGCTCCGCTACCGTCTACGGTGATGCTACCCGCTTCCCCAACATGATCCCCATCCCCGAGGAGTGCCCCCTCGGTCCCACCAACCCCTACGGTAACACCAAGTTCGCCGTCGAGACCGCCATCACCGACGTGATCAACGCCCAGCGCAACAACGCCAAGAAGGCCGGCAACGCCGCCGACGCCGACAAGTGGAACGCCGCCCTGCTGCGCTACTTCAACCCTGCCGGTGCCCACCCCAGCGGCATCATGGGTGAGGACCCCCAGGGTGTCCCCTACAACCTGCTGCCTCTCCTGGCCCAGGTCGCCACCGGCAAGCGCGAGAAGCTGCTCGTTTTCGGCGATGGTACGTACTCGGGATGATTCCACGTGCGTGCCGCAGAACTAACAGAACATCCAGACTACGCCTCCCACGATGGTACCGCCATCCGCGACTACATCCACATTCTCGACCTGGCGGACGGCCATCTCAAGGCCCTCAACTACCTGCGCGCCAACAACCCCGGTGTCCGCGCCTGGAACCTGGGTACCGGCAAGGGCAGCACCGTCTACGAGATGATCCGGGCCTTCTCCAACGCCGTCGGCCGCGACCTTCCCTACGAGGTCGCCCCCCGTCGCGCTGGTGACGTCCTCAACCTCACCTCCAACCCCACCCGGGCCAACCAGGAGCTGGGCTGGAAGGCGCAGCGCACCCTCGAGCAGGCCTGCGAGGATCTCTGGCGCTGGACCAAGAACAACCCTCAGGGCTACCGTCAACAGCCCCCTGCCGAGCTGCTGGAACAGCTGAAGAAATAGATAATAGGTCGATAGGACCGGATACGGAAAAGTAGTCGGGGTTGATAAATTGAACGAATTTCTTTTGTTGCCGTCTATGTAGTATTCCGTAGAAGTGTATATGTCTATTTATTCGTCCGTCGGCTCCGTCGCGACCCAGGCGTCTTATCCCCCGCCTTGGACCCGGACCCAGTCGCTGCCTGCTCCTGTCCTTTCTGCGAATCTTGCTCCGGGTTCTGGTTCTGCATCGCCCTCAGAAGCGCGCCCTCGCGCTCCTTCACCTCAATCTGCTTCTCACTAAACTCCCACAACTGCCGCGCCACCTCCTGGTCTGTGATCTCGCGCCGTGCAAAGTCCACCTCGCGACATTCCTTCACCATCCACCCGCCAGTCCCACGGCCGAATTTGGCCTCCATCGCCGCATACAGGATACTCTGCGCGCCCTGCGGTGCCGACTTGAGCACAAGCCACCAGAATGGCCAGGTCAGCAGGTAGAACAGCAGACCCCACAGCGAGCCGCCGGTCAGCCAGCGGCGTGTGCCGGGGGTACGGCTGAAGCCCGGGTCGACGACGAGGACGCGGGTGCAGGGCGGCTGGCCGTCGGGGCGCTTGTAGGCGTTGAGGTGTTGTTGGAAGGCGTGGGCGAAGATCATGAGGGAGAGTTTGCTGGCGGCGAACAGGTTGGGGCGTTTTCTGGTCGCCATGGAAGAGGAAGTAGTGGTGGCGGGCGTGGGTTTCTTTTTCGATTTGCCTTTCTTCGATGATGTCGCCATGGCGGTAGCGGCGGCGGCAGCAGCAGCAGTAGTCGGTGCGGTGTCAGCCTCCTTGAGGTTCAACTTCCCACCAATGTAGCTGGTGCAGGTGGTGAAGATGACGCGCACGTCGCGGTGGGGCGGTTGGGCGCGCAGGGCCGGGCTGAGGATGCTCAGGAGGTGGAAGTTGGCGAGGTAGTTGACCTGCCACTCCTCGTCGAGGCCGTCCGGGGTGACGGGGCGCGGCGAGGCGGAGGTGGGGGTTGCGGTGCCGGCACAGAGGATGAGCATGTCGAGGCGGCGGGGCGGGACGTTGTCGATCCATTTGGTGGCGAAGGTGCGGATGGAGTGCAGCGAGCGCAGGTCGACCTGCTCGGCGTAGATGAGCTGGTTGCCGGTCGACTTGCGCAGATCCTCGATGTAGTCGACCAGGAAGATGTCGTTGGGGGCGTGCTGTGTGAGCAGGATGATTTGGGCGCCGCGCGAGGCGAGCTCGTAGACGACGCTGGCACCGATGCCGGATGTTCCGCCCTAGGATGTCTTTGTCAGTATAACCGCTGGGTGGGGATTGGAGGTGAAGAGACGTACCGTCACCATGACCACCTTCGAATGCATCAATCGCTCGGAGCCATTGCGTGCGCCGCCAAAGTAGTACTTCAATGCGGCCAGGAGGAGCGCCCAGGGGGCGACCTGCAGGACGGTCCAGGCATACGGAATGGACGAGACGCCCTCACGCACGCCCTGGATGATAATGGGGATGGGCATGGTGAATGGGAGGGAGTCGACGGGGAGAGAGGAAGAGAGGGAGAGAAGAGCCGCGTGTTTACTGTCAGAGAAACGGTGATGTGTAAGCTAGGCTAGTAAGCTAAGGAAGTCAATCCCGATCCGTCGATCTCCCGCCACTTCAACTTCCTCCTTCACACTCCGCATGGAGTACGACACCCATGTCGCAAGACGAAGGAGAAGACTACTTCCTCCCGCTGGAAGACCAGCGCGTCTTCGGCGCCGGGATCAGTCGCAAACGCGTCGCCTTCGTGCGATCGTCCGAGCACGAGCTCAACACCACCTCGACTCGGTCTTCTTCCGTGCCCGCGTCGTCCGCCGGTCCCAGCATCGCCGATAGATATCTCTCGATCGTCCTGAAGCAACAACAGCCACAGGAACAGTCCTCTTCCAGGCTCCCAGATACCAATCAACCGCCTTTGGAGGAACCGTCTATAGACAGCGCGTCCAAACCGCAAGCAGAGACGCAGTCCGCGCCACCCTCCCCCTCCGCGCCAACCCACTGCGATGTCTGCAATCTTCCTCTCCCCGCGGACGACTTCGCCGCTCGGCCCCATGAAGCCTCACTTGCCCACCAGGTCTGTCTGACGCATTCGCATCCGCCGTCGCATCTGGACCGCACTCGCCACGGCCTGCGGTATCTCTCTGCGTACGGGTGGGATCCAGATAGTCGTAGGGGCTTGGGTGCGCCGGGCCGCGAGGGCATTCGAGAGCCGTTGAAGGGACGACTAAAAGTTGATACCGTTGGACTAGGGGCGGGTGTCCAGGATCCCGATCTCCTAGAAGGAGAGGAGAAGGCCAAGGCCAAAGCGAAGGCAAAGGCAACCCCGCCGCCGGAAAAAGTGCAGAAGTTGAATGCGAAACAGGTGCGCAAGGGACATGCCGACGCAAGGAAGCGAGGAGAACGGTTGCGGCAGATGTTCTATCAGAGTGATGACGTTCTGAAGTATCTGGGGGAAGCTTAAATGTTTGGTTATGGAGGACATTTGGCATTGCGATTACATATTGATACCCATTCTTTCTGTTTATTTACGAGGTGATTAACTGGCAGGTACATACAATCAAAGCATATACTTGAAGAAATACTAAGCTATCCATTCAGCGCCCGGCTAAAACAATCCTAACTTGGTATCACAGCGCCATAATCACGAAGCAGAAGCGAATATTAGGCATTACCGGAAGAAATGGTGCCGCTTCTTCTCCTTCTTCTCCTTTGAAAGCTTAGTACTGGAGGATGGTGCCGCCGTGCTGGACGATCCGTTCGTGGGCCCTAAGGACATCGCGCCCATCGCTGCCGTCGGAGGCGCCGGAGGGTTAAGGCGCGGCATGGGGGATTTCCTCTGTGGAGGAGGCTGAACTTGGGGCTGCGGCGGAGGAGTCTCACGCTCGAAAAGGTGCGCTGGGGCCGTCGGCTTCGGTCGGTCAACCGGGAGGTCCAGACGGCGTCGGTCGGCACTGAGGTCGCCGAGCTGTCGAAGATACAAGGACGGGGTCAACATGTGGGAGGTTGTGAGGATGACGTCCTTGCCGAAAGACTGCGAGACTTCGTAGCAGCTGCGAGCTTCGCCAAAAGTGGCCCCGCCGGCCATGAACACAATAATCCGCTGTCGAGGCTGCTCTGCCGAGGAACGGGTGCGCGCCCATGTCGGTTTGGCACTTCGCAACGACGCTTGCGAAATGTTGCTGTTCGGCTGAGCTCCCATGCCGTCCGACTCCGTATGAGGTTTGGTATAGGGGAACACGGTCGGGTCCAACGTTCCCCGAACTTGCTCCTCCAGCATCAGTTTCAGATTCAGGTCATAACGAGACAGAGCAGCCTCGTCTGAGTCTGGCGGAGGCGCGGGCTTCCGCTGGAAAAGCGGCTGCACGGGTGGTTTCTCATCCTTAAGCTGCTTCTCGACTCGAGCTCCGAGTAGTTCAAGGTTGGCGATAACTGCTCCGTCCTGCGGAGGGAGTTGACCGTGAGCTAAAAGCTTGCGGATATCTCCTGCCAGGAGCCCACCTCGGTACATGATGTAGAGAAGCAAGAGCCTCAGTCGGTCTATAGGCACAACCGCGTCATCGTCCATGAGCTGGACAAGCTGGGATCCCAAGTTCTTGGCTTTCTTGAAATTCTCGTCCAGGCCAGTGGCCAGGCATTGTTCGACCGAGCTCACTTCCAGAAGTTTGCGTTCTTGGAAGAATTTCATACACTCTCCTGCCATATCAAGGTGCAACGTGTATGCATCACGCCCTTCTTGGAATTCCGTAAGACCTGCCAGCATGTCTTTGATGGTGTTCACGTTGGCGTTGGCGTTGCTACATCATCGTCAGGAATGCATTTGAAAGCAGTCAATGTGGGATACTCACTCCTCGGCAAATTGAGGATTGGCTGCTCGGAATTTGGCAAAATCGTCGGGCAGCTTCTGCACCACATCCTTCATATGGAGGTGCCGGTACTCCACCCAGACTTTGTCCTTCTCACTAATCTCCATTTCCTTGAGTTCTTGGGTAGGTTTACCCTCGTTGATGATCGTCTTGTAGGTCACCTTGTCCCCATCCTTGACCGGCAGCAGGTCGTGCACCATAGATTGGTAGGTGAACTCATGGATCAAAGGCGCAACTAGGTCCATGGAGCGGTCGACCACAAGAAGTACACTGCGGGGCCTCGAAGAAGGCGGGGGGAAGTCTCGCTGAGCCTGGGCAAACATGTCCATCTTTCTCTGGATAAAATTGGCCAGGTGGTAGCATAGAACACCGGCTTCGTGGGTAGGGGACCGTGGGCGATAGTACCGGATGGTTGGGTATTCTCCGAGACTGGCACAGACATGGACGATCTCCAGCAGGTCAGCTATCTGTCACTTGTTGTGGCATGCAAGCTCCATATGCGCTCACCTTCTCCGCCAAATCCGAGAGATGGTCTGGAACCAGACGGTTACAGGCTGGATTGAACAGAATGGGGAAACTCCACGGATCTCTAAAGGTCACCAGCCGGGATTCTCTTGGGAAGTAATCGGTCGTCATGACACGGAAGCTCGCAATTTGCTCTTGTGACATTTGTGACCGTTCTAGTCTATCGCGCTGCTGCTTATCGAGGACTGTATACGCCGTCAGAACGCTGACCCCTGTAGACAAGACACAGGACAACCGACCTGAGGTCCACACCAACCATGATTTCTTATACCGCCGCCGTTCGAAATCGGCCAGGAGGCAGTCGACGATGTAGGACTGCGGGGACAGTATGTACAGCGCATCCATGTCCGGGTTCGGCTTCCTCCGGTGCTCGAGCTGCTCGATATCTTGCGACAAGCCGATTAGCGGGCGCTTGGTGTTAGGCTGTTAGGAAGGTCGGCTTACGGGTGACATTGAGGTTGAGGATGTCATCTTCGTTGACGGTGTTGTCGATCAGCTTGCGACTGGTCTCGTCCACGACCAGGACCTTCCACTGTAACCCGCCAATAGTTAATTCCGTCATCGGTCTGGTGGGGGAGCGTCAGTTCGCACCTCGTTTCCTGCGGCGTGGCGAATGGTATCTAAGATAACTAGAATGCGCAGGTGGTGAGTAACTGAACACCAGAGGATCATGCCATGCTGTTACTTACTGTCATGTTGGATATTCAATAGGGAGGTGCCCATCTTGGCTGGCCGGCAGCCCTCAGCTGTTCATGGGTATGGAACCGGCAAGAAGGGGCGGGACGAGGAGGGAGAGGGGACAGGAGTAAGAGTCAAGGCCAAATAAGGCTCAGGGGAAGAAAAAGAACCGACTGCGACGAGCGAAATCACGCAGGATGGCCGACTATTTGTTTGAAACGTATCAACAACCTGAGGAAAGTCACTAACCACCGCGAAGTGAAGACGTCCCCACCATATCCCGGCAGAATCGGGCGGTGAGGACCCTGCATGAGCAGCCGTCAGTATACTTCCTCAGACTTCTTCTCACGACACTCCTCTCTTGTCTCTTTCTCCATCTGTACATCCCTCCTAAAGCCGCTGGCATGTCCTGGTCGAGCAGGGGCAGCCATTGCCTATTCTGCTCTTTCCAGCCTCTGGTCCGCCCCTGGACGCGCTCCTTTGCGACGACTCCCGCCCTCCAGCGCGGCAAACGTCTCCAAAAAGCAAAAGCGCTTGACTCGGTCCCAAGAAAGGCTGAAAAGGTATCATCCTATCCCTTGGATGGGGGTGGCTTTTATATCTTAGGAAGACAAGCTGATTCCCTAGTCACCCGCGCGACCGTCCCTCCGACTAGAACGCAAGAATTTCACTCCTCCCGATTTCTCCGCAGTCGTCGCCTCCCTACTTCACGAATTTAAACAGCGGTTATCGGAGCAGTCCAGCTCGGCCCTATCAGGATGGAAACGATTCGAGCGCTATGTCATGAACGCGTGCAAACTCGACGACCGTGTGTCGGGTGGTTCCAGTTCGCTACGCCACGTCAAAGCGACACTTCAGAAAGCATACCTGAAGTCTGGCCGAATGGGTCTTCGGAGTGAATTAGAATATTTGCTATATGCGGAGGAAGTCACGTCTAAATACTCGACGCCCAATCTCGAGCAGCAGAAGAAGGTGGCGGATTTGCGATTTCCCGCCGAATGGTACCCTCAAGCCCGTGCCATGCAGCGCACCATCCATCTACACGTCGGTCCGACAAATTCAGGAAAGACGTATCGAGCGTTGAAACGGCTGGAAGCAAGTGAAAGCGGATTCTACGCCGGTCCACTCCGTCTCCTTGCGCAAGAGGTCTATGGTCGCTTCCAGTCGACTGGTTTATCGTGCAGCCTGGTCACGGGTGATGAGGTCAAAATTCCTGACGGACAGAGTCCCAGGATCACCAGTAACACCGTTGAAATGGTCAATCTGAGTCATCCGTATGACGTTGGTGTCATCGACGAGATACAAATGATTGCGGACTCCCGACGTGGATGGGCGTGGACCCGCGCCGTCCTAGGTTCGCGGGCCAAAGAGCTTCATCTCTGTGGTGAACAGCGAGCTGTCCCTTTGATCCGGGAGCTGGCGGCACTGACCGGCGATAAACTGGAGATCCATCGCTACGAACGGTTGAACCCACTGAAGGTGGCGGATCAGAGCTTGAAGGGTGATCTGAGAAATCTCCAAAAAGGAGACTGCGTGGTTGCTTTCTCGCGGGTGGGGATTCACGCCTTAAAAGCAGATATCGAAAAGGTTACCGGGCGCCGCGCGGCGATTGTCTATGGCAGCTTGCCAGCTGAGATTCGAACCCAACAAGCTAGTCTGTTCAATGACCCGAACAACGACTACGACTACCTGGTCGCTAGCGACGCTATTGGTATGGGTCTCAATCTGTAAGTACATCACCTTGGGATTCTAGTTTTGCTCTAACAATAACTAGGAGCGTCAAGCGGATCGTCTTTGAAACGATCGTGAAGAGAGTCCCAGGGGGCTTACAGAGGCTCTCAGTCCCTGAGATCAAGCAGATTGCGGGCCGCGCTGGTCGATACCGGTCTGCAGCGCAACACGCGAGCAAAAAGAACGCAGACGAGAATTCGAATGTCGGTATCGTCACGTCTCTGGAAGAAGTTGACCTACCGCACATTCGCCAAGCGATGGGAGTTGAACCCCCTCCCCTTGCTGCTGCCGGCATTATTCCTCCAGACCCCGTCTACCAGCGGTTCGCTGCCTACTTCCCACCGGGTGTCCCCCTAGAATACATCATCAAGCGCCTGGCGGAGGTATCGCAGACTCATCCGTTGTTCTTCATGTGCGACACGCGACCCCAGCTTGAAAATGCCGAGGTCATCGATACAGTCAGTGGTCTCCAGTTCGAAGACCAACTCACCTTCATGGCGGCTCCTATACAAACCCGCGATATTGCCTCCCGTGATGCAGCTATCGCCTTCCTCCGGTGTGTGGCCGAGCATTCCGGTGGTCGTTTATTGGACATTCCCGACCTGAACTTGGAAATTCTGGAACAGCCTGTGTCCGGAAATAAGGAATACCTTCATGAGCTGGAGATTCTTCACAAGTCGGTGATCTTGTACTCGTGGCTGGGCTATCGATTCGGTGGAGTCTTCACGGACCGTACTCTCGCCGCCCATGTGAAAGAGCTGGTTGAAGAACGTATGGTGCGGGCCCTGACTGAGTTCTCTGCTAATAAAAAGCTCCGAAAGGACGCATCTCTCCGTCGTCAAATTGCGCTGCAGAAGCAGATCCAGGAGCACAAGAGACTCCTGGCCGAGGCGGATATTGACTCTCTAGATGGACAGGGGGCAAGTGACGAACCTCCTGTTGATCTCTCTGCCGAGGAAACTTCGCTAGAGAGAGAAGCCCAATCGGCATAGACCCTTGGGGCTTGAATCTCTACTCTGTTCACTCTACTGTATACTATTTGCCGACGACATGCACCACACTATGGACTTGTAGTAGTCGGCTTGATATTCCAAATTGTATATTAGCGTACAGAACTATCAGTGTCTACTCTGGTACTCAGAGCGTTAGGGTGTTTTGTAGAGTCGGCCTACCACAGTGACGCTTAATTGCATTTCTCTCGCTTCGCATTTTGCTCCAGGATCCTGATCAAACTGAGCCAAGCCTATTATTGAGCAAAATTCTATGAGCCTCTCGACGCCTGCCCTTCTAGTTCTACGGATCAGGAGCAGTAGGTGAGCAGTGCCACCCTGAGGTCGCGCGACGAGGTGAGTGGGGCGAGTGATGGGGATGAGGGTCACCCAACGACTAGTTAGTTAGTGCTTACTCCATAAGTAGACACCCTCTACAGAGAAGGAACCGACTTCCTTTAGCAAGCTACGCCACTTCTTCTTCTTCTTCTTTTTTTTTTTTTTTTATTTTTTTTTTTTTAGTGCGTATTCGGTTATCCAGCATAGTGATTATAGAAAAGACTATACCGTGTAGGGCGGTCCAGGTGGAGCTAGTACATTACAACCCCCCAGACAGCCTTAGCAGTACGTATACTCCGTAGGGAAAGCGTCCTAAAAGGATGTAAACATTGACACATGCTAACTTGAGTATGACTGCACCGTGGGCCGTAGAATAACACTACTCCGTACGGAGTACGCCGACCAGCCCTACGCCCTGTGGGGCAAAGTGATACATAGAAGGGCAGTTTCGGAGTTTCCCATAGGGTATCTTCCCAGCATTTCCCCATTGTAGAAAGTACTAAGGCAGAACCATGGGTGGAGGACGAGTAGGTAGATTTAGACCTTTCATTTTGCCTTGGGGCATATAGACTATGGAAGAATTGTCTCACCGGACCCTGCAACGCCACCTTTTAGCGAACTTGGTCGGACAAGGATCTCAACCGCAAGATGTTGGAGTTCCTTTCCGGCACAGATACTTAAGCTAGGTTGATGAAATTTGCTATTCAGTATGGCAATTCATCTATCAACCGTACCTGCGAACATACTGTGATATAATAAAGTACAGTATTAAGAGTCCGTGACTCAGCGATAGCGACACCTCTCCTCCGTCACTCCATCCCATGTAATTCCAAATGCCTCGCACAAGTGGAGTAACCATTGCGATATAAATTAAGCTAAAAAGTTAGCTTCAGACATCTTAGGGCATGAATGTATGGGCCTGCACTTACGTCCACGGACTTTGCACGATATTCCGAAGAGTAGTAACGGTTCGCGAAGGTGTTGGCGAAGAGGAAGAGTGAGAATTTGAAGAAGGGGTTTTTTCATTGGTACCCATTTTGTTTAATCCGATAGTCGAATATATTAGTATCGCTCGGGGAAAGGAAGGAGATGCTGTGTGGAACAGTTGCCCCCAGGTACTAATGGTAGATAATTAGTAGTCCGCTGGCTACGTCGAGGTATTTATGTACGAAGGCCAACGCTAACCCCACCCCTTCCTTTCGCTACCTAGGTAGGTACTACAGGTGCCTAGCTTTGCAAGGGTTCGTACTATCAACTGTTCCCCGACTCCACATCGGAGACACATAGTACTCCGTAAAAGTACCATTCGTTCAACAGCCCATCCTTCTGTGGATAGCCATTATGAAAATGGCGACACCGTTCTTCACCTTCCCCTTACAGGAGGGGATTCCGGTGCGAATATCACTGAAGGATCCGATTTGAAGAAGCGATTCGACAAACCCGGGTTCAAGATCTCGTTCACTACCAGGAAGAGATCGAAGCTCACCCAAAGCCCATCAAAAGTCTATGGCACTGGCAGGGGCTTCTACATGGGCTGTCTATGCGGATAACGCCAACCACAAGATGGATGACTTCATCAGTTTTGCTGAGACTGAACAAGCCGCCAACTTTTACTAACGGATTATTCCGGAGTTGAGAGGATTTGGAACCAATTACGAGACTGTTGATACATGCGGGGGAATGGCATCGTACTTGTGAAGAGGCTCGGAAATTGGTGAGATCTGTGTCGTGGGCAGGAACTGATAATGTATTGCTTGTTCATGCATCCATCTTCGCACCGATGGCCAGTGAAGAAGGGATGTGTGGACGGATTCATGACCATGTATGGGGGGTTAAAAAAGAGATAGAGACCATAGTATCGAAAAGGAGAGCTGTTGGGGCCAGTGTGTGTACTGTGTCTATTTTCTTGGGAAGGCAGTCGCTTTGATGTGCAATTCAATCTGACATCCATCTTGTACATAAACCTTCAAGTTAGGATATGTGAAAAGGGAAATTCGATAACTTTGAAATGAGGTTGGTTTAGTTGGCAGGGAAGTCAGGTGAAGGAGCCGTGTGCATGGTAGAAATCCACTACAGAGTAAACTATATGCTCCCTCTTGCCCTCTCATTCTTCCCAGTTCTTAGCCCATCCGATAGGCCCCAATGACATGGACAATGATGTGAGAGATGGCACGGGTTCTAAACAAGCAAGTCATATTTAGGACAAGAATTATTGGAAGTAGGCACAGGAACCAAGAACAGCAACAGTAACTGATGCCGAAGTCGGTATTGATTTCTTGCGAAGTTGACTGGGGAACCCAGTAGTTCCGCCTATCACTTCAATCTCATGATTCTCCGTAGTCAATACCAAGAATATTTGTGGTCTCCGTTGCAAGATTCGTGGATATCTTTTTTATAGCCGGTGGATATGACATCTTAGTGCACTAGTGCACAATCAGGGAGGCTATTTATGAGGGGAAACAGGTGCACAAGGGCGTAAACGGTACGTTTTGTTCCCCCTGTATCGCCAACAAATCCCAAGTGGCATACCAGCTGATGGAATCGCTGAGCTCCCCTTAGCCGCCTATGGACTCAAAACGTGGGATTTTATACTGCCATGGGGTTCCACTCCACGTTTGTTGTATACAATGCGTTGTGTGAGAGTAAACCAGACTACATTCAGTGCTTGCTTGCGCAAAAGCGATAATGTAGGTGAGTATGAGACACCAAAGCCAAACGTCACTTTATCGGTAACACAGTGTCTTACGTGGAGATGCTGTTTGGTCGATGGTGGTGATATGCGCCAACAGTACCGCGTATAGATAGATTGATCCACCATTTGTCCCCCACTCAGATGATCTCATGTACCCTGCTAGATACTTAAGCGTCGCTAAGCATAAACCAACCTCTCTTCATAATTCTTCTCCTCTTCTCCATCTAGTCTGTCAACACCTCGAAAAAATTCTCTTATCTTACATACAATGGCAGACCAAGAGACCCCCACTCCACACTCCAACAAACCACTCCTCCACCCTCCTTCTAACGTCTACTACACCCGCCCCTACTCCTTCTTCTGGCCCGGCGTGTTCATCTTCGTCGGCGCCTTCGCCTGTGCCGGCCTCACCGACACGGTCAGCCGCGGCACCAGCATCCTCCTCTGGACCGTCTATCTTCTCGGAATCTTGATTCTTATTGCCATTGACCCGTTGTGTGTCTGGGAGTGCCAGGCGGTCGATGAGAACGGGCGTTCGGTACCTGCTCGTCGGCCCCTGGTCGGATTCCGCTCTTGTGAGCAGGTTGTTCCTCTGGAGGTCCTGGAGCGGAGGTTGTATCGGACGGAGGACGGCGAGGATCAGCCCCGGCTTCGGGATGGGTATCGATACGGACCAGCGTTTGTGCGCATTTAGTCCTGATGATGTACTTTGTGGATTTGTCGGTGAAGGGATCATGTATGGATGAGCTATCCTGTACTTGCTGTTGTTCCGTCGGAGACTGTCGTCAATGAATAGGTTTGTGATAGAGACAAAGTATGATGTTGTGAAGTAAGACAGATGAGGAAGTTCACGACTACATAAGACCAAAAGCCGTCACCAAATTCCGCCCACTTGCCTGTCTCATGATGACAGGTGCATTAATCGAGATAACAGCTTACCCATACTGAGTGAGCACTTATAGGAACAAGCATCTGACAAAAGACATATATTCTCTAAAAAAATGCAAACCACATCTATCCCCCACCAGCCCGAAAGCCGATGCATCGCCCAACTAACCGCGACTCTCGCTGTCCTATTACAGCACTAGAAGATGATGTTGAGCAAGCGCCGCTAGGCCGGTATAGCCGCGAGACGTTCACGTTCAGCGTGGATAGGTTCCCAGTCGATCTCGCGACGACCAGAGTCGACGTCGATCTGCTCCGTGCGCAGCCAGCCCGCACCTATCTAGACTTATGCAGTCAGGCAGTTAAATACTCTCCAGTTCCTCCCTACCACTCACTGTAAGGATTTTCATCTGACCACTCATCCGATCCATCGTCCGAATCCTCGTCTGCATCAGAATCCTCTGAATGCACCATTTCCCATTCACACCATTCACACGTGAGATGCTCGCATCCTGAATCATCACAAACACCGTCCGTCATTGAGCTGTCACATCGACACTACAGATTGTAAGCTCAGAGAGCCTAAGCCAATCGTTCCGATGCTCTTACGCAAGTCCATTCAACATCGTCGCCGACATTCGATTCCATTGTACACTCCTTGCACGTGTAATGACTGCATTCGGACTTTTGGCAGACACCCTTTTCCATGTATGTATCACATTCACACTGCAGTATCGTCAGATTCGGGACCCAGGTAGATCTGTCTTATAGGCAGCTCTTACGCAGAACCAGGTAACCTGGGGCCCGATTTGCTTCAACATCTATTCATTGTCAAGTCAGAGGCTGTCTGTTTTGGGGCCTGTGCACTTACAACCATCTTTCGGTTGAAATATGGATTTCAGGCTATTCGCATATTGAGTATCCGCAAGACAAGCGTGCCTGTAGTGAGAGTCGGTTTACTCGAAAGGCACTTTGTACTTTCTAAGTATCAGGCGGACAGTAAGAGCGACAGCGGTTACTCGTGGGTGGAAGGATGGGGCGAGCCAGAAGGTACACGGATTATATATACATTTACGCCACGAGGACTCGCGGTCATCCGACCTGCAACCCCCAATCATCTGAAAGAAGCAATTACATGAGGCTGTGAGGCTGGAGGGAAGTTCTCGTACCTCCAGCTATTTAAAAATTCCACCGATGTGGCTGAGTAGCATTGGTTTGGCTGTGACTACAAGCAAGCGCTAAAGATATCCAGTCACGAAGTCTAGCTTCATCTGAAGGATCTGGAAGGATTCGTGCGCCAACCGGATGGATCATTGCTGCGTCGTGTTGTTTCATGTCCTCTTCCATAAACACTTTACATCCAACCCTTCTGCTGCACTTGAAATTTGGCTGCGGTAAGTCCATGCCATGCAAACATCCGACAGGGGTGTCGTAGCATGAATGCGTATCCCGGCGGCTAAGAGCCTCCAAGCGCACTCGTCATCCTTTCACTATAAGTGTGTCTCTGGAGACTCGAAGAGACTAGCCAATCGGCTATATCACGAGACATGGATCTTCCTCGCTATCAGTACGAGCCTTTGACTAGATCCGATGAGATCCGCGTGCTGAAGCTCAGCGCAACGAAGAGCCGCATCGAGATTCGACTTTTCCATGTCCCAGTCTCGAGCCACAGGTTTGAGGCGCTTTCGTATGTGTGGGGGAAGCCAGACCAAGCGGATAAGGCCATTATCCTCAATAAGTTTGGAAAGGAAATCGGATGGATCCCTTTGACAACGAACCTAGCCAACGCTATGTGCGATCTGCGAGACGCTCAAGAGTTGACGCGCAAAATATTCTGGGTCGATCAAGTATGCATCAACCAGCAAGACGACAAGGAAAAGAATCATCAGGTGGGCATGATGAGACAAATCTACACGCGATCCAGGCGAGTGATCACCTATCTCGGACCCAGCGGACCAGAAATGGAAGAGAAACGAGGGCTTGCATTGCTTAAGAGAGTCTGTGAGTGTGTGTCAGATGCCACTTGGCTTCAAATGCATGAAGCTGGGAGTCTCGAACGAATTCGGGACAAGATGGTCGACGGAAGTATACAGTTCGAACAGCTTCCCGTCGGACCTGGAGATTCAAGTCGACAGACCTTTAGGTGAGAATGAGATCTCCACACGATATGTCGAGCAAGGCTGGGCATGGCTGGTGCGCGTTACATACAGCGAATGGACGCAGCGGTTGTGGATTGTACAGGAACAGCTCCTCAACAAGAAGATCACAACACTTCGCGGACTCCGACTGATAGATTGGGACGCCATCATCACCATACCTATCCTGTTTGCCGTTGGACATCTGCCCCAGAAGTACCGCGCAATAGGTCGAAGAGACATGGGCGATACCCGAATACCCTGGGATAAAGTCGAAGAGACCCTGTACGGCATTTGGTGGGATAGACATGCACGGCTGGAACATCGAGATCGCTATAACTGGTCGTCATTGTTCCACAATCTGCAGTGGTACCAGCCTCTACTGTGTGCAGATCCTCGAGATCGAGTGTATGGTATTCTGGCCATCTCTCGGGATGCGAAGACGCTCGGTCTTCAACCCGATTATTCGTCCACGAACACTGCAGACGTGTTGTCCAAAGAACTATCAATTCGTGTGCTTGAAAGCTCAGTCGATTTGGAGCTCCTGAGTTTTGCCATCTCCTGGCGGCGGCCGAATTCGACGCTTCCTTCTTGGTGCCTCACCCTTGACTCCCCTGCCAATACTAGCATTCCTGAAACGCTGCCTCTTCGAGTGTATACGCCACATCCCAGGCTCTACATACATAAACCTGCACAATTCCGCAAGGATAACTCACTTCTAACTGTCAAGGGGCGAGTTCTGGACTATGTGTCGATTTCGAGGTCAACCATTACCTGGGCCCATGATGATCCTCGTGTAACATCGCAGCTCGAGTTTCTCTCGAGCCTTACATGTCTCTTACCTGACGGCGTTTCTATCGAGGAAGTAGCTAGCCTACTTCGCACAGTTACTGCAAGAGCTCCTTGGTCACCACCTTCGGACACTCAGGCCGGCACAAATGAAGCCATAGCGTTCCATTTCTGGGCCTATCTTCAACACAAGTTGCGTTTGCTCGCAAGATATGCCGAGAACTCGCCCGATGCGTTCAAGGAATTAACCCAACTCTGCGATCATGTTAGGGCGGAAGTTGGACTACTTACTCCTTACATTGCAGATCCAGAACTTCCCCAGACCGATAATGCGTCTAGAGCAGAAAACGTAGCAGCTGAAAGAGTACAACGGTATGCGTTGGAACATGGACGACGTCTAGGCCGTACCCGCGCAGGTCGATTCTTCAATGCTATGTATCCTATTCAGGAAAGTGACGCCATTGTCGCTCTACAAGGCGCCAGCCGGTTGTTTGTTATCCGCTCGGTTGGAGATACACACAAGCTCATTGGGGATATTTTCGTTGATGGGCTAATGCTTGGAGAGGCGTACAAGGATCTAAGCCCTGACAAGGTTGATCACGGTATTGATTTAGGGTGACTGCGTGCTCAACATCCGAATAAAGTGTTGTAGACCGTCTGAAATGGTGTCTCTTAAGCCTGTAAATATGGGATGTATCCACTGCTATGATTGCCAGATTATCCACTATTCCTGAACCATTTCTAGTTTATAGGATCTATTCAGGCTATGTAAGCTATTTGAGATGCTATTCTATCTACCGCATCTAGAATGGGGCCCTGACCATGATCCCAAGTCATAGATCCAAACTCCACATTCTATACCGGTAAACGATTCATGTAGATATTGAACGTCATTTAACGCTGCGTGTATAGACAGTATAACTCTCTTTCAGCATAGCCGACATATTAATCTCGACTATACTTTAGTTAGAGCCTTCCTCCTATCATATGCCCAAATCCAAAACGCCACAGCCCCAATACAGAGAGTAGCCCCAGCCATCGCAGACCCGCCAAACACCTGTCCAGCAGTGTAGTCGTTGGTGCGGGTATCCTGCAAAGCCCCCGCAATGGGCGAACCTATGAGACTACCAAAACTAGAGAAACACCATTGCATGCCCAAGCGTGCGCCTGCCACCTCCGGCGATGGGGTGATGCGCGGGTGGGAGATAACTACCGAGCCCAGCGAGAGGAAAGCCCCCGCTGACACACCGAAGAGCACGCTGAAGACGGCGAGACCCACGAGGCTGTCGATGCGGATCCAGCAGAAGAGCAAGATGGCCGAGACGGCCGTGGTGCAGGTCAGCATGCTGGCGGCGCTGAAGCGAGCGGTAAGGAATGCCGGTCCTATACGGCTGATGAGGGAGGCGGCATTCAGCCCGGCGAGCAGGTACAACCCCGACTCCAGGGGCTCGTTCAGCGCATCAACGACGTATGTGGGGATATAGGCGATTGGGATGTAGTAGGCGAGGTAGATGAGGAAGTGGGCGAGGGCGAGGACTGAGAATGCGGGATCTTTCAGGGCGGAAAGGTCGAGCAGGCGACGAGATGGTCGCGGAATAGCAGGAGGGCTTTTATAAAAGAGCAAGGGCAGTGCGGCCAGAACACTTCCTAGGTGGATGAAGCCGATCATGCGAATTGTCCATGAAAATCCAATTCGGGGTCGAAGACGGAGCATGACGATGGGTATAAGAGCGCCGCCTGCGAGAGACTATGAGCATTCCTGGGACAAACTGGAGGCGAGTCTGGATGGCTTACCAATTGCAGCACCACATGCGGTTATCCCAAGTGCCAGAGCCCTCTTCTCAGTGACTCTCTTGCTGACTATTGCGATCGTAGGCACAAAGACAAGACCAGCGCCAATACCAACACACAGGCCCTGAGAGAGAATGACCTGGTAGTATTCCCGGGCAAAGCTGAGCATCATCATACCAAAGACCATCAGGAACGACCCCGTGAGCATCAAACATCTTTCATAGCCCTTGTCAAGCAGCGGACCCGATAAAACGCCGATGAACTCGATCAAGAACGAGTTCACCGTTCCGATCCAGGAGATGGAGGAGGGTGAGTGATGGGATAGTAGATGTGATTTGTAGTAGTCTTGAAACGAACCGTAGGCCAGCGATGGGCCCCAGCTAACGAAGACAATCAAGAAGCCTCCCACGACGGCCAGCCATGCCGAGTGAGAATCGGAATCGTGCCTGTCGACTGGCTTTCGTAATCCATCGCTCGATTCTGATAGAGTGGGTTCGAGAGACGACGATATCGCGATCTCCTTCTCGTTTATTGTAGAGTCCGCGACTATATAGCTTGCTTTCTCTTCCATGATAAGTCGCAATCCCGCCACGGGCACTGGATGTATGACACTCAAGGTCTGCAATCAGAGTGCATTTTGGGCTTTTAACATGGTGGGAATCTGGAGAATGGTCTAATCGTCACTTATCCCTTCCCTTGCCGTTGTGTATGCGTGATGAACTATGCATAGAAAAACGTAGGTAGTTGGTAGTACATCGCTATCAAATTCCCTTGCTCGGACCCAGATAGGAACATTATGATCATCCGAGTCTTCCATCTCCACGGATAGGGTGTCGATCCGAGAATGCGATTATGCGTTAGGGTCAAATGGAGCAGCCAGGTCTTGTTCTGCTCTCACTGAGCTGGACCTGCTGTTGCACCGGCAATATGTGCTATGCCTTGTAACATATACTGCATGGTGCATATTCCCTGCTTTCTTTCATCACACGGTAACTTTTCTGACGCAATCCGGAAGTCCAATGACAGGAAGGGGGTCGATCGGAGAATGTGCATACATGCAGAGTCTGTCGGGACATACGCAGGGTAGTTAGGTATGCACAAGGGAGAAAGATGTTTTGGCAGATCAGCAACCCACATATGCCATGCAGGACACAGCCATCTTGGAATATCACTCGTTGGCCAGTGAAACAAGTCGTCAGCTTCTTGCGCGGCTCTCTAGCATCTATCCCTTCCTTAACACCTACCGCGACGGGTCCCCTGGCTCAATAAACAAGGCCCCATTCAGCAGCTATCAAACGCAACGCAGTATACTCCCTTAAGCCGGAAGGATAAATAAGCTCAAAGCTTAGATTATCAGAATGAACTGGAGCTAGAGATCATGCTGGTTTTGTGAGTGGGCTGATGATCAACTCCTGTAATCCAGTGCTCGTATCCATCAGTCTCAGATCTTACATCAAGCAGACGAGTGAATCCTCTTACGTCGTTGACTAGCCGATACATCTGTGCTGGTCGTATTCGAGGAGCAACAGGCGCGGTTTATACTTAAACAACTGGTTAGAGTGTGAGTGTGCAGTGTCCTCTGACGACTTAAAAGATCTATGACTTCCTTAGGTACAGTAGCCCGAGGTCTTCTCTGTACAGGCTATATGTATGCAGAACGCACAACTTGCATCAATGTAGCTGACAGTGATCAAATGGAGGACTGCGCAATAATGCAGACCCATGCATGAAGGACTATTGGATACGGTTAGCTCTGGTATAAGCCAGAGGCATATGCTGACGAGGAACTGGCAACGATAGCATGGGTGTCGAGACTTGCCATCAGAGAAGCGTGGGTAGACCCCATGAACGAGTGTTTCTATCTTCATATCCAGCGTCAGTCTACGTTCATGGCTGGGTGTGTCATGGTAAAATTTGCCATTGAAATGTCGTAATCAACAGGAGACGCTCAAATGGGAGCATACAAGAGGGGTGGAACTGTCTCCCGTAGACTGGTTTCGACAATGCTTTCCAATGCCCAACCGTATTCAAGTACTTTCTAGAGATAAGGCTTCTCTATGGCCTGTTTGAGGTTTTCTGCAGGTCGGGCTGTGCTGTCACGCTATTTGGACATACCTAGTTATTGCTTCGAGTCGACGACGATCTATACTTGAAAGAACACATGCACTCCTCTGCCAGAAACCCAATGCCACAATTGATCTAAATCAAATTCACTTGAATCATGTCCATCATGTTGCCGAGAAACCACTTTCTCATGGTACGGGGTATTCAGTCTAGCGCCTGTTAGTTGGACGCCATTAGAAGAAAACCACCTGGAAGGAAGCGCTAGCCCCAAAACCATGCACTTCCTTTCCCCTTCATGGCGATGGCGCTGAGCCCGATCAGCGCGATTTACTCTGCATAATTATTACAAAACCCTACCTACCCAACGATGGTGCTGACGGGAGTTTTGCGGGCTCCACAGGCCATGTTGTGTATCGACGGCTGTGCCTGGCATCCACTCACTACTGACCGCTGGATTCGTCGGATTTATGGCTTCACGGGTCGCCCATCGACTTATGCTTTTATTGCACGTTGCGTCTATCTAGCAGATTGGTGGACTCCCACAGAAGCGGACTGCCAAAGGATGTGTTGTTAGCCACTAGTTTGCCGGCCCTCTTCCGGAGGGGCAAGGGGTTGGGTCTCCACGCCAGTATAATAAGCACCAGCCGTTCTCTCCCGAGATGAATACCACTCTACGGGCACTTTGCGCGCTCCTTATTGCACTCAGGACCTCAATTCAGCATGAGGCTCCGTCCGACTGCGGCGGCGACATTGCTCGCGCTTGCGCCTGAGCATGTCCTCGCCGATAGGTCCGTTTTGCCTAGAGGCTCTTCTCACCAATGTGTATGTGCGTCCGCTCAGTGTTTCTTGAAGAAAACGATGGTTTGAGGCTGATTGTGCAGTGCGCCTCCCTCTCATCCAGCGAGGTTGGCGATAAAGTCATCTATCCCGGCGACGCAGCGTACGAAACGTCCGTTCACTCGTACTGGGCCGTGAACGTACAGCTCGAGCCCGCTTGCATCGTGCAGCCACATTCCGCCGACGATGTTGCGGCCGTTGTGCAGATCTTGACGAGTGCTGGTGGTGACTCGCCTTGCAAGTTCGCGGTGCGTAGCGGTGGCCATATGACCTGGGCGGGCTCGAACAACATTGAAACCGGCGTCACTATCGATCTGCAGATGATGAACAGCACGATCTACAACGAGGAAGCTAAAGTTGCGTCGATTCTCCCTGGCGCGCGCTGGGAGTCCGTCTACAAGACCCTTGAGGAGTATAATGTTGTGGTGCCCGGTGGGCGTACCGGTCCTGTCGGTGTTGGCGGGTTCTTGCTTGGAGGTATGTAGTCATTCTCGTCTGGTCTGTCGAAAAGGCTAAGGTCATGGCAGGTGGCAACTCGTTCCATGCTGCGCGCGTCGGCCTCGCCTGCGACAACATCATAAACTACGAGGTCGTCCTGGCCAGCGGCCGCATCGTCAACGCCAATATCGAGTCCAACACGGACCTCTTCAAGGCGCTGAAGGGCGGCGGGAACAACTTCGGTATCGTGACCAAGTACGAGGTGAAGGCGATCGATAACGCCAATCTCTGGGGTGGCATCTCGATCTACGACAACTCCACCACAGACCAGCAGATCGATGCCCTGGTTAAGTTTATTGACAACATCGAAAACGACCCTTACGCTTCGTGGATCGGTCTGTGGCAGTACAACTCCACCACGGACAAGACCCTCATCAGTAGTCCGCTCGACTACACCAAGCCGGTCGCGTATCCGGAGACGTTTAACGATTTCTACAAGATCCCTAACATCTCCAGCTCGACACGGTTTGCCACCTTGTACAATCTGACCAGTGAGCTGCAGCAGGCTGCAGGATATCGGTAATCCTCCTTGAACTTCCTCCTGTACCTGGCTGACTGACTGGATGCAGTGATGTGTTCCTCACCAGCACCTATCTCAACAGTGCCAAGGTCCTGCAAAAGACCATCGATATTCTCAACGAGAAGATCCTCAAAGCCAAGCCCGTGGCCCAAGGCAAGGACTGGTCCATCATGGTGATCATCCAGCCCTGGCCTAAGATTTTTTGGCAGCGGACCCAGAGCAACGGTGTCGGCAACGTGCTCGGTCTGGACCGGTTTGATGACAACATGCTACGTATGTTCCCTTCTTCTGTTGGAATGAGCCATGCTAACATAGATGTGAACAGAGGTTTTGTACGATTACTCCTGGGACAGCGAGGCCGACGATGCTCTCTTCCAGTGTCTGTGTGAGGAGGCGATGGCCGAGCTGGACGACTACGCCAAGTCCATTGGCAAGTACAATGAGTACATCTACCTCAACTATGCCGACAAGACCCAGAATCCTCTTCGCGGGTACGGCGATGAGAACGTTGAGTATATCAGAGCGGTAGCCCAGCGGTACGATCCTGACGGCGTCTTCCAGACCCAGGTGCCTGGAGGATTCAAGGTGTCTCAAGCGTAGACAAGAACAGCGAAGGTTGTTATGGCTTAGAACTATTGAAAAATAGCACTGTATCTATTTTGCCTCGCACTGTCTTTGCTTCTTTCTTCTATCAAGCAGATCAACCGAGTCATCGGTAAGAATTTGTATCCTTTTCCTTCTACACGCAGCTTCTGGCCACTGCACGAAGCCAGAGAGGAAATGATCTTGCATCTGGTTGCCAAGAACAAGCTAGGGGACACTAGCATCGCGAGGGAAGCCCAGGATCTAGCCCGCCCCGTCGTGCTAGGTGCGATCCTCACGACCTACGGTTGATTTAGACTTCGGGCTTCAAATCCAGCCCCGGGGGCGGCCCCTCCCCTTTCCTTCCATGGGACTCTTCTCTCTGCACACCCTGCAGGATGCTGTGAAGGATGCTGTTAGCACTGTACTAGAGATGTTCATGCGAGACTAACAACGTAGGGGCAAACACCGGGCCGCCCCAACCGCGGATGGCAATTTTACACCACGGGGACCCGATAGGATGACAGATTCTACCACCATGATCTTGACACGGCTCAAGCAAGTGTGCGATTGGAGCAAAAATTTTGCTCCTCGGGTATCCTTTGGGACAATAGTGACAAGGATTCAATCCTGTGAAGATGCCAAGGAAGTCTACTGCGCAGGAGATGCTGCTAGGTGCTTCATGTACTGCCGGCCCAAGCCTGTCTGCCCTTCGACACAGAGCCCAATTCGAAGTGCTGATAATAGTATTCCTTGCTATGGGCTATACTCAATGGTATTATCGTCTTCGCGTTATACGAGTGAGACCCTGCTCTGTTCAGGGTCCATTTTACTTTGGGAGATGTCTCCAGCGATCATTCCAACCCCTCTGCTCCTGACGCCCTGGAAGGGCTCGGAGCGTATTTATTCTAATTCTCGGGATCTCCTTTGCCTGCCATGACGGCTATTCAAACTTGAAGTGATCCGCTGTGTCTGTCGTACCTGTCCAGATGGCTGAGGGCCAGCAAGGCGCCTTTCCTGTTCCTCCGGGAGAGACATATAACCCTGACTTCTCCCATCCATGGCTGTACACCGAGAGCCGGGCTGTGGTCATCGCAGGAGTGATCTTGTGCACGATTACTCTGATGTTGAGGGTGTACACCAAAGCTGTTCTCCTTCATAAGTTCGGATGGGATGATGGTAAGCGAGCCCTATCTATAATGTTTGAGTTTAGATGGCCGACTGACATACGACAGTATCGATCATAGGAGCCTGGGTGGGTTGGGAGGACCAATTCAGCATGGATGTGGTAGCTGACTTCAGAACGACAGGTCTTCTCCATAGTCACGCAAGTCCTGTGTTTGTGTATGCATCCCAGCTATCCTTATATCTTTTGATGGTCACACTGACATCTATAGATGGCTACGCCCACGGAGGTATCGGCATCCACATCTGGAACATCACTCCCCATATGTTCCTCCAGTTCCAAAAGGTAATTCCAGCCTCGTCAGTCACCTACAGCTTCTGACGACAACATAGGGAATCTTCGCCGCCGGCATCATCTACGTTCCCGCACTCGGGCTCGCCAAAGCCTCCCTCATCATCCTCTACCACCGCATCGTCGGCATGCAAAAGGTCTACCGCTGGGCCCTGTATGTCATCGCCGGAGTTGTGATAGGATACAGCGTGGCCATCACCTTCGCCCTTATTTTCGCCTGCCGGCCCATCCAAAAGGCCTGGAACGCCGCCCTTGAGGGATCCTGCATCGACCAAAATGGGCTCTACGCGGCGACAGCGGTGACGAACACCGTTACTGATGTGGCGCTTCTTATTGTGCCTCTTCCGGTCGTGATATCGCTGAACATGCCGACCATCCAGAAGATCGGGCTGCTTTTCATGTTCATCATTGGTGGCGCGTGCGTTCCCCTTGTCCTTGAATACTTACTTACTGAAGTGAATGCTAACGGCAGTATCTAGGACTGTCGTCACAAGCGTGATCCGCCTCGTCACTCTCTTCCCGTTCCTCAAAACCGACGACAAAACGTACCAGATCGGCTGGACCGACCTGTGGATGTATGGCCCACCCTCGACCCGTACACGCTCCACGCTAATGGTTCTCGATAGTAATGTCGAAGCAAACTTCATTGTGATTTGCGCCTGTCTGCCGTTCCTCCGGCACTTCCTCCGCCGCTACGCACCGAAACTGATCGGTGAAGGGTCGTCTGCGGGCCGTGCTTATTTCCCGAATTACCAGAACGGAAGCAGCACGACGCGTTCGTGGCGCCGGAAACCGGGGCTGACGATGCTGCAGGATGAAGTTGAGCTCGCTGAGAACGGGGGGAGTGTGGGATCTGAAGTGCGGATTGTCAAGGAAGTGAAGTGGAATATTACCGAGGAGAGGTCAGGGTGATGTCCCTTCGCTGTGATGGCGCTAGCCTGTCATAGTGGTAGTAGGCCGGTTGCATGTACTGAGAGAATGATGATCGGTAAGCTTTGGCTTTATAACGTCCGAGGATTGTATTAGCTAACACTGAATAAGATTTTCTCAATAAAGTCTCTAAACAATTAAGCCGAGTAGACATTTAAGTATGACCTAGTTAGAGGATCCCTGGAGTAAGCCAGATGTTTCACCTACTAAATCGTCTTCTGGAGCATCTATATCGAACCATTTCATTGTTTCAATCTTAGACAATAGAGTCCAAGAAGAATCCGGAATGTTAATACTGATATTAGAGTTCTCTTGTCTACATGCGACTCCATGAGAGAGAGTATAACAACCCAATCCCATCATTCGTCACGAGAAGCATGATAATGAATCGAGGACTTCCCTTTCGTAATGGAGAACTATCTGGATATCCCGTTGTTCTCGGACTAATTCTATAGTTTTAATGCTAGATAATAGCACGATCCTTCGGTCACCTCCCGGTCATGTTTAAACAACGTTCCTGCTATTGTTGAGTTTTGCCAATCCTCTCGTACTCGGGCAAAGCCCATTTCACCGTCCATTCTGACTCTAGAACCTGCTGAGCAGACGGACGATGCTCCGGTCGGAAGGACAGCATCGAACGCAACATTGCAAAAAGAGCGTCTCGCTCACTTGGTTCAAGAGGCGACATCCCCTCCTCTATCCGCGGTCGCCGCACTCTTCTCTCAAAGAGATCATCCCATGGCAAATATTGGGCTCGCTTGAATGGCTGTCCATCCTCGGCGAGCTTGTTCCGATGTGCCGCCCATGCTTCCTCCCATTCAGCCGGCAACGGGCCCAGGGCATCAATCTGCTGGCAAGTCATATCATCTTCGTTCGTAAGAAAGCCTTCGAACAGCCGTCTCTGGGCAAGGATATCGAAGATAGTGCAAGCAAGTGTCCAGATATCGGAAGAAAAGTGTAAGGGGCTTTGTTGGCTCAAATCGAGCCTCGGGGGGCCGGATTAGAAGAGGCGTATGGGACTCGAATTTCTCCTCCTGCGCCGGGGAGAAGGCTTCGCCGAAGTCCGACAGTAGGATTCTAGCTTCCGGAAGCGCGATGTTCTCACTTGCTTCCCCGAGCCAGACGGGCAACACACCATGTTGTGGGACTCCTGGCGGGAGATCTTGGCCATCTAATCGATTGACTGGCTCGAGCACCGGCTCTCCATATAGCTTATATAGCTCTTCGGTGGTTAACTCGTCGAATCCAGTAGGCGGTTGAAGAAGAATGTTTCCGCGATGGAGATCTCCATGGACTAATCCTTGTGAATGGATATACCGAACAGCAATGACGAGCTGAGCGGCTAACGCGCGGGCCACGTCAAGCTGGAAAAGGCTAACCCATGATGCATTCTTCGCATCAGAGAGGCTCACTCTTGCTGGGCTCGTCACCAAGCAGTGGTGTCTCCCATTAGGGCCTTGTATGGTGAATCTATCCCAGATAGACGGTATCATCGTTCTGCCCGTGTCTGATAGTTTCTGGGGGATTGATAGTCTGGACAGTACATTGACTTCGAGGGGGTTCGCATCCGCCGTGCAGACTTTGATTGCAACATATCGGTGGCATTTCTCGTCTCGGGCCAGCCAAACCGTGGAGTATGTACCGTGGCCGAGCTTATGGACTACCAAGTAGCGATCACGGAACCGATCCCCGATTGTTACCGGGTGATAGCCCCCAGATCGGTAATACTCCATTCGCTCCACACCTTCAATGGGCTCGAATAGAACACTAGAAGTGTCCACGCTCGAGGTTATTGATCTGAATGGACTGGGGGACAATGCATGAGGGGTTCGGTGTTGAAAAGATGGCAGGCCTGCCTTGGGAACGAGATAACGATGAGAGACAGACGCGGGCGAGAATAGGGGTTTCATGAGCAAGAAACATTATTTTAACATGTTTTTCTGATACCATAAGACCTTGTGGCTTTATTAGATTAATAACCCGCTCAACACGCACAGAGGTCCCGTTGCCAAATGTCAATCCTGGAAAGAGAAACGTCGATGTTGACGATGGTCTGGGACTCTGGGGTGAACTTTCTTCCGGGCGCCAGCATTCTGTAGTGTGGCCATATGAGAATATTTTTGTAATTGCGCCCAAAATTGTGTACAGATATTTTATGAATAAAGGTGATGGTCATGATGTGTTGAGTAGAATAAACGGGGACGTTCAAGAGGCGCCATTATATTACCACTCTTAAGACGCTTCTAGACCCGCCAAAAAGCATACAACAGTAGACGCAAACAGTCTCGCCTCATTCGGAACCCCTTCGGCATCTGCCCCGACCTGCTCCAAAAACACTGCGAGTTTGGAATCCTTCCAGCCCAGCAAGTGTGCCGACTCGTGGCACATGCCCCTTACCCCGAACGCATCCAACTCATAGTGCCCTTGCACGGACAGGACTCGCTGCGGATAATACAAGCCCTGGATCGGACACGCCGGGGTACTGCCAACGTTGACCCACGGCGCTGGCAGCGAAACAGGCACATCCGCCAGTCTCGACAGCGATCCCTTCGGGACAGCCAGCACGCGGTCACTGTGGAACATCTGAATCCTCATCTCACTGCGCGGCAAGCTTCCAAGCGTCAAGGGAAAGGCCTGTGTGAACGCGCGGTCCAGGCGCACCGTGTGGACGCCGACTTCCATCCCCAGCGGGCATTTTTCGACAAACACATCCCGCTCCGCGTCGCCCGGCTGGCGCAGCAATGCGTGCCCGATCATCTGGTGTCCGAAGCAGGTGCCCAGGATGCGGACCATGGGGAAGCGGTCGAAGACTGTGCGGATGAACTTGGCGAGCGTTTGCATCCATGGATACTGGGCGATCTCGTAGACGGCGGGCGTACCGCCGGTGATGAGCACCGCGTCGATGGTGCAATCGTCGCAGGGGCCGGTTTGGGACGTGCGTAGCTTGGAAAGCTCGGGGTAGTGGCCGCCGCGGACATCGTAGGGGGTTACGGAGATGTTGATAGAGTCGGATTCGGGGCTGCTGAGGGTTGATGCGGCATCTTGGAGCACATCGCGGAAGTGGGCGCTGCAGAGCCCGCGGGCTTCGTAGAGAGACCGTGCCGGGATGTCGACGTTTAGCACGGCAATGTGGATGTTGCGGGTCATGTCTGTATCTCGCGGCGAAGTATTCTGAAGAGAGATGTCGAAGGAGAAGGGAGAGTAATAGACGTGTAGGTATTTATGCTGGTGGGCTGCATTCTATATGATTTACGTAAATCAACGGGGGAACGTGTACAAGTTGGAGAAGCGGAGCTATAGCTTGAACGTATATGGGTTGGAGAATGAGGGTCTACCTTATTGCTTGTTCCATCTTATTCGATTTTGCTTCTTTTCCTCCAACTTTTATAGAATGATCTGTCTCCAATTGGAGCCCGGTTTTTTTAAGGTAATATAAAGTTGCTCTCCAAACTCAATTAACAATAACTATTAAGTCATCCCCGAATTCTCCCGACTAGCATTAAATCGGCTTCGCTGGTCGAATTTAGAATGATGGAATAGAAATTTCAAGGAAGGCGTTTAGGGCGAGTATATAAGATAATGGAAAGTCCGGGGTGAAAGGTTGTGCGTTGAGCATACTTCCGATATAAACGGGCCAAGATCTATATGCGGGGAATGCGGAATTCGATAAACTCTTGATTGACAAAGGTCCTATAATTTTCCAAAGCATTACTAATGTCGATTCCTTATTACCAGTCTGACAAATTAGATGCAGTAGACGGTAGTCTCAATAAAGAGGAAGGGGGTGGTATAGATTCAGGGCTGGAGTCCTATCCGAGTCCGCCTGAGTACCAAATTTGGGCCACCTCCTGGTTTGGTGTCCTCTCGTGCCGTATGTATGTTTTCTGCAAACCCCCAAAGCTCCCAACCTTGAGGCCCTACATACCATTTGGCGACCAATACTTTACATTGAGACCACGACTCGACCAAATACATAGAGCCTAAATGCACTCCTCAGAGGCAGTAGGCTTAGCCCACGATGCACAGTGCGACATCGCGTCAGCCCTAGCCCCAGCCAGAAACATGCGCAATTGATGCTAACGTCCTTTATTTACATGTAAGTAGCATACAAACCAAGGTATCGCTGCACTCTAGGTTTATAGCATGAACTACACGACACTGGCCAACTAGCCGATATGACTTGCATGATCAAGAAAGGTCTAGTTCAGTCTGTTGGCCTGTGATATAAAAGTAGGATAGTGATTGCGTATAGCGAAGGCCATTATCTTCCTTTGAAAGCATATAAGCATTCCAGCCAGCTTAATGAAAGCTAGGTTCTGCAACACATCTTGGTTCGACTTGATATAGGTTAGTCATTGAGTCCTTAGACCAAAGCTCAGCCTGAGCGCGGTCAAGGTTGTATCCGACCCAGCCCTTTGATCATACTAAAAAATTGTCGCAAGTGGGTCAGACGAATGTACGAAAAAGAAGGATATGGGATATGGGTCATCGTGTTTTATTGATATCTCTTTTATCATAAGCAGTTCATCGCTCCATTCAAAATCCTAACTTATAAAGATATAGTAGCATCACTCTTTATTTACCCTTGGGCTGGCCGGCGCCTCCCTTGCGACTACCTCCACCGTAAGCAATTTCCACCATCTGCTTATATTGTCATGGTCTGGTCCATTTGTCATCGAGTGGGATCTTACCTGGAATTGCGTCTTGTATGGTTTTAAGTAATGAAGTACATAGTTGATTGAGAGGAGGGCTTCTCAAACAGGGTCAGGATACCTGCAACAATAATCGGAAAATACTTCGACTTCAGCAAGAGACCACTCAATGGCAGGAAATACTTCGAGATGGCCTCTCATGCCAGCGCATTGGGCATATGGCTGCAGGTTACTATGGTGAGCAACGTTTGTCGATTCATTCGACTGGATATCCAGGCACTAGGGAAGGCAACAATGACGCCTATCAGGGACAAACATTGTTCATCTCCTCCGGCCATCCGCTGCGTCCATCACAGTGCCATACTGTGGAGAGGCCAGTTCTTGGCGGCCAGCGCGTTGAGTAGGATTGGGACAACAACGCTTGGCTATTTCCTACATTCAAGCTAAAGCAGAGCTTTACGGAGTAGAGAGGGACAAAAAGAAAATAAAAAGCAATGAGGCTGGCCCGATTCGAACGGACAACTTCTCGATCTGGAGTCGAACACGCTACCGTTGCGTCACAGCCCCATTGGTGAAGGGATTTCGTTCTTATTTTGCTAGATGAATATGTTAGACAACAAATCAGCTTTTATTTGGACGACAATGTTAACGCATGGATGATGATGATGAGAATTGACGGGTATTTTGGCTGCAGGTTGTACAGTAAGTACCAAGAAACCTTATCTACCAGACGATCGAGACTCGGCCGTAGCCGCTGACAGGTAGCGGCTTATTTCGGCCTTGGAGACGAGAAAATACGGAAGGTCCTCATGTGTGGCAGGGATTTATTGGCGAGCTGACGAAAAGCTAGCTGCCTACAATGCGGAGAAGGGTCGTAACTTTAGATACGAGGGTACCTAGCCTAAGGGTTATCCGATGGCTTAAGATATATTATAGAAGTGGACAATTCTAGTAGAGATTTCTCTCTGCAAAATAACAAGGAGTATGAATCGTCTGGTTCCGACGGATAGCCAGAGACAATAGACTTGAAGACGAACGCTAATTTTATCTAGAGCAGCTTTCCTCGGGAAACAACCAAGAACAATGAATTGTGATGGATGACGTCGGTCCCTAACCGCTCTAGGCAAGGCATCGGGTTCGGGCTGACGGAGGCCCGGGGGAGTCGGAGGGAACAGCAGCAAACTCCGGGCAAGAAAAAGAGTCGGGACGGAGTGAGTCAGACGACCAACAATTCCTGTTCTTTCTCTTGCGCCCCAGCCAGGGCGGCCCTCCGATTGGGCGGCTGCACCGCCTCAGGCATCCGGGGCATCCCTCCGGCCCATGGTTCCCTTGACAGATTTGATACAGTGAATTCTCTAGAAGACACAGCCAGATTCTCAGTTGAGTCAGTCGCTACTCCAGGTATATAGAAGGAATTGACCTTCTCCTATTATTGAATGGATTGAATACATCTTACTCCTACCACTACCATATCACCTAAGGTACCTGGGTAGTTACTTACTTCTACGGAGTACATATTCACGAAATCAATTCGACATTCGTCGCCCTCTGATTGGCCCCCATCCTGATCGGGTATCGTTCGGCCTGTGATCTGCGCTAATCCCCTTTGGAATCCTCTCCTCCATCTTTCTCCCTCATACACTTTTTTTTCTCGCCCTCCTTTTCTACTCCCCGTCATCCTCATCCTTCCTCCCTGGAACTCACTTCCTATTCTCATCTCTATTCTCCTCTCCCTCTTCCCACCCTCCCTTAGCCCCGCGCGTTCCTTTGACGACCCCGTCGTCAAATGAACCTGCATCTTTCCTCTCATTTTGATTGCAAGGTGAGCCTTCCTTCGACCCCCCAGACAACCCGTCTGACCCAATCTAACCTTCCTCCCAGTATTGCCTCTTCCCTCTGAAGAGGTTACCCGCAAGATAAATGGTGTTCAAGCCGTTCACCCACCTCGCGCGTCAGAGTTTCACCAAAGCCTTCACTCATGGCTATGCTCAATCCGTAGTCGCCGCGTCGCAGTCCTCGTACGCGTCGTCCACCACCCTTAACCAACTCGCCAACCAACCCGCCAAATTCTCCCGCACCGCCCTACAGAATGTCTTCCAGCCGTCCAGTTCCTCCGGAGCTGGCGCCAAGGCCAGCCAGGGCTCCGGCTCCGGCGACTTGGGCTTAGCCGCCTACTACGCCGCCTGGCAGCACGCCCAGCAGACCGGGGATGACAGTGACTGGAAACAGTTGCAGTTGAAGCGACGCATCGGCTGGAAGCCCACGCCGGAGGAAGTCACCAAGTCGAAGGATGGCGAGGATGTTCCATCTCCGGCCGGTCTGCGGGACTCGCCCCATATCACCAAGGCTTCCGCCAACGCCGATGTCAGTGCCCAGGTGGAGGAAGCGGTTGCTCGGGAGATCCAGATCCAGGAAGAACAGGCGAAAGCGGAAGAGGCCGAGGAAGCAAAAGAAAGTACAGAAACCGAGGCCTTCCCGGACCTCCCGGACGATGTCGCTGCCATCGCTGACGTGGCCACCGAACAATCGCGTGTGGCGTCCGATCAAATCGTCCAGCTCGCCTCGAAGAAGCAGTTTTCCGACATCCCCGGAGCCTTTGCCGCCCTTCTCCGCGATGGAATCACCCCGACTGTCGGAGCCTACAATGCCTTGCTGGAGTCAGCCATCCAGCTCCATGGTGATACTGCCCAGGCCATCCAGAAGGCTCTCGACGTGTACTCTGATATGCTCCGTCGTAGGGTAATTCCCGATGAGCAGACCTATCAGACCTTGGTTCAGCTCTTTGTGGTGCGTGCGCACGACGCCATCAAGTCCAAGGACTTGCTGGAGCAGGACCGAGCCCGCTACGGCGGAATGGAAGAGCCCGGCAAGTTCATGCTGCATTCGAGCGAACTTGAACAGGCCATTCTGGCGGAAGACAACTCGCTGAACATCGCTATCAAACTCTTCAGCACCGCTACCGCTCGCCACGCCAACCTGGTCTTTTCGGTCGATACGTATCGCTACTTCATCACCGCATGTGCAAAGGAAGGCCAAGTCGAGGCCATGATCCGCGTCTATGGCCACATGGAGTCCAACAAGGTGACTCCTCACGCGTCGATCTTCCCCGCTATGATCGAAGCGTTTGCGTCGACTGGGGATCTCCAGAGCGCGGTGGAGTGCTACAACGAATACAAGGCTCTTGCCATCTCGGACGACAACGGTACCTTCAGCATTATTCAGCGTCTGGATGGACAGGTATACGCGGCATTGGTCAACGCCTATCTGTCCTGCGGAAAGGAGGAGGATGCGCTCCGATTTGTCGACCGCATCCGCTCCTCGTTTGATGACGTGACCGAGAACAAGGCAGCCCGCCAGGATGCCGTTGAGACGGTGATCGTGCAAGATGCTCTGGTGCAACACGCCCTCAAATTGGGTCAACATGATAGGGCGCTGGCTCACGCCAAGACCCGCTTGCACGATGGGGCCCTGGATCATGCCATGTCTCAGATCTGCATCGCCGCGGCGGATGCCGGGAACCTCCAGGCTGCTTCCGAGGCGTATGACTCCCTTCCAGCCGACATTGGTCTTCAGCAGGGCCCCGCTGTGTCCATGCTGGCGCTGCATATCCGCCTGGGCAATGTGACGGAGGCCCGACCCCTGTGGCGCATGTTGAGTGTCGACGGTCAGGCTACGTCGGACATGGTCCAGCCGACAGCCATGTATTCGGTCGCGTTGTTGAAGAGTGGCCAGATCGAAGAGGCGTTGCTGGAAGCTCGCAATATGTTCGCGCGGATTCGCAATGCCTCCCCCGACAACCATCTGCTGAACCCTATCCGTGAACAGATTAACGAGAGTCTCCATCTACTTGGCCGTGTTCTCATCCAGACAGCCGCTGTACTCTCTCCTCAGGCCGTGATGACTCTCCTCTGGTCGATGGTTGAGAATGGCGGGCTGGTCTCGCCGATCGCAGAGCATGCGGTCGCCAGCCTGGGACCTCTCGGCATTCAGCAACTCAACGCCAACGACCTTACCCTGGCCCTCCAGGTCCAGGCTGGTATGCTTGTCAACAACACCTCTGCCGCATTCGATGTCGCCCATCCGATCCGGTTTGCTCACATGCTCGACATTGCCCTGGCCACCAACCTCCAGTTGGATGCTTTCACCACCCGCGTGGTCGACCAGGCGGTTGGGAAGCTGTTCAACACCCGTCCGGACATGGTCAGGAGATGGCACGACCATCTGGGATTGACCTCGAGTTCGTCGTCGTTTGTGTCTGACCGCCGTACCCCCGTGTCCGAGGTCTCTACCATGACTTCTGCGCCCAGCGAAGATTCCTTCGACCCTCACGCCTATGCTACCGACTTCCGAGGTTCCTCGATGATTGCCGAAGAATTGGAGAACGCCCACGGTCGGCCCGAGTCCCACTTGAACGAAGCCTTGAACCGCCTGCGGAACATGCGGCGCAACGGCCGCCATCCTCGCTACATCACGTACGCGAAGCTGATCACCGCCGCTGCCAAGGTGCATCGCATGGATCTGGTCAACGAGATTCTGAGCATGGCTCGTCGCGACGTGCCTCTGCTTCCTCAGTACCATGCGGTGAAGTACGGCTGGGTGTCGATTCTGGACGCCATGGTGGCTTCGTGCCTGACTCTCGGAGACCGCACGATGGCCGCCAAGTACCACCGTGAACTCCTGGAGCTTGGCTCTGCCCCGTCGGCCAACACCTTTGGTCTGTACATTACCACGCTTAAGGAATCGACCAAGACTTTCGACGAGGCCACTGAGGCGTTGAAGATCTTCCATCGTGCCGTCGCTGAGGGCGTGGAACCCACCTCGTTTTTGTACAATGCGCTCATCGGTAAGTTGGGTAAGGCTCGTCGCATCGACGACTGCCTGCTCTACTTTGCTGAAATGCGCGCCAACAATGTCCGCCCGACCAGCGTGACCTACGGTACGATCGTGAACGCGCTCTGTCGTGTGAGCGATGAACGGTTCGCTGAGGAGATGTTCGAGGAAATGGAGTCGATGCCTAACTACAAGCCTCGGCCTGCTCCCTACAACTCGATGATCCAGTACTTCCTCAACACGAAGCGCGACCGCAGCAAGGTCCTCGCCTACTACGAGCGCATGCTCACGCGCAACATCAAGCCCACCATGCACACCTACAAGCTACTCATTGATGCTTACGCGTCTCTGGAGCCCGTTGACATGAAGGCAGCTGAGAAGGTCCTTGAGACCATCCAGGCCACCGGACAGCAGCCCGAGGCCGTGCACTATGCGTCTTTGATCCACGCTCATGGGTGTGTGTTGCGCGATATGGAGGCTGCCCACAACGTCTTCAAGTCGGTCACCTCAAAGTCCAACGTGCGTCTGCAGCCTTGCCTCTACCAGGCCCTCCTGGAGGCGATGGTCACCAACCAGCAGGTGGCGCAGACGGAAGCGATTGTGGCCGACATGGCGCAGCGCGGCGTCGAGATGACTGCCTACATTGCCAACACCCTGATCCAGGGATGGGCAACCGAGGGCAACGTGGCAAAGGCCAAGGCCGTCTACGATAGCATCGGGCTGAACAAGCGCGAACCCAGCACCTACGAAGCTATGACTCGTGCCTTCCTGCTGTCTGAGGACCGGGAGGGTGCCTCTCGCACGGTCCAAGAGATGTTGTCCCGCGGGTATCCCACTGCGGTGGCCAGCAAAATCGTGGACCTGGTTGGCGGCGGCCCGGCCGTTGCGGCGCTTTAAACGGTGAAGAGTCCTTTGGGACGAAGTTGCCTTCCATTCTGTTTGAACAGCCCTCGAAGGTGCTTTTGACTGGATATAATGGTTTAATCTGTCCTTCAGGGCTGGACCCCTGGTTCGGCAGGCGAGCCGCATGACGTCTGCATTGATTGGTATATAGGCAACTGGTGATATATCCTCTGGTACATAAAGGATCTGGAAGGGGATTTTCTTATGTTTTTTGCATTCAGCGTGGATGGCGTTGTGGATTAAAACTGGGTGTTTGTATACCATTGTGGGATTACATATGACGTTATAGACCCTCTCAGCTCTTCCAGCACCTATGCTGGATCCATGAATATATCATGAATATATGATATTCTCGATAATATGTGTTCAAAATATCACCCCACTGCACCTCACGATATGCTACTACTACTAGTACTACTAGTACTGGTATAGTGCTACCTAGTAGTTTTCGTGTCCCGAAGCGGAACGGAATCAGCCGATCATGACATCTTCCGTCACCTTCTTTTCTCCTCCGCGTTTCCTCTCTACCTTCCTCCCCTCTCCCCTCGAACCTCCGATACCCTCAATCTCAGTCCATGCGCATCCCTCGACCACCCTCTCTACATCACTCCCTCCGGACTGTCCAATTTACCCCAGCTCGTGCGTGGAGCTCCACAATGAACCCAACTTCGACTGCGGGGGGTACATCCGGGGACGCCGACGGCAAGCGTCCCAAGAAACTCATCTGTAAGCCATCCTGGATATTCCTATACGATTCAATGCAACATGGACTCACAAGACAGTCGCCCCCGGTGATATTGACCCCTCGACGGGCGACATCTCCATGCCCTCGGCCGCAACTCCCCCGCCAGCGCCATCCACCGCCGCCACCCAACTCGTCGCCGAAGCCCTCCGCTCCGAGACCTCCACGCCCGACTCCGTGACCGAAAACCAGATCGTCTCCCATCCGGCGCGGGCACACCAGTTCGTGAGCAACCCGCCGCTCACCGTCTCCCAGATGCACCCGACCAACCCGCTGCACCAATTCCACAACTGGTTCCGCGACCCCCGTCTCCTCCCCTCGTCCGCCCCGGAAACCTGCACCCTCGCGACCGCCGCCTGGCCGTCCGGCCGCGTCAGCGCCCGTGTCGTCTACCTCAAGGAGCTCGACGAGCGCGGCTGGGTCATCTACAGCAATTGGGGCAGTCGCGAGGGCAAAGGCCGACAGGTCTGGGGCGCGGCGCCGGCCGCCACCACCGACGGTGTTGACGGGCCCCCCGCCATCCCGATCCAAGACGAACCGCTGCTCACCGATGCCGACGGGCACGCCGCGGACGCCAATGGCAACCGCTGGGCGGCGCTGACCTTCAGCTGGGCAGCGCTGGAGCGCCAGGTGCGCATCGAGGGGCTGGTCGAGCCGCTCCGCCGCGAGGAGAGCGAACTGTACTGGCGCACGCGCGAGCGCGGCAGCCAGATCGGCGCGTGGGCCAGCTGGCAGAGTAAGGTGCTGTGGGAGGCGGAGCCGACGTCGCTGCTGGAGCGGCGGCGGAAGAGTCTGGCGCAGGAGGGGGATGCGACGGTGCCGCCGGTGATCCCCGGGGACGTGAACGAGACGGACATCGACGACGGGCGGGCGTTGCTGGAGAAGCGGGTCAAGGAGATGGAGCGGCGGTTTGAGGGCGTCGAGGAGATTCCATTGCCGCCCTTTTGGGGCGGAGTGCGGATTGTGCCCGAGAGCGTGGAGTTCTGGCAGGGGAGGCGTAGTCGGTTGCACGATCGGTTCCGGTATGTCCGAGTGCATGGAGCGGAGGAGGGAGGGTATAGATGGCGGATTCAGCGATTGTCGCCGTAGAGCATATATACTTCTTTCTAATGGTCTGTTTTGTATGCGAGATCTCAAACGACAGTCCGCGGTATACCACTAACACTGTTCAATTCGCGATTGAAGTCTGCTCGGAGCCTCTCGCCTGAATGGGATATCAACCATGTAGACTGTCCACTTGCCGCAAAGCAGAAGGCCCGAAAGACTGCCAGCTGCCGGTTCCGCGCAAATAGTACCGCGCATTTGCGTGGAGCGCAACTTGTACTCCGTAGTTGACCGAGGCTGGTTGGACTCTGCAATGCAGATCACCAACAAGCCTTTGACCCCAGGGTAGCAGTGGCCCATCATTCGTCTGTGGCCTGTGAATACTCTCATGTTTTAGTAAAAGATCGTCGCGTCGGGGCCTACCGGCCAACCTTTTTTGCAATCGTTCAGTATGCCCGGCATAGAGTGGAGCTCTCATAGCCTCCTCAGGCTAAGGCTTAGTATAGCTTCGCATGAAACCCAATAGGACCAAACATCTAGACCAAGGCTGAGTAGAGGACAGCCAGTTCAGCAGATTTTGATCTAGGTGACTATTGGGGGTCGAATCGGGCTATAAAAGGGCGCTCCTCGCCGTCAATTAAGTCTACATCATCACACAAGGCAATTGATTCTTCAAGCACTCTCTCGTCTGAATTCTCATTCTCATTCTCAATCCAACAACCAAATTGCAGCTCACCAAGTTCCTTCTTGCCCTGGTGGCTACCTCGACCGCTGCCCTGGCTCTCCCCCAGTCGTCGGACAGCTGCTCCAGTGCTATTACTTGCGGTGTATGATATGCAGTCTTCCCATGATGGTGTTATGTTCTAACGATTTATCTGCCAGACCTGCAATGGTTCCTCGTGCAAGATCGGCGCTATCAACTAGTAAGTACATCTCTTGTGGCTGACTCGATGTGTATCATGCTGACGGGTTCTCTAGCTCTTGTGGACACGGTACCAGCGTAAGATAACTGCCTTACTTCCAGGATATGTCCCGTGGATGCTAGATACTAATCTCGTCGGTAGTGCCTTGCGAGCCATGGTGGCGGAGACGGCAAGAAGTGCTCTGGTGGAATCGATGGAGGTGCTGTCTGCCCTGGAACGGCATGAGAATCGTGCATTGAATGTTATGGAGAATGAAAAGACGTCGTGACGTTGTCTGGTTGATTCGTTGTGATTTTATCTACTGGTTTTACCATGTTGTGCTGTTTTCAGCTTGACTGTTTATGAGACACGAAGACATGCTACTCAATGGGTATAAGTTTTGCTAGAAACAACTCGGATATTTCTAAGACTGAGTGAAGCTGTAAGAATATATAGATTGAGTAAGCAGATATTGAATGCTGAATCTTAATCGTAATAAATCAGAGCATGCGCATTCCCTTTTTTCATTCATCTCTTTTGTCCGAGCTATATAGATCGAATGTGAGGAGATCGATAAGATAACACTCTTGGCACGCTGTTCGCGGACCCTACCCTCACCACCCGTCCCTCCATCTGCACCTCCGCACTCTCCCGCTACACAACTCCTACAAAGCGACCAACACAATGACCCAAACACCCTCACGCTGGATCCTCCTCGCCCTCGCCAGCGGCGCCTTCGCCGCCCTCAACGGCCTCTTCGCAAAGCTGTACGCTCCGACCCCCTGCAGCGCTACCCAGCTACTCCCGATCCAATTACCCCGAGGCCAAAGACACGAAGATGCTAACAGGACGACCAGAACAACCGCCGACCAAACCACCGCAATGACACACACGATCCTCCACTTCTTCAGCGCCAGCGACGACCACCCGGTTCTGGAGCTGTTTGTTCGGGGTGTACGTTCCCTCCTTCTCCTTCATCCGTCGCACCCTACATCCATACATGTTAGTGAAGGTGGAATACTGATAAGATGGGGTAGATCTGTCTCGGCCTCAACGTCCTCTGCAACATCATCATGTGGGCGCTGTTCACGCGCGCGTTGACCGCCGCACCGTCCACGACCAAAGTCTCCATCACGAATACCTCGGCGAATTTCCTCGTCACGGCGCTGCTGGGCATGATTGTATTTCGGGAGAAGGTTGGCGGGTTGTGGTGGGTTGGGGCAGGGATGATGGGGGGAGGGTGTGTTTTGGTCGGGATGAGGGATAATTAACACTGTCTATAACTACATTTGAGACAATGGGTTACGGGTATTATATATGGGAAGAGATGCTCATAGTGTGAGGATACCTGATCCTATTTCTATCAATCATGAAGAAGATATCTACTGTCGTTCTTCTAGCTCTACAAACCCATCCTCGCCTTCCGTCCCATTGAGCATGCCCTCGCCTTCGCGCGTCGTGTCCGGGAGGGAGGGTCGGTTCTCGCGACGGAACCGGGGCACTTTGGACCCCACCCACTGTATGAACCCCCATACGCGTTCTTCCAGCGTCTCGCCCCGCGTGGGCTGGTTCGAATGCTGTCCCAGGGCGAGTTCCGGGGGGTGGGTCGCGGCCAGGGCCTGCTCCTCGGCTTCGACCTTGAACTGGTACTTCAGGCAGTCCTTGACGGTGACAAGGCCGGTCAGCCGGCCGCGGTGCTCGACGAGGATCACGCGGGGACCGATCTTCTTGAAGATCTCGATGACGGTCTCCAGCGCCAGACGCGGGTGCACCGTCAACGGAGTGTGGTCGATATACGGGCTGAAGTCGACATCGCTGGCGCCAGCGCTCCGCTGGATGTCGTCGAAGGTTTCGGGCGCAAGTGTCTGTCGGGAGACGGAGGATGCCCGCCGCGCGACGGATGCCTCCGCCGCCTCTTTGGTGAAGACGCAGCATGCGTTCGGGGAGAGCATGCCCGCCGCGCGGGCCCGATCGATGGCGTAGCGGAGCTCCGTGCGGCCAATGTAGCCGACGAGGATCTTGCTGGTGCGGTCTTCGACGATCGGGAAGCCTTGGAATTTGTTGTCGCTGAGGAGGTGTTCTGCCTCGCGGACGGGAAAATCTGATGCAGGAAGTGAGACTGGGTCGGATGTCATGGCGTGCGATACGGGCACGTTAAAGACGTGGTCTTCTTTATTGTCTAAGAAGGGGAACCCGTTGGCCCAGATCATGCGATCTGCGATGCCCCCATTACCGAAGCGGTCACCCACGGCTTTGGTAACTCCGACAACGATCTAACTAGTCAGCGGTGATAGTATACCTGGGGATGTGGTGGCTTACCATAGTCGGGAGAATGTACGTCAATGCGCCGGTGAGCTCGAACATGATGACTACCACAGAAATAGTCAAGTGCATGATACCACTCAGAGCGGCTCCCGCGCCGAGGAAGGCGTATGTCCCGGGGGTGATGCAGGGGACGTCGGGCTCGCAAGACGAGAAGAACTGCGAGTTCGGGAATTTCTCATACAGAGCCTGAACAATGATGCCGACCAATCGGCCAAAGGACGCTCCGATGGCCATGGAAGGCACGAAGATCCCAGCCGGGACCTTGCAGCCATACGATATGATCACCAAGAAAATGCGCAGCATAGTAGCGGCCGCCAGCGACGCCACCATTGCCCATCGGTTCTTGGATCTGGTCTCGTTAGCGATGTTGTCGGGTTGATGTGGGGGTACTCACTCGCAAAGGCCGTGATAATCATGACCTCCTTCGCATTCTTGGAATAAAATTTCCATCATCTCCGTCATGTTGATCTTCAAGAACATATTGGGATAGCAGATGACTGCCGTTATAGCCGCCAAGACCACAGACTCTATGACAGCATGTTGGGACAGGTACTTCTTCCGGAAGGCCTGGACGCGGAGATTCCACTTGATGACGAGTGCGCCATACAATCCACCGAATATCCCGATCAACACGAAGAATATCAGCTCGAATGCATGCCACGTACGATCGTAACGCACTTGAAACATGACGAGCTGTCCGGTTCGAAACGGGTTCATTGCCTGTGGTTGTCAGTACATGTATGCGACGATGAGCGATTCTCCTTACAGCCAACACCCCGGTCGCTACCAAGGCGCAGAAGTAACTCCGCCATAAGGTCTTCAGGGGGAAATACGACGCAACTTCCTGCGAGGATTCAGTATATAAGCATCAAGGCTCCAGCGCAAAACGTACCTCTAGGGAGAAGAGCACCCCACCAATGGGACTGCCAAAAGCGACAGCTACACCGGCCGCCGCAGTCGCCGTCAAGACCTCTCTAGTCTTCGAGGCATTCTGCTTATACTTGCTGAAAAAGCGAGATATGACATTTCCCGCACAGACCGCAAAGTGAACGCTGGGCCCCTCTTTACCCACCGACAGACCGGAAGCGATTGCCAACGGCAAAGCAATGGACTTGATTAAGAGGGTCCACGCGCCTAGGAACCCCTTCATCACGAACCCAGCAATGATGCATTTGATTTCGGAAATACCAGAACCGGCGGCGTATGGCGCAAATGATTTGACCAGGCGTGCGGCGATGAAGGCGAAAATAATCTACCTGGTCTCAGCGACGACTGCGATGGTATAGTGGCATGGGGAAGCACGAACCGCAAAGAAGATATATACAACGTAGTTGACAAGCCAGAAGGAGGTCCAGGGTTTCCACTCGGGACAGCCTGTAGATCTGCATGTTAGCAATATAGCGCAAGCGGGTTCGGAGCTGGTACGTACCTCCCTCAGACCCCCAGCAGCAGAACTGCTCATTCAAATAGAAAGCGGTCGTGCAGTACCCCAGCTTGATATCCGACAGCCACTCGGTGATGATATTCAAAATGGCAGAAATAAGTCCGATAACTGCACCGACAATCGTAATCACCAGCCATGCTTGTCCGGCGTCGTAAGATTCGCGGACTTTCCGTCTCCAACCAAATGTCCCTTCTTGATCCCAAAACCCAGAGCCGTCGCGACGCTTGGCTCGTCGCTGCGCTTGTTCATGGATCGCATCCTGAACCCAATCGATTGTGGTGAAGTCCTCGTAACGCTTGATCTCGCTGATCTCTTCGGTGATCGCAGTGCTATGGCCATTGTCCGGGGACGGGCGGGAGTCGACGGGGGAGGAGGTAGATAAGCCGGATAACCTCCTCCAATTCCGCCGCTCAGAGAGGACCGAGGGGGAACGCGCGGAGGCGGACGAGGCCGGCATCGAGCTCATACCATGGGCGAAAGGGGCTGGGAGGGAGATATCGAGGAGTTGAGCATGGGGAATTATTATCCATGACGGAGATCAACATCTGTATGGGGAATAGGTTGAGTTGAGTGCACGTGATGTCAGCTTTCCGGATCCGGCAGTCAATACAGGATCTATTGACCGTGGATAAACTCCATACACCTCGAGTCTTCAACTCTATCCTACCACAACTGCTACTACATTTATTGATCGATTCCCTATTGGAAACAGTGGCTCTACAAGTATATTGACTCATGACGACCCAACGAGACAAGTCGCATAGTTCAGACACGAATCCAGCAATGGCGATGTGACATGGTTGGCTGTAAGCATCAACCTACAGATCATGTCGTTCCCTTGTAACCAGACCCCCTGATCTCTATGCTCTCTGATTCTACAAGCTTTGGTGTAGACACGGACACCATACAGGCGCCATATACCCAGCCTTCTTTATTCCCTGCAGAGCATTATCCTTCAAAGGAAATTACCCCACTAGCGGATGCTTCTGCCTCTGGTGACTTGGACAATATCAAACAAATCCTCGGCTCATATCACGCGAACCGGTCTCCTGGGAATTATGAGCTCCAGGAGATTTGGCTGGCTCTTCTCACAGCAATAGCGTATGAACATCCGGGAATCACTTCATATCTATTAGATGTGGGGATACCTTTGTCGCGGTTGCATGTTCAACGGGCCTGTTACCAGGTTTGTCGTTGAAGATTGGGAGATCACGCATTGGATTCTCAACCACTCTCCCGATCCGAACGCAACCTGTCGTCCGGACCTCACGCCGATGTCATTTGCTGTTCAACAGGCTCCGTTTCAAACCATCCGCCCTCTATTCGATCGAGGAGGCGATATTGGATGAGGACAGTTAATCCACACGCCGTTGAAGGAGACAATGATGTTATCGAGGTGGTGCAGCTTCTGCTCCAAAAGGGGACGTCGTTGAATGCAAGAATATACGAAAATCACTCAGCTTCGTGGAACTTATAGTGGGACAAGGGTCTCGGGACCCCTTTGCATCGAACCGCAGAGTTGGGCAAGGTAGATGTAGTACGCTTCCTCCTTAGGAAGGGGTGGATCCCTCTATCCGGGACTCCAAGGGGCACTTAGCCGTCGATTGTGCAAGAAGACATATCTCATCCCGGAGTGGTTGAGCTCCTCCAATCTTATAACGGTGCTGTATAGCATGGGACAGGTTATAAAATCGGACACCACTGTTTTTTCTCTTCACTTCTCGCCCATCAGACAGAGAAAATTATATTGTATAATAAGACACACACATATATATAGTTATTCTATTCTGGAATAACGCGAGGTATATCGAGATTTGGTTCTGTACTATAAGGACAAGGCACGCGAGGGCTCCGAAGTGGATAACGTTTTATCGCCTATCGGACTTTCCGCGTCGCGCGCCGCAGCATCATTTTGCCTCTTCAATCTCCTACTCTACCCTATCGTCAAAAACGCTGGTTATTCAACACTGTGTCGGCGTGCGTTTATATTCAATATCGCGCAATTTCCTTCCTCTCCTTCTACTGTTTGATCGACTTACTCTGTATCGCGACGCGCCCCAATGATGCCACCCAAACCGAAGTCCGCACCTGAATCCCCGCCATCCGATGAGATCACCGGCCAGAGCGCGCTCCCCAGTACGTTGAGCTCTTTACGTTATGGAATTTTTCTGAACTGACTGGTTGGCTACAGTCTCGCGGATCAAGAAAATCATCCAGCTAGACGAGGACATTGTGCAATGTTCCAGCAACGCGACTTTCGTGATCGCGATAGCAACAGTGGGTGATCTCTGCCTTTGTCGGTCTGCGACATCTAACTGGATACCTAGGAAATGTTTATCCAATATCTTACGGAGCAAGGACACAACGTGGTCAAATCGGAACGAAAACCACGCAAGACCATCCAATACAAAGATCTCGGTGCGTCGCAGCCGTTCCAGATTCACCCACCTCCTACCAATCCCATACCCTCGACTAACAGGGGCCTCCTCTAGCCGCGGCCGTATCCCGAATCGATAACCTCGAGTTCCTCGCCGACGTGATCCCCAAGACGACGACCTACAAGCAGTTCAAGGAGAAGCGAGCCAAGGAGGTTTCTAAGGAAGCAGAAGTTGAGAAGGGCCAACGCACGCTCAATGGAATTGTTCCGAACAAGGGAGAGACCAACGGGGCGCTGGAACATGGCGAGTCTCCACCGGTTGTCGAGGAGAAGACGTCGAAGAGTCCGCGGGCGCCAGTGGTGATGCATGCGTCGGGCGCGGTGAGCACGCTGGTGGTCGATCGTACAGTCGAGTCACAAGGCGAGGACCGCGATGTGGAAATGCTTGATCAGTAGGGTACGGAGGATGGGTATACAGGAGTTGGGCGTTTGGTTAGCTGTGGGATTGAGATTAAAATGGAGCATTGGATGTGTCTTCTGCATGAGGGTCGTGTAGGTATTGATTGAAATCTATATCATCACATTGGATTATTGTGTCTCTCCATTGTAGGAAGAATACTGCCAGATACGATATACGGACGGGAAATGACGGGAGACGAGGCCGCGTTATGTAATCACATTCACACAGAGGTAGAAGGCATAGAGGGATATAAGAAAGATATAATATGTGGATACTTTATTTCTTTGAATTTATTCATTCAATTTATCTATATACCAATACTAATCTCTAGAATACCAGCGTGCTTTATGTACTTGGTAGATATATACTGCCTGAGGCACCCGCGGCTAACCAATCACAGCCCGCTGATTCCGATCACTAGCGAAAGTTGCTGCCGGACCTCCGACTTCAACCTCATCCAGAAAATCCTCCCTCTTCCTCCCCGTTGCTGCTCTACCTCCACCCTCCCCCGTCCTCCCCCACGACTCCGCTCTGCAATTGACCGCAATTGCATCGTTCGCCATGTCTCTCTCCTCCGCTTCCACCTCTCTGCTGCGCGCCTGCGCCCGCCAGCAGCTCCCTACCACCCGCGCTGCCGTCGCCTCCTGCCAGCAGCGGAGGGGAGTCGCTGAGGCCACCAAGCCCACCTTCGCCAGTCCCTTCGCCAATGCCTCCTCCTCCACCGCGAAGATCCCCGATTTCAGCAAATACCAGTCCAAGAGAGCCCCCCGCTCCAACCAGGTTTTCTCCTACTTCATGGCTGGTTCCCTCGGTCTGGCCTCTGCCGTCGGTGCCAAGGCTACTGTTCAGGGTAGGTCAATCCTGGAATCGAACGAGTACAACCGTTGGCGATGTAGAGGAGGGATTGGGATCGACTTGGTGGATCGCATTCGCTCAACTCGCGCACCTTGCTTGCCACTCGTGCCACTCGACTGCAACCGATGCTGATGCAACTCCTCAACAGACTTCCTCGTGAACATGTCCGCCTCCGCCGACGTCCTCGCCCAGGCCAAGGTTGAAATCGGCCTTGCCTCCATCCCCGAGGGCAAGAACGTACGTTATTTCCCTCTGACGTGATCCCGCGTCCTTCAGACGGACGGGAAACCTGCGACACCATCACTGACACCTGCCAGGTCATCATCAAGTGGCGTGGCAAGCCCGTCTTCATCCGTCACCGCACCCAGGATGAGATCAAGGAGGCCGAGGACATCGAATGGCAGAGCCTTCGTGATCCCCAGCCCGACTCCGACCGTGTCCAGAAGCCCGAGTGGCTCGTCATGCTTGGTACGACTCCTCTCTGCCGATATCCCCGCTGAAGCGTGCTAACGACGGCAGGTGTCTGCACCCACCTGGGTTGTGTGCCCATCGGCGAGGCCGGTGACTTTGGCGGCTGGTTCTGCCCCTGCCACGGTTCCCACTACGATATCTCCGGCCGTATAAGAAAGGGCCCCGCTCCCCTCAACCTCGAGGTGCCCCAGTACAACTTCCCCTCTGAGGAGACCCTCGTCATCGGTTAAGCGGGGTTTTCCCTCCGGATGGTTCGATGATGGAACGGAGCGCGACGTGAGGGACGACGTGTGCTTTAGATGAACTCTCTGCTTGTGTTCACGAGTTAGAGACCTTGTTTTAATATGGACTGAGAAAAACTGAGCCTCTTGTTCTATTACTCCGACATCCTGCCGTCGCTTCGCTCATAGAGCTTGTACCACTCTTTGTTTGTTTGGGGTATAGAGAGCCGTTGGTCGGGCGGTCTGTTGGTCTGCCTTGGCCGTGGACTGGCGGCTGCCCGGACGGTGTTGGGTTGAATATATGTCTATTAGTTTGTTCGTATAGTCATGCAATTTCTTTTGTCATCTTTCAGAAAGTTGTAACGGAGGGAAGAGTCATAGGATCTATGTTCGTGCGATCGGTATATTACATACAATTCTATTGATTTATATCCAAAATGTACAGGAGAGCTCTCACCGCGGGCGAATGAGCGCAATCACAAGGCCCATCACGGCCGCCCCGGCAGCCGCGCTCTGGAGAGCCACAGAGGAGAGATCCCGCTGTGTGATGATCATGCTGCGCTCGCTGAAGAGATCGTGGAGATACTGGCGCCAGGAGTCGACCGACAGGGTAGACGGCAAGCTCGGCAGTTGCGCCTTGTACGATTCATGAGCGAGGTCAGCCCGATCCTCGACCACACCTCCAGTAGTATCCTCCACCACAGAAGCTCCATCAGAGGTAGTCTCTTCCTCAACCGGTGCAGGCGCCGCATCCTCACCCGCAGCTTCCACAGGCGCCACCGCACCAGCAGTAGCAGCAGCAGCAGTGGGACTCAGAATCTCCACATGATTCATCTCCCTCTCTTTCTCAATCGCCTCGATGACCTTCTCCTCAAACCCCTTAACCAGTCGCTTCCGCCGCCACGGCTCCACCGCGATCTGGAAAACCAGGAACAGCAGCACGTTCACCCCCATCAGGCCCCAGGTGCCCCAGGTGGACATGCGGCGGATCTTGTCAGACCACACCTGCTCCTCGTGGTAGCGCGAGAGGATGCTCTTGCTCAGCTGCGCGGCGGCCTCCTCGGCCTCGCGCTCCGCCGCCGTCAGCGCCTCCTGCGCCTCGTTCTCGGCCACCTCGTTCGTGTGGTCGTTGCGGTAGAGGTGCGTGAAGCGCTCCAGGTCCACGGGCGACCAGGCGTGTTTGCGCTGCAGGAGCTCGTTGACTTCGCGCTGGGAGGCGGAGCGCCGGTTGATGGCGGAGGCGTAGGCTTCTTTGGCGTTGCGGACGTGCAGGCGGGCCGCGCGGAGGCGGTCCTCTTTCGTCTTGTTAGTTGCCTGATTTGGGCGGTCGGTGGGCGAGAAGGGGAATACCTTGCGTGTGGATCTCTTTCTTCAGCGCCTCGATCTCCGAGTACCCCGTCAGATCGTTCAGGCGCTGGCCGGCGACGAAAATGTTCGACTGCAGGTTGTCCATCATAGTGGTGAATTGCTTGGAGAACTGCGATCGCCGGTTGTCCAGGTACGACGGGAGAGTGTCGCGCAGCGACGAGTCGGCTGTTTTGGGTTCATTGGGGGTTGGTTGCGGGGGAGGGGACGTTGTCGTCGTTGTGGTCGTGGTGGTGCTGTCTGCAGGAGTGCCCGCCTCGGCCTGCGTCTTCAGGCTCTCTTCGAGGAAAGAAGCGGTGGAATCTGGGTGTTTAGACGGTGTTTCTGTATCGAGTGGCTTGTCGGATTCTTTGTTGGGCGGGTAGGACGCCGATTGCGTGCGGAACTGGCATTGGAGACAGACGGAGAAGGGCCGTGGGTGGGCTGTGGGAAGACGCAGGAGATGGGAGGGGAGGGGAGGAGCGCGAATGGGACGATGTGCGGATCGTGAGAGGGCTCCGGTTGATCGGAGGGACTGCCGGAGCAGCAATGGCAGAGAGTGCATTGCTGTTGCGGTGATCCGGGGGAGAGGTGTGTTGATCGAGTGTGAGGGAGGTTGTTCAGGTGAGGCTTAAGTTATCGGGCCCGCGGCGGAATGTGGTGGGCCTCGGGGACTTCTTTTTGGTTCTGTTGTGCATAGGAGTACCTCGACGATTTTTAGTAGATTATCACAAGAACAGTAAATAATGTAGTGGCATTACATTCGTACAGTCGCATTAACGCTACAATGTCATGAAATACAGATCAGTTCTTCCCCGCATTATGAGATCGCAATCAAAATCAGGAAGCAGAAAGTCAGTGCATGCAAACAGACAGACCAGTCGAGTCTCGGGCTACACTCGCCCCTATAGCGTCGTTCTACTCTCACCGTTGTCGCGTTCTTCTTCAGCAGATCTTTCTTCAGTTTCCATCCTGCACCTTGTGGTCACCCCGGACAGCCTCGGCATATGTCGGCGGTGGGCGCGCATCCTCCGCCGCCTGACTGCTACTTCCTCCACCGCCAGCACCACCAGAGGCACTCGGCTGGTTCTGCGGCTTGGGTGGCTGCTGCGCACCGGCGGGGGCATGTGCATTCAGCGTCCCATAGCCTCGCTGCGACGGGGGCGACATGGGCTGATGCGACACGTAGTAGTAGGTGACATGGGCGTTTTCGACATCCCCGCGCCGGTTGGAGCCCGGGATGGGCTCGTAGTTGGGGTCATCGTAGTCCGGCTCGGGGTATTTGAGGATGATGTACCAGGCGTGGAGGAGACCGGGGACGTAGCCCAGACAGCAGAGGGCGAGGTTGATGATGGAGTCGGCGGTGCAGATGCCTACTTTGATCCATACTGGAGGGAGTGTGGATTAGTGGACTATTCAGAAGATGATGGATAATGGGGTGGGAGCCTACCGGCGACGGGGGGGAAGAAGATGGCGAGAATGCCTAGGAAGATGTCTGAACCGCACATGGTTGCGATGGTGGTGGATAGTCACGGTGATGGACTCCCTCACACCATGCAAGGTTCACTCGGGGTATTTGGGTCTATCTTGGGATTTGAGTCTACTCTGGCGTGAGTGAGTAGGTTGGTAGAGTGAGAATAATAATGATGGAGGTCATGAAGATGTTGAGCAGGATCTTGGCTGCCTGAGTCAGATGACGTCGGGTCACCTGACATGACGTTTTTTGATATGGGTGTCATACGAGGATGATGCCTCCGGAGTAGGCAGTATTAGTAGAATATAATGACTATTGTTCGAATATTTGGCGATATTTAGCGAGTGTAAGTACGGAGTACACTATGGTTGTTGGATATATATTTGGTGGATGGTACAACAGTACAGCGCACTGCATATATACTTAGGGTGATATATATTTGACAACACAACAAGATAGCAGGTACTTAGGCACCTGATATAATAAATGTTATTAGAAGATACCCAACATGTCGTTGCTAATTACGTTTCACCTGTCTAGGTATTCGGAGTACAACCTGAATAGATACCCTGTACCCATACATCGTCGGGCCGATTCTAGATTAGATCCCAGGTAAACAACCAGATCCACCTTGCAGAAGACGTGAGGATCGATCATCTCCTCACCTCCCACCTTACATGGCCAACACCAGAGCGCTCATTTCCAGCAGTAAGGAAGCGTCTACGCAAGACGCACTGACTCGAAGGGCGGGAGAGAAGCCTTCATAAAATAGCGATCGGCCGGAGGAGCCCAACAGCGGGTTCTGGTTGGTGGAGAGACTCGTTCGAAACAACGGGCTGATTTTTTTCAGAAGCAGACGGTGAGATCCAAAGTACGGACCTAATTTCAGAGATTATTTATGTCTATCCGGATCTGTTTGATCTGCTGTACAGAGTACAGGTTATCTGATGCACAACAAATCAGAATAACAATCGGAGATTAGTGTAGGAATGTGGACGATATAAGATGGCTCATAACAGACCACAGCATCATCAGGCATGAGATGGATGCCACGTCAGATCTGGACTCGTCACAACACAATCGAAGCAGTGATAAAGAGGAAGTCAGTCCGAGAGACACAGAGGATAAACTTTCCGGTTCCTGCATGTGTCCTGGTCTGTTTGGATTCATCTCTCTCGGAGTTTCTTATATTCTTCTCCTCATCCCACCAGAACACCCAGTACTACTCTGATGAAAGAGATTAACTATTGTTGATAAGACCGTGTTCCTGATCATCCGCGAACCTACTCCGTCTGTTCCGTGGAGTCGGAGGCTGTGGCGCTAACTACGGAGAACTACTCTGCTAACAACAACCTAACTTCCTTAGTAGTTAGTGTCAGTTACCCTAGTTAGTGAGGACTTCCCCTTTTCGCCTCGTCCTCCACTCATTCGGACGGACTCTTTTCCCTCTCCTCGTTCTTCGCCTCAGGCAGGAAAGCACCATCTCGCCTGTCTCGGCTGTCGTGCAACCCAGTCGCTCGTTTACCTGGTCGCTTCTTTCAGACCGTGTTTTCACTCTCTTCATTCCTTGACCCGCGGTCATCACTGCACCTCCGTTGTTACCACTACCGATTCAAATACTGTCCCATCATGAAAAGCCACTACTGAACGACTCCGTCCGCTCAGAACCTCGCCTACTCGCTCGACATCTCCCACATCAGGGACCCATCTCAGTCAGGATGTCCGGCACCTGCATCTCCCTCGCAGGCTCCACGCAGTGTCCCGCCTTCAACACATCCTCCATCTCAACTAGCTCCAGTCTCTACTCGGATTTGTGCGTGGAGACTTCTCCAGAAGCTATGGCCCAATGTCCACTTGCTGACCGTGCCACAGTCCTTTCATGCAGAATGTGTCCAACGTCACTACCTTTGACGAACAATTGAGCAATTACGTGAGCTCAACCTACATCCAACGAAAGTAAGCCTTCCTCTCCCGTTCGTCCCCGAGTGAAGGCTCATTGATCTCCAGATATGTCCAATACCTCGGGTGCCAGGATGCGAACCTGACCAACACCGGCGACTTCTACGCGCGCTACACCACCAGTACCATTTGCTCGGGCTTGGTTCAGAGCTCCAAAAACGCCTGTCACCTGTCCGATCAGGATTCAAGGCCTCTCTGTGCTCAATCATGCGTTCGTCTTGACCCCTTCCGATTCATTCACCACCCCCTAATGATCGTGAGTAGGCTGCCATGGCGGAAAGCGAGGAGTCGATTCTCGTCAATTCGGCGCTGTGTCCCAAGAGAGCTAGCAATTACATGGACCAGATCGTTTCCGACTTCACCATATGTTCCCACCCCGCCGATTCCCTGACCGTGAGCTGCATCGATGGTTCCGACAACGAACCGGACGAGTGTGGATTTCGTTCCAACCTTGTGGGTTTGTGCGGATATTGCGGCTCCAGCTCTCCCAACTCCACCGATTCCTGCTGTGTCAATGCCAAAGCCGAAACCCGCTGCAAAGATATCAGTGTTCCCTACCCGACTGCAACGATCCACTCCATTTTCACCACGACCTCCAACGCAACCGCCGGGGGTCACTCGAACGGTCTCTCAGGGGGACAAATTGCCGGTGTCGTGATTGGATCGGTAGCTGGCTTCGCCCTCCTGGTGGCATTGATCGCGTTCGGCCTGATCTACTGGTGTCGCAAGCGTCGGGGCCAGAATCAAAGCGTTCTGAACCAACCCAACCCACAGCGCAAGGGCTTCGTCTCGATGATGCAACAACCCCCCAGCCCAACCCACGCGGCGGTTCCTGGGGGACGAGTGGCCCGTATGTCAGCACTGCGCGAGGTTCCCAGCGCGTCCCCAGCGCGGTCACGCACCTCGAACGCCTTCTTCGGTGGTGCCAAGTACAGCGATTCGTCTGACTCGGAAGGATATGGTGCCAGTCCGGGAGCCATGTCCAAGAAAATTCCCCCGACAACGGGCAAGCGTCATGGGTCTCTTTCGAGCCAGTCGGCCCTGGCAGGCGGTGGTAGTGACACTTCTCCTCGTTCCGGCACTGTCGGACAGTACTCGTCCCCCGAAGGAATGGCCAGCGGACAATCCGAGCAGTTGTCCTCCTTCCAGGACTATTACTCCCAGGATGACATTCACCCCGGCGACAAGGTCGCGGTCTTGTGGGCGTATCAACCTCGGGCGAATGATGAGTTTGCGTTGGACCGTGGAGAGATGCTGAAGGTGATTGGCATTTGGGACGATGGCTGGGCCACAGGCATTCGTGTTCCCGAAAGTGCTGAGGATTACGACGCACGACACCGCGAGCAACGCGACAGTGGTGTTTCGAATGGCTCCCAGCGCCCAGTTGCCTCCCCGGCCCCGGTGGGCGAGATTAAGGCATTCCCTCTGGTTTGTGTCTGCCTACCTCAGCACTGGAGAAAAATCATCGACGGCGGTCAAGCGGACGATGGTTCATGATAACCAGCAGATCCGCGGGAGCCATTTGACCTGCCATTTCACCTGATGCCGGTCACGCCTTGACGATAGCGCCTTTGTCCTTTTCCTTGTCCTTGAGGAGTTTCTGCGCGAGCTGTCCTGTTTGCGTCTACGCTTGATTCTTCTGTTCGCCGAACAAAAGTTTCCTCGACCATCTCGCCCCTTCGTTATTTTTGAGCACGTCGACATGTTCATTATCCATTCTCTGTCTGTGACTACTTCTGTGGGTGGGTGTCCTTTGACGTTCGATTTTCCTTCTCCGGTTATATACCCCTTCTCTGCAAGCCTCTTGCCTTTCAATTCTTAGACCCCGGTGTCTTACGTTATTTTAATCATGTCGCTGCCTCCGCCGTTGATGACGGTGGGAGGAGACGTAATTTAGCCAATCTTGCAGACGATACATATTGATCTATGTACATATCCATGTTTGATTTATTCTAGAATACAATGCCAACTGACAGGCAGATGGGTTATTGAGTACTTTGTAGTGGGCGATGGAGCTCTGTAGGGCCACTGTACGTCGACTGGTGACGTGCATACGTCAGTGGGAGACAGGCACAGGCAACAATGGATCTGCCTGATGATTGTACGGCATCGCAAGTGACGACTCATCTTCAAGAAGGATGACGAGAAAATCAAGGTAGAAAGCCGAATCCAATAGTACTCTGTACTGCTAAGAATAGGCCGCAAACCCCTGAATAGAGGGGTGGATCACGTGTGGGAGGCCATGTACCTTCGATGAGCGCACCGCCGACCGCCGCAACGCAAGCACCACAGCCGGTACCTCTTGTCTCCCTGACTAACCTAAATTGCCCCTCATATCTCTCTCTTGTCCGCTTTCTCCATTATTATTATTCCTCTTCTTTCCCAACACCCCTCCTTCGCCTCCCCCTCGTCATCTCTTCCAAGTGAGCTCCTCTCCCCCTCTGCATCTCCCCTCTCTCAATCACCTCCCACCCGGTTAGTTCTGCGATCGATCCATCTCGGTCCCGCACTCAGATCGTGGGCCGGTTGTGACGACCCATACACCGGAAATAGGGACAAGTAAGCCCAAACTAACATCGCGTGCCAATCCAGATCATCTCTCTCCGTCCATTTGACCTCGAGAATCCTTTGCAATCATGTCGGTACGTTGGACTTTTCCCCGTTGAATTTTCCTGGATGTAGTGATCGGAGCGTACTGACGTTTGTTTGTGTACAGCTCGCATCTGGGTACGTCGTCGGCCGCCTCCCCGCTTTCGCGAGAGCCCATTCGCAAACCCAACCCAACCTACCCACACCATGTACTGATGACATGCAGTGTCTCCATCGACGATGAATGCCTCGCCGCATTCAACTCCTTCCGCATGAGCGGCGATAACAAGGGCGACAAGACCAAGTTCATCATCTTCAAGATCTCCGACGACAAGAAGCGCGTTGTCCTCGACGAGGCTTCCAACGAGAAGGACTACGAGGCTTTCCGCTCCAAGCTCGAGGCCGCTCGCGATGCCAAGGGCAACCCCGCTCCCCGCTACGCCGTCTACGATGTCGAGTGGGATTCCGGCGAGGGTCAGCGGTATGACTTCCCTCGCCAATTCAGGAGGCAATCGGATGAAGGATGTTTGCTGATCCGCTGATATAGGAGCAAGATCGTCTTCATCTCCTGGGTGCCTAGCGACACTCCCACTCTCGTATGTCTTTCTCTTACTATATTCAAGATGTCGCGAGGGACTACCGGTACTGACGCCTCCAGTGGTCCATGATCTACGCCAGCACCCGCGAGAACCTGAAGAACGCCCTCAACATCCACAACTCCATCCACGCCGACGACAAGGGTGACATCGAATGGAACACTCTGCTGAAGGAGGCCAGCGGTGGCAAGGCCGGTAAATAGAGGACGGCGACCGGCTGGGTCCGGGCCAGGTGAGCTTGTCTATGTGTGGGAGAGTGTATGCTGGTGAGGAGGACACGGCGCCATCCGTCTCCCCTCCCACCGATCGTGGAGTCCGACTCCCTTCCGAACCCAACTACCAACCTGGGGCATGCTTCTCTGCATACATGTAGTTTCAATACGAGATCGTTACGACTGTGTGTGGTCGCGTTACTTGACCGTATCCTGCTCTTGCGCGATCGTGATTGCTCTCGCCGCCTGCCCGAGCCATTCACCGGGGAGGAACTCGTGGAACTGTGTTGTGTTGTGCTGTGTTTTGTTTTCGTTTCGTGTGTTATTTTTTACCCCTCCTTGTCAGCGATGCTTGTATAGACCCGATTGTCTGGTGGGAGGGGATGATAGTTGGGGGTAGACAGAGAGGATGACAGAGGATGACGTGATGAATCCAGTGCACAGGACTATATGGAATGAGAGTAAAAATGAAGGAGAAAATAAACCATCGATATTAGTAGGTAGTATCATCTCACCATCGGATCAGGTGGTTAGGGACGGTCGGGACGGGCGGGCCAATCACGGGGCGGCGAAAACGGACTAAGCTAAGCCGGCCGGAAGGTCGAACTTCCCACCTCAAACCACAACGCCGAACGTCGTCTCTGTCTCCTCCATCGCAAGTCTCGGTCACCCTCCCCCCTCCCATCCACCTTTAGTCGTCCTCCGTCGAGGCATCCTCTCTCTCGTCCCTGGAGAGTCTTTGATTGATTCAATTGGTCTTTTTTCGCGTTCCTCGCCACGCTCACACATCATGTTCTTCCGTTCCGTCTCCAAAGCCGCTGCTCGCAGCTCGGCCCTGCCCACCACCGCCCTGCGCTCCTACCGCACGGCGTCGGCCCCAATGGCTTGCCTGAATGCCCGTCCGCAGGCGGAGAAGAAGGCTGTCGCTCCTCAGCAGGCCCGCGCCGCCTCCGACCACGCCATCGCCAATCCCACACTTGCCGGTATCGAGAAGCGCTGGGAGGCCATGCCCCCCCAGGAGCAGGCCGAGCTGTGGATGCAGCTGCGTGATCGCATGAAGGTCGACTGGCACCAGATGACTCTCCAGGAGAAGAAGGCCGGTACGTGTTCCTGACTATGAACGCTTCCTCCTCGGTCCGAGGGAGATTTTTGAATTTTGCTGACGGGCTGGTCTTTCTTTGTTCTAGCTTACTGGATTGCTTTCGGTCCCCACGGCCCCCGTGCTCAGGCTCCCAAGGGCGAGGGTCTGCGTATCTTCGTCAAGGTCGCCCAGCTCACGGCCGTCTCGGTCGCTCTCTTCTACGCCATCCACCTGTTCGCCAAGCCCCAGCCCAAGACCATGTCCAAGGAGTGGCAGGAGGCCTCCAACGAATACGCTCTGGTATGTTCAGTGATCTTCAGCTCGAAGATACTTCATATACTAACGGGTTCTCTCTGCAGCGTGAGAAGATCAACCCTATCTACGGCATCAGTGCCGAGGGCTACGAGGGCAAGGGCTTTGTCCAGAGCCCTCCTGCCGAGAAGCAGTAGATGGGCCGCTGCTGTGATCCTCTGAGAGGCAACAGGAACCAGTCGATATGAGAAACTGGAACGGATCGATGGTGGGGGTGTGCTGGGAGGGTGATATCAAGTGTCGTTCTCCTCAGCACACTTGTTCACCCGTCCTTCTGGCAGACGGATGCTTCTCATACTCTGATGGATGATGCTGTGAGCCGCTTGCATGCCCTACCCTCCGTGTGGACAGTCACTTCCTTTCGCCTGTGTCTTACTTGTTCTTGTCCACGTCCGTTTCCCCCCGACCCAAAAGACCTGTGTATCTCGTACTGTGCAATAATCGATGTATCTCCTTTGTAGTCATAGAGGCCTCTTTTGAAGTAGTGGTGGAGGTGTATATTCATTTACTGTTGTTATTTAGTTGATTCAGTGTGCACATTTGTTGCGGTTGTCTATTTACCTACTCCGTACCATAGTACTAGGTATGTAGCTGAGGTATGCCCAAGGTGTGGGTGAAATCGGATGCATGTTACAGATACAGTTAATACCGGGAGGTAATGACGTGTAGCGGAGCGCGTGGAAACAGGGCTTGCGGTGAGCCCTAACCTAGTACTTACCCAAGTGTGCACTTATATTAATTTTAGAATAGAATAATAATTATCAAAGAGCCTACCTAGGCATAATTAATTAAATAAGGGCTAAAATAAGGTCTACTTGAGTACAGCTAAATACTTGTAGGTACAGTAGGTGGAGGCCAGTGTAACCAGAATACGGTAACGATGGCAGATTTTTCAGCAGCGGGTGTCCGAAATAGGACACGGACGCAGCCGGGAAAGGAGGAGGTGTCGGGGCAACCGTCGTCGAGTTCTTTGTCTGAACCAGTTACACAGAAGATCGAGATAGACTTGGTTGATTTCGAAATGAGGCTTCTAATGGCAGGGATTTTGCTTCTATTTCTCTTTGTTCTATTGTCCCTACATAGCTCCCCGGTTCTTCAGGATGAAGGCGATTGTTTTCCTCTCATCCGTATCCCTGGGAATCCGGTGGGTGCCAAGCAGCTCCGCATTTGTGCGATTTTTCGTCTCGCTTTCCCTCGTGGTTTCTTCTTTATAGACGTGAATAGGATATAAGATATCAAATATTAAAGAAGAGAATGACAATAGTAAATAAAGACGTAAACAACAATATCTAGATATCGAGAATACGCTGTCCAGGACTGTGGAAAACGCTCGGTACATCACGGGATCGTCGGCAAAACCGCCCCGGAAAGGCTAAGCCGGACACAAGGACCACCGGTCTGCTCCCCTTCCAACCTCTTCCCTTCTTTCCCTTCTCTTTCCCCCAATCTCCTCCTCTCCTCCTCCCCCTACACCTCTTTCATCTCCTCCATCTCGCTCTTCAACACCGTCATCATGTTCAAGAGGTAGGTCAAGCAGACTCCCCCTCTCCCTCCTTTACCTCTTCTCTTCCTCTCCTCTTCTATACACCATCATTATATTCAACTACTAACCTCCACAGCGGTCTCGCCCGGACCTTCGGGAGGGCTGCTTTTGCCCGACCCTCCGTCGCCCGTCGCGCTCTTCCCTCCAAGCTCAATGGCCTCCCTTCCCTGGCCCGCTTCGCCAGCACTGATTCTTCCGTCGGAAAGATTCACCAGGTCATTGGTGCCGTCGTCGACGGTATGTGGTACCCGACTTACCCTTCACCAAGGGAAATCCCTGCCTTCCCGGCCCTACGCGAAAATCTTTTCCGGGCCTCGACTTCAACCCCAACAACCCACCACGACCGCCTTTTCGCTGCCAACATCCGTCTCTAACTGTCGCCTGTAGTGAAGTTCGAGGGTGAGAAGCTCCCTGCCATTCTCAACGCCATTGAGACCGAGAACAACGGCCAGAAGCTCGTTCTGGAGGTTTCTGTATGTATCCGAGAGCTCCTGATGACATCAAAAGACCCTTCCAACTAACTCCCTTTTAGCAACACCTGGGTGAGAATGTCGTCCGTACCATTGCCATGGATGGTAAGTCTTTTTCACCCCCTTCCTGTCGACGCGGATGAAGATCGGCCTCACCGCTTCCTTTTACGTGGTCTTTTCTGGTACCTAACCGCTCCAATGTAGGTACCGAGGGTCTGACCCGTGGTGCTGCCGCCCGCGACACCGGTGCTCCCATCACCATCCCCGTCGGCCCTGGCACTCTGGGCCGTATCCTGAACGTCACTGGTGACCCCATTGACGAGCGTGGCCCCGTCAAGGCCACCACCTACCTCCCCATCCACACTGAGGCTCCTCCCTTCACTGAGCAGTCCACCGAGGCCGAGATTCTGGTTACCGGTATCAAGGTCGTCGATCTCCTTGCCCCCTACGCCCGTGGTGGTAAGATTGGTCTCTTCGGTGGTGCCGGTGTCGGTAAGACCGTGTTCATTCAGGAGCTGATTGTAAGTTTCCTCACTTGTTCCAAAAGAAAAAAAGAGAGTTTCATCTAACAATTGTAGAACAACATCGCCAAGGCTCACGGTGGTTACTCCGTCTTCTGTGGTGTCGGTGAGCGTACCCGTGAGGGTAACGATCTGTACCACGAAATGCAGGAGACCGGTGTCATTCAGCTCGATGGTGAATCCAAGGTGTCTCTGGTCTTCGGTCAGATGAACGAGCCCCCGGGTGCCCGTGCCCGTGTCGCCCTGACCGGTCTGACCATTGCCGAGTACTTCCGTGACCAGGAGGGTCAGGATGTGCTTCTCTTCATTGACAACATCTTCCGTTTCACCCAGGCCGGTTCTGAGGTGTCTGCCCTTCTGGGTCGTATCCCCTCGGCCGTCGGTTACCAGCCCACCCTGGCCGTCGACATGGGTGGTATGCAGGAGCGTATTACCACCACCACCAAGGGTTCCATTACCTCCGTCCAGGCCGTCTACGTGCCCGCTGACGATCTGACTGACCCTGCTCCCGCCACCACCTTCGCTCACTTGGACGCCACCACTGTGCTGTCCCGTGGTATCTCCGAGTTGGGTATCTACCCTGCCGTCGACCCTCTCGACTCCAAGTCCCGTATGCTCGACGCCCGTATTGTCGGCCAGGAGCACTACGACACCGCTACCCGTGTCCAGCAGATGCTCCAGGAGTACAAGTCCCTCCAGGATATCATTGCCATTCTGGGTATGGACGAACTGTCTGAGGCTGACAAGCTCACCGTCGAGCGTGCCCGTAAGCTCCAGCGTTTCCTGAGCCAGCCTTTCACCGTCGCCCAGGTCTTCACTGGTATCGAGGGTAAGCTCGTTGACCTGAAGGACACCATCCGTTCCTTCAAGGCTATCATCAACGGTGAGGGTGATGACCTCCCTGAGTGTAAGTTCCATCCCTCGCTCTCTCTACCTCACTGATACTAACGGATGCAGCCGCCTTCTACATGGTTGGTGACTTCGAGTCTGCCCGCGCCAAGGGTGAGAAGCTTTTGGCCGAGCTGGAGAACAAGGCCTAAATGTAATATTGTTGTTTAAAGCGCCCTTTTCCGTTACCTTTTTTCTCTTTGTTAGATTTTGGACTTCCTTTCGGCAGTGTTCCGCTTTCTGTCGATCCGTGTACAGTACTCGAATCAAGAAAAGGGAGTTGAACGAAAGGAGATTCCAATCCATTCAAGGGAAAAGATATATGGGAAAGAGCACAGACTTCTCTCCAAGCTGGGACGAACGGGCGTTCGTCCGGCTGTGTTACAATATGTGCTCATGTAAGTAGGTTAAAATGACCACACAGCCTGATACCCTGGGGCTGGACAAATGTATTTCTTTTGTTAGTAGTTTGGATGTAGTTTGTAGTGTAGTACTTGGTGCATTTGCAGCTATGTAATGCTGTGTACATGATCCATTACCCCGATGCCTCCATAAATTCAATCTGATATCACTTTGCCTACCACTTACAGCGTTTCCTCCAATGCAAAGACCTAGACGACAGTTAGCACTTCTTCCAACGATCAATGAACAAAACATACCAGGGCAGTCCGACTCGGCAGATAAACCTGCACATAGTTCTTCCTCCCATTCCACTCCAGATCCGTAGTAAAGAATCTCGTATCCTTGCGATTCCGTCCAAACCCACCAAACGCCTCATCATCGGTATCCAGCACAATGCGATACGTGCCCGCAACGTCCACACCCACCCGATAATCCGTAAAGCTCTCCGTCGGATGGAAATTAAACACCCAGAGTAAGCCGGCCCGCTCGAATACCAGCACCTTGTCGACCTCGTGCTTGAGACTGATGTACGCCGGCGGCGCATGCAGCCACCCGTACTTCGCCTCGGCGTGCTGCATGCCGCGGTCGAACTCGTTCAGCTGCCCGTACCGCAGGAGGTGGTCCTCGGTGAGGTTGAGCTGGCGCCGCGCGTACCAGAACGAGTTGTTGTTGCCCGCGCGCGGGAAATCGAGCCACTCCGGGTGCCCGAATTCGTTGCCCTCGAAGTTGAGGTAGCCCTCGCCGCCGAGGGCGTGGGTCACCAGCCGGATCATCTTGTGCAGCGACATGCCGCGCGCGATGGTGGGCGTTAGCTCGGTTAGGACTGACATGTTCGTGTACATCTCTTTGTCGCAGAGCCACATCATGAGGGTTTTGTCGCCGACCAGGCTGTTCCGGTGGTTAGTGGGTGAGATACGGGGAAGGGGAAGGGAAGGGGCGGGAGGCTCACGCTTGGTCGTGGCTCTCGGCGTAGGCGATGGTCTTTTCGCCGTAGCGCCGGTTTGTCAGGGTGAAGGCTAGGTTGCCCATGTCCCATTCGTCGTCGGATTTCTCTTTCAGCAGTTTGATGTACATGTCCGGGATGGCCATGCCGAGGCGGTAGTCGAAGCCGACGCCGCCGAGGGCGTGCGGGAGACAGAGCGCTGGCATGCCTGAGACGTCCTCGGCTACAGTGATGCAGTCCGGGTAGAGCGCGTGGAGCATCTCATTCGCCAGCGTGAGGTACATGACGCCTTCGGCGTCGACGGCGGGGCCGAAGTACTCGTGGTAGCCGCCGGAGAAGCCGCTGCACACGTTAGCTATGATGTATAGATGAGGGAGAGGGAGACGCACGTTCCGATTCCGTGGTGGGTGTAGAGCATGCTGGTGACGCCGTCGAAGCGGAACCCATCGAAGCCGTACTCCTCCATCCAGAAGCGCAGGTTGCTCAACAGGAAGCGCAGCACCTCGTGGTTCCCGTAGTTGAACAGCCGGCTGTCCCAGAGGTCGTGGCGGCCTTTGGCGCCCTCGTGGAAATACAGATGATCAGTGCCGTCGAACATGTTCAGCCCATCGAGGACGTTCTTGGACGCATGGCTGTGCACCACGTCCAGCAGCACGACGAGCCCCATCTTGTGCGCCGTGTCCACCAGCTCCTTGAGATCCTCCGGCGTGCCGTACCGGCTGCTCGCCGCGAAGAAGTTGTTCACCTGGTACCCGAAGCTGGCGTAGTAGGCGTGCTCCATTACCGCCATCAGCTGGATCGCGTTGTACCCCAGGTACTGGATGCGCGGCAGCATCGTCGCCGTGAACTCCTTGTACGTGGCGACGCGGGTTTCCGGCGACGAGATGCCCACGTGGGCTTCGTAGATGCGCAGGCTCTGCGGCTTCTTGGGGCGCGCGTGCTGGAAGTGGTATTTCTGGTCGGCTGGGGGGTTCCAGAAGACGGAGTCGTAGGTTGGCGAGACGCTGAGGTCCTGGACGGCGCGTTTGATCCAGGCGGGCATGCGGTAGATGCGTTCGCCGCTGGGGATGACCATGGTGATCTGATGGGTTAGTTGGTAGTTTACTTTGTAGAGGGAAGGAGAGGGATTAAGTACCTTGATTTTACTATCGTGAGGAATCGCAGGGGCGCCATCTTTGGCTGGAATTGTAAGCTCCCACACACCAAAGTCGTTCTTTGTCATGGGATGGGCCTCGACGTCCCAGTTATCTGCGAGGGTTAGCAATGCGGCTGTGTCTTCACGAGGTCGGGCTACGCACTGAACTCCCCAACAAGAGATGCCTGGACAGCATTGGGAGCCCATTCCCGGTATGTGATGTCGCCGTTGGCGTTGGCATTGAGCCCGAACTTCTCGTAGCCCTGGTGGTGCGGTTAGTTGAGGTGGTGATGGCGCAGGCGCTAGTGGCAGCCGCAGAGATAATGAAAGGTTACCCGGCTGAATTGGTCCAACCCGCCTTCTGTGTCGTTGATGGTCTTGATCCAGCCTTCGACGAGCGCGAATCGCTCTCGCAGAGCGTCGCGGAACGGCTCCAGCCATGGATCGAGCTTGATCACGCCTGGACGCTGGTTAGTAGGGTTCCGTTCCTGGATGGATAGATAGGGCTTATCAGGAACGGACCGGTGCCATCAGGGGGGCTGTCGACCGCGTGGGGTGAAGCCATTGAGATAGAGCAGGGAGCAGGAGATTGATTATCGGAGAAGAATATGGATTATGAAAATTGAGAAGAATACTTAGGGGTCGTGGTGTTGAGGTGTCGTGAAGTTGAATGAGACTTGACTGCATGCGGGGAGACGGTCCAGGCCATGTGATGTCACGCCCCCCTCTCTCTCAACACTTCTTAATTTTCTTTCCCTGTTTATCCCAACACTCTTCCCTGTCGCTTCCTCAGTCTGTCACATATTCTCGATATCATCGTTGCTAATGTACTCGAATAATAACGATAATACTCCTGATCCAACGGACAATCCAACCCCCATCACTACCCATCTCAATGGCGATGACCATGTCGCCGATGGCCTCCATATCTGGCTGCGCCGCGACCCTGGCCCGCCGGGGGTGCACATACCCCTTGCACTGCGGCAGCGGTCGGACCCATTATGCTACCGGCCGCCGCAGTAGTCGACTTGGTCAAGAATGAGCCCGTCTGAGCTGGACGGGATGAACTACCCGCCCTGGATACCACGGCGCTAGTGCCAAACGCGACTGCGCGCACATTTGCACTGGCCGACGACTGAGCTCCCATCAGAGCGCTATACGGCGTTGCGCCCGGGTAGAACGACGTGGGAATTGTGGGAATGGGAATCGAGACCGTGCTACCGAAATCCCTGGTCAGATCAGACGCCATCGTCGGCGCAGAGTACCCCGACGGAGCGCTGGTGGCCGTGGATGTGGTCGCCTCGTATGAAGAGTAATCGGATCCAGACTGCAGACAAAATCCGGATCCAAACGCACTCTGGCATGTGTACCATTGTTCGTCGCCTTCTTCGGTCCACATAGCAAAGTCTTCGATATACATCTCGTAGCACGGAGCACCGTTCGGACAGATGATCTTGACCGGTCCTCGCTCCGCCCCGTTCGCCTCCGTACCCTTCCAGTTACGGATGGTGAAGTTGCTGAACTCGACCCCGTCGCCGGACTGTGTGCTCATGCTGCTCCATGCACTATCGATGTCGAGGGAGTAGGCGTTGCCGTGGCCTGTGCGTTGTTAGCGGTGGGAATGAGACTTGACTCGGGTTGCCGCTTACCGATGAAGTTCTCGAGAACGACGTTGGAGACGGTCCCACTGCCTCCGTTGCTCTTGATGAGCATCATCTGGTTCGAGTTCCACGTGTAGACGTTCCGGTAGGTGATGTCGCTGATGTTGGTGTCGGCGCCGAGCGAGCCCATGCCGCATCCGCCGCTCCAGTTGCAGTAGATGTTCTCCACGAGGATGTTCTGAGCTGGGCTCTGCAAAGCGTCAGATACGCGATCATTGGTTACCCACATGGAGAACATACCTTGACTGTGACACACTCATCCTTGTTGGTCACTTCCACGTCGTGAATCCAGATATTCGTACTCCAAACATCCACTCCATCCAACGCACCATGGTTACCGCCCCGGATCGCCATGTTATACACTTCGCCATTGGAGCACGTATCCAGCGACAGATGGAACGACGGCGAATCCACAAGGATAAAATCATGCAGCGCAAAGTCCGAAACATCGTACAACCGGAGCAAGCGCGGTCCGCTCCAGTTGTCATCCTTATGGAACTCGTATCCCAGACCTTGCATCGCGCCAGACGACGTGCTGCTGAACAGCTCGAAGTCGCTCGAATGCTCGATAAAGATCATGTTGCCCCCGTCGGTACCCGTACGGTAGATGGTCCCATCGATCTGGAGCGCCCAGGCCTTACCTCCACTCAGTTGTGCCCATGACTCCAGCGCGTAGTCGCCTGGCGGGACGTAGACCAGTCCGCCGGTCTTGCAGTCGGCAAAGGCGGACGCCAGCGGAGCACCCAGGTCGGTGGTCTTGTCTGCTGCTGCGCCGTAGTCGAGAACATTGCACGTTTTTGTGGCAGCTTTAGCTGACGCTGAGGTCAAAGGGCCAACAGACCCTGAGAGCCGCGCTGCGGCGAGAGGCACCAGGCCCACTAAAGAAAGGACAGATAGTGTATTGACGTGCATTATCCTTGCTGAAAGAACTGGAGTTTGAGATTCTCTCGAGCCAAGGGGACATTCCGACGGAGCTCTAAGGAGGCTATATACCGGACAGCGCTAAGGGAACAATCTGAAACGCCCATCGAGAAGTCCTCTATATGGAACAGCTGGGCCCAGACGACTCCATTCGGATGTTTCGCGGAGGCTGCTGGGCACGTATGCCCTTGCCATCACGGAACCAAATTCGACCTTGCGGTATGATTTTCCTTGATTAACATCGACTCCTAATATAATAATCATCATTCATTCTCAGAAATGTGATCAACCCATCCCATTGAGTTGCAGTGTGATGGGGGCAACGGACCAGATACCTGAAACGCCCTAACAACGATCCGCAATAGCCACTCCCAGGACGAAAATACGGTGGATACACTCAGGGGAATTGCAAATTTAACGTTGCTAAGCTTTTCTTTTCAGGCAACTGCAAGGCTTAGTTGAAAGGAATGTGCTCCTACAGCGACGACATGCCAATACGATACAAATGGTGCTGAGAGGTCTTAACAATGCAAAAGAATTTATATGTCTACAGAGACCAACGAGGCTTCGGAAATAAAGTCATTTCAAAAGGATGACATCCCTTAACATCAGACGCCAGATGGAAAGCAAATCTTCATCTAAAACACCCGAATCATTCTCAAGCAATATGTGGTGGATTTATGTACATGAATAGCATGGTGTCTATTCACATGTGGAGGTAACAATGCACTAACAGGACGTCAGACGCGTGGCCCTGTCAACTCGTCGGTTGACAGATGCTGTTGAGTGCACGGAAACGCATCACCACGCATGCATTTAGATGTTCTCCCCGATCACACCGACCACACTGCCTAGCCCAGCGAGGCTTTCCAGACCAAGGCCGGAAAGGAGCTCCTTGAGGGTAGGGTCGAGCTCGACCAGGAGGTTGCCGAGATCAGAGCTGAGACCGCACAGGAGACCCTCAACAATGTTACCAAGCTGAGGAAGAAGGCTGCCGAGCAGGCCACCAACGGCGCCGACAATCTTACCCAGGGGCTGACCGAGGCCGCCCAGACCAAGCCCGGTAAGCAAGTCGGCAACCTCATCGCCAACCTGGACCAGAAGGGTCTCACCATCGGGACCGAGGACGGTAAGGAGGTTGTTGACCTCACCGCCGAGGTCGCAGAGGATCTTGCCGTCGGCGGTCTTGAGGTAGTTGCCCTCGCGGTGGATGCGGGGGAGAGAGCCGAACTTGTGGGCGTCGGGAATAGAGATATGGTACTTCTTGGCGACGTCCTCGGGGATGCCGAACTTGGCAAAGTTGACCTCGTTGTTGACGTTGGCGGTGGTGGTGATGTCGCCGCGGATCTTCAGGCCGCTGGTGACACCGCTGGTGCCGCTCAGGGCACCGCCGAGGGTGGCCACGACGTCGCCAATGGGGTTGCCCAGGGCCGGCAGGCCGAGGCCACCAAGGAGACCCTTCACCTCGGGGGAGAGCTTGATGAGAAGGGCGCCGACGTCCTTGCCAACGACGGTGAGGAGGTCCTCAACGGGCTCGCCCAGATCCTTCAGCAAGTCACCGACATTGGCGGCGGTCCTGATGACCTCGCCGACGGGCTTTCCGAGAGCGCCCAGGCTGAGCTTGGTGAGCAGATCCTCCACCTCGGGGGAGAGCTCGATCAGGAGCTCCTTGGCGTCCGGGCCGGTGACGGCCAGGACCTTGTTAAGGGAGTGGCCGACGTCGCCGGTGAGGCCCTTGTCGCTGCCGGAGGAGATGCTGTGGACGCTGCCGTAGGACGAAGCGGAGTGGCCGCTCTTGAGAACAGCGGTGATCTGGCTCACGTCGCTGATCTCCGGCAGGGTAGGAGCCGGGGCGGCGGCGGCCGCAGCGATCAGAGCAGCAAGAGTGACCAGAGAGATCTTCATGGTGAATGGGAAGAATTAAAAATTATGTAAAGAGCGGATAAGGTGAGAAGATGCAGACAGGAAAGAGTCAAAGAGTGACAAAAGTAGGAAGCGAGAATGCTATTGCTGCTGGATGAAGAACACAATGACGGGGTGAGTTGACGACTCTTTATAACCCTTCGTCAATGAGTGATCGTCCTGCTCTGTTCACCATCACAGTCTGATGCTTCACTGCTGGCCAGCGCGGTGACTAGTGTGCGGGTCGACCTCATCTCCAGATCCGAGTGCTCAGCAAGATTCGAGCAGCTGATGTGGGTACGAACTACACCAACGACGCAGAGCTGATCCAGGGCTCTCGACGATCATCAGAAGGTAGGACATATCATTGCCGCAAACCAGAAAGAGCAGTGCGCTGTCCACGCAGAGTGCTGTGCAAGGGAACATAAGGCAAATCCAAAAGGAAATTACCTGTCGTGCCTCTGAATCGGCAGTGATGGCGATGATCATAACAAAGGCGCAGGGGATATACAATTCCACAGCGAGTTTGCTTCATATGGCCTCTAATGCCATTGCGATCAACAATGCTGTCTCTCCATGGCACCGCAGGGCCGGTTCGGACCACATGGACTGTTTGACGAAGTGGAGCGGCTTATCTGGAACATGAGCATGGGCATAAAGCCGCCTGTGTAGTCTATCTACACCCTCGAGCGTAATAAACTGTGGACTGACAGGCGCCTCATCCATTTGCGCAGGTGGCAAATGTGATCATATTAGGCTACGGCCCCTACCATCGGCATCCCAAGACGGGTGGCGTCCTCGCACTGTGGTGGCTGATACTTACCACCTGGTATCCGCTTCAGCTATGCAAGAAGCCCATGGTGGCCGAACCTTGCGTCTACCATGCAGGTCCCTATGCGGGAGCCCCGGTGCGCGCGAGGGATATCAGTACTATGACCCTGCGTCTGCCTCGCTTGATTGCACGCAGGGTACAGAATCAATGGCATGACTATTGTCTTGCTGATCAATGCTTTTGTTTGGGAGTTCGCATGGAGAAAATCGATAAGATACCATTCGATCAGCCAAATAAGCTCTATCAATTAGGAGCAGAATGAGATTCTTTCCAATACGCATATTCTATCACTCAAGCAGGAAGCACAACCGCGTCAGGGTGCTGTTGAACCCTTTGTTCTCTGGGATGGTACGATCGAGACGACAGAAACTAGCAAGCCCGACGCATCCTCTCCACTTCGGCAATTTCAGCTCATTCACGGCAAGTCACCGGGGACCAGCAATCTGCGGATTCTGGAAGTCTCGGACGGGAGATCTGATGTGTTTAGCTCTCTTGGCGAGAGGCATCCGAGGACGCACGGGCGAAGGGCTTCGTTTACGCAAAGTTCCCCAATTGGGCCGGAGAACATGATCACGCCGCTGTGATTGGTTCTCATCCGGATGCATCTTATATCGGATCTGGTTCGTTGGCATTGTTGATGTGATCTCAGATTTAGGGGGACCTGCGTCGTCGGCTACTACAAGCGGACGAATGTGAGCAGTCGACTAGGAGCTGCATCCCGGATTCCCTCTCCGCTTCCACAGCCACAACGATGGAAGCGTATCTGCAAGATTAGTCCCAGGGCAGAATCTCAATTGACTTTGATCTCAGCGGCTGTTTTCGCGTCCTTTCGACATGTTCTCCAGATCTTCCAGCTTCCCGCACACGGTCGATCCGGACACGCTGATCGGCAGGCAATATTGAAGTTTAACCTTGTTTCCGATCGACAAACCCTATCCTCGGCTCAGCCAGATCGGTTGATCATTGTGGACTGAGCGGACAAGTCAGTTTGATTAGTCTTTGGGGGTACGTTGAAGGTGAGCTCTGACAGCAAGGGTTCAATTACGCGAATGAGATCTAAGCAAGAGGCAATGCCCTGTCCAGTGATCATTATCACGCTCCTGTCGTCAATTTATGATTTAATCTCACTAACGCCAGGCATCGGTCGACCTCGCGGCACTAGTCTCAGCTTACGACTCTACTATCGACCGCCAGTAATCTATGTACAATAGCCCTCGGCAAGGGCTCCATCTAATCTATTTACGATGCCGGGCTGGGAGGCAATTCTCCAGTGAACCAGCCACTCGGACTCGCCCCCAGCTCAAACTCCAACGTGCCGCCGTCGGCAAAGATGTCGTCCCAGGTCAGCCAGTTCTTCCGCCAGTCCTGTCCGTTGACGCGGAGTCGCTGGACATAAATGTTGCTATCGCCGTTCCCATCACCACCAGTGGTCGTTACCTTAAGGGACTTTCCGTCCCCAAGCTCGATGGTTAGCTCCTCGAACCACGGGGAGTGGATCAAGAACGTCGTCTGGCCGGTAATGGGATATAGTCCGATCATGTTCCACAGAAGCCAGCTCTGCATCGCCCCGGCGTCACTGTTTCCAGGAAGTCCAGCTCGGCCAGTGTTGTAACTCGATTTCGCGATGCGCCGCGCCTGTGAGACAGACTGATCCTGCTGGCCGAGGTAGTTGTAGAGATAGGGGAGATTAAACATCCTGATTCAGTCAGCTCACCGCATTCACAGCCTCTCCCAGCTTGATCGACATACGGTTCATTTGTGGGATCAAACAGAGTCCCGGAGCCACCCCCAGCCCCCACTGTGAACATGGTGTCCAGTCTCTTGCGCGCCGCCTGCACACCCCCCATCATCTCCACCAAGGCCGCCATATCATGCACGCCCGCCCAGGAGTACGCCCACGAGCTCGCCTCGTAAAAGGGATCACCCCAGTACCCACTGCTCGTGACCGGATCGATCTCGACAAAACCGTTCTCGTCGCGCGGCACCACAAACCCCGCAAACCCAAGCGACGTCTGGTTCTCGTTCCAGTGGTTGCGCCAATTCCGCGAACGCTGCAGGTACTTCTGCGCGTCGTCGTGCCGGCCCAGCCCCTGTGCGACCTGGTACAGACCGAAATCGTTGCCCGCGTACTCGACGGCCCGCGACACGGCCCGCGTGAACCGCGGCGTGATGAAGCCCAGACTGAGCCAGTCGGGCAGCGCGCCGCGGCCCTCCTTGGTAGAGGAGTCCGGGGCCATCGGGTCGACGGGCGTGTTGGGGGGCGCCACCTCGGCGTCTTTGACCATGGCTTGGTAGCCGGCGGACCAGTCGATGGCGCCGCGTACACCCTTGACGTAGGCGTCGGCGAGGATGGTGTCGGCGTTGGAGCCGCCCTGCGTACGGCCGTTGTAGTTGGACGACCGCGCGTCAGGGAGGTAGCCCTCGAAGCGCCAGGTGTCGATGAGCGAGCGGATGAGCTCCTCGTAGGCGGTTGGCTGGAGGATGTGCATGAGAGGTGTGGAGCAGCGGAAGAGGTCCTACTCGTATGAGCTTGGTATGGGTATGAAAGAAGGGAGAGGACATACCCAGAAGGTGAAGATATCCTGGTAATATGGTTCGGAGGAGGTCCAGCTGGGGTTCTCGCCGGTCTGGTTGGTCGGGATTAGGTGCATGAAGTAGAGGGATGTGTACAGCAATGCCAGACTAGTCTCGTTGGTGGAGGAGGTGCTGATCTTGGACAGGACGCGCTCGTCCCATTCGTCCTGTGCGTCGCTAACGACGGACTCGAGCTCTGTGTCGGCGGGGATCTCGCTCGCGACGTTTTGGCACGCCTTTTCCGTCGACAGCCAGGAGATTCCCACGCGCGAAGTCACGACACTTTCGTTGAAGGTGTACAGCGCGCCGACACGGCGCGTGCCGTTTGAGGAGTCGACCGATCCGCTGGGCTCTTCGACGCTGCCGCTGGCATCTGTGGCGTGGTACGTCTTGTTGCTGAGGGGGGCTGCGTCGAAGTGACCACCTACTATGGTTAGCCGTGGCAAGCAAGTCAGCAGCACGGGTGCTTACAGAAATAAATGCTCCAGTCAGGCGACCGATTCCACCCATTATCATACACGCCATAACCCTCATAATGCCCATCAGGGAAAACAACCACCCGGCCACCCTTGTACCCCTGCCCGAGGCCCTGCCCCCGGAACGACGGCAGCACATGCGACACATCGACAAGCACATTACCCGGCGCACCCGCCGGGAACGTATACCGATACATTCCAGCATGCGCGGTAGCAGCCAGCTCAACCCTCACGCCCTGCGCCGTGCGCGCAGAGTAGTACCCAACAGCGGCGTCGTCTACGCCTGCGCGGCCCACCGTCTGCTTCGACAGCGGCTGGGAGACGTTCCCCACGAGCGGCAGCTGCGCGACGGTGCCGTACTTGGGGGCGCCGCCGGTGCCTTGCTCGTGCATCATGCTGAAGCCGGAGAATGCGCCGGTGGGCAGGTAGCCCGCGTAGGCGTCTGTCCCGGAACTGGAGAGGTCCGGGCCCAGCTTGACCATGCCGAAGGGGCGTGCGGCACCGGGGAAGTTGTTGCCGCCATTTTCGGTGCCGGTGCTGTGGTGGGTTAGTTTGAAGTAGAATGAAAATGGAGGGATGACTTACAAGAGGTTCACGTGGGAGACACGACTGGCGGCGTATATGACTGGGGGCTGGAGAGTGAGGAGGACGACCAGGGCGCTGAGCAGGCCCATGGTTAGGAAGATGGAGAGGCCTAGAAGGTGCGTCAGGGTGGATGTTTGGATGGAGTATGTGGTGCTGGGTCTATTACTACTGGGGGTTTCCTAGGACGACTGTCTGTCGTCCGGCCTTTTATGCTGGATATTTGCCAATGCCAATACTCAAAACTGACGAGGGCATCTGGACGTCCTGATGGAGGGGTCTGGAGTGCAACATCAGGTGGAGGGGGGAAGTTGGTCAATGGATTCACGGAGAGTCGCACATGCTGGGATCACAGGCGGAGATTTGCCCAGGGACCGGATGGATAGAAGCTAAGGGAGTTGTCGGAGATGTTGAGCAGCCCAACGAGACGCAGGATGTTGTGGGTATGGATGTAGGTCTTACGGGGATGGGCCTACTGCATGGCTGATGCGGAGGGTATAGACAAAGAGCTCCGCCGTCTTCGCTGCTACAGAGAAGAGAGAAGGGAGGATGAAGCGAAAGACAGAAGAGACGATGTGCAATGTATTATTATCAGATAGTGGCCCCTCCATAGCTGTTATTTAGGAATCCAGCGTGGAGCTGGATCCCCGAGAAGAAGGGATTTTCGACGAGTCCAGCCTGTGCATGTCTCCTGAAGTCTCCTCCTGCATGGAAGCCAGGGGGATTTACATGTCGTCCAATAACGGGATGTGGAATGTGCCCCTTTTGGGGAATGTGGAATACAGGACGATATTGTAGGGCTACGGATGGACATGGTTATGAAGTAGGGGAATGTAGCATGTATACAAGAGGGATTATAGACACCCCAGACACTCAGACCATACCGAATCATCTTCAGATCATCCTCCACATGGGGCGATCCCAAGGGACTATGGACATGATCATCGCAGATCAGCCCGTCCAGTCAGGATATATATCCTGCCCACATGCCGGAGTCGCGCTTAGTGCATGGTTGTAGGGGACTGTCCACTATTCATACTGGTGTGCAGACTATTGATGTCTCCTGCCTCGATCATGTGTCTGTGCATGTTTTCTGATCATTGCAATCAGTAGACTAATCAATATCAAACCATTCGCTTATTGATCGATCGATCGTCAGGAGGTCATTCATTCGGCATCCTGATTGGATCAGGAATGCCACGTGTCACATGACCATGACTAATGGTTATTGCCCTAAGGCACCAAGGCATAAATATGAGTATCCGTCGCATAGGTCAGTGAACCGACAGAATGGATATCGGAGACTGCGAACGAGCGCTCGCCCTGGGACGAGAAAGACCATGGCATTCTACCTGTCGCTGTTGGGGTCCGCGACAGAGTCTAACTTAGCAGCCACAGGCACCCTGCTCCGTCCACAGCAGTTATTCGATCTCAATCAGCAACAGATTTAAGCGGGAGAGGGGAAGAAATGACTAATCGGGAAAAGCACTTGAATATCCTGGTAGGCAAGGGGCTGATCTCGACTGGGGCGACAGCAGGACTGTACCTCTGCTAAAGGTATACATGTATACATTGCTGTTCCCTCCTTCCGTGCGCTACGTGCCCCTATAGCATCTTCTGAATCCTGGATAATAGTACCAAGCGCTTCTTGGGCGGGTGAGTTACATCTGCCAGACCATCTGCTAATTCGATGTCTTGGAGCGACGTTACCTCTCCGCAAGCACGACCTTGTGGTCCCGCCTGAGTATTCCGATCAGTCTGTCCACAGCTTCGACGAGAATTTGACAATCCCGTACACCGGAGCCCTGAAGCTCCAAGTTAGGATAAACTGTTATACGTGACAACTCAATGAGATGCTGTATCAGAGCCCAAATGTCTTGGGCAACTCCATGATAACATCTACGCTCTTAAAATACTATACCGTAGGTATCTCCTAAGCTTGGGTATATTAAGCCTCTTCAGTTCCCTCTTTCCCTAAACTCATGTATGCACCTCTAGAGTCGAGAAGTTATAACCCCTGTAGGAAAATCAAAGAAGGACCGATTCTTGGTATTATGCTCTCTGACCTAGTGCATTGTCTCTCTTAATGATAAGCTAATCCTCTGACCGCCGTGCATAACCCTCGGGAATAAAGCAAAACCAACGGCCCTGTCAACATAAGGCAAACGATCAAGAAATGGCCGAGGGCAGGAACTCAGAGTCGCTTTCCTCCTTGTCCAGCGGTCGAACGACCTTCAGAGCTCGGATGAGTGCTGTGCCCATCCTCGCCTCGTCCAGCTCAACACGAAAGCTTGCCATGTCTATAGTTATAGTTCTCATTGCATCAAAGTTGGGAAAAGAGGCCCGATGTTCGTCAGGGATCAAGTCTGTGACTTTGAGTATAAGGTCTCGCGGGCTAGCGGGGGTGGGAAGAATATCCTGAAGCCCTAGTCAGTACTATCCTTTGCCCATCGATTGAAGACTCACAATACGTGGCTCCGTCAGACTGGGTTCTCCATCTCTCAACCGCCAGACTTCAAGAAAGACAGAAATAGGGCCAACCCAACCAGAAGCAGCGATTTCAGAACCGAACGCCTCGTACAATTCAGCTGAGGAATCTTGAGGGATACATTCGATGCCGTAGGTCTCGTAGATGTCTCGGGTCATGTCATCTCCGTATTTGGTAACAAGCTGATCCCGAGTGCATTTGAACTGCTCCGTCTTCTGGTGGATATTGAGCTGACGCTTATCCTCATCTACCTTGACGATGATCACTAGTTTGACTCGACCACCAGACCGCAGTAGCCATTGAGAAGCGTCACGGACCAGATCATGATAACTTTCTGAGAACCCAATTTCGATGGCAATTTGTAGAAACTTTTTTTTGGCGGCCCTCTCTTGGAAAATTATCATGTTGTCAGAATTTTTGAGCCATGCTGCACGTTTCTTTCCACCTTTGAATCTGAGATCGGTTTCAGGTGGTCTGAAAAGAAGAGCGGACAATGGGTGATACCAAATGCACTGGGCCTCGTCAGGAGTTAGGACGGTAAACATCGCTTTCGTAAGAGAGCGAGCGATGCATGAGTTGAGGGCGTCATGCAGAGGAGAGCCCATAACCTTGACCTTCAAGATTTGATACTCCGGGTCGTATTCCCACCTGCAGAATTTCTTCTCCGAGGCTTCCTCCAAAATGCAGCGGATGTCCTCGGTGAGGTTTTCCGAAGACAGCTTCAGTTGCAAGTTCTCCTCGTTCCATCCGTGCAAGAACGACTCAACGTGAGTTCGTGCCACTGCTGGAGAATTCACTGGGATGGCGTTTGACGCCTTGGACGGTGTCATGGTGAATAGAATGAACGTTACCAAAAAGGCCAAGGCATCTAGTAATGCGAAAGATGTAATATATGGCTGTGGACGTAGTTTGACAAGTTGCACGTAAGGGAAGTACCCAACGATGGCGATATGAACGAAGAAAAGCGCGAGTAGAAGGGACCCTATGAGGCCTTTAAATAAGGAAGAAAGCAAGAGGTAGTGACGAAGGGGACGGAAACTTGTGACGGGAGGTGGACGTCTTTTAGGTTAATGTCTTTCCGGCTCATTATGAAGTAATAGTTCCATCGACACTTCATTGGAGAGGGTAAGGAAATGTGAAGCTCAATAAGAAGTGATGAGTGAAGGTCGTCGAGATGAATATCTAGAAAGCAGCAGGCAATGGCTAGGCTCAAAGAGGCAATTTACAAGCCTCAGGCTTCAATATCTGTCACCTTCCGCTTGTTCCTCATTATTCTGTACTATCGTCAGATTCTCTAAGTTCTCGACTTCATCGCAGTCTAGTTGGAGCATCCGCGGCTGTGTTGCCAGGTCCATCAGGAGTATACCAATTCAACAAGGATAGAAGATCGCCATAGCAGCCAAGACTGTGCTGGAATAGGCTGGTCAGTCACAGTCCATCCTTCACGACAAATCAATTTCAATTCGACTGAACGTCATCACTAATCACTGCGAATAGAATACCTTGCAATAAACAGGTGTGAGACATACCTACTATGATGCTACCCTCCTATAAGCCAAGACGTGATGGACCTTAGTGTCCGTTAGTGACGGCCTTCAGTGGACGGAAAAACACACTCACCACGACCCCAGAATTTCTCCGCCGTATCCACCCCCATCCATGACTATCATGCCCGGAACTGCTGAATCGAGTACAAGGCGCGGGGAAGGACCGGGGTGAGCCGACAGGACGCCACCAGCGGCCATCCTGTTGCTTAGCATCGTTGGCTCATAGCCTATCGTGCCACAGCCCAGCCGACTAGACTGGGGCTCTGATGGAGCTCGAATCGAGCGATTGACGAGCAGAATGGGGAGGACACGGCTGGGATAAATAGGACAGCTTGGGAGGGTTGGGGTGCGTCTTCTTCTGGCTTTTCCCTCCTGGACAGTCTCTGGCCACATCCCCATGACTGTTTGCCCATTGATTTCCGTCAATTCTGCTACCATGGGATTCTTCAAGAACTATCGTGTTTATATCTTAACAACGGTGGCCTATTTAGGGTCGCTGCTTTTCGGTATGTTCTCCTTGTCCTCCGCAATGCGTAGATGCTGATTGGACACGTCCAGGATATGACACGGGTGTCATGAGCAGTGTCCTGGCCTTGGACAGCTTCAAAAATGACTTTGGCCTTCCGACAGGTTCTGATGGCTTTTCAGACTCTGCAAACGCTCAGGTCTCGTCTAACGTCGTGTCCCTGCTGACCGCTGGCTGCTTCTTCGGTGCTATCTTCGCTGCCTTTCTCAATGACCGTCTCGGGCGTCGCTACTCGCTGATGATCTTCGCGTTGGTCTTTCTCATCGGAGCGGCACTGCAGGTTGGTGCTCATCATGCCATTGGCTTGATCTACGCCGGCCGTGTCGTTGCTGGCTTGGGCATCGGCGGCATGTCGAGTATCACCCCTGTCTTTGTCGGAGAGAGCTGTCCTCCAGAGACTCGTGGTCGGATTGCGGGACTTTTCCAGGAGTTCCTGGTCATCGGCAGCACGTTCGCCTACTGGCTCGACTACGGCGTTGCCCTGCGCGTGCCCTCCAGCACGAAGCAGTGGCGCATCCCCGTCGCAATTCAGCTCATCCCCGGCGGACTCATGCTCATTGGGTTGTTCTTCCTGAAGGAGTCGCCGCGCTGGCTGACAACCAAGGGCCGTCACGAGGAAGCACTGCAGTCTCTCTCGTACATCCGCAACGAGCACCCCACCAGCGACAACGTGCAGAAGGAAATCGCCGAGATCAGGGCTTCCGTTGCGGAGGAGATGGCCGCCACCGAGGGTCTGACGTACAAGGAGTTCCTGCTCAAGAGCAACCGCAACCGGTTCCTCTTTGCCTTCTTCCTCATGCTGGGCCAGCAGTTCTCCGGCACGAACTCGATCGGATACTACGCGCCCCAGATCTTCCAGACGGTCGGGCTGAGCGCGACCAACGCGTCGCTGTTTGCAACCGGAGTGTATGGCACGGTCAAGGTCGTCGCGACGGGTATCTTCTTGCTGGTCGGGATTGACCGATGGGGACGCAAGAAGAGTTTGATCGGGGGCGCCGCCGCCATGGCCAGTCTGATGTTCATCATCGGGGCCGTCTTGGCCACGCATCCGCCCGACACCAACGCAACGGGTGTCTCATCCGCGTCCATCGCCATGGTCGTGATGATCTACCTGTATGTGATTTCGTATTCGGCCAGTCTTGGGCCCACGCCGTGGGTGTATCTGAGCGAGGTAAGGCCTTCTTTCTCTATAAAGCTCCTTCCCTTCCCTTCCCCTCGTTGTCTCGCAGTGTGTTGCGCAACGTCTGACGATGGCTAGATCTTCCCTACTCGTTTGCGCGCATACGGCGTCGGTCTTGGAGCAACCACCCAGTGGCTGTTCAACTTTGTCGTCACCGAGTTCACCCCCCACGCGATTCACAACATCGGATGGCGGACGTTCATCATGTTCGGCGTGTTTTGTGTGGCGGTAGGCGTGTTCATCTTCTTCTGCGCGAAGGAGACGAAGGGCCGGACACTCGAGGAGATGGACGTGCTGTTTGGAGCTGTGGATGAAGGCGCACGGAAGGCTGCAGTGGAACAGACGATGAATAAGGGGGTAGTCACGCACATTGAGGAGGAGGCTGCTGCTGCTCCTGCTGGGCAGAAGGCGTGACTGGAACAAAATGGCAGCCATGTTTTAGATCCTAGACAATGCGGAATTTTCTAGATTAGACGGATGGAATTTGAGTGTCTTGTTTTGTTTTGGATATTCCTTTGAGGCAGGATTGATATTGTTGTAGCACCGATGCGCATGACGTGGTTTCTGTACGACGTATGTCAGGCCGACGTCCTGCGTTCTCTTAGACAAGTATGAAATGGAATCTACCGAAGCATGAATTGAAACGAAACGGAGGAGTCGCTAAATCTCACATTGAAACGGCCCTCCGATTGTATAGATGCCTATCTGGGTAATGAATAGGGCACACATTGTCCTCTCGCAACCCCGCCCAGTGACAGTCCCAGAGTAGATGCAGCCTCCCTCTCATTGCTTTTTCTAGCTCGTGGTTATAAATCTCTTTCGGAACGAGATCATCCTCAATCTCGCCCGAGCCATCGTTCATCATGACACTCTATAGATACCTCTTGGCCGCGTTCCTCCTGCTCTCTACCAGCCGACAGTCAAGTCTCGCCAAATCCGTCAGATCAACGACTTCATGTGCATACCCAGCGCTCATCAATGCGACGGCGGATCAGCTTCAGCAGGGGCTTGTGGAAGGGTGCTTTACCAGTGTTGATCTTGTTAATGTTCATCATACCTACAAGACCTGATCTCGCTCAGGACTGCTGACGCTCATAGGCGTATGTGGCTCGGATCCACGAGGTCAACACGACACTGCACATGGTCCTGGAGATCAACCCCGACGCTGTCGACATCGCGAGGCAGCTCGATGCGGAAAGGGAGAGGGGGGTTGTCCGGAGGTATGCTCGCTGCGTTCATCCCAGATATTCGTCATCAATAACGCCTCGCTCTAGTGCCTTGCACGGGCTCCCCGTTCTGGTCAAGGACATGATCGGGACGCATGACAAGATGCAGACGTCGGGTAAGCCCTTTAGTCATTGCAAATATTCACGGAACTTGGGCTACACTAACGTCTGCTCCAGCTGGATCTTACGCTCTTGTCGGCGCGCAAACCCCCGAAGACGCCACGGTCGTTGCGAAACTTCGACAGAAGGGAGCCATCATACTCGGGAAGACCAGCATGTCGGAATGGGCAAATGTCCGGTCGATGAACTCGTCCAACGGGTGGAACCCACGAGGGGGCTTGACATATGCGGCGTACTACCCCCAGCAAGACCCCAGTGGAAGCTCGAGCGGGAGTGGTGTGGCGGCCGACTTGGGACTTGCTCTGGGCGCTCTGGGTACGGAGGTACATGCGTCCCCCGTCCGTCTTAAATCCTACTAGCTAACGATACAAAGACAGACGGGAGTATACTCTACCCCAGCGAAGCCAACAACATCGTCGGCATCAAACCGACAGTCGGGCTGACCTCGCGCCACATGGTCGTCCCCATCAGCCAACGCCAGGACACCATCGGGCCGATGGCGCGCACAGTGAAGGACGCCGCGCTGCTCCTACAAGCCATGGCCGGGCCAGACCCGCCCGACAACTACACGCTCGCCTCGCCCTTCGGCCAGCAAATCCCCGACTACCCGGCGGCGTGCAAGCTCTCCGCGCTGCAGGGGAAGCGGATCGGGGTCGCACAGAACGTCCTCTCCGGTGTCAGCAGCCCGGTGCTCTCGGCGTTCCAGCACGCGCTGGACATCCTCCAAAGCGCAGGGGCCACAATCGTGCCGGGGACAAACTTCACAGCGTGGGACGAATTCCGCAACAGCACAACCCCGGACATGGTCGTCGCAGCGGACTTCACCAGCGACCTGACTACCTTTCTCTCCTCGCTGACGACCAACCCAAACCACATCCGCAGTCTGGACGACCTCCGCGCATATACGCAGCACGACCCGCGCGAGCAGTACCCTTCCCGCGACACGGCGCTGTGGGATCTGATGCTCGCCGGCGCGGTGGACAACACCTCGCCCGCGTTCTGGGCCATGTATCAGCAGAACCTGTACTTTGGCGGCGAGGGCGGTCTGCTGGGGGCGCTGGCGCGACATAACCTCGACGCGGTGGTGCTTCCCACGGCTGTCGCGGCGCGGATCCCGGCGCTGATCGGGTCGCCGGTCGTTACGGTGCCGCTGGGGGCGTGGCCGGATGGAACGCCGGTGGTGCGGAATGCGTTTGGGGATTTGGTGGTGCAGGCGCCTGGGGTTCCGTTTGGGATGAGCTTTTTGGGCGCGAGATGGAGCGAGGAGAGTCTGATTGGGATGGCGTATGCTTTTGAGCAGCGGACTCGGGTGAGGGAGACGCTGCGGCGGGTTGTTGAGCCCAGGGGGGAGTTGGGGGATGTGGTGGCTCCAGATGTTTGTCCTGCATGAGGCATATTGTGTAGTATAGAATTGATCGTAATTGGTGTGATGGTAATGGACACCATTGTTTCCATCTATGGTCTTTCCACTTTCTTGGATAGAGGCAATGAGTCCCAGTGGGGATGGTGGCACTGACCGAGGCATGTAGGCGATACCTCCATGTAAAAGCCACAATCAATCAAATAGTAAAGATTTATCATTTGGTGACATCGAAGTTTGTATGAAAAGTAATAGTCACTTCACGGCTCCTGTGTTATGGACATCTCTTTTATGTTATCTCTATCCAGACTATACTAGACTCAGAACTAAGATGGTACTTCTCCTTCCAACCTCTGCCTTCTAGACAATACGCAGTACTACTCAGCTTCTTTTCAATCAGCAGCAATATCCATATTTACCCTGGTTGTTCTTGCCATGATTGATCATCAAATGCATAGTCGCGTGCCAACTTCCCCTGTTATCAATTGGACGACAGGCAAAGCGGTTTTTCTCGGAGCTCCTGTCGATATGATACCGAAGTAGCTTGGCAAGGCAGCTCGGCTTCGCTTTGGTAGTTGCAGAGGTGCGTCTGACAATCGACATCACGATCGTATAATCAGTTGTCGCTCGTTTGCGGAGGACCGACGTGCCGTTCTGGAGATTCGCATCAGGAGCTCCCACGGAAAACACAGCATTCGTTCCTTTATAATCTAGCACGCATCATCGTTCGTCAGTACAGGAGTCTATGGGAGACGCAACCGACGAAACGATAGAGAGCCGGGAGGGAGGGGATTCTTAGCATTGACGTACAGAGCGTTTCGTCGGCTTCACTAAACACGTAATCGTGTGTCAAGGCCGTGTCGATGCCATCCTCCTCCCCGAGACTTCTCCTGTGCAGGCTGCTAGCGTCGGCCTGTCCTTGGCTGTCCAGCAGGTAGGGAAGAGAGAAGTGGTAGTCCGTTGGCCCATTGCGGACTTTCACTTCCATTTCATGTTGCAGGCTAGGAGGAAGGGCACGCTTGAGTCCGTTGTGGCCTGCCAGACCATTCGGACCGGTCGACCCGTCTCTCCACACTTGACGCAAGTCCCGGCCCGCTTGGACGGCTTTGGCTACATCCTGTCATGTGCGTTGAGTCCCACGGTTAGCGGCGCTGCTTCGCGCACACTAAAATGCAATGAATAAGTCAAGGCAGCCCAGAGAAGAAACTCACGTTTAACCAGGTCTCCATTAATCTTGGCAAATAGTAGATCAAAATCGCTCCTCCGGTTCCCCAGAACCAATAGCGGCTGGGTACGTTGTCGCAGATGTTCTTGGTGATGCCCGTCAGATCCGTGCAGATGTCTTCCCGGGGGACCAGGCCTCTCGCCGTGGTGGTCGAGGGATTGACGCTCTGACCGAGGGTTGCTTCGTCATCCAAAGTCTCGTACTCGGTGACATCAACCCATTCATAGGAGCCGTTCCTACCCTCCGGGTGGCGGAACAGCGTATAGAAGTCGTTGATGTCTTCGAGTTCTCCAAGTTCAACGTTCTCTCCTGAGTCCAGGGACTTGGCTGACAGGAAGTCTGCCGTGACCGAGCTGGCCAGGAGGAAAGCAATGTTGATGGTATGGACCTTCATTGTGGACCAGGAGGATGGTTGTTCAGACCTGAGAGAGGAGGTGCTGATAGATGGAGAATGTAGATTGAGGGGAAGCGGACATTGCGCTTTTTATACCTTCCATGGAGGGATATGAGTACTTTAAGGACATGCAATGGCTATCTAGCGACGGACCTACAGATCGCTTAGAGGTAGAAACCCAAGAGAATACCTTCCTGTATAGTACACATAACCGAGCCAGTCACCACTGGTCGGCCAATTCTGCCGGCGCCATTGTGTGATATCGTCGTGGGCAAACCCACGCCGCGCATAAACTATAGGAAAGGGCGCTGCAAGCGTTGGCGTGTCTACGTAGATTATTGGGTCCCTCAGGTGAGATGTCTCACCTCCCATGTGCGCATCAGGGTCTGCTGCTCAGCTCATGACTCAGGGCATCATGGCTGCAGGGTTTTGATACTGGCAATATCCTAGGTCACGCCTTTGGTACTGCATGAGTGTCCACATTTTATCCAGTTCTAAAGGCAACTTCTAAGGCTGTTCCCGCAGGAAGAATCTACCAAGACAAGGATGGTGGCAAAAGCATTCAGTGTTTTCGGACGTTCGCTGACCTCAGTCTACTTAGGTCGTTGAGCTCAATGTAACAGTACAAGGTGCATTTCCTTGCTTCACTCAGCGGCTTGTGTCTGAGGGCCAATGAGGCATGCAATGGGGGTGCAGGGGGATAGATACCTGCTATACCGCCTACTGAATCACCCGCTGAATCACCTGCTGTACTACCAACTGTACTACCCACTGTACAACCTATTGTACTACCTACTGACTATCTGCTGAGATATCTGCTGAACTATCTATGATGTAAATAGTTTCACAGACAGTTTCGCAGGAAGGCAGGTTAGCCGGTGTAAATACACTGTAAAATCGACCGTAGCATTGGCCGTAGAAAAGAAATTCGAGAAAAAGAAAGGCTGCCAGGAGATGTTCTGGAGGCTACGCGGGCTTGTGTAAATTGCATTCTTATGTAGAGAAAGGACCAAGTAGACCTCCTTTGTTGTTGTACGACATAGGATGACTGAATGGAGTCGGACTCCTTTGATACTGTTGACCGCTGAGACCTCATCTTACTCGAATTGTTAAGAAAACACGACGATTCTGGTGGATGTGACGCACTTCTGCCGGCAGATTCAACAGCGGTGAACTATTAACGAAAAGCAGGCTGTATTCATAATTGCATGTAGGTCTCACCCAAGGGCCATGCGGTCAAATACCTTCCTATAACCTCTTATCTACTTTCTCGAGAGTAACATCGGTTCACCCTCAGGACCGAACACCTCCCATGACGACGAAAGAAAAAGAAACCCAGGCGCCTCCGCGCCGACCTAATACGCGGCGATGGCTTTCATCACCTGGTAGGCCATCCTCTCCCCTCCCCTACTGCTCTCATGATCGAGAACGGGGTACTTCGCACATCAAGTACACTTCTACTGACCTAAGCGATAGCCAGATGGTCTACCATTATATCCTTGCTCCTCGGCCTCTCTGCCTTCCGGGGCGAACAAACGATCCAGAGTAGATTAGGTACGTTGACTGTCTGTGGTGGACGTTTTCTAATGGTCACATGTTGCCCAGCACAGGAGGCTAATAACTGATATCCTTAGCGAGATTGGCGGCGGCGGCGGCCCTGACCTTCACCGTGCATGTGTATCTGCTCTTGTCTTCTCCTCCAGAGCAGCAGGAGCTGTCTTCTTTCTTGATAGCTTTGGTAACTGGGCCAATGGCATTTTACTTGGCTCTTTTAATGCTTTGGTGAAGGGGAGCAGAGTAGAGGCACATGAGGGAGGGGGATTTCAAACGGGATTCTTTGCTCTACCTGCTCCATGTACAGCGCGGTGACTTGGATGCAATGGCTAAGAGCCTAAGATAGTAAGCCATTACATAGTGAAGGCGTGCCAGCGTCGGGGCATGGCCGATGATACTAGTCGTTGCTCAGGATGTAAGAGGGTGATTATCTCCTGGACAGGCAGCGTCAGAATATTTCGTAATAAATGCCGAGGTACAGTCTCTGTTCTTTCTTTCAGTCCTGCGGGAAGGCAAGAAGACCCTAACTAGCTAGATGAACCATTCGTCGCTAGGCCTCAAAACCGACTCAGGTCCCAAAGGCGGAACCTTGAACCTGAACCTGAGATTTTGTCTCACCACGATTATGCCATACATTATACCTGGTTTGCCAATTTTGGTAGCGTAATGGTAGTTTAAATTGACAGGGCCTTGGGTTATACAAAGTAACTATATGGTGGTGGTAATGATGACTAACCCTTCGGGCCTCCGTCGATCTTCCCGCGGGGAATTTCCGATCTTCTTCCGCTTCATACACACTCATGGACGACCTCGAAAGCACATGCGCGTCACTCCGCGCGCAAATATCCGCGACAGAGACCCAGCTGGCCGGGTTGAAACGCGCATTGCACGAGGCGGAACAAGCAGCCGCCCATGCAAAGGCACAGAGCGCCGCAGCGACTACCGCGGGGGATAACCACGACAAACCACGGAGATGGCCACTGCTGGATGAGGAATACCGTCGCTATGGACGACAGATGATTGTGCCGCAGCTGGGACTGCCAGGTTCGTCATTTGGTGAAGTCCAGCGTTGAGAGCATTGCTGACATGTTCATGCGATCTAGGCCAGTTGAAGCTCCGATCGGCTCGCGTTTTGATTGTCGGTGCGGGTGGGTTGGGCTGCCCGGCTGCGTTGTATCTGGCTGGCGCTGGGGTGGGCACATTAGGTCTGATTGATGGGGACATGGTCGATGTGTCGAATCTTCACCGGCAGGTGTTGCATCGCAGTGCGAATGTCGGGAAGCTGAAGGTGGACAGTGCGATTGAATACTTGCGGGAGTGCGTTCCCTTTCACCACGCGCGAACCACCGACACTGGTAACTGTACTGATTGTCCGCTTGCAGATTGAACCCGCATCCTACGTACATCCCCCACCGCGCGCATCTCACCCCGCAAGAAGCACCGGAGATCTTCCAGAACTACGACGTCATTCTCGACTGCACCGACAACCCCGCGACCCGCTACCTGATCTCCGACACCGCCGTGCTCCTGGGCAAACCACTCGTTTCCGCCTCGGCCTTGCGGACGGAGGGCCAACTCATGGTGCTGAACAACCCGCCGCGGCCAGCGGGCGATAAGACCGGCGGGCCGTGCTACCGCTGCGTCTTCCCGAAGCCGCCCCCGGCAAACAGTATTCTCAGCTGTGCGGACGGGGGCATCCTGGGTCCAGTCGTGGGCACGATGGGAGTGCTGCAAGCGCTGGAAGCCATCAAGGTAATCACGTCGACAGAAGACGAAGTGAGACCGCCGTCGTTGCACATTTTCTCGGCATACTCGAGCCCGCCGTTCCGCAGTATCAAGCTTCGCTCGCGACGGGCGAACTGCGCCGTCTGTTCGGCAGAGCGGCAGGTCACGCTGGATACGCTCCGGTCTGGACTCACGGACTATGTGTTTTTCTGTGGGAGTGTGAGTCCGGAGGCGGTTCTCACGGCAGAGGAGCGGATTGCGCCGCGGGAATATCGCGCGATGTATCCGGCGCCGACTGAAGGGGCTCCGGAGAAGACGCCCACTCTCATTGATGTGCGGGAGAAGGTCCAGTACGATATCTGTAACCTTGCGGAGAGTATCAACATTCCCATTTCCACAATCCAGGCGTCTGCGGCGGGCAGTGGGGATGAGACAGGCTCATCGTTGCCGGCGTGGCTGCCGCCGGAGATTGCCTCAACGGACTCGACTGATCCGATCTATGTGGTGTGCCGGATGGGGAATGACTCGCAGCTGGCGGTGCGCCGGCTCAAGGAGCTGGGCTTGGACCGGGGAGGCGCACGGGTGGTGGCCGATATCCAAGGGGGGTTCCGGGCATGGCGCGAACAGGTTGACCCGGAGTGGCCCGAGTACTAGGTTTTGCCGTACATATAAGAACCTTACGAATACATTACGTAGCTTTATGTATCGATGCATTGCGTGCAAGCTGAGCGCAAACGTTAGAATTCATCAGTCATATCATCATATCTATTCCATCTTGACCGGCGCATCCTCCAGCCAGGCCCATTCGACAACCACACGACCCAGGTCCAGATCCGCCAGCTGCCCAAACACTGACCGGGAGACGTCCAGATCGGTCGCTTTACATCCGACGCCTAAAGATGGTCAGTAAATAGTCCGGACGACGCAAGCAGTAGGACATGGAAAGACAGACATCGATCTACCACCTTGACATCGACCGACGTCTCGCCTCGCCGGATGCGCACTTTCAGGCCACACAGCGGGTTCTCATTGGGATTGGCGCTGGTGGAAGCAGCATCAAAGATGACATGGGAGACGGCGCAGATGGGCTCAGATCCGGTGCTCGTGATGCCGCAGGATCCCAACCCCGGGTCGTAGTAGGTCAGATCTCCGGAGTAAGGGCCTCCATTGGAGGTAGGGAGAGGGAGATTCGATGATCTACTGATGTTATAATGGTTTTCTACATGGTCCATGGTGGAAGATATAATGATAAGAGTACGTACCGCTTCCGCACGGTTAGACCAACCGCCAGACCGATGATGAGAGCGAGGAGACAGAGAATTGGAATCGATATAAGGAGAAGGCGTTTTCGTCTGGAGGACTGCGTCCAGAATTGAGACCCCCGTTGAGACCATTGCTGGATCCATGATGCTTGCTGCTTTTCTACGGATTCAGGGGGCGATGGTGGCGATTCTTCAGCGTGAGGGTCGGGCTTTTCGACGACCGGCACGGGTTTTCGGTTGGGAACTCCTAGAGGAGGCGCATTGAGCGACATGATGTGGGTTCTGGGGAGATTGAGGGTTCATGAGGTGATGATTGATTGGAATTAGGAGGTGAGGACATGTACTCCGTAGAAGTCGCTTGGAGTAGAAGTAGTGTAATTTCCACCCCATGTTAGCCTCTTGGCGCCACCGAACAACATCCTCGAGATAGTGAGATGCAGTTATCTACAGTATATACTCGAGTAGATAGATCCATGGATGACAAGATGGAGTGCCCAATTGGTGGGTCAGTGGCTTTTTGGGTTCCTTTTCTCCTCTTCTCTCCACATCTCGTATCTCTACCGTTTTCTCTCGTCTTCTCCCCCCTGTCGACTGCTATCTACTGCTATACTATATACGAGAACAACTCCCACTCATCCCATTCCCATCCTCTCACTAGGCTAACCTTCCCACCGTCTGTCTTGGAGTCTGTCTACTCCGTATACGACCCAACTCCTCGGTCCTCCCCCGCTTGGCAACGTCCCACATTGTCGGTGCCGATCGCGGGCGCATGTTTTCTCCCAGACATCGTTTCGGCTGTGATTCCTCGTCTTCGCAAAACTCTCTTGTCTTCGGCTCTCCTGCTCTCTTTATCGGACTTGCGGTATATTGAAAGAGACTGTGAATATAGCCCAGAGATTGCAGTGGCTGTCTTGATAATCACGTGACTCCGCCGCATCGATGCATCCACGTGGGTGACATAATCCATCGATCCCTGCATTATCAAAAGCGTTATCAAGACCCTGAACGCGATCGGTCACATCAATCGACTCCTACTCTCCACTCCTCATGTTCTCGCTGTCGCGGGCGACATCTCGCCACTCCGATGTCTCCGACTGGAGCGATGATGAGCCCGTCCAGGCTGCCGCCCCCGACCAGCCGAGGAAGACACTGGGGGACCGGCTGAAGAATGCCTGGACCAGTCTGGGGTTGGATCTACCCACCCTCATACTAATGGCCAAGTAAGTTGCGTCTGTGTGCTTTGGAATTCTTTCGCTAACATCCATCGACAGAGGTGCGATTCCCTCCACAATCGCTCTAGCAATGTATGTACAGACTGATCCGTCTTTTGATCTACACGCTCATGGGTATCAGATTCCAAGCGAGTCCCGTAGCCTCGCATTTTAGCACCGTCGGCTACCTCATGGCCATTGTTTCCGTGCTGGGCTTTGCCATCATGCCCCGAGCCAAGTTTGTCCAGATGATGTTTCTCGACATCTTGGCTGTCTGCATTGCCGCCGCCGTCTGCCTGTTGATGATGTTCTGCTCCGTCAAGGCACGCCAGCACACCGAAACCGTCTCCAGTGCGGGCCTCAGTCCCAACGATGCTCCCTACAACTCGTCCGCCTCCGCCGTCAGCGGCGTCTGGCTATTCTTCCAGATTTACGTCGCCCACGCCTGGCGCGCCAAGTACCAGCAGTTCCAGTTTCCGGTGATCATCTACTCCATCTTTGTCAACGTCACCTTTACCTACGGCGCTCGGATGACCACTATGAGTCTTGCAATCGGCATGGTCAAGCGGCTGCTCGAAGCCTGTCTCGCAGGTCTGGGCCTGGCAACGGGCGTCTGCTTGTTCATCTACCCGGTCACCTCCCGCAAGGTCGTCTTCAAGGAAATGGCGGGGTATATCGGCGGATTACGCGGGGCTCTCAGCGCTCATTCGGCGTACTTCGAGACCCTTGAGAGAGACGACATGTTCGGCCGCGCGGAGACCTACGACTCCCACGTCGAGAAAATTACCAAGAAGGGTAAAGTGTACAGCCCCGAGGCCGAGGCCATTCGGACGGCCGTGCATAAGCTCACCGAGCTCCATGCAAAGCTACATGCAGATTTGACCTTTGCCAAGCGTGAAGTCGCCTACGGAAAGCTGGGCCCCGACGATCTGCAAGCCATCTTCCGACATCTTCGAAACGTCATGATTCCCGTGGTAGGACTCAGTTTCGTCGTGGACATCTTCCAGCGTCTGTCAGAGTACAACAAATGGAACCAGCCGATCGATCCCACCATGACCGATATGCCGGATTTGCTGCGCCATCGCGCGGTGCAGGAGTGGAACGATATCATGCGGGCCGTACACGATCCCTTCAAGGATATGATCCAGAGCGTTGACGATGGTCTCCAGCATGCTTCCTTCGTGCTGAAGCTGGCTAAGCCACCGAAGCAGAAATCAGATGCCGACGTTGAGTCGTCTGCTTCTGCACCCAAGGCTCCAGGAGAAAAGGGCTTTGCAACGGACTTTGAGAGGCGCCTGAAAGATTTCAAGGTTGCGAAGCGGATTGCTCTTCGCACGTGGAGTGAAGATAAAGGTATCGAGTTGCCAAAGGACTTTTTCGAGCGGCCTGCGTCGGCAGCCATGAATATCAAGGACGTCCCTGGCGAGTCGTCCACTATGCGGGATCGAAGTCGGCGACAGCTTTATCTCTTTCTCTACGTATGTACTTTCTCCTTTTGACACGCGGATCGATACTGACGGCTACAGATGGAACAACTGCTTAATTCGACCGGCCAGATGGTCCTTGAATTTGTGCACTTTGCCGACGAAAAAGCCGAAAGTGGGAAGCTTTCCAGACATCACCTCATCATCCCCGGCTGGAAGCGTCTGCGAAAATGGTTCAAAAGCATCCTCAAGGCGGACGACTCCCATGAAGACGACAACCTAGGCGATATCAACACACAAAACAACATCCTCCATCTGGGAGAAGCGTACAGGTACCGCAAGGATCCAGAGCACCTGCCCCCGGTGACTTTATTCCAGAAGATTGGCGATCGTGTCAGGGTGATCCCTACATGGTTCCGATCGGCCGAGTCCGCCTACGGCTTTCGAGTCGCTTGCGCCACGATGACCATTGCCGTCGTGTCTTTTGTGAGCGATACGCAGACGTTCTTCATCCGGGAGCGTTTTGTCTGGGCCATGATCATGGTGAACCTCAGCATGTCGCCGACGTCAGGACAGAGCATCTTCGGCTTCGTGCTGCGGATCCTGGGCACCGTGTTGGCCATGATCCTGAGCTTTCTCAGCTGGTACATCCCTGGCCAGCACACCGCGGGTATCTTCGTCTTTCTCTTCATCTTCACTGCTTGCCTGTTCTACGTGCCGATTAAGCTCTTCCGCTTCCGAATCGTTGGCATCATTGCTATCATTTCCACGACCATGATGGTCGGGTACGAGCTGCAAGTACGCAAGGTTGGCGAGGCGGTGGCAACTTCCAATGGACAACAGTACTACCCCATCTATCTTCTTGCGCCGTATCGGCTGGCGACGGTGACGGGAGGTATCGCGGTTGCTTTCTTTTGGACCTTCTTCCCGTATCCTATTTCCGAACACGGCGTGCTTCGTCAAAGCCTGGGGGCATCCCTCTACCTCCTGGCCAACTACTACTCGATCATCCATGAGACCGTCAACGCGCGCATGCGCGGCGACGAGGGCGACCTCGCGTTGAAAACCTCCGCCGGCCGCAGACTGCTGAAGGCGCGGAACAAGGTGTTTTCGAAACAGATGCTGATGCTGAACAGCCTGCGGACGTACTCGGAGTTCCTAAAGTGGGAGGTCCCCATCGGCGGCCGGTTTCCGAAAAGACAGTACGACACGATCATCTCGTGTATCGAAAGCATCGTCAGCTACCTGAGTTTGCTGGGCTACGCGTCCGATACGCTGCTGCAGCTGGGTGATGACGACGAGTCGAATTCCGCCTGGCTGCACGACTTCAAGAGGCTTGTTGCTAGCGCGCGTGTTACCTCCCACGAAATCACGTCTGTGCTGTGTCTGCTCTCGGCCAGTATCACCAATCGCCAGCCGCTGCCGCCGTACTTGAAGACACCGCGGCCGTACAGCTTTTCCAAGCGGCTGGAAGCGCTGGACAAAGATATATTGAGTCTTCGGCATATTGCGGAGCCGGGCTTTGCCACGTTTGCAGTGCTGCAGATCTCGACGCGGTGCATTGTGGGCGACGTAGATCGGCTTATGAGGTGAGTAGTCATTGTACTTTGATTATTGAGGTCTAGACCTAATTTATGGCTACAGAGATGTGAAGACGCTGGTTGGAGAGCTCGACTTTTCCTTCCATGCCGTGAGCACCGCGCAGAGCAGCAAGTCCTCGGCGGACGTCTCGCGGTTCTCGCGGGCGACAGACCGGGATAAAATGGACTAGTCTACCGGGCATGCACAGTTGTACATAGAACGAATCTACTGTGAATACTAATAATGAATGCGTCAGCATATAACCGAGCTATCCAGCATAGCCGGAGTGCAACCCCGCATCCATATTACAGCATCTCTTGCAACTCACACCGTAATAACCCACAAGATGTCAGACATTCCTATCGACCCGTCGCTCCTCGCAAACGCCGCCGGCCGAACCGTCCTAATCACCGGCGGCGCGAATGGCATCGGCGCCGCAACCGCATACCTGTTCAACGCCCACGGCGCAAAGGTCGTAATATCCGACCTGGGATCGACAAAACCTACTGCAGAGACTCTGATCCAGACATTCTCCCGCCCCGAAAATGCAGTCTTCATCCCAGCCAATATCCTGGACTGGGCGCAGATGACCGCGCTGTTCAAAGAAGCAACTCGGCATTTCGGAACTCTGGACATCGTCATTGCGAATGCGGGGGTGATGGAGTCGCATGCGGTGTTGGATCTGGACGATGTCGACGAGGCGGGGGATCTACGCGAGTCCGCGGAAGGTTTCAAAGTGATTGATATCAACCTGAAAGGGACATTGAACAGTACTACCCTGTCTTTCCCCTCCGTGTCATATTCACCACGTCTAATGAGTGATATGGAATGCACTAACACAACCAGCCCTCCGCCTCGCAATGCACCATATGAAACAACGCCAAACCGGCTCCATCGTCCTGCTCGCCTCCACATCCGGCTACTTCGGCGGCACCGGCGTAACCGCCTACGTCGCGTCGAAGCACGGCATCGTCGGCCTCCTCCGGGCGTCCCAGACGACAGCGCAGCAGCACGGCATCCGCGTGAACGCCATCGCGCCGTTCTTGACGCCCACGCGGATCACGGCTGGGTTCGCGCAGCAGTGGCAGGACGCCGGGCTGGAGGCGAATACGCCTGCGCGGGTGGCCGAGGCGATTGCGCAGGCTGCGTTGGATGTGACGCGCCGTGGGTCTTGTGTTATGGTAGGTTTGCTTGCACTGCGGGTGGATGAGGGCCGGCTGACGATGCGATACGACAGGTTGCGGGGAAGTTCGCGCGCGAGATGGAGGCTACGCGGTCGAAGCTACTGCCTGTCTGGCTGGGCGAGGACGTCGCTGCATTCATGGGGTGCGCGATGCGGTTCTTTGTGGATATTGGGGGGTATGTGCTGCCGAAGGCTGTAAAGGAGTAGCTGCAGAGCAGTTCGAACTCTAGCCTTCTCACTGCCAAATGGATACTACCTGTGACCTCTTTCTCTCATCCCGCCCTGTTTTGGAGCCGGCCATAATGACGATCTGCCCACATACCAGCGCGAGGAGCAACAAATCAGCACCGCTCACCCGTCAATCCTCCCCTCCATTGATATTCCCGCGGAATGTAGGACGTGGCCGATCGCCCCGCGAACCGGATGAGCGGTCTTAACCCCGTAGGCCGTCCACGACCCCGAGAGTAGCCCGTTGTGCTCGGACGTTCGCCTGCACAAGAGGCATTGTGCCCCCTTGCGCGGTTGACTGCGGAAGCTTCTCCGCAGTGCCCAGCTATAAGGAGGCGTCCGGCGCTGCTACGCCGCGAATGTGTTGTGTCGTGTCCTGCGTCCACAATGGGCATCGCATCGATTGACATCGACCACGCCGACAACGAATCCGGGCCGCATGTGCACGGCAGCATCAGCCTGCAGAGCCTGGTGCCGGCGGCGCATGGCGGCGCGTACGTCGAGACGGGAGACGGGGACTGGACGCCCGGCGTGCGGGAGTGGCTGGTCACGGTCTGCGTTTCGATTCTGGTGACGATGGATGCGTTCAACGCGACGGTTGTCATTCCGCTGATTCCTGTATGCCTTCCTTCCGGCCAGGGTATGGCGTGTGTGTGTGTGTGTGCGCTAACCTCGCAGGACCTCTCGAGTACCCTCGTGCAGCCCCTCGAAAACACCCTCTGGCTGAACACGGCGTACCTCCTCGCCAGCGCGGCCAGCCAGGCCCTGCTCGCCATACTGGCCGAGGGGCTCGGCCACGGTCCCGTGCTGCTGGCAGTCGTGGTGCTGGCTACCGTCGGCACGGGGGTCTGCGGCGGGTCGTCCGGGCTGCCCGGGTTAGTGGCCGGCCGGTTCATCCAGGGGATGGGCGGGGGCGCGATAACGAGCGTCTCGCTGCTGGTAGTCGCGGAGACGATCCCGAAGACACACCAGGCGCGGTTCACGGGGTATGTGTTCCGGGCCCAGGTGGCGGGGACGGTGGCGGGGCCGCTGCTGGGGGCGCTGTTCGTGCAGCACGCGGGCAGCATCTGGGTGTTCTATTCAAGCTTTGTGTTCTGTGCGCTGGGGATGCTGGTTGTGCCGTTCGCGGTGGATTTGCGCGGGTATGGGCCTGGGTACCGGGGGGTTTCGATGCGGACGCTGCGCGCGGGGGACTGGGTTGGTGGGATGCTTGTTTTTCTTAGTTTGGGGAGTCTGGTCAGCGGCGTGAGCTGGGGAGGCACGCAGTTTGCGTGGGATGGGTGGCAGACGCTGGTGCCGATATGCGTGGGCGCGGTGCTGGGCGTGCTGCAGCTAGTGTATGCGGCGGTGCGGATGAGGACAAACGTGTACAACCCGGCGGTGCTGAGGAGTATATCAGTGACGATGCTGCATGCTGGGGTGTTCTTTCATGGCGTGATGGTGAGTCTGCGTCTGATATGTGCAGGAACGTGCTAATGCGATGTAAAGATATCAACGCACCTCCAATTCCTTCCGCTATACCTCCTCCTGGTGCAAGACCTGCCCGCGACTCTCGTCGGCCTGAGCGCCACAGCCCTCACAGCCCTCACGCCGTTCTTCCTGCTCCTCCTCGAGAAGACGCCCGTGTTCACGTCGCACCCGCGTATCGCGCCGTGGCTCATCCGCGCGGGCTGGACCATCGACATTCTCAGCGCCGGCTGCTGCGTGCTCCTAGACGAGGCAACCCCCACCACGGCATGGGTCTTCGTCTTCCTCGTCGCGGGCATCAGCCACGCGCTCCTGCTCCCGTCGTACGTCGTTGCGCTGCAGCACGTCGTCCCGCAGTACAGCCCGCACCGGGGCGGCGCGCATCGCAGCCGCAAGACGGACGCGCCGTCGGCGCTGATGGCGCACTCGCTGCTGCGCACGTGGGGGATGTGCGTTGCGGTGTCGGTGGGCGGGTGCGTGTTCATGAACTGGGTTGCGCGGAGCGCCGGGGTGCGTGATGGGCTGGTGGACCATTCGGCGACGGAGATGCGCGCGCTGCGTCCGTGGGGGGAGGATGATATGACCGTCGTCGAGAGGGGCGTGTATGTCGAGGGGCTGCGGATGCTGTGGAAGGTGTTTACGGGGGTGGCAGGGGTGGGCGGGCTTTCGTCTGTATTCATCTGATTATGATTATGCCATCTGTCGATACGTTAATGCCATCCATATCTACAAACACCATGAACTACCTTAGACCCTCTCAAACACCAACGGCACGCCCTCGACCATCCCCAACGTCACGACTGACACACTCTCCTGCAGCGCCCGCTCAGCCTGCCTACGTCCTGCGTCGCTCTCATCCGCGAGACGCACCCGGTACACCCGGAAGACCACCGCCAGCGCCGCCACAAACTCCACCTGCGCGAACTTCTTCCCCAGGCACGCGCGGAACCCATCGCTGAACGGGATGTATGCGCCACGCACGGGCCGGTGGACCGTCGGGTACTCGAGGCCCGGGGCGACCAGGCCCGGCGTATTTGCATACTGGGCGAGGAAGCTGCCGCTGTTGCGGGCGTCCCAGCGGGCCGGGTCGAACGTGTCGGCGTCCACGCCCCAGTATTCCTCCGAGTAGTGCAGGCCGTTCATGTTGAGGTTGATGCTGACGCCGGGGTCGAGGACGACGTCTCGTCCGCGGTAGTGGATGCGGCTGGGCGAGGCGCCAGTCCATTTGGGGACCGTAACGACGGGCGGGTAGAGACGCATTGTTTCGAGCTGCGCATGGGTTAGGATCTTGAGAGCGCGCGACTGGCTTGGGGGGAGCATACCATCACGCACAACGGGGTGACCAGTTTAGGAAACACAGCGGCGTAATCCCACTGCGCCGGATCTGCGGGTTCATTTCCAACCGCGTCGAGAATCCCCTGGCGCAGCCACTCCTGCACGCGCGGAGACAGCGCCAGCAGCACGAACGCGTACTTCAGCGAGGTCTCGGTGGTGCCGTGGCCGGCCAGCGTGAAGATGTGCATGTTGCTGATGATCTCGCGGTCGGAGAGGCCCTTCGCTTTGTCGGCGGCGTCTGCGCGCGACGCCAGCATGCCGTGGATCAGATTCGACGCCGTTTCCTTCGTCCCGTGGGCGCCGGCGAACGACGCGGACCCGGTCTCGATCAGCCGCTTCATGTAGTTCTCGAGGTCGCGGTGCGCCGCAAAAGCGCGCCTGAGAAACGGGGCGAGCGGCCGGCGCAGCCAGCGCGGGAGCATCAGGTTCGCGAAGACGACGGTGCGGATCTTGACGTCTGTGTATGCCACGACGGAGCGGAAGGTGAAGTCGAAGCCCGGCGGTGGGCAGGCTGTGTCCTGGAAGATGTCGGCGTCGTTGGGGCTGTTGGCGCGGGAGAGGGATGGCTTGAAGGGGATTTGCACGCCGAAGCCGGCGCCCGAGATGACGTTCAGACTGAACTGCACGATGTCCTCGCTGATGTCGTTGAGGGCGAGGGTGTCGGGGCGGGGGGAGGCGGTTTGGCGCCAGTAGTGCAGCATCTCGGTGGCCTGGCGGATGGACTCCTTCCATACGAGCTCGTTATTTCTCTCGTTGAAGGTTGTCGCTGTGTGGCGCCGGTGATGGGCCCATTCTTTATCCTCGCACTGGGGGTGTTAGTTATTTGCGTCGTAGTGCAACTGCATACGGTGACTTACGGTGACGAGATTCGGGCCGTACAGCTCGATGACTTCTATGGCAACATGAGCGCAGGTCACACCGGCAGACAAGGAAACGGACTATACTGCCAGATCGGCTTGGGGAACTCGTTCCTGGCGTTGACGATCTGCGAGACGACGGCCGCGTCGGCCACGCAGCAGGTGACCGTCTTCGACGTGACAACCAGGTACACCCCGCCATACCGCTTGACCTGGCGGTTCTTGATGCGCCAGCGGAAGTTGTTCATCGGGTCGTTGGTCGTATCTGCCAGCCAGAGCGGCAGCCAGCGGTTGATGATGTATGGGAGCCAGGCCGTCTCGAGCAGGATCATCATCGGCACGCTCCACGGCAACGGCGCCACGACGTACGGCAAGCCGGTGCGCTGCGCCCGCCGGACATTTCTGTATATGGCGACGACATAGTCGCCGAGGAGGATGCCTGCCAGGGCGAGGAGGAGGGTGTAGCCTGCCAGCATCGTGGGGAGTGACGTGGAGGGAGCACAGTCCCTTGCTGGGAGGGGTAAAGCGGTTGATATAGGGAGTACAGATGCAGGCGTCTAGTGTCCAGCCACATTGCTTGGCTTCGTATTGCGATCGACATGCGCTTGTGCTTGTTTTGCATTGCTTGCTTCTTTGTTGCTATTTGGATGTCTATAGATCGGTTAGTAACAGACTCGAAGCTACTTTAGCGATGATGTCGTCATAACGTATGACGTCCTCTCCAGACTACTATATTTCCCTTAGTATATATCTAGAAATCCCACCAGCAGAACATCCCATATCTCCCCATTGCCAATCGTAAACTAATAATACACAATGCCCCCAATTGCAACAGACCAAGACATCTTCAACGAGCCCGACTGGACCGCCACGCACAGCCACCGTGTCGGCCTGCGGGATCACGATGACCGCTTCCCGGGACTCACGCACGCCGGCGACGACTGGCGGTTCGAGCTGGAAAAGGAGTCCGAGGAGAAGATCCAGGAACTGCAGGCGAAACGAGACCGCGGCGAGTTGCTCTCCGTGCGGGATTTCATGTCCAAGCAAGAGGTTTGCCTACGCAGCACCCAGCAACCCGATCATATACAATAGCTAACCGAGACAGGACTTCCATCTGCGCCGGCCAGACGTCCACCCCAAACACTGGCGCTACGTGCTGCACACGACGGAGGGCCACATCAAGTATGGGCAGCCGTGGTACATCAACGAGAAGAAAGAGCAGCGGCAGGACCAGTCCGCGGACGACAGGCAGACGACCAACGGGGCGGGGTCCTCCAAGCAGACCCCCAGCGGCTCCAAGTCGCAAGAGCAAGAGCAAAAACCCGAGTACACCGCCGAGCAGCGGGCGCTTCTGCAGAGCCTGCGGCACGAAGCAGAGTACATCCAGAGCCTAAAATGCAACGATGGGAAGGGCCGGTCGCCGGCGTACTCGGCAAACGCAACCGCCGAAATCGACGAAGCAGACCAGTTCACGCCGGACAACTGGGTCCCGCGGACAGATCACCTCATCCGGCTGACGGGCAAGCACCCGCTGAACGGGGAGCCGCGGCTGACGGAGCTGCTAGACGCAGGGCTGGTGACGCCGAACTTCCTGCACTACGTGCGCAACCACGGGCCGGTGCCGCATCTGCTGTGGGAGAACCACCGGCTGGAGATCTCGGCGGGCAAGTCGCTGACGCTGTTCGTGGACGACCTGGTGGACCGGTTCCGCAGCGTGAACATCCCCGTGCTGCTGGCGTGCGACGGCAACCGGCGCAAGGAGGTGAACATGGTGAAGCGGAGCAAGGGATTCAACTGGGGGGCTGCGGGCGTAGGCTGCGCGTACTGGAAGGGGGTGCTGCTGCGCGATGTGCTGCTGGCGGCGGAGGTGGAGAATCTGGTCGAGGAGAGCGCCGGCGCGCGGCTGTGGGTGAACTTCCAGGGGTCGGAGGAGCTGAGCGAGGGCAAGTACGAGACCTGTCTGCCGCTGGACTATGTGATGGACCCGCTCAATGATGTGCTGCTGGCGTATGAGATGAATGATTGCCCGCTGCCGCCAGACCATGGGTATCCGCTGCGCTTGGTGGTGCCGGGCTTTGTGGGCGGCCGCTGGGTGAAGTGGTTGCAGAGTATCTGGGTGACGGACCGCGAGAACGATAGCCACTATCATATCTATGACAATCGGGTGGTGCCGAGCTTTGTGCAGGACCGTGAGTCTGAGGCGGGTGACATCATGTATCATCATCCCAGCACGGCGTGCATGGAGCAGATGCTGAACTCGGTCATCGCACGGCCGGCACAGGGAGAGAAGCTCAGTCTCAGTGAGCTGAAGGGCGAGAAGGACTACCGCATCAGGGGGTACGCATACAACGGCGGCGGAAATGAAATCCAACGCGTTGAGATCAGCCTCGATGGAGGCCAAAGCTGGCTGTACTGCATTCGCGAGGTGAGCACCCATGATCTCAGTGGACTACATCCACTAACAAGGCCAGTTCCCCGAGGCTCCCATACGACACAACAAGAAATTCTGGACATGGCTGCACTGGCACGTCGACGTGCGCGTCACTCAGCTGCTGCGGGCTGAATCCATCACGGTGCGATGCTGGGATGTCAACAAGAACACGCAGCCGGAGCACATCACATGGAACCTGGAAGGGTAAGCACTCTATCGGAACCAAGCGGGGTGCTCTACTCACACGATCAGAATGATGAACAATGCCCAGTACGTCGTGAAAGCAGAAATCATCGACGACCCAAAGACAAAGAAACCGGCCCTAATGTTTCGCCATCCTGTCGAGCCCGGCACCGGCGAGAACGGATGGATGAAGCCCTCGCTCGAAGACCAGAAAGAGGACGCGAAGAGACAGTCCGCTGCGCCGGAGAAACAATTCACGCGCGAGGAGATCGAGAAGCACCATACCGAGGACGACTGCTGGATCGTCGTCAACGGCCAAGTATACGATGCGACCTCGGTGCTGAGCTGGCATCCAGGCGGCAAAGCGGCCATCATGGCTCACGCCGGCAGAGTTCATACCGAGACGACGGAGGAGTACGAGAGCATCCACGACGAATACGCAAACGAGCGTCTCCAAGGTATGACATCGTCTTTCCCATCCCGCAGCCAATCTCTAACCAGACAGAATGCATCCTGGGCGTCGTGACGCAAAAGGCCCGCGAGTTCATGAAAAAGGAATCCGAAGAGAAAGCAAAGAAACGGGCCCAATCCTCCGAAGGCGACAGCCACATCGCGCTGAAACGGCACAAGTACGTATTCCTCCCGGACCGTCAAGCCTCTCTAACACATACCACTCCAGGTGGATCCAAGCCAAACTCATCAGCAAAAAGGCCCTATCAAAAGACACAAAGCGCTACACCTTCGCCCTCCCGAGCAAAGACCAGAAGCTCGGTCTCGACACCGGCCAGCACATCCTGGTCGGCTTCCACTTCAAAGACCAGATGATCATCCGATCATACACACCCATCCGACCCATCCAAGACTCCGACGAAGACGGCACATTCGAGCTCGCTGTCAAGACGTACTACCCGGACCCCGCGCAGCCCGGCGGCACCCTGAGCAACATCATGGACTGTCTGCGCGAGGGCGAAGAAGTCGAGATCAAGGGGCCGACAGGCGAGATCCGGTATCACGGCAACGGACGCTTTGTTATCGACGATAAAGAGTACGTCTTTGACAAGGTGACGCTGGTCCTGGGAGGCTCGGGGATTACCCCGGGGTATCAAGTTATTGCACGGATCCTGAGGGCCGAGGAGGACAAGACGAAGATCCGGGTCATCGATGCCAATAAGACCGAAGAGGATATCCTGATGCGTCCGGAGCTGGATAAGTTTGCTAAGGAGCATCCGGATCAATTTGAGATTACGCATGTACTGTCACATGCGGACGACAGCTGGACGGGGGAGAAGGGGTATGTTAATAAGGATATCCTCCGCCGGTATGGGTTCCCTCCCGAGGAGAAGAGCATTGCTCTGCTGTGTGGGCCGCCGGCGATGATCCAGAAGGCGGTTTTGCCGGTGCTGCTGGAATGGGGGTATGACGAGGACAAGAACCTGTTTGGATTCTAATCATAGATGTATCAAGATCAATTCTAAGCCTCTGTAGATAGTCTTAATATCTAATCCAGAAGTATCTCAAATCGACATCATCGACGATACTACATCTAGTCGATTGTTAGTTATTATGACCATCTGGCCTTACAAGTAGAGCTGCGTTCGAAGCAATTTCATTCCTGATACATCGTGCAATACAAAACATGCAATAAAAACATGCAAATCAACATGATGACAGACATAACAACACATACATGCATCAACGCTTCAAAACAGAGTAATGTTGACATATAACCAATGGGATACACAAGTTCAAAACACGACTCAGTCTTTGTCTCTTCAGGCCCGAACTGGATACGGGGTCGGCTTTCTTCTCAGAGGACAAATATTTTCTTTGCCCTCAACGGGCTCCATCACTCGTATAGTAGTCAGTCTCTTCATCTCAATCCCTTTCACTTCGGGAGTCGTCTTATGCAAATGGAAAAAGTCCAGCAGCTCATGCCAATGGAGTGCATGGTTGGGCTGGGAGAGAACGGACTTTTGCTTGGTGGAGGCCATTATGGTTGTCAGTTCCAATGGATCACAGATGATGTAGCTGCTTGAACTGGGGCAGTTATGTGGTGGCTAGAAGTATTTCGAGATGGCAGATGTGCTCGAATGCACGGAGGAGATGGATGGAGGAGAGATGGAAGAGAGAGGATGGGAAGGGGGCCAGACGGCCTATATATACCCAGTCTTGTGGCTTTACAAGGCAGCGAATATCGTCACAATGTGTGGATTGGCGACCTGAGACCTGCTTCATCATGACGACACAGTTGATAAACTCCCTAAAACAGAACAGCCCATCGCAGAAGGATAGCTAAAGTGGTGCTTTAGAAACATGGATAAAATGAATACACCCCAAGAAGGATCCCAGAGTCTCGATGACTTTCGCTCAATTAACAATAATCAATCCAGGTCCAGCATGTGTCTGTCCGGCCACTCCAGTAACATTAGCAAAAGGTCCAGGACTCATCGTCACCACCGCAATGGTCAGTCCATTCATCAGATGCTCGTCATACGGGAAATACGCCTGTCCAACGACAGTCCGTCCGTCGAAACTGATAACATCCAGCCTCTCCGTGATGGGAGGATTCAACTGGTTGATATAGGTGAGCCAAAGATCCGCCGGCCGAAACGCGGCAGACTGTTCAATGTCATATAGCGCCCAAGTAACCTTGATGATCTGCGACTTTGGGCCTGGAGGCGCCAGAACTTCCAATTCTGGGAAAATCTTCAGGTTGATCTCGTCCAGATTCGGACAGGTCCCCTTGACGACAAAGGCATTGGCAGCAGAGAACGCAAAGTTCACATCACTCGTCGTGAGCGTCGGCACTTCACTTGGGATCTTCCGCTGGAGCACGCGAAACCAGCCCTCTTGTTCCCCTTCGTTCCCGATGGTGGCGGCAATCACGCGAGTAAGACCGGTGTCGCCTCCTTCTGCGAATCGCTGCGTCACGTCTTCTAGCGTGCCTATGACGAGGTCGGTAAAGGTAGCAGCGAGCTCAATGGGCAGCATCAAAGGTGGTGACGGGGAAGGTGTACTCGCAGGGCTGGATGGGGGGCACGTCGAAGTGCTTGAGGGCGTCGTTTGCGGTCAAGGCGTGGACTTCCTCTTGCTGGAATCTGTCAGTCATGTTACAGTCAGTGGTGAGGTTTGGAAGTTACACCAAGGATCGCTTTCAAGGAGCTAATGGCGAACTGTCGATCTTCGGGGGTTGGAAATGTATAGCCCTCGACCCTGTCCGTGACGTTGGAAAGCAGGTCGTAGAAAAAGGCGACCTCGAAGAGTTCGTTGAATGCAATCAGCTGGAGATTGGTGATCCCTGCTTCGCTGATGGTTTCTGGGAGAGGCAAGCCCGGCAGAGTTCCATGTGCTCTGCGCTGGATGTCACAGAGCTGCTCGGGACTAGGGTTTGGCATGCCATCGGGGAGCTTTCGAGGACTTCTTATAGTGGGCGCTGCCAGCACAAGAAATGGGGAGAGGGCGATCAACAGAAGAGAAATGGGAGTCATGATGGGAATAAGTCAGTACAGAAATGGTGGATAGGACGGTGATTACTTTGATGGTGGTTAGTTATTTTGGGAAGAGGTCTTTGGGAGTTCTTTTATAGGTACTACAGGGCTTGGACGCTCCTTCTATCTAAATGGACAATTCCTGTCGAGAAGAGCATCTCTGATTGTAGTAAGTACGATTATGAGCAACCAACCACTTGATTACTGGCAGGCTGCCAGAGTAGACTACCAAAGTAAATACACCAACACTTCACATATTATGTGATCTCACCAAACCCACCCCGTTCACTTACAGGTGGCCCTGTCCAGCGTTGGAGGAAACGCTAGAAGCAACCTCGCCGTAAGCAGTCGCAGAAGCAATGTTCTGGCCCTGGAACTTGGACAGGAAGCCAGTGTCTGCCTGGCTGAAGGAACCGGAGTTGCCGAATCCGTTCACCTCGCAGGCACGGCCGAGGTAGGACGAGCAGGCCTCGTTGGCGCTAGTGCTGGGAGAAGTGAAGACCTCACCCTCGATGGGGCTCTCAGCCACGGTCGTGATGTCCTGGAAGACGTTGCCCTCGGCGAGGACGTAGGCGCCGGAGCCAATCTCGAAGGCGTGGCCGGAGTTGTCGTACCAGTAGTTGTTGACCTGGTCGTTTGTTAGTTATCATGAACAGACCATTGGCGACGGAAGTCATACGGCATGGAGGAGGGTGTTGCCCTGGACCTTGGGGCTACGGCCGCTGGTGTGGTAGATGTAGTTGCCCTTCATGGTGACCATGTCGCTGGAGCCATCCAGGTAGATACCCCAGTAGTGGTAGCCGTCGCAGGTGGCGGAGTAGTCGGTTTCACCGTCGATGTAGCAGTTGGAGATGGTGACGCGGTTGTCGGCCTCGGTGCCGAGGACGATGTGCTGGCGACCGATACGGGCAGTCTACGCGATCGTTAGTATTAAAGATATCTAGGGGATGGGGAGACGTACAGTAACGTGGTCAATCCAGACCATGTCAGCATCGTTCAAGGTGATGCCGTCGCCACCCCAGACGTACTTGGGGTTGATGTCGGTGATGGCGATGTTCCTTTAACGTGTTAGATTCGGAGCAGTCCAAGGGGTGAGGCGAAACGCACTGGATGATAATGTTCTTGGCACCGCTCACGATGCGCAGACCCTTACCCTTGATCACACCCTTGTCACCCTCACCGAGGAGAGTCTTGTCGGAGGCGACGGTGATACCGAGGGTACCGGCCTTGTCACTGCGGGATGTGATCAGCAAGACTCGGTGTTAGGACGGATGCCGGGATCAGCTCGGCACTTACTATTCGACCGACACGGACGGTGCACTCGACTGGTAGTTGGTGCACCAGTCGTTGGCGTTGATGGCAACCTGGCAGCCCGAGCCGGTACCCCAAGGAGCGCAGCCAGTTTCGGTGGCGGTGCCCTCGCTTCCGGAGAAGTCGTAGCTGTGTCATGTTAGTTCTCGGAACGGCTCGTCACCAGGCCGTGGGACCACGTACGTCTTGGACAGGACAATCACGCGCGGCTCGCTGTCACCGAGGTATGAGACCAGCTCATCGATCGAGTCCGGTAGACGGGGGTGGCATCACCACCACCAGTCACTCCCTTGGCGAAACCCTCGGCAGAACCA